CACCCCGAGAATAATGCCAGCCATAAATATCATAAGAACCGTGATCGTAAATCAAAGGGCATGGATATCGCAAACATGTATGTATAATTTTGTCGTGCTAAATGCAGCAGAGCAAAAAGCGAAGCGAGAATGAAGAGAAGGGAATCCGTTGCGTGAACGGAATGGTATAGGCTAATAACTTTCACCCACTTCGCTGAGTTTATTTTTCCTTTCTGGGGGACCCATATCCCCATCACGTCGATCGACGCCGGAGCTAATGCGACGAGGTGTTGGTAACATGGAAGGTGGATTGTTGGTACTTCCTCCGGATTCCCTTTTCTTTAAGCCACCGGGAGTAGGTATTCCGGAAACATGATCTCCCTTATTAAACGTGCTGCGTCGTGGAGTAGGGGTTGTGATGTCCTCATTCTCGTCAATATACCCCATGTTGACTGAATGACTATAGTTACTCAGAGATGAGCGGGGTCGTCGGCTCTCTGTTGTTGGGTTGGTGGAATAATGACCAAGCGGTGTGCGTGAACCTGTGATACTTTGTCGGCTCTCGGAGCGAGGTTGCGGGATGGAACTTGAAGCAACAGGTAATTGGCTGATCGAACTACGGCTGGAGACACTGGCTCTACTACTGGGTCTGCTTTCACTTTGAGGGGCCCGAGTTGGAGTCCCTTGGTTAAGACCGAAGGAAGATCTTCCGTAAGAGGATGTAGACTCCCCATCACGAGAGCTAGCAACACTTCCACTTGTCCGTTTTCTAGAAGATCTTCTAATAGTCACTGAAGATGGAATGTAATTCTGGCCTAAAGCCGAGCTCGTTCGGGGAGAGACTTTTGGAGGGGTCTCAACTGGTGCAGGAAGTCTGGATCTTGCAGACTGTACTCGCTCCTCAAGTTTTTGCATTTTGCCGATGAGGCCTCGGATTTGATACAGAGAACCAGACCTGGGCAACCCAGGCGGTTGTTGGGTCGGGTAGGACCGTGTAATAGAGCGACGAGAGGTGACGGAGGGAGTTGAGTTGCCATTGCTGGTGGGTATGGAGGGTCCCCGAGAGTGTCTCGTCTTGGACGACGGATATGGCGGCCTTGAGCCTGATTCAGAAATAGAGACTCGAGGGCGTGGTATAGAAGGAGTTGTGGTTGCTTTCGCAAGACGATATGATGACTCCGAGAAAGGCGGTGACGGCGGGGTTTGAATATCAGATGCAACAGATGAAACTGACTTCGTAGGTGGAGTCGCAATGGTTGGTGACGACGATGTGGTAGCAGGGGAGTGTTCGGAAATATCGGGAGTATGGGGCACCGGAAGGCCTGGGCTAAGAGTAAGGTTGTTCTTCTGCTTAAGCAAAAGTTCGGCTTTGCGAAGCTTCTCCTGGATAATGTGTGCTTCAATTTTGAGATCAGACAACTCATCCCGGAGACGCTGATTTTCAATACGCAAGGTTTCCCGTTCTTGCTCTCCGTGTTTTATCTCTTCCTCGAGCAGAACGCCCCGTTCTATGGAAACGTTGTATTTTGATTCCAGGTCTTCCAAGGACGACGATGTGTTGCGCGCTTGACGCTCAAAATCGTCATTTGCAACCTCAATATCCCTGAGTTTCAGCTGCAGCGTTCGATTTCCATCCCGCAGACTCGTAATCTCCTTTTGAAGCGCACTCTGCGCAGAATTTGCCTCCGTCTTGGCTTGTTTATATTTCGCCTATCAAATAAAGGTTAGCGACCAAGACCCCTCTGACATACATCGAAGAGAGAATCGATTTACCTTCCATTCCTCTATTTCATATGCTGCACTTTCTAGCTTTTCATTCAACTTCCTCTCCCTCCTCTCTGAAGCCTCAATGTCTTTCTCTAGTTCAGCCTCCAGCTCCCTACTGGAAGACTGGAAGTCCGCAAGTTCAGCTTCGAGATGTTCATATTGTTTTTTGTAATAGGCAATGATATCCTGGGCGGACGTGGAAGCGCTTGGTGGTGAGGATGGGGGTCCATCAGGCAGAGGCATCCTCGTTGCCTAAGAGTCCCTGAATGCTGGAGGCGCGGACGTCACTGGGGCCTATGGAATGCGCATAAGTGATAGAGAGAAAAAAAGAGTTGCCTGTATTCACAAGGCCAAATCGCAACGTCGCAGGGCTACTCTCTCTGTAGAGCTTGTAGAATCTTGTGATAATACTAAGTGGGAGGGGTCTGGTAGTGGATCCGACCAAGATATCGGCGATGGTATGATCGATCTCAAGGCCCAAAGTATGTCTCCCAGTGGTTGTAGCGAGAGGCGCTTAGAGAGATAGACGAAAAACTTACCTTTGGGGTTTACCGAAACCCTGTCGAATGTCGTCGTAGTCCACTACGCTGGTCGATGTCGCTGGTGGCCGGTAGATGAGGTTGTCGTCGTCGTCGTCGTTATCATGGGGGTGCAGGAAGTGTTGATTGTTTGCATCCCGTGATTACATAACGTCCCTCAGGGGATCCATGACAACGCGCACTAGTCCAGAAATAGACCAGGCGACCTGCCGAGGCCGGCAGGCCGTTTCACACTAAGCCAAAACTGGTCCAGCACGGCTGGATCACCTGATCCGCCCTTCCCTGCCTCCCGTCGTGCACATATCAGACGTCTCCGCAGCACGCTTAACAACTCCACGCCGCATCCCCACGCCGGCCCCAGGTAGTATCCAGGTATGTCCACTAGCTATCCCATTCTTGCTCCCTCACATCTCTCTCTCATCTTGGTTCTACCATGTCAAGCATTGAGACCCGGAGCTTCCCATTGCCTCCTGGGGCCCTTTTCCGGTCTGAGCACATTGCCCCTTGCCTCCGCAGTATGCCCACGCACACTGGTCCTCAGGCGCTCTACTATCTATCTAGCTTTGCTGCCACGCACTTGACTCCACTCTCTGATTACCTCCATTGCTCTTTTACTATCCTTCGTCCATAGAAATATGGCCATGGAAATAATACTAACGTTCTATGGATGGCAGTTGCCCTCCTGGCTTCGCCAGACTCAGATATCATGGCTGATTCATCAGACTTGAATCTCGACGCTCCCAGCGACCTTCAGGACCTTCCTGATTTGTCTATGGAGCTTATCCCCCCACAGGAAGGGACTTACCCTGATAGAGCCTCCTTACTTGCTGCTGTGCAGGCACACGGTAAAGCTCATGGCTATAACATTGTTGTCAAATCATCCAGTACACCCACAGAGAAAAAGCCAGGCAGAGTCGCAAAGGTGTGGTTGCGATGCGATCGTGGTGGCCAGTACAGACCCAGAAATGGGCTCACTGAAGAAACACGGAAAAGGAGGCGGACTTCACGACTCATGGACTGCCCTTTCATGCTCGTCGCTGCAGGACATCCGGGAATCTGGACGCTGACAGTTTTAAATCCCTCACATAACCACGGCCCGATAGTGGAAAAGCCTCGACAGAATCCTCATCCTAAGGCGAAGAAGGGCCAAGTCACGGCTACTCCCTATGACTGGCCTCATGATGCGACATTCACACCATTCACAACTGCGCTTGTGCTTATTGATATGCAACGTGATTGTAGGTGTCTTAATGCTTAATACGTCAGTAGCTGAACTATAATCTGACAGCGGTATCACATCCAGTTTGTTCACCAGGCGGATACATGGCGTATCAAGGATACGACATTACGCCTGCACAGCTCCTTATTCCTAAGTTACAGCGATTACTTGATGCTTTCCGCTCAGCCGGCTTTCCTGTGTATCATACCCGTGAAGGTATAGGCCGTCATGAGCAGCTTTTGAATGTTTATTACCGTTCACTTACCAAACGTATGTAGGGCACCGCTCTGACCTCTCGAGCGTCTCCAATCGGGAAACTTTCCGCTCAAAAATCAACCCGTCTGGCATGGGTATAGGCTCAGATGGGCCTCTTGGTCGACTCCTCATACGCGGTGAGCCGGGACATGACATCATTCCAGAACTCTATCCGACCATGGGCGAACCCATTATCGATAAACCAGGCAAGGGGGCATTCACGTACACCGATTTCGAACTGCTCCTGCGGAATAAAGGGATCAAAAACCTTGTTCTTGCAGGTGTTACTACGGATGGCTGCGTTTCCACTACCATGCGAGAGGCAGCCGACAGAGGCTTCGACTGTATCTTGCTCGAAGATGGTACGTCTGCGGCTGACCCCTCACTTCACATGAGCACTATTGAGTCTATGAAGATAGACGGTGGTATTTTTGGAGCGACGACGAAGGTCGACGATATGGTACAAGCGGTTGAAAACTTCAAAGCTGTAACTGTGAAGAAGCTTGCTCCGCAAATGTCCAATGTTGCCCAGTGAAAGGGAACAAACGACAAAAACTTGCGGTATAAATTCCCTTATCAAAATATTTCCCCCTCTTTGTTAAATTTGCGCCTTGACTTTTTGCACGTATTTGAAGTCTGGTGTTATCAAGGCGCCTTTCTTTGCTATACCTTGTACTCTTCTTTCTCTTTTTTCCTTGTGGAGGGAATAGTTTGTTTTTATTGGGTAGTTACATTGTTTTCGGGATATTCATGAAATGTCGGCCCTTAGGACATGTTTCCAGCCTTGCTTTTATTCGGATTCTTGGTACTATATATACTTGTGTGTACTTGGTGTGGAAGCTATATCCATTGGCTTTTTGAAATATCTTTTCAGTTTTCCCACGTTATCTCTCCTTTATTTTGTGTCTCAGGTTCTCTCTGCTCCCCTTGCATTTACGTCTTGGGTTGTCTCACATCCTAAGCAGTCAAGAACGATTCAGGGTTTATTTTGTGATTGTTTGAGTACGTCAACTATCCCATGAGAGCAGTAACCGTCCACTAAAAGAAATAGCAAAAAACGATTTATCTGGCGCTTTATTATCAACAGTAGACAACTTGGGTATCATAAAAGCATATATAACTATCAAGTAATGCCCCACGACCAGTGCCTTTTTAATCATCAGCCTATTCTCTCCTCGATAATAGACACTGTTCTATGTTCACTGGCCCATATAAAACAGAAAAGGAAGGAACCTCCTAAAAACCAACAATCAACGCCATGCCAAATGGAGAGCAATGAGAAATTGAAGAACTATAAATAAAAACAGAAGGCAATTCCAACACCCCTCTCAAAAACACAAGGAAAAAAGAATGCAAAATATAAAAACTAAGAAAAGCCAATCACAACCACTTCCTCCCCGCCGCCACCACCCTCCCCCTAAACACTGGACTCGTAATCTCCATCCCCTGCCGATAGAACGGGCTCATCACTGTCTTTACCCAGTTCTCATACACCTCATTCATAAACTGCCGGATGGCCTCCTCCGTCTGCGGCGACGTGGGATTATTGGCTATGGACGAGGAGGAGGCGCGTGACGTCGTTGTAGAGGCTGCGGAGGCTGAGAGTGCGGTCGATATGGGCGATACCCCTGCTGAGGAGGATGAGGGGGGTTGCGGCGGCTGGTGGAGGAGGAGGAAGCGGGTGCCTGAGCCGGTCAGGAAGGCGGAGACGTAGGCGGAGGTTGGAGGGTATGTGTCGATGTGTTTCAGGTACCTGGGACAGAGTGAATGGGTTGCGCGTTAGGCTGGTCTTTTTTACCCCTCGTTCTATGTCCTATACAGAGGACGGCAGCGGGGATGCGGCGAGCTTGCGACGCGCGAGTTTCCGCGCCGAAGGTGATTTCCTGGTATGGGGGTTGTCACTTACATCGCCCCATTGGACCATTGGAGCTCCTCGACAATGTCTAGACTGGCGTGGACTATGAATTGGTTCATGTACGGGGCATTATCCGGGAATCGGAATCGGGCAACGCCATCTCCGCCCGCCTTGGAGGTGCCAAAGGCAAGGCTGAAGAGGGGGACGTCGGTAGGGGAGAGGATTGTAAAGTAGTATGACATGGCTTAGTGATTTGCTCTACTTTTTGACATGGGAAACCTATGACGGCGTCGGTGCATGACGCATCGTCTTCGAGAGTTAGTGGGCGCTGCGATTTGTTGAAGTTGCGATTGGTCATGTGATCTGAAGAGGTCGGCCCATAGATTAATTACAGCGTCGGATTCGACATCCAACTAACGAATTCACAAGGAAAACTGAAGGTTTGTCCGTCATTTACTCCCATATATCCATCCGGGATATATCAACCTAATCCACATTCACCCTACCAACGTCACAATGTCACGCCCAACCCTTTCCTACGGCCTCAACCTCTCCAACAAGAAGCCCCAAGGCCTTTCCCTGGCCAAAGCCACCACCTCCACCAACAACCCGCAAAAGCGCAAAAGGACAATCTTTGACTCAGATTCCGAAGATGGCGACGCCCAAAAAGAAAGCAACGGCTCCATAGAAATCACCACCATAGGTGGTCTCAACAACAGCAACAACAACGATGATACGGACAACGGAGGCCCCTCCGGGAAAAAACCCGCTACCTCGAAAAGAAAAAACCCTCCACAGCTCAACAACTACTCAAACCTCTCCAGCCTCCACAGTAGCAAAAAGCACGCCCAAACCGCCGAATCTCTCGACTCATCCATCTACGACTACGACGCTGTCTACGACTCCCTCCATGCCAAACCTTCCTCCACCGCCGCCGCCGCCACTGAAACCTCGACATCGAAATACATGACCGCCCTACTCCGCAGTGCAGAGATCCGCAAGCGCGACCAGCTGCGCGCGCGCGATAAACAGCTCCAACGCGAACGCGAAGCAGAAGGCGAAGAGTATGCGGATAAGGAGAAGTTTGTTACGGCGGCGTACAAGGCGCAGCAGGAGGAGGCGCGGCGGATAGAAGAGGAGGAGGCGGAGAGGGAGCGGGAGGAAGAGGAGCGGCGGAAGAAAGGCGGCGGGATGGTGGGGTTTTACAAGAATATGCTTGAGCGGGATGAGAGGAGGCACGAGGAGGTGGTGAAGGCAGCGGAGTCCGCGGCGGCGAAGAAGAGAGGTCCGACGGAGGAAAGGGTGGAGCAAGAGGAATTGGTGGAAGCGACGGAGAAGAGCGAGGCGCAGATTGCGGCGGAGCTGAATGCGCGGGGCGCGAATATCATTCTTAATGATGAGGGGCAGGTTGTTGATAAGCGGCAGTTGCTTACGGCCGGGTTGAACGTTTCGCGGAAACCCGAGAAGGCGAAGGGGGCGCCTGCTGCGGCGGATAAAGCGGCTGGGTCCGCTGGGTGGGGCGTAGAGGGGAGATGGAACCGGCCGGATGCTGCTGGTTCCGGGCGTGCGGGTCAGCGGGCCAGACAGACGGAGATGTTGGCTACGCAGTTGGAGGAGAGAATGCGGAAGGAAGAGGAGGAGAGAGAGGCGAAGGAGAAGGAGCTCGCAGCGAAGATGAAGAGTTCGAAGACGGCGGGTGATGTGCAAAGTGCACGGGAGCGATATCTCGCTCGGAAGAGGGAGAAGGAGAAAGAGGGGCGCCAATAAAGTGAATGCAATTTTGGGGGCTGGGAGTACTTGGGGATTCTTGTTCACCGGTAGATAGATGGCAGCGGGATTTGCGATATGGCATCTGCTAGGTAGTGCACCTGTACACAAAGATAGCCTTTTTATTCTTTCATAAAAAAATCTTGTAGTATCCTCCACAGCTTGCCACTTCAGAAACAATAGTCAATCCAGAGATATCCTCATTCCCCAGTTAATCTAATCTATCCCAAAAATTTAATAATAGTAAGCAAACCCGAATTGTAAATTTCTAATGGAGAAAATTAAAAGGTTAAATATGAAATGATGAGAACAAACTGAACACGGAACCAGGATTCCGTACCAACCAACAAGTCTATATAGAAAATGGGGTTGTGACTCATGAACCCAAACGACCCAAAAATGCCAGAAAGAACAATAAGGACATCATCAGCCAGATCATGATAAGGTGGTATGCAAAGCAAGGTAAAACAACAATGACGGGGAGAAACAGCAAGAGAGAAAGAGAGAAGGAAATGAAAATCATGAACCATGTCTCCCAATAAGTGAGAAGTCAGCGAGCAAGTTGATTCGACCATTTCGCCTCTCTCGTCGCCCTCAATCCTTTTATTCATCCGGTTAACGCGTAACTGAAGCCTAAAATCCCCATTCCTAAAAAGGCGAACCCGACACAGAGAGACCGATTATGCGACAACACCAACCCCTCGGAGAAAAGCTGGAGCGCAACACTCGTCATCACGCCCGCCGTGGCCGCAAACATGCCCCCATACACAGCCCACGAGATATTATTAGGATTAGCACCAGTAGCAGCACTGATTCCGCCACCATTAGCTGCTTTGCCGGCGCCCCATATCCATAACGCTGCAAGACCAGCGCCGGCTGGTTGGCTGACGCCGCCTAGCAAGCTGGACCAGAGCATGGCTTTCAATCTCGAGTGGAGGGCTAGGTAGAGAGGGAGCGTCATTGCAAATCCCTCGGTGATGTTGTGGATGAAAAGGGCCATGAAGATTGAGAATCCTAGGGTTGGATTTGCATGGTTAGTGGCGTACGTGATGAAGCCCTCAGGGAGTTTGTGAAGGGCTATTGCGAGGGATGTTTGGACGCCAATGGCTAGGAACGCATTTTGCGGGACGTGGTGATGGTGGGTGAATGAATCCAGAGAGTGGGATGATAGCAAAGCACGGTCGTCAACGTGGCCGCGGACCTGGCGGATGTCAAGAGATGTATCTCCGTCTCTTGAAACGGGTCTTGATTGGTGTATGCCTGATGCCGAGCGGGAGGGAAGTTGGTGATTCGAAGCACCACAGCCCGCTTCAAGTGTTTGCGGGCTGATAGTAATACTATCTCTGGATGCCACTTCTTTTGGATGCCGCTGAGTTATAATTTTGGCACATTCCTCTCCACATACGTGGGAGATACCATAGCAGGTGCCGTCCTGGTCGCAGAATGGCTTGTTCCCAGGGACAAGAGAGCTGAGTTTGCATTTTATACGGGAAACGACTGGTAATTTTGAGTTTTGAACTGATGTTCGGTGGGTGGACGGCACTTCGGATCCGGCGTTGGAAGGAAGCAATGACGAATGTTCAGTGGGAACGGTGGTCAAAGGTTTCAAAGCTGGATTTGGCTGAGAATGGTGATGTTGAGTCTCTTCTGTGCTCCCATTTGCTGCTCCAGGCCCTTTTAGAAAGTGTTCATGCGTGTGCATACAATCAACCACACGAGACGGGATATGACGGTGGATGAATGACGAAACGAGCTGTATGATAACCATCCCTGCTAGAAAAAGTCCGATCAAAGCGGAGGCGGCTGCGCTAGAAGAGAGTCCAGCTTTAACAAAATAATCTTTGGACGTTGGCAACACGCTGTAGAGAGAGCTGAAAAGCTATCTTGACTGTCAGTGGTCGTCCGAGCAAGGCAAAAAAAATAGGCATTGGAACTTCTGGCGTCTTCCTCACCAACACTCCTGCGCTTAGACTCAGCGAGGCAGACAGAAATACATTGCTATCTGAGATTTTGAAGTTCTTCAACCCAAAGCAGTTCCTCGCAATGACATCCACACAGATAATGCTCGACCCAAGCACGCAAGCTAGAAAACATTAGCAGCTCTAGAGATTATCCCGTCGGAAAGATTAAAATTCGAGCGAATAACACCCACCAATGCCACTGACACAGCTCATCACCCACCCCCGGGTATCATTATCCAGGCCCATTTTGCTGGAGGTGTGTAGGATATATTTTGAAGCTACAGACTCCGCGGTACGACCTTCGCTATATTCGGGCGGAGAACCAAGTACGTCATGGGCTGAAACAATGAAAAGGGAGGAATGCAGGCCATAAAGGGACGTAGTAGAGAGGGGGGGAAAGTAATATAGACAGCGAGGGAGGAATTCCCCGTCAGTCGCAGAAGCGGCTCTGTTCAGTAACTTTTTGTTTGCACAGAGTATGTCAGGACGTTCTGGGCCTTGGTTCGCACGCATTAGTAATCCACGGCCGTCATAGGCTGGGATTGTAGACCAGCCTTAACTAAGCAATGCGTCATCGATGGTCTTTGCCGTTGGAGACCCCGGATTCCTATTGCGGACTAGCGCAGGGCACCTATATACAGATGCCATCGGCTGTTGCATGCTCACACAACCAACCACCTCGACGTCTAACAGGTCTTGCAAGGCAACGAAGTGACACTTTTGAAGCAGCACACAGATTGAAGTGGTCGATTCGAAATAATGGCCTCTCAGGACTCACCAGGTTTTGAGGCTTTCCCAATCCCTCCCTCTGGCTTGAGCTTTCGAAGCCGAATTTCTTTCTGCCATCCAGGCTACGAGGAACCAATGAATACGTTGTTATTTTTATTTCTCCCACGCGTTGATCCTGTACCGCCAGGAGCAGCAGTAGCAGCCTCCGGCACCCCCACCTTTGGTGTACATCATTGAACTGCCCTTGTTACATGCCAGGTCATCGCTAACAATGCCTTCGACACTGGATATTTCACCCAGGACAAAGATGGTGAATATCCCTCCTGATGGAATTCTCACAGGCGAAAAATACTATCTTATCCTTGGGGGTGTGTCCCAGTATGCTCATGTTCCCTCCCATCTTCAACTCTTCTACTTACTTCATTTTTACTATCAGGCCTATATCCCATTGTGCCTAGCTTTCTAGACTGGGAGTTCCCCCATGGTCGCATTCCAGAACCCTGGAACCAGGCTCCCGTTACAGCCTCTTCTACCACATCTGGTTGTGCTGTTACCAATTTTTCACTCTGCACTAAGCAAGCCCACATTGTTCCAAGGGAAGAGGAAACCTGGTATGCAAGGAATGGAATGGACATATATGGGCTCAATCTTGGTGATATTCACGAGACAACCAATGTCCTTCCCCTCAGATCTGATATCCACAGGTGCTTTGACAACCGATGGTTTGTCATAGTCCCAAAAACTGCTGGCACTGAAGTATCTACTCCAGCGACACTCCATTCTCCTCAATTTGTCACGCATATCTTGTCAACTGAAATGGCTCAATACTGGCCTACGTACCATAACACCCTTGTCCAGCACCTCCAGGTTGACTGCCGTCCATATCTATTTGCTCGATTTGCCTGGGCTGTACTCCTTCATGTCAAACCATTTATCAACAGTGGTATCCCACGTCACATCATTCGACTGCAAATGACATCCAATGAGGGACAATATGTGTTGAAACGCAAGGCGGAGTTACTGACTGGTGCAGTGCTTAAGAAAAGCTATGGGGGTATAGAGTCCGGTGTTAGCAACGATGCCAGTGTGGATGGAGGCTTCTGGGAGGACACGATGTGTGAATGAAACGTCAGAGGAACCAGGAGGCAAAAACAGGTATCCTCCGAAGCAGATCCAGATATGATGCCCCTGGATAATGAAAAGACCGTCATCGACATGAATGAGACACCTGTAAAAAGCAGTCCCTTGCCGCACTGGACAGTTTCCAAGGAGGAATAGCCAAAAACCGCCGGATACCATTTCAAAGCATACCAGAGCGGAGCAGACGAATGATTTTTTCCGGTTTGAACCAAGGGCCAAATTCACATGAATATTTCTAGTGTCTAATTAAAGGCCTAATTAAGGCCACGAGTCTCCCCAAATCATCAACTTTGACGGGTCCCACATCTCCATGTAGGTTCGGCAGGAACGATGTATTCCTTAATTAGCATTGTTTTGTGGCAGCCAGGCAACTTGCGGGACGAAGATAAATCGATTAGAGGTCGCAAGCGTCAGTGACACCTCATGATTGCTTATTGTCGCCGACATATATTCCCGCATTGTGCAATGAATGGCTTTTCGCCTTTCAAATATACGAGCCTCCCGCCTATAACACATAGCCTAGGCTGATGTTTTGTGGGTGGTGGATGTATGTACGTATGCATTTGTTTAGCGTCCCCCGGGAGGGGGGTTGGGAATTGCAGGCTTTGCCTTCACCTCCGGAGCTTCCCGAAGGGCATGGGGACGTGCTACGCTGAAGAGATCTCTATGTACATAGTACGGGGGGAACAGAATTCAGATAGCAACTCTTGAAAAGACTCAGTCCTCAGGGCTTTGTGGGTGGTGAAAGGTGGGGGGGGGAGAGGGGGTAGAAGCATCCCTGTTGCTATCGTCACGTCAGTGAAAAATTTGCGAGGGAATGTTTAACTGAACTGACTTGATTTGTGATTCGCTTCCCTGGAAGGGAACACTGGCCTCCCTCCAGCTTTTTTATTGTATGGTTAATACTATATATAATAGGAACGAAACTTCAGCAGTGTTATTTGCAAAACAAAAGCCTGCAGTGGCCTCGAGATTGATTGCCAGTTGCTCGTGAATTGGCTCTCACGAGTTAGTTGTGTCGAACGTCAAGTTTAGTAGAATAAAACCTCCACCAAAATCCACCACCAAAATCAGCATCTATTTGAGAAGTGAGAGTTTATGGCACAAAAGTTATCATTTTCTTTTGAGTGAGAAAAGTTAAACATCTATCCATCAGGTATAAATTGGTAGTTGAATGGCTGCTAGATAGAGATAGATAATCAGAGCTCTAGTTATCATTTTATGCTCAATTGAGGCTAAGCTAATAAACAATACGACTCTTTGAAAACTGTGGAGATCTTGGAAATTGTTGCTTGATCTCCATGACCTGCTGGATGTCTGAGTATTTGTATTATGTAGCATGTTGCCTGCTGACTAGAGCCAACAAACTGTCCCTGCTGTGTAAACACGGAGAGGGCTCTTAAGAATTAATTATTCAATAAAAATAGATCAAATGCTGCTTAGGGTTAGGGTCGCAACCTGCATGGCCTGTTCTTGGTTCGATTCCATGGTCTGTTTCCAGGGATGGGATGGAAACAAAAGAAAAAGTATAATCATGAGATGGGATGAAATGAGATCCATCTCATCTCATTCTTTAAAACACAAGGGATACCGAGCAGATAGGCATCCAGCTAGCTAGCAATCTCTATTTGCATAGGGATCGATTAGGGGTGCAGGCAGGGAGACAGACAGACAGCTCTCCTCCTCCAGTATATCTTCAGGGGCGAAGTTAGGGGCAAAGTGATCGCTCTCTCCACTGCACAAGATCTTTACTAGCTAACTTGAGATCAGTTATATTATGTAAAGCAACTAGTATTCAAATAGCCGGCATGTACTTGCATAGACTCATGATATATAGTTAACAAACATGAATGCAATGAGATGTAAAATATCGACCTCAACTAGCCCGTCTTTTGCTTGTTTTTACTTTTGCTTGGCAAACGGCGACTAGCGCGGTTGGCTTGGAGTTGAACGCATCTTCCAAGCCATCGATGCTTGCTCATCCTGGCTCGCTGTGCCAATGCTTTCGTCCCCCCGTCTTGCCGCTCATTTGATATCCTCACCAGGGCAGTTGGGATAAAAAAAGGGTACAAATCGCAATCATGTCCAAAGCTACCGTTGCTATGATAGCAGCTGCCAGCGCTGCGACTGGCGCTGCTCTCACTGCGTTTATGTACTCCTCTAAGAACCGCCAACAGCAGCTAGGTTCACGTCTTCCACCACCAGCTACAACAACCCCCCATCCCAAATCCCCCGTCCTCCAACCGTCCCTTTCTCCAAAATCCCCAGTCGACCCCGCCGGCCTGTTCCAATATGGCTTCCCCGGCCCAGTGGCAGACATAGTTACCAGCCTCCCACTCACAAGCGCATTCGACCGAAGAACCCGCAACCCCTTCTGGGTAGCCGAGCACATCACCCCCGAGTCCCTCGCGCAGAGCAATGGCGATCGCCGCAGAAGCAACTTCTTCGAAGAGCAGACCATCCCGCAAGCCTTCCGCGCCCGGCTGAGCGATTACTTCCGCTCCGGCTACGACCGCGGCCACCAGGTGCCCGCCGCAGACGCCAGGTGGAGCCAGGACGCGATCGATGCCACCTTCTCCCTGGCGAATATGTGCCCGCAGGTCGGCGAGGGCTTCAACCGCGATTACTGGGCCCATTTCGAGAATTTCTGCCGGCGCCTGACGCAGAAGTATCCCTCCGTGAGAATCATAACGGGACCCCTGTACCTGCCCAAGCGCGATCCGGCCGACGGGAAGTGGAAGGTTACGTATGAGGTTATAGGGAATCCGGCGTCGGTCGCGGTGCCTACGCACTTTTACAAAGTTATCTTTGCGGAGGATGGGACCCCGGGGGGGAACGTCAGCTTGGGTGCCTTCGTGTTACCCAATGCGCGCATTCCGAACGAAAAGAGCCTGTCTGAGTTCGAGGTCCCTTTGGAGGTCGTGGAGAGGGCGAGTGGGTTGGAATTCGCGTCACTGCTTCCGGCAGATCGGAGGAAGAAACTCTGCAAGGAGGTTAAGTGTGAGATCATTGTTAGGCAATTCGCGGAAAGCAGTAATAATACGGCGATCCGCTCTCCTTGATGAATAATAACCCATTATATAATATCTGTGTCCGTTTCCCGGCTTTTTCATTTTCAAAGGGTAAGTGTACGATGAGACGGGATTTAAATGGAGCGTTGCGTTATTTTTTATTTTTTATTTTTTATTTTTATTTTTTTTTGCTTTTACAAGATTTCGTGGCTTCTTTTATTCAATGTTCGGGGTTATAAATTTCTTTGCGGTTTCGAGCCATGTATACACGGTATATGGAACAATCATAAACATCTTTTTCTATGTATCCGGCCAGCTAAGACGCGAAGATACCTGTGATATGTATTGGGAAACAGCCTTGAATAAAAAAGAAGAAAGTAGAGGAATCCCTCTAGATATTAGCACTGGAAGGCTGTGCCAGCCTTCTTGGCTATATTTTCACCTCCACCAGCGAAACCAGTCCCTTCGCTATTAATTGTGACCAGACCAGGACGGATTTTGTCCTTGTCTTTATCCTTCTTTCCTTCCTTTGGCTCCGTCTTCGGCTTCCGCTCTGTGACGTCTGTCTCGCAAACATAGCAAAGCACCTTGCCATGCATTTCCCCATCCTCCGCGTCAGTCGCATGCGGATCAGGGTTTCGATGTGGCGTCATGAATTTGTCCACGCATGGTTTACAGATTACATGTCCACATGGTTTTGTTACTTTTATTTTTTGTTGTCATTTTTACTTCCGATTAGTGGGGGGTTCGATACGATATAAATGCATGATGTGTAGGAGGATTGTTGTAGTTCCGAGAATGTTGGTGCGGGGGGAGAAAAAGAAAAAACGTACATATAGCTTTCACGGCATTGCTCAGGCCCTTTTTGCAACTTGGGCATATCCGTATCGTTTCATTGGATTGCTCATCTTTATCCTCAGTGAAGTTGACAGTAACAAGGTTCTTTAATGAGTAATTGTGCTTGTTTTCAGGAGTGGAGGCGGGGCATAAGGGTGCCAGCTTGACCAGCTTGCTGGATAGGTCGTTCGAGGTGGACGGGGTGAGCGAAGGAACCCAGAAAGAGGGAAGCTGAGATTTCGACGATTCACTCTTGACGAATTCGAAAAAAAAATAAAAATGGAATGGCCCGTTAGCAATAACCGTGGAAACAAAAAATAAATAACCCCCCCCCGCATGTTTTCAAGAGCAGGGCTGGGAAATTTCTCACCCGCTCCCTCTCAATTTCCTTCCGAATCTTCTCCCTCTCCTCCTGCGCAATATTCCGCATAGTCTTTTCATCCAACTCAAATCCCTTCCGCCTCTTCCTCGCCGCCTCCCCATTGGGGCTCCCATCCTCCCCGCCCCTGTCTCTATCTATATCTAGTTTCCGCTTCCTCTCCTCCAGACCCATGCTAACCAATTCGAATTCTCTTAATTCCCGCTCGCGTGCTTCTTCCGCCAACCGGCCCTCTCCTTCCTCTCTATCCCGCTCCGCGAGCTGCCGCTCCTTTTCTAACCGCTTGATCTCTTTGCGTTGGGCGAGGAGGTCGTTCACGGCGCATTCACGACAGAATAAATCTCCGTTCGTGGCGCAGGCGACGACGGGGCTCCGGGCGGGGAGAAGACATAGTCGACATGATGAGAACGGGAGGAATGATTCTCGGGAAAGACGGGTGCGCTGGGTTCCCCAGGTGGTGCGAAGGAGGGAGCGTTCGTAGGCGGTGAAGTGTGGGAGGGAGGTGTTGCGCTTGGAGTGCGCCATGGTTGGGGGAGAAAGGGATTTCGCTGGCTAAAGGGCTCTACAATTGGTAGAGAGTAGGCTCGTGATTTAGAGAGCTGAGAGGGAAATCATTGTGATCGATCGAAAAAGCTAGGTGCTAGTAGTTAATAGCGCCCGAAAAATATATCAATACAGGCGGAGGGTTAAACAGAACAACATGTTTTTGCGGAGCTCAAGGAATGACTAAGCTGCAACTCACTCGACATTCAACAAACTTGATCGCAAGATACTCGCTGATACTGGGCATTCTGGCATACTTTGAAGATAAATATTTTGATCTCTTATAAATAGTGTAGGTACCCTCACTTCCCTCCTTGCAATTTACATGTACTATACGTGTACTGTACCAAGCTCTCTTCTTCAAGTTTAGACGTAAAGTTGATGAGCTACGCAAGCATTTGAACACCTTTGGATTTCTTCAGATTATAAGGCAGCTTGATGAATTATCGAGAATACCCGGACAATACCGTATTTGCAATGCGCTTTTGAGCTCATTTCTACATGGCTTCAAATTTCATCGCATTCGGTTACATGTCGCGTACGCCGTAGATTTCGAACTTCTAACCAGTCTGAGCTGTGCCAACACCTTGCGACCCACCAGATAGATCATCCGTTGCTTGAAGGTCAGAGGTTTCTTTATCGAAATCCATAAATACTGGGTCCTCGAAAATACTCGCCTCTCTTTTTTTGCTCTGGCTGTTATGCTATATTGCTCGTGATGAGATACGATGGGTTTTCCTAAAAGAGATTGTGTAGACAACCTTCATTCTATATAAAATGAATCGAATGAGGAATGTCAGCCACATGTGATATGATATCTTGCGGATCGGAGGGTCTCACTGAGTAGCTCGGATACTAACGTAAGTATAAAATTGTTCAAAAATTTGTAGATTGGCTTCTGACATCCAACCTTCCAAGACTTCCAATTTAAGTCATAGAGTAGGAGCCCTCAGGCTCAGAGCGACGGGAGACTTCAAAGATGGACACTCTGCGCCCACCAAGGCTATATCTGGCCATTCTCCTCCATGATGAATATGAATACTTTTGTTGAGGGTGTCCCGTGCGCTACATGCACAGACACCGTCGTATCATTCAGCCTTGCTGTAGTCATATTTAATGTCTTTTTTTCTTTGAAATTCTGAATTGCTCCTCGATATCCCAGTGTTGTTTTAACTGAATACGGCATCTCGACTATATCCATAGTCAAGCTCAAGGATAATGCTAGCAGCTCGCAAAGTTGCAAGGGTATCCTGGCCCGATCACGGTGCAGGTGTGAACAGTTTGTTTTCGTTCATTCGTGCGCAACATGAAGATCCCCGAGGCGAAGCACGTCTACACAGCAACTCACAGGCACGGGAACCATGTCCCTCCCGTATGAAGTGTTGAACAAATCAGGTCCCAAAAGTATAGATACCGTGGTCAGTTCAATGTGTCCCTGGTAAACCAAGCGTCACAGGGGAGCTGAGGCTTAGAAAATCGCTGGGCTTTTATTCCCCGAATACGGGCCCAGCGCTGTGTGCATGAAGGACTAGCAAATGAAATTGCGAAGTTTCTGCGGGCGCGCGATCGAACTCTGACAAAAATAGATCCAACCCAGTCCAAGCTTTGTCTGTGCTTGTTTGATCGCCGTTTCCCCATGCTTTGCGATCGCGGGAGCTTAGCAGTATGTTTCGAAACACGAAGGATATCAGCTCTGATGATGTGCTCTTGTGTTGAATTAACCTCCTCTGAGCTGCGAAGGCCCTCGCATGGGCACCCCTCCATGCAATGAACACGAGTCTAAGGGAGCAATCCAAACTCGGAGGCACCCTATTGGGATACTTATGCGATAAAATAGTCTGTTTCATACGAGTAGGGATACCTTGAAGAAAGTGATTCCATGTCGTGCAGTGGCGATCATTCAAGCGATGAAGTCATACGACATTTTCGCCCTCTCTATCCAAAAGCAGCGGGAGAAACATTACATCCAAATTGAAGAAGGAACTTTGTTCTTTCTTCTCTCTATCTCTTGATTGTATATTGTTACTGTTAAGCACGGCAATGGACATCGCGCCTTGAAGCCAACCAATAATTCTTAATCCTGCAGCCCAGGGTTGTTGAATATTGCGAAGCAACCGGTAGGAAAATATCTATTACACCCTGGTCGCTCAACATCATCGTATATGATTTGGTGGCTATGGCGAAACCACCCTCACGACACATTGAACTTTCTAATGACCAGTGCTCATCTCGAGTTTCAGCTACATCCCGTCTCGTTTGATTTGAACCGATCATGTATGTTGGTGAGGGTGTGTCTGGTCTCAGGAACACGCGCGACGCAGCCTGTTGAAAAAGTCAACGGCATCGTACTGCGGACAAGGGATATATTCGTATTTCAGATGTTGACGAGAATGTCAAGGACATTGCAGCTCGTATGACAAACTCTCGACCACTTCTGTGATATTTTTGGGTTCAGAAGAAAAGCATATAAACCTGCTGAAATCCCCCTTCGATCAGTTTTGTTTTCTCCATCATCAACAGCAACATCAGCAGCAAAAGGCAAAGCAAAAGCAACCAAACGAACAAGCTCTCCAAATCTTCTACAATCCCCCTTGTTGAAAACCTTTATTTTTCCAATCTTCCTAACCCAGAACCCAAAACCCCCAGCCAAAATGCGCGTTTCCGCAATCTTCGCTATCATCTCTGCATTGAGCATGACTGCTCTGGCTCTTCCTGCACCTGTCCCTGAGGACCTCGACATTGCTGAGGTAAATGCCGGCCTCGCGGCTCGGGATGCGCCAGCGGAAGCTATCCCCGATGATTTCGCTGGTGACCTTGCTGGTCTGGATGACGACGACGATGTTGATGGGTTCAATGAGAATCCCGCTGGTGCATTTCAAAAGAGAGGCTGGAGCTGCGGCTTCTTTGGTGGAAATGACGAGCCATGCCACCAGTGAGTTTACCCCCTTTCTTTTCCACTGCGTTCGTTTAAAGCAAGATAACGGGGCTAACCCATGGGCTTATCAGGCATTGCAAGAGCATCAGGGGCTACAGAGGTGGTTACTGCAAGTTCGGAGGTATCTGCAAGTGCTACTGAAGTATGTGATGTACAGTATATGCACATGTTCAAAAACATTCCTGCATTTTCCTGCAATGAGGCAAAAGTAAATACTAATAAGTTTCTATAGCTGGTTTCGATGCCACTAGCGGGTTCATGATGAACGAAGCAGAGAGAAAAAAATATGGCAGGTTTCTGGAAGGAAAAAAACGGACGTGATCTGCTGCTTCGGATAGATTTTTCTTCTTTTTCCCTTCTCTTCTTTCTCTCTCCCCACGATCATCTGCTTTCCTATCATTTCATCATGTTCCGCATAACTTTGACATGCATATTGAAAAATTGCATTGCATCGCAATAATTTCCTTTTGCTGTTTCTTGATTCTAGTTCCCTTTTCTTTTATGTACGCCTGTCTCTTCAACATCATTTGTTCTTGCTTCGGTCTCTCGCTGAAAGCCGCCACTTTGATCAGATTGTACTTCTCAGTCGTTAAATGTTTCCTATGGCATTCTGTCCAGCTCAGTTGGGGCGGACCAGACTCGAATTATGTCGCAAAAAAGCTTTTTCGTGGCAAGCGTCCCCGGCTGTAGCTCGACAGACATTTATACTTGTTCCAATGAAATTTGCATCTTCCCCTGCCTGGTTCCTCCAACTAGCTCCTTTCCTAAACCAAATAGTAGTCTTCATCATCTGGCATCACAAACGACAGCGGTCCCATAATAATTCAGCCGCCAGCTACAGCCGAGATATTTGGAATGGCCTGTGATATGTAAAATTAGACGCTGCACGGAATAACTCAAAGCGTGTCGGAGTGATGGCACGAAGTCAGGTTCCGAGTAGGGCTTAAGGTAGCCGATCGGCATGCCGATAATTAGACGCGGGGTCAAAAGTTTCTTTATTTTGTGGCTGAAATGATTGGATGTCAATGTGTGCAATAATCTCGTTTGAATCTCAATGATTTTATTGGTGTAGAGAAGATTGATACAAATATTGAAAAATCTCCACTTTTTTTAATGTAGAGACTTAATTTCAACGCTCGTCTACAATTGGCTTAGATAACCTCTATTCTTACTTTTGAATTATTTACTTCCCTACCTACTAATCAACTTATTTTCTTAATGTCTAATCAATCTCTATGAGAATAAACATCTTATTTAACTATTAATGCTAGGTTACTAGCGATGATAACTTATTAATGATATATACTAATGATATCTATGAGGATATCTACGATGATATCTATAATGATATCTACAATGATATCTGTGGTGGTATTGTTTAATAGCAATATAATGAATAACATGACTTCGCACTTCTGCTCTGTCTTGCCTCAGCTGTATGTTTCATGAAGTTCCTGCTATAGACGGTGTTGTGCCTGAGCTTTCCAACCCTTTGGAGGAACTAAAGATGCCTTCATCCCCCGGGATTTAGAGGTTCGTTTGCCCACCCCCAGAAGGGGGGCGATAGGGGCAGGCTGCCCTAGTAGTTGATCTCTTCAGGCCCAGGGGCTCTGTAGCAGCGAGAGGTCCCAAATTGAAAAATCTCCAAAAATATGCTGATCCGAACGAGATGGGGCGGGGAAGTGGCGGTAAATGTGACTCAGTCTTGCACAGCCCTGGCCCTGGAAAAATGACAAAGGTAACTGCACTGAGGCCCAGTTATTTACCACTCGAGTCCGAGATACTCCAGGACCGTAACCAGCCCCGTCGCGCGAGAACAAGTGCGGGGAGCTTAGCGCCTCCTGAGCCCCAAAGATGATTGGTATGGGTATTTGGGAAGCAGTAGGGGTGTCTCCACAGCTCTAACGAGTATCATTCCGGCCCGTCCCGTTCGTAAATGGTCTAGAGGAGCGTAGACCCACGCGCGTGTGACTTTGGTCTCTTTATGTTACGCGCTCTGATTTGATCACACACCAAAGCAAATAAGCCTGGGGCTGTCGAATTTATCCGCAGTCGGCCTGTTGACCTGAAGAAATTCTTTCAACCAACAGTCGCACGTGGTAAAGCCGTTTGGCTGAAATCTCCCGCCGACTTGCTTCGTTATGGAGTTCACTGGAATTACGAATGGGTTGTAACCAAGGAAGACGGAAAGAATATCTCAAGTATCAACCCCAACCCAACGCGGGTAAAATCCCTTCTTCGATCAAACAGTGGCGTGATAAAAACGGCGGCACGTACGTCGTAATAGGCGTGATGTACATTCCAAATGATGTAACGCCCGTTACAACAAGCATTCGGTTCAAACGTAACTGTAAATGTCAATTGTTTGTCTTTGATCAGGAGGAATAGTTGTATGCTATTTGCTTCGCGGATTATGGTAGGTATCTCTAATGAAATTCCTCCCTGTCTTGAAATGGCCAACCTTGGATAATCTTCTCCTTCTCATTTGGATCGGCATCATTAAAGAACTTCGATTTGAGCGTCTCGTTCTGTTTCACGGCGTGGTCATACATTTCTGTTCGTACCCAGCCTTCCTCACTCAGACCACCGAGCTCGTCACGCCAGTAGTTGACAAGGGCTGTCGCGTCGAACCATGTTGGCTCCTCTTCGAAGTGTTTCTTCAATTCTGCCTCAGGAAAATCTATGGGACACTTTTCGATTTTGGTTGGTAAAAGGGACCAGTATTCATGTATCCGAATAAGGGCTCCCCGCAAGGTCATAAGGTTGCCATTCCACTGCCGGCCGGCGTATTCAACAAGATGCTGACGGGGAAGAAGTAGGGGGTCATAAAAGGCGGACAAGTGCAGCTTGTTTTTCGCACCATTAAAGACGCGGTAAAAGTAGAAAAGACGTTGACGTCGGAGTAGCTCATCAACCCGGCTCTTTATTTCAGAATCCAAGGAGTCATACCCTTCTGGTGGTTTAGGTGCTTCAAGCGTCTCTGGTGGCTCCGCGTCGGGATTCTCGAATAACTTAGGATGTCCAGCGGCCAGTAACAACGGTGTGATAACAGTGTGCTGCCAATCAATAATTTTGGTGATTTCGAAGGTTTCAGGACGTACAAACACGTTGCTAGGTGTGAGATCTGGGTTATCATTAGCCTGCACCAGTGACTTCCAAAGAGAAGTGAAGCGGAAAGGGGAGAGGGGATTAGAGAAGAGAGGAAGAAAAAAGGTACCTGGGTGGCGAATAGTAGGTTTATTATTTGGATCCTGAGGGTCTCTGGGAAGAATATACGGACATATTGTCAAATATTTTTGCAGAAGATCCGAATAGTCCTTCGGGCACTCTACACCAGGAAGAAGCGCGTTATGAGGGTATTCTTTCACAAGAGGCTTTCCGAATTTTTGAGTCCATTCCAGTTCACGCTTGCCAATCGCTTGAAGATACTCATGCGGCTCATTCCCTGTTGAGCTTGTCAGTAGTCAACATAGTGCAATAAGGACAATATGCAATGGCGAATGCCTACAGGGGCCATGATCCACACCCTCTAACTGGGCACGTCGGCCATACCAAAACATGTAATCTACAATGGGTCCAATGCAGAAAGTATCCGAGTCACCATCGGGGTCCGGAGTTCCAGGAGCATACAGGTTGGCCTGCACTTCTAGCGGAATGTCCTTTTTGAAGTACAGGCTTCCAATAGAACCAAATGGGATGCTGAATAACTTCTTCTCGATTCCGACAATCCCAAGAGCTATATCGCGTTGTTGCTCCTTTGTCATGTCAAACCATTTTGTATCCAGCCCCATGTCGATCACGAATTCCATGACGATGTATTCAACCCCAACAGCATTGTCGGGTGTGGACGACCATCCATATACATCAGGCACAGGGATGCCTTTCTGTCGAAGAAATGCAAGGGTTGCCACCTCGCTCGCTGTAGCGTACTTTTTTGGTACCAAGAAGTTGTATGGAATCTTGACTACCGTTTTGAAGCCGTCCTCTAGTGTAAGAAGAAAAACCCGGTTGAAACCACCCTCTGAAAGTTTCACTAAGTCGACAACTTTGCCGCGGCCAGTATGTGTGCTGACGACGTCTTTCAAAGCCGCAACATCAAACTCAACATATCTTTCTTGGAGCCGCATTTGTTCGTTGTAAAGAAACCGCCCCGAAGAGTAGGAGAAAAGCTCTCCTTTAGGTTTTCCCTCTACTAGGCGACAAATGTCAGCCGAACTCAAATAAAGACAGTTTTATTCAAGGGCCCTAACCCGTCATGATTCGACGTCCGATGGTAAAACTTCTCGATAGCGGCTTGTTGGGCGCTAGCCGGCAGGAAATAAAGGCCGACGACAGTCGTCCGAATCGAGCGCACACGGAAAAGCTGAGAGGCTGCATGAAGATAAAATACCCAGGGACGTATAAGGCCACCAACTGCGAGCGGAGGATAGTGCGGAAATTATCGGCGGTTTGTCTCAGCGTGAAGCTGTGGAGGGATAAATACGCACAACCCACCCCAAAAAAATTCTGCACATCTAAATCTCTAGTCTCTGTAGTGACCCCAATATCAGTGACATCAAGCCTCGCATATTTGCCCATACGAGCAGCTATCAGGTACAACTCAGTTTACATATAATCCATATAAATTCTTTTCATCCATGTCAGACACTTTCTTAGAGTCGATCGGGAAGGAGGACACCATATACCGTGATGAGGCTGGATTCGATGACAACTTCAAGCTCGACATCGATTTTGCGAAGATGGAGTTTGTGGAAACCCTCAAGGTCTCAGAAGCATCCTCCATATTTCATGTCAACTACTGTGGCGAGCCACGGGTCTTGAAAGTGGTATGTACCTTCATTTAGCATATGCACATTCCTTAGCCTGGTGTCATTTTTCCTGATCATCATGATGCAACGCAGTTCCACAATAATGGGGATCCTGGGTACGCCTGCAATCACATTCAAGACTTGAGCCGCTCTCGCTGCGAGATCAGAGCGTATTGCAGGCTTAAACAGTCCAAAATATGTGATTCTGGCACTGTGCCCAATTTCTATGGTTTTATGCTAGCCATCGACCCAGCCAACTGTGCTCCTTATCTTGATGCCTTTCGACATGACACAGATTTTCCATCTGCCATTTTGATTGAGTACCTGCCAAAGCCTTTGGAAATGAACTGTGTTACTTATACAGCAGAACGTATGCAGAAAGCTGTCATTGGCATTCAGAAAATTCATTCGGCTTTAGTTGAGCATAATGATCCTTACCCAAAGAATATCCTCATTGTTCCTAGTGATCAAGGTGATCAAGAGAGGGTTATATGGGTTGATTTTGATATTGCGATTGTTTATCCCAATGACACGTACATTGAAACGAGGCGAAGTGGCCGGATTGAGTTTGAAACTGAAGTTGTTGAAAGCTTCGGACGGCTACTTGTTCGTCTCCGCAGGCAACACATCTCTCCATTTTCCTGATTCAATAGAGACTGACAAGTTTTATAGGAAAAAGATCAAAAACAGGGTCTGCCTCCAAACACGAAATACTACTAGGAACGACTCTTTAGCCTCCGCACGGACACACACACCACACACACATACTCACTCACTCACTCACTCACTCACTCACAAAAGACTGCATTATGGAAGCCGCCAGTCATCATCCGCCGCGCTTAACATCCCAAGATACCAAAGTCCCAGCAAAATAGTCAAACGCCCAGGCCCTTCTGCTTCCCATGGTATAGCCTGTGCAACCAGTAGGTTGCCATTCCCATCAAGCCTTTTAATTGGTATCAATTCAGTGTCTGACAAGACAAAACCATGCCGTGCATGATGCTGTCCCATGTAATAATTTACCTGAGACAGAACTTGCAAATACTCTCTGCGATCTCCTGGTACTAAAGATGTCCTGTACCCAGATTCCCACTTCCATGATACTTTTAGATCACCAGGACAGCGATTTGGTGAGGAATTCGGTGCACTGTCAGCTTGCAAAAATGCGATGTCTGGTCGGAAGTTGTTGATGATAGTTGCTGCATCACCAATATCAACTGTAATAGGAGTAAGATGCAGATTTGCAAGATTAGGTGCAAGGGACTGGAAGCCAGCTCGCAGCGCACGACGCAATCGACTCTGGATGTAGGTGTTAAAACTGTGGTTCCCCACTATGTTGCGGCTGGTGGTCGCAGTGTATAGGTGGTGGGTTGAGTGGCCACACCACCACACCCACGGGTATATATATCATGAGCGCGACTATTTAACAAATAGTTATGTTGGCTTTTTGCTATGGATAACCTAGTGATCATAATGCTATCTTATCACAAATCGGAGAGCGAACATCGGCTCCGTGTTTATCGGCTGTGGGGGGGAGTTTGGCATTGGTTCACTCGCAATTTGTGTTTGACGAAGTAAGATCCCATAGGCGATGTATGATATGAGCGTATGTGAATCCTGACCACTGACCAACACTGTTGGTATCGCCCCAATTATAGTTTGGGTTTCTTGTATTGAGTGTCTCGTTGGTATTTGGGGTGAGCAGGAGGTGCCACCATGAGGTAGTTTAAAAGAGTCTGGTTGTTGGCCATGGCTGCTGCTGAATTTTGAATGACTAAAGAAGGTACATAGTGAGGAGAACCGCGGGGCATCTTGTAAACCTAACGCCGCACTGTAAGAGAGGTTGAGCCTGGTTGGTTGTTTGTTGTCTATCTTGTAGTAGTAGCTAATATATATATGGGTGTGTTGGTCACGTGGGTAGTCAGTTGTTAGGCATAGCATGTTGATAGCAGAACTCACCAAGTTCTTGACACATGTTGTGTTGCTCTCGTTTAGCTAGTTAACAATGACAGAACAACGTTATCCTCCTACAATAGTTTTCCTTCCCCCTTTCCCTTAGCATAGGTATCCCATATAAAATACCTTAGAAGCCCCGCCTATATCTTAGAAGAGTAAACCAACAATAAACCAATCATGTGTATCTCATACGACGTGGGAATATCGTATCTTCAACATGTTGCGGATTCAAATTCTGAGCTGTCTTTTACTGATTTCCCTTTGACCCTTTCATTCCCCCTCTCACTGCTCATCCCACTCACCACTGCTTTGCCCTTGCCCTTGCCCTTGCCCTTGGGTTTTCGGCCACCTTTATTTTTTCCCTTCTTGAGCTTCTCATCGGATCTGCATGCATGCTGGTGGCGGGACCGATCATGTTGTTTCTTCTCCAACTCCAGCTCTTTCACCAGCTGCTCAATATCTATGCTGGAATCTTGTCCATCATCACCCCCCTCAACTGTGCCATTGGCCGCATGTTCATATTCGGAAAGTTTAATATACTCCCCAAGCTCTTTTGCGTCGAGCATGAACATGATTTCTGTATCCCTCTCTCTATTTTTCCAGATGATTCCCATATCTTCTTTCGACGATAACCCCCTTGTCGTACGGCCTGCATTCACCGTCGTCATTGGATGTCTTTCCAATTCTGTAACTCTCAAGAAATCCTTTCCTTGAGTCCCTTGAATAGTGAGGAAAGCTTTCTGCGCTCTTGATAGGAACACCATCGCTCTACCTATGTCAGAATGCCAGGTACAGATGTTCGCACAATGTTCCAAGATCCGAGCGAAGCGGCTGTCAGTCATACCACTCTTGAGGTGTATGTCCAGGAGTGTGTGGGCCATCTGCAAGATACCAGCCGGCTCTGTATCTATTGCTTGCTCCATGAATATAATCGGAAGCTTTAAGAGTATGAGCTCCAAACCTGCTTCGGTTGCAGGGTCTTCCTTTTCACAGAGCCGGCAGGAACATTCGAACCCATATTCCTGCAATAGAAACTGCTGGCGGCTAGCTATATCCATGTATAGACTCTCATAGGGGATTGTAATCTCCTCCCCTTCTTCTATGCTTCTACAAGCATATACGGTCAAGAAATCTCTCTCCTTTCTGTTCCCGTTGGAAGCTGGAGCGGACAATGAGTGTTGTGCATTCGGAAGGCAGGAATGGTTGAGGTACGCAGAATCCAAACCCAGAGCACGGCCTTTGGCGGGGATGGGAATAGACCCTCGCTCGAAAATAGCAGCAATCGGGCCCCATGTTTCTTTCGAGAGATGGGGAAGCTGGAAAAATTTGCGACTGAATGCTGGATTCTTGACGGCCTTTAATTGCTGGGCAAGGTGGTTGCTGTACGCCTGTACTGAACCATCCACAGACTGAAGCGTAGTTTTAGACACCATGACTTCTTCGCAGATTATACACTCCCCTTCCTTAAAGCTCTTCTTCGCGACAAGTCCCAAACCTCTGTTCCCGCAATCCCTATTCTCATATATTGGCGCATTTTTCGGCAATGCCGCTAGATTTAACAGCATTCTGATATCAGGGTTTCTCTTTTTGCAATTTATCTGCAAAAAGGTTCCAATTGCTGTCAGCTTCTTATCCCAAAAGGTGCTCCAGTAGTTGCGTCGTCGACTGCGTCTGTCGCTCCTCCTCAGATCATGTAGGATCACTCACGTAAAGGCTCAATCGATGTTCGGAGCTATTCGTCGCGGGCGCGTTAGAAGCAAATCTTTACCACGGCTCTCCTGCACAGCCTGCGGGATAGAAACCAAGAGGGATAGATGGTATTCCCAGAAGGAAATATGAAGAGAGTATAGAATGAGGAATTTTACACGTTGTTTTGGCAAGGGAAGATGGCATATAAGTTGTCAACTGTCATTGACATCCATCACTGTGTGTGAGTGTAAACTCACCCCCCCCTTTTTTTGTCAAAGCAAACAAACTGCCATGTTTGGCATCAGATTCCATGGTGATTAGACACAGATAGAGACTACCACTTTCTGCAATGTTTGCATGGCAAGAGTTAGACACAACTTGCACATAGTTTAATAATAGTAGTTTTCCTTATTCAAGCTTCCTCTATGCTGTCTTTGTCATATGTGCGTGGTTGTCTGATCTTGACCTGTTAGTTATATGTCTAGTTGGGAAAACAAGTAGAAATAAAAGTGACAAAGACAGAAGACCCATGAAGATATAATTAAAACTAAATGTTATCAAAGAAGAACCATTGTACGCCATTGAAGCACACTACTGAACCTGAATAATTCATCTATGGATAGCTCTATATCCGCCCTGAAGCTGAAGTTCAATTTTCGATAGTAATAAGTGCATATGGATCAAATCCACTGTCAAGATTGACACAACAACAACATCACTCTCATCCACAGATAATAATGTCAAACAAGATGTATATGGAAAAATAACAAGAAGATGCATTGCCTGTAATTACCATAAACTAGGAAAACGTAGCTATTCTTCGTACCGGTACCCGCCTCATATAAGTTCAAATCCAGAACTGATTATACTTCAGGTCAACCAAGGTCGACGTTCAGATGCGGATTAGGAAGTGGTAGTAGTACATCAAACGATCGGTACTAGTGTCAGTCTCTTCGTTTGAACCACCGGGTTCCGCTAAGCCCGCTAGCAGAATGTCATGTTGGATGAATGAATAAGTCGTCATCGTAGGATGCAATACTATTGTACCCAGTTGCTTCTTCGGTTGGAGTACTAGAGGGAGTAGGCTGGCCCAAGCGGATATCAGGAATTGCAGTTTCGCCTGGGTGCTCGAAATTGCTGTAGACGAATAAATTCTCAGAGATATTGCCATTCGGTGAAATACTGGAGGAGCCGGCGGGCGATACCAGTGGATAAGCTGGGGGTTTATTGGAGGCATCTTCGGCGGTGAAGCACCCAAGTTGTAATTGTGTCAGAAATGATACTTGCTTTGCAAAGGCTTCCAGCTGAATCCGCTGTCTTTCCACGGTCGATTGTAGCATTGCAATCGCTGCCATTGGCGATGCTGCGTTGGGGTCCGGTTGAGAATCACCACCAACACAGTGAGGTTGGAGTTTCGAAGATCTCCAATTGGATGGGGACGGGTCGCATGTATTTGCTGATCCTGAAGCATCCCAATCCTGTTGAAAAAATCCATCCGCGTGAGTATTCAACCGGGGTAACATCGATCGAAATGTTGGTTCCCAATCTAGACTATATCAGTACTCTTGCCAGAAGTCTATATCTGAATACCTGAATGAATTGTGCTTGGATTGTGCATGTATATGAGGAAAACATAGTAAACCAAAAAGAGAATTAGGCTAACATGGAGATTCCGGCATATCCACCCCTGGGAACCTCTTTCGCCACAAGGCGGCCCATTTATCTTCCTGGGAGCACTGAAGCTTGACAAAACAATTTGCAGTGTGACTGGCTTGGAGGTTTTCACTCTCAAAGGTTCTAAAACAACTGCTACAAACGTGCTCATCATGAGTCCGAGAAAGATGTCTCCTACCGATTCATTAGCACGAAATTCATGATGAACGAACAGTGAAAAAAGTTCAAAGGGAAACTTTGAGAAAGCTTTCACGTACGTGAGCAGTGAAAAGAATTTGAAGCTGGTCCCGGAACACGTCAAATATTTTCGATCATGGTCTCCATGATACGTCTCTGGGTCATACTTATGATAGACACATGCGAATTGTCGTTGACCGGATCCAGGGCTTAGATGCCGGAATCGTTTCCTTTTACGGTTGTTGTCGCCGTCATCGTCTTCGTCCTGGGAGTTATTTTCGCTGTCATCGCAGTTACCGTATCCTGCCCTCCCGTGCCTATCTCCTCCATTCCCAGAGATAGAAGTCGATGAAGGGTAGGACGAATTACTTTTTATACCGCTCCCATAATTTGACCCTCCGTTTTGTCCGTTGGCATGGTTTGAGATCCCCTGAGGACTCTCATGGTTACTCTTTTCCAGATATACCGAGTCATATATTCGGCCCTTCTCGCGAAGTTGAGTTTCCGTGGAATCATCCTTCTGAGGGTCATAGGAAGGTAGGGTTTCGGTGTCACGCATCGCATTGATCTCCCACGTAAAACAATTTACCACCAACGGCAACGAATCTTTCAGCGGATGGGGATTTAGTTGATTAATTAAATCCCCGTTGTCAAGATTAGTTGCCCTGTTTAGGGATGGGGATGTACAACTATCCACATTGGATACAGGGGAGGATTGATATATTTGACATTCAGTCTCCGAACTTGGGCAGATGTCTTGCACCGCACATTCAAATCCATTCTGATTGGATTTCACCTCCCCGGAATCTGAGTACTGGGGAGGGACAGAGCCCGCAGAAAGGCTGGCTTGACACAATGACGTTGGGTTTTCTATAACGATGCTGGTGTCGGCAAGTTCGCAACGTGTGGAATCAGGCAGCTCGGAACAATAAGAATCACGACATGGTAAAGGAGAGCCGGGAGGGCTTGAGAAGGGGGGGGAGGGCGATGTCCTTGATGACCGAGACGAGATCGGCGAGGTGAACGATAGGCGAGATGAATTTCGATGGTTTGTTAGCCATTCCTTAGTCCTTGTCAATCTCCCCTTCCGAGCTTTACGATGGAATTCGTGGGGCGCCTTTGGTAACATTTCCAATGAAATACTCGTATCCTCCTGATAATATTGGCCGGCATGGTACCACTCATGGGGACCCGTAGAATACTCCGAACTGGCCACCAAGAGCCCCGTTTCATGTCTTCGAAATATCGTTTCCTGGATGGGAGCGTAGCTCTGCCATCTCTGAATGTGTACTCTCTGACCAAAAACTGGCGGTCTTCCTGATCCGTCAAATGGCTCAGCTTCTGCCTTTGGGTTCGCATCGATGAATGAGCCAGAATCCACTTCGGCCTGCATTTGTAACCAACTATCCCGCCATCTCTCCAACAATTTTGAGAGAATCAATGGGCCCTTCGCCGCCGAGACATCTTTTGCTTCCCACTACATTGGTTAATTAGCAACAGCCGCTATATCAACAACGAGAATATAACATGACGTATTGTACAAAGGTGTCGGGTCTTTGGGGCATAACTATCCACGTCTAGGGATTGAGTACTACCTTTGGCGTGCTGTTTTCATGTTCTGGCCAACTCCAAGGAGTATCTTCAGTGAGTGAAGATGTCCAACTATATTTTCCTCGGACGCAATGAATGCCACGGCTGGCGGAAATATGAGGCATGCTGGATATCTTCACGTCGGGGAATTGAAATATTTTATGTCAAACGTTGATTTTTCGAAGGAAAACCTTGAATCGTGCTTCAACCATGTCTCATTGGAATTCTCCAGCAGCAAACATTTTTGAAGTTCGAGGAGGTCCTTTTTATTCTCCTCATTTTCGTAGCCTTTTGTCAATAGTCAAGATATTTCGCAAGCGTTTTGCCTAAATGGCAAAAACATTGACCGGAAACCGTCTGCGTTGGCATAAGGATTGACCAAACAGATGATACTTCCTTATATCAGGGAGATCTTGCTGCAGGTGCTTGCTTAACCTGGAACGCCCTTACCCCTGCAAAAGGACTGACTGACTAAGCATGTTGTGGCTGAAAATGCTGAAGCCTGGCTCTGGCCTGGCTCCGCAGTCCTCTAATACCTACTGTATTGATATGTTTTAGTGTAATTTATGTAATATATTTGATCTAACTAACCAATGAAAAGAGAAGGGAACTTCCGCCAACAATATGGCTTTTCAGGTAGCCAGTATAGAACTGACAACCATGTGTGATTGGTGAGCATGTGAGTTTCATAGGAAGCTCGATACTGATTTGCTAGGTCAATCCCATTCATATAATGATTGTAGTCATTGATAATGATAGAAATCTTCATAGCTTGTTCAAATTTATCACCGCATAGATATCAGATCTGTGGGGCATTTGTGGTCCCCCACTATGCTGCGGCTGGCTAGCGGTCGCAGCGCATAAGGACCACTCCCACGGGTATCCGAGGAGGGAATTAGCAATTCGTGAGCTTGCGCGGTCAGACACGACGCTAAGGGCTTGTTCGGTAAAAAGTGGATATTTGCCTTTTGACAGTGTAAACCTTCATTATCGCTGCCTTTCCCTATGAATATTAATCTGCTTGGCATTCTGGTATTACTTTTATTACTTACAAGTGGTTTTTATTGATGGAATTGATCCCAGACCGTTTCTGAATAATTCAAAAGCTGTCTGGCTTATGAACTGTAAACAGTAGTAAAATCACATTATTATCTTTTCATGCAAGACAGAGAACTTCATTTTGAGGGATAATATACAGAGTATTAAACAATGAAGAGAATATAAGCAGATAATTTAGAGTTCTTTAGTTCTTGTAAAAGAGATGGCAGATTGATAGAATGAGTGATTCCACAAGCTCTAATTCCTTGCTTTCACGGATAGTGGAATAGAGCAACAGAGATGAAGTAGTTGTCCATATAAATTGAGTAGCCAGCTACCTCTTTACTGTTATTCAACTCTAAATGCTGCGCGGAGCTCTGTTGCTGATTGGAATGCTGCTGCCTAGAGAACTGGAAATACCTTTGAATACTGTGATTCTGCAGAATGTCGTGAGTAGAAAGGTGGATTCTTGCAGCTGAAAGATGAAGTACTGTACAGCGTACAAAGTATCCCTTCGTCTGGCCGCCAGGCACAATTAGCGCAATACAATTAGTGTATTAACTAAGTTGTTAGTTCAGAAGTACCAACCAATAATTTCTCATACTAAACTCTATGTAATCTGATTTGCTGATACAAGATCCACTATCTCAAGCAAGTCATACAGACAAATGAGCCACTTTGTACCACCATATCAAAATTTGTATGTAATGCTACTTTATAAAACAAACACTACAAACATGAGAAAGTAACATCATATACTCCATACAAATTTCAGTGTGGTGATACAAAGTGGCACTCACAGTTCACTTATCAACTATATTAATTCATTCAGATCTGAATCATCATTGAATTTCTCTGTCATTTACTCAAACTTGTATCTGAAGAGGAATAAGAATAGAGCTTCAAGAACAAGATCTGATTGTGCTGTATGTAATAATATCCCCCTCTATTATTCTATATCTTAATTAGAACTAGATCAAATAGATTATATATATTACAGAAAAACATACCAATACAGGCAATCTCTCATATAATCCAGTAGATTTTCTGGTTTTAATACACTAATGTACACGCTAAAAAACGGCGCTAATTGTGCCTGGCGGCCAGACGAAGGGATAAAAGGTGTTTAGTGTGTGTAGATTTTATTGAGGGAGTGGGCTGAGCAGCATGGTTTATTTTTCAGACAACTTTTAATAAACCAGGTGTTTCCGCTGATTCCCCCAGACGAGGATGCGTCCGCAGGCCTGCAAGATCAGCAACATGGGCTGCGAGGTGCCAGAAAAGTTGATGCAATTGTATTCTAACGTCATATTTTGATCTCAACTGATGCCTTTGAAAGATTCATCGAGATCCGCCGTCCAGCGCGAGCCAGCTTGATGGTGTAAAAGAAAGGGCGTTGCTTTCGCACAGCACTCAACTGTCCGTTTAGGTAGTCGTGTCAACTTGATTGAACTCATGAAAAACGACCTATCCATCTTATTTATTCCGGGCCTGTTTTAGGGATCCGAAAAATTTCAATTGCGGGTTTCTCGCTGGTGCCCATGTGGCAAGCAATGTTATCGGCGGTTACGAAAAGGATGTTCCGTGCCAGATGTTGTAGATTCAGAGGGCTTAGGAAGCACCAATTGCCCTGGCACCAGGCCTCACCCTCAAAGCTGCCTTAAGCAACGGGGCGTTTTGCGCTTCCGGAAGTTGCATGGATAGTTTTGTTTACTCAGGCATTAGGGAGAAAAGAGAGAAGACAATGGGTCAAACAATTTTTGCCCAGTTTCATCCAGTAATTATATGATGTTCACTTACGATTTTGTCAAGTTCGATTGATCTGCACGAAGAAAAAAAATTAAAAATAAAAAAAATAAAAATAAAAACATGTACGCCCTTCTATGTACAAGTTCATAATTCATACCTCAATCGAGTAGCTATGCCTTTGGTCTTTTTTTTTTCAATAAATTAGCCACACATTCACAGGCTAGAAAGAAGGTTAAAATGAACAACGGGTTGCGAGGGTAGGTGAAGGGTTTCATGAGAGAGGAAGTGTAAATCCGGGAGGAACAAAAACCGCCTGAAAAAAAAATAAAATAAAATAAAAAGAGGAAGAAAAATCACACATGTAAAAGAAGCTGTAATCTGTATTGCTTATTTCCTTACCATTTAACCGATTACTTTCCGGCTTAACATAGACACAAGACGTTAAAGAAGAAAAACAAAATTTTTATAATCAGACCAAGCCAGACCGGGGAAAACAAGGAAAAGAAAAAAAAAGAAGCAAAAATCTTATTACACGGGAACGAAAGATGAATAGACAGAAACCGAAGCTAAAATGAAACGAAAAGGGTGGATAGACCCTCAACACGCGGCCTCACTGAGGCAGACCGACAGAAGAAAACACGCCTGGCTTTATCTCAAAAGCAAATGGAATGTCGCTGGACCAAATCGATATCAAGACGTTCAATGCCAAGTATGAGAGAGCCCCTTAATCATAATAGTCGTCGAACAGCGAAAGAAGAGGAAGAACGGATGTCTAAAATGGAAGGGAGGAGATAGTGGGCGGAAGATGGAGAATTAAAGGTAGAGTCGGCGTCAAATATATATGTTTGTATGAATGTAACTATCATGATCAATCATCTCGTAATCAAGTCTAAGTATTAAGACAAAGTGTTAAAATGGTTTCAAGCAGGATATAGAATGATAATGGAAGTATGGGAGGGAAAATGATGAAAGTGCAACATTTGACAACGGGGTATAGAAGGGTGAACAGAGAGCAGAGGTGTAGAATAGAGAGAGCAAAGTGGGTGTAAACGTCGCGGGGTGGAAGCGTAGCGAAGAGGAGAAAGACAACATTTTATGCGCTAACAATTTGCTCAGGAGTGATGTAATTAAGCTTCTCCTGCGACATGTTATGCCGGGCCGAGCTGTCATTTTGTTTGGGAGAATGAGACGGAGAGCTCCGCTCTGCAGGGCTAGGTTGGCTGTTTGAGCCTAGTGAGGAATTCTTTGTTGAATCTTTAGCATCCTGATCCTGATCCTGGGTTTGATCCTGACTGGATGGAAAGATTTGAGATGCCAGAGTTTGCTGGCCAAGGCTGGGTTGGGCGGTATCGGTTGCTTCCTCGACAACAAAATTGATCGCAATAGGATTGGTTGCGGTAAAAGCCGATCCATCCTCTTCACTTAGGGAGGTGGCCCCTTTGGGGGTTTCAGAAGCGACTCCATGTGATGTGTTTTGATTATTTAAGCTCTTACCAGTCGCTGTGCTGACCGATCGGAGAGAATTTGCCTGCTTGTTATACGCGGGGTCCGAGATGAGGGACTCGGCACCATCGCCGATATTCAGCATTTCAGAAACCCTGGAATCCTCATTTTGTACTGGCTTTCGCAGCTTTAATCGCTGCTCATGAGACATGTTCTGCCATTCCGACCCAAAATTGACAACAGATGCCTTTTTACCATGCAGAGTGAAGCTGCCAGTTCCCCGGCTAAGGCGTTGATTTTCAGCAATGGAGGAACAATTGTCAATCTCTGAAATGGTGGTGGCTGAGTCCTTTCCCTTTTTACTCCGATGGTGATGAGTAATGTTATGGGGTTCCCGAAGACTACGGTGTAAACTTCGACGGCTCTTGCCAGGGTGCTCAGTGGAAACAGGCTCTTCTTGTAGCTTGTCCTTATCGCTATCATCCAAAACTTCGTTAGTTTTTTGAACATTGGGTGAATGGTTGTTAGTAAGGATTCTAGCTTCCCGCAGGAAATGCTCCTCAGCATCATCCAGGACACTGGGTACAGGGGTTGAACGGCCAGATGAGTTAATTGCATAGTTTGAATCGTCGGCTCTGCTGCTATGGATGGAGTTATTGAAGGACGGTTGACGTAGTGAGTTAATGATGGGATCCGTAGATAAAGAAGGTAAGAAGTCCTCTTTCGAGCTCAAAGCTATATGTCCCTTTTGAATGGGACTGGCTTCGGAAGTGGCGATTGATTTCTGGGCACTGGGGCTCCTTTGCTGTGAAGAAATGTTTTGCCGATCCGCACCATAATCCAGAGATACTGGCGTGACAGGTCGAGCAGGTCCAAACGACCGATCACTCCTGGGGGATGTGGGACCGTGACCGGAGATCGAGTCCCCTTTCTCTCGAGTGTGTTGGCTGGAAGGTAGCTGTGAGGAAGAGTATAGAGGATCAAGGCTATGCTTCTCCAGGCATCGACGTTCTTCGACTGACAAGTCAAGTGAAAGCATTTCTCGGTGACACCTTATTCGCGCGATTCCTAACCTAGCCCACTTGATTTTCGCTGATATTCTCCCAGCAGCTAAGATAACTTGATCTCTCGCTTTAGGGTGAATTGGCGTCAGAACTTGGAGGTGGCGCGCATTTCTTAGCAAATCATCAAGATCCTTTTGGGCATCAAACAATTTATCGCCAGCCTCTTTGATTTTGTGCGACATCATTTCCCGACGTGCCACTGAAACTTCTTCGATTAATCCAGGGTCGATTCCACGACTGATCACTGCTGGTTGAGGAGGCAGGGAATTTGAAGTTTCCGAAGATATAGAATCTGCACGAGTTGGCATTCTCTGATCATAACTAGCCCCAATCATTCCTCGCATTCTGACTCCTGTTGTTCGAAAAGTTGCTGCGTAGTTGAGCATCGCAAGCCAATCCAACCTATCAGCCTCATTATTGGCGAGAAATACTTCTTCGAAACCGCCATGGCGGACAAGGAGAAACGCATGTTTATGTTTCTTGTAGCTAGAATCCAATAAGGCGACGGCATCGTGAGTTGACAGAATGGCGTCAGGTTTGAAATCTGTGATGGGAGGTTTGAAGGTAACAGCACGACGTCGACCATATTTGTCACACGATTCGCATTGAACCATCAAAGATTTCACCCACTGGACATCGCGGAAAAAATAAAGCTGCGAACCTGTGAGGAGAGCTCCCCATTCCTGCCAAGGGGATCTAGTTTTCTTTTTCTTGGGATCCTTTCGCGACAGGAGACCGACTTTAGCAACCCTAATATCCACAAGGCCAGGATGTGACTCCAAAGGATTTGCAATACTACTTGTGTTTAAAAAGGCATCAGGTCGGGATCTGGCAGACACTAACTGCAACACAAAAGAGTTATGGAATATGTGGTGCAGAGCTTCCATATCGGGAGTTTGGCCAGGGGCAAATGAGCTGTACGGGTCTTCCATTTCCATGACTTGTTTTAGGTTTGGTCGGAGCGAACCTAGTTTGCCTTCTAATATCAAAGCATACGGATCAATCAGGTCGCGGGAGAAGCTCGGCAGGTTATCAGCGCTTGCAACTTTGAGCAAAGGTTTGCGTGTTTTCGGGGCCATGAGCCTGCCTAGGTTTAGTTCGTCTTCGACGTGGATGAATGGGGTGTATATTATGTTTTCATAGAAGCATTCGAGTATTTCTGCAGATATCCCTTCTCCTTGCGTGTTCCGAACATAGTCTGCCTTCTGCATTTTCCTTTTATTATTTTTATTGAAGACATCCGTATGTAAGATCAACAGGGAAAATCCGATGAAGTAGGCTTGTTCTATAATTTAGTTAGCGCACGACCTTCAACGAAGACTGTAACCACAAATGTATCCGTACCTGCGGAAGTAAAAATGCCTGGATTGCACTCGTGATAACGATCAGCAAAGCTTTGGAGGACCCGATCAATTTGCTGCGTCTCCTTCGGCAGCTCGGCTTCCATAAGAAGTTTCCGGATTGCCATATCAATAGGGTCGCCGAAAAATGAAAATCCACGCATATACTTTCTTAAAGCTGTCGCGTAAAACTCCTCTGCAGATAGTGACAGGATACTGGCAATCGCCCCACGACGAACAGACCCTTCCAACCGAGAAAGGTAAGTGGCTGGGGTATCATCTTCTTCCCTAGCCGGGAACGACACCAAATCCCGTCCTAATGCAACGGAATTGGATTTTGAAGCAATTGATGCAGGGGTACCCGGTGCTCCAAAACTTGGAGAAGCATCACCCGTTCCGTTTAGATCATGATTATGTTTAAAACGAGCCGGAATAGCGAAAAGGTCACTAAAGCTCTTCCGTGCAGATGGATTCGTTGTTGAAGTTCGGTTGGAAGGAACAAGATCGGGCGATGAGTGATGTTGACCATCTTGAATATCGGAAAGAGAGCCTATCGTTGATGACCTTTGTCTGCGTGAAATGCGACCTCGTGTGTTGGGAAAGATGGATGATTTAGCAGAGTGCGCAGACGCGATCGAGTCTTTTCGGAGCAAGGCCGGTCCGGGAGATGAAGTGCCAGGCGTTCCAAAACCCAATGAAGATTGGGATGGAGAAGGAAGTGATGGAAGCGATGGAGCATGCTCATGAGTGTGATCAGTAGAACTGCGAGATTTATTCCCGCCGGTTTGGGGCCGATTGGATTCGGACAACTTCGAGGCTTGCCCTGGAGGCGATATTTTAGCAGGTAATGGGAAGAGTGGACCTTTGCTGCGCTTCAGTCGCGGTAGGCGGAAGAAGGAGCTGGTGCTAGCAGCGGCGCTGGTTTTCGCATAGACACCATGCTCAGCAGAACTCGCGTCTGACCTAGAAGATTCTGAAAACCGGGCACCGGGAACTGGACCACCATCGCCATGTGCACGGACAGCTCCACCGCTCCGTAACGAGGTGGTTGATAGTCTGCCAGGTTCTTCAAAGCTTATGTGAGAAGCTCTGAGGCTTGAAGGGGCGGTTGGTGAGTTATCCACTCCAGAAAAATGTTGAACGGAACTTCCATTTGAGGTATTGGAATTGCTAGGCATGTGGTTATAGTTTCTGGGCGTGGTTGCAGCATGCCCCGAAACAGGTTTCTCCGAGCCAATTTTGAACATGCTCATTCGTTTCGGAGCTGGCGTCTGGTTTGGAAACGTTGGTGATGTAGTGATGATTGTGGGCGCTTGAATATAGGAAATAACAACGGTCAGCAAGGATGCTTTGCTTCAAAGCATTCATGTATTAGAAATGTGGTTTATGGTACTTACGAGGTAATGAAGGGACAGGAGGGGTCCCTGTCTCGTTATATGAGGCAGATAGTTGGGGATCTGATGCATGTCTGAAGCGCATCAAGCTGAATCTGTTCCGCAAGGAGATTTGTTGTTTGGCATTGTGATCTGATGTATTTCTGGAAGCTGCTGGAGGGTTGTCGTGTGGGTGGGATCGCTCAGCGATCCCAGATTCTCCGACCAGCGGTGAATTTGCGTTCGACTCTGACAAACGCGGGATCAGCTGCCCCATTGTGAAAGTCGAACGTGGAATCTGTTCACTGTGACGCACAGGAACAGGCGCAGGACTAAGCGATTGTTGCGGTTGGGAATCGTGACCAACAGGGCCACCAAAGCGAAACCCTTTCCATGTCATGATGTAGAATTTTCCCATAGCCAACACAGTCAACGACTCATGGCATGCGAGGTAGAGAGCAAACCGCTACGCAATGGGTAAGCTCCCTCCGATGGTATGCTCATAGGATCTCTGGCATTCGCAAGCTGGCCGATTCGTTTGTCCAGGAACGGTGTGCGCATGGGGATTTACCAATTCAGGATCGTGGGAGATGATGACAATCAAACGAACGACATTCCAACAGACAACAAGTCAAGAAGGAACCCAGTAATGACGACAAGAAGTGTTATACCCCCAACTCTCCAGGGGATCCTTCAGCAAGATACACCGGAAGATTGGAGAGCAATGTCCGCCTTGTCCTGGTCGTCGTCGATGTCACGGTGTGGGATGGTCTGGGATGGTCTGGGATGGTCTTGCAACGTCAACGTAATCGGATCAAAAGGGAGGGAGCTGCCAAGGCCCGCGGTTCGAGACACTGCGAGCTAGCGTCAACCGGAACAAACCTACGATGTGCTGACTCCAGACAGAGAAGAAGCACGACGAACCTCAAAGGGCTAACTGATACCTTTCAGCGATGTCGATTGTGATTGAGCATTGATGGTCTTGCAAACAGCGTGTTTGGGCTATCTAGAATGGGGCGCCGTCACCATGCGACTTTGCCATCTCTGTCTGAGGCCCTGGCTCAGCCCCTTAATTCTCGCCTCCGAATGGCTCCTTCTCGGCCGCTATGGCTGATGGGGACTGGTCCCAATCTGATCGAAGATGCCCCCACTGGCTTCGGATACTTTGAAGACCCAATTTTCGCTTCGAAAAAAAGAAATGGTTGACGGGCCTAAAAATGGAAACAATCCACGAACAGCAGAACTCAGGCACGATACTTATTGAGAGGTCCCACAAGGCTGCATTCTTAGCCCATCATGCATGTCTGGGGAAAAATGATTGTTTCTGGGAAGTCTCAAGTCTTCAAGGTTCTACATTCTTTATTTCTGCCTATTGAAAAGACTTTTCGCACCTGTGAACTTCTAATAACCATTCTCTCTGTGTAAGAAGATCGCATGCTTAAACATCCAGTGTCAGAGCTACTGCTGAGTGCTCACTAGTATATAAGCTTTTTTGCCGGTTTTAAAGTCCACGGAGGCGAGCGCAATGGCATCCCTTTCAAATTTTAAAAGGAGTGACGTAAGAATAAGCAACTGAACTAATTTCCATTTCGAGAACCAGGGGTGGGGACAATGGGCATAATAACAATGGACTTGTTACCATCAATCCGATTATGCTATCTCAAAGCCAGCTGGAGAAATAAAGGAGGACGGTTTTTCGGCAACCCCTGGTCAATGGTCAAGGCCCTCTCTAAATATAAAAAGCGAATGCTCATAAACTCGTTCCGCAAAAATAAAAGGGGGAATGTGGCTTCAGGACGATTTGCTCATTGGTATGAGAAAGAGTACTTACTAGTAGATATGGTTCAACAGCTACTGTCATTCTTGTTTTGTATGCTAAAATCACTGGTTGACTCTCAAGCCACTCTCTTTGAGCTTCCCTGACATCGCATCAACACAGCATAACTCCATGTCAATGCATATCATCTGGGCAGGAGACGTGACCTTTTTGGTACTGCCGGTGGACGATGCAGTACAACTGCCCACGAGGAGGAGTGGGCAAGTTCAACTCTTGCCGATGAGGAATTCGGAAACCTGCCAACTGTTTATCCGATTTGTCACTTTCGTGGCTCCTGCATATGATCTGCCACATGGGCCCAGCAGCACGCCCACAAGCAACCACAACACAATCTTCAATCCGTCGTGAGCAACCCAAGAAGCTCCATGGCTGCCACAGATAAGTCTCTGGAGGTAAGTTTTTTTTTGACATTTTATACACAAATGTACTGTATATGTGAAGGCCATATATATTCCTAGTAGACAATAGTATGTTCCTGTCCCCAAGGGTTCTCACTCAGCCTCATCTAGGCAAGCAACCTGGCAGAGATCTGGAAAGCCATATTCCGACCGGGTGCAGCAGAGGAAAACCAATTTGCAAACAAATACTATACCTGGCACAGACCTCTCTCGATCCAAGCTCTCCTCGGACAGCCTCGAACGTGGACGTCGTGGAGCTATAGAGCTGCCTACCCAAAGCTTTCTGCACTCTTGGAACAAGCTTCCTTGGAAAACAAATTACGGTGCCGTGTCAACTTCGTGGAACTTGCAATAGATGACGATCGATATGATCTTCGAAAACTCAGCTATAATGAAGCACATGCTCCCCTGTCCGTCATTTTTGACGCTCTGAAGGTAATTCCCACTCAGACGGGAAGTGAAGATCATTCTGAGGTAAAACTTGAGGGTACTGCTCTTATTAAGAAGCTCGCCCGGATACTTCACATTACAGATATTTCGCCTTTGGTGCTCAATTGCATTTTTGGGACATCCTCTGGGTCTGTCATATGCCAAGAAGCTCTATCACTCCGACAAGGGCTCATGCTGATAGATACTCTGCAGTCTCGATATCAGTCATATCGCAGCATTTGTTGATAGAAATCTGAATGGTTTGAATTGGGCAAAGGTGAATCTGCTTCAAATGCGAAACGCGGTACGGTATACGTTATGTTGAAAATGGAGATTCCAAAAGCAAAGAGCCCATATTGACAAATTCTGCAATTCACCCACAGGGCTGGTCTTCATATATCTACGAATATCACTTTTCCTTCTATTACGTTACCTTCGACTATTTCGAGCCCGATACGGTGAAGCCAGATCCACGCAAAATTCGAAGATCATGCCCGTTCGGGAAAAGAAAGAGTATGAAACATCGCTATATACATGAAGAAGCCATTTCATTCTTATTATGTGGCCACTTTGACGACGCCTTTACTTGCTACCAGCTGGGAGACACCTACTTTAGGCCTCGCTATGCTAGAGACACAGGGCCCCGGTTTTTTCGGACGTATGATCCCAGTCAATCCCCTGGGCAGCTCTTGCTGTATTGGATCGCAGTGGCCCTATTCCATGCGAGATCAAGGTGGAAAAATGCCATCGATGCGCTGGACGCGGAAATCAAAGCACCGGTATTTCAAACACCCAATTTAAAACTTATGGAACTCCTTTTCTAACGCGCCCTGGTATCCAGTCTGACGTCGTGTTCATGGAAGACAGAAGTGGTTCGTAAACGTACATGCACATTCGTTTAGACGGATGCGTTCTCAACTGTTAACATTTGCCAGATCTGATGGCCGACGATCCTCAGTTTTCTCTCTCCAAAACGTATTTCTGGGCCCTTCAAACGTATAAATTATTCGAAGTACGTCCCCAGTACCACCTAGGTTTTCATTTCCCACATCCACATTTGATTATGAACTAAACAGATATCTAGCGGACCCTTGAGCAAACAATCGCGACATGGGAGACTTTCAAGATCGATTCATTGCCAAAAATCCAGGATGGAAGGATAAGTCCCGAAAATTGGGATGCTAGCGTCCGCAGCATAGACCAGGCAATCGAACTCCTCAAACCAAAGATAAATCGTATTAAACGTGGCATACAAGACGTGAGGGATCTCCGGGAAGGCGTAAGTCTTAATTTGCCATACCGGTTTGCTTAGAACCCTTTTGCCTGGGTGGTAGTAACTTACATACACATCCAGCTCCAATCAACCGCTGCTGTCTTCGATAGCCGAACTGCAGTTCGCCAGGGAGAGAATATTCGCCTGTTAACATACATCACGCTGCTGTTTCTTCCCCTTTCCTTTGGCACGGTCGGTAACGTCTTCTTTAACATGTTATACTTGTATCAATTTTCACATGTTTAACCTTCAAATAAATATACATAGGGCATTTTCAGCATGCAATTCGTCGAGCCAAGCTCGAGGACAATCAAGGCCTTCGCCATCACTTTGCCAGTGATCACCATTGTCAGCGCTCTTCTAATTTTCAACCTCAACACGCTAACAGTTGCATTCGACTCCGCAGTGCGCAAAGCTACCTTCGGCCTCCAACGGCAGATGAGACTCCATCACAGGAACGACTGGAAGGACAGAGCTCTCGCGTTATATCAAGATGATATAAGCACAGAGTCTCCAGTGCGAAAAGCTTCTAAAGAAAGCAGTCGCTGGGTGTATATTCTTTTCCTTTTCGAGGTAGCCATGGTTGTCATTCCAGTTTCTGAGCTGAATGCCGCGTTGCATTTCTATGGGCTTTTCGGTTCCGAGCAAGAGCGGGAGCGCGATGGTGTGGATGATGACTACTCGGATAAAGATGACGGTAGCTCTCATCGCCCTCGGAAGGGTAGGCAGAAAGAGGTCTTGATGAGAGTGAAGAGGGCTGCGAAACAAGCGGAAGAGGAGGAACGCAAACGAAAAGACGAAGAGAGGGGGTGGGCTATAGCGCTTTTAAGACGCTCTTATAGAAACATTCGTCATCTCGGGAGCGCGTTGATGCATACCATCTTCACCTCCGCTAGGGTTCTCTTATTACCAATCTGGGTGCCGATTCTCCTTGTCGAGTACATCTTTACCGTACTCGCATTCACGCTGCTATTCAACCAGCACCCCTCCCAAGCCAACCCTAGCTCAGCGATGCCTGAAGAGGAATCGTTGGCGGCCCATTCACTCTCACCCTTCATCCGAGCATGGCGCACCCTTGGCCTAAATACCCTTACCCTCCCAACCCGACACCACCATCCGCACGATAACCCCCCTTCCCCTAGACTCTCTGACACATTCTCGCACGAACCCCACCTCTCAAACGTAAGAATTAAAGAGCAGACCCCGACAGAAACTAAACTTCAATCTCCCCAGTGGTCTGCCACTACCACTGCTACGACGAAAATTCAAGGAACCCATAACGCTCCCAAACACCCAGGCGAACACTCGCCCGTAGTGGCTTCGCCGGAAACCCTTCAAGAAGAGGAGGACATTTCGCCAGTCCCATTTACGGACGTTGAGGTATCAGTATTCGACCCGAGACGATCGCGCAGGACGTCGGGGGCCAGGATGTACAGGGCTGCATTTTCTGCGAGGCATGGGGATGAGGCTGGGAGGGGGGCGTATCGAACTAACAATGAGATGGGATGAATGGACTTAGAATAGCAGGGTTTGTTTGAACGAGATTGAGAAAAGGGGGAATAGAGGGAGGGGTCAGCGGAGAGGAAAGGGGCGTGATAACCGGAGAGGAGAGGAAGGCGAGCCGGCATGCATATATGAACCAAAACCCAGTATTCTAATTCTTGTATCCATCGTGCATCGAATTCTCATTATGTGGAATTTCATTGTGCACGCTTTCTCAAAAAGAAGAAGTTAAAAGTATCCAATTCAAGCCAAAAAAGAGGGGAAAAGTAGATTTCTAAATAATATATACAACAGCTGTCAATCTGTGATAGGCGATCGCACGGTATAGTTGGGGAATCAAATCACCAACGCGGGAAAATGCCACGGAAACGAAAAATTCGCAAAATGAAAGACAACTCAGAAGATAAGGATACTTGCGCATGTCGCACTAAAGGGGGTACAAGAAAGATAAGTAGCATACATGTCCAAATATGTAAAATGAAAATGAAAATGAAAAAAAAAAAAAAATGTAGGCAAGAACGTAGTAGAATATATGCATATCGAAGAGAAAAACCAAAGGAAAAGTTCGTTAAAAACCCAATTATGGTATCAAATATGGCAGAAACTAAAACCCTAGCCCTATATACCCCCCGGTTCCTTCAGCCAAAAATTAAAGACGGGTGATGGGGCATGGAAGCTGGCTGTTGTAGATCAATCAAATATAGGATTCGAAATTTATCGTTTTCGCAGTCTGCGGAAGGCCCATCCACCATCACTTTCATCTCGATCGTTATCGCCTTTGTACTCATCGGGTATCCAGGAGTCATCTTTTCGGCCAATTCCATCATCGTTCGTGTCAGCATCATCGTCGTCGTCGTCATTAAGGATAGGTTTGTCATCCTTCTTGGGCCGCTGAAACCCAGCGTCCCAATCCAATTCCTGAAATGCATTGGATTCCCCCAACAGGAATCTGCCTAACATCATAACTGCATTGAACACCTCTTTCCCCGTTGGGACGATATTTTCCCGCGGTAATAGGAACCCATAACTGCCTCTGTCGCGCAGTTTGAGCTGGTAGGCGTATTTGACACCGAAGTCATGATAGAACCAGTCCAGCGCACTGCCTCCGGTACTCTCCATCCGGAGGAATGTTTCCGGTTTGGCTTTTTTCTTCTGAGACGCCATGAGTCCCCCACAGGCCGAGCTTACTGCGTAGGTTTTTCTGTTGGTTAGGCGAATTGCCTTTGCAATGCCCATCGCCAGCTCTTCGAGATTTTCCAAGTTGGGTGGCTGATATAGACAGGAATATGAATATGGATACAGGATTTGTTGGGAATATGAATGGAGATCCATGTAGGCGACGAATTTAGTGTTACGTTGCTCTGTTTGCTCTTTCACCCATTCAGCTAATTGGTGAGCTTCAACTCCCGCAAATGGCTTATCTCCGCCGTAAGATTCTAAGCACGGGTTATCTCCAGTAGCGTTGCCGTTCCATTCGAAGCCCCATGTGCGATCCAAGTCCACGCCAGGGCAAAACGGAAGGCTAGTCTCCTGCCGGTTTTTTCTCCACAGGCGATCAGTTTCCCAAGTGTACACATAGCCATCAGGATTGATGGTCGGGATGAAGATGAAGTCAAATTGTTCCAGAAGTGTGGAAATGGGTTTGGATTTTCCGTAGGAAGTGATCAACGAGTATGCTACATAGTTTACTGTCGAAACACCGATCCATTCTCTCGCATGGGAGCCACCTTCGATTATGAGGGTCCGGCGAGGTTTCTGATCATTAGCTGGCCGAACTCCCACTCGAAGAGCTGGGATATCGCGACCCTCAAATGACGAGCCAATGCTAATAAATTGGGCGTGTGACGGAAACATCGAGGCTAGCAAACGCATCCAAGGAACAATCACGGAAAGTGGTTGATAATTTTCGAAGAATATGTTCGTTACATCGGAGGAGGGTTCACCGGAAGGCAAGAAACCTCGTTCACGGCCCGAGGGGCTCTGGGATGGAGAAGGATATGATTCATAGATGGTTTGAGGAAGGTCGCGAATGAGAGGGACATGTGTTGTTTGCAGTGACTTTGGAAGCAAACCAAGGAGAGATGGAACCTGCACGAAGAGTTCACTTAGGAATTTACTGAAACTTCATTTTGGCCATGATATTTAAAATAGAGGTTACATACCACATCCTTGGCCAACCTAATATCTATCCACTCATCGGTTGACGACCAGACATCTAAGAAGAGAATATTAGACGCCTCGACAAGCGCCTTGACTTCATCTGCAGTTTGTAATTTAAATCGCAGGACGACATCATCGCCATACCGCGCTCGTAAAGACGCAGGGGCGGAGAATGGAGGGTACTGGTGCTTATTTCCCCCTCTATGGCGCTGTTGAGGCGGAACACCCCACACTCTCTCTATTACCGAATTGCGCAGTCTCGTCCACAGTCCAAGAGGAGCCTGAGGTTGGTGCTGGGAGAAAAGAGAGACCGGTTCCGCAGGGTGGGCGGGATAGCTGTTGGTAGAGAATGACGGGGTAGCAGAGATGGTGTTCACAAAGGCCAGAAGAGCCAGCACCTGACCATGGGTGAATAGACGCATTGCCGGTGTCCCGTCCGTTCAGGATGGATGAAGTACCTTGGTTACAGCATCGGGGCGAAAGGAGGGGGTGTGGTGGTGAAGACGAGAGAGAGCGGGAGGGAGGCAAAGATCGTGGTGTCGTCGAGAGTGTGTTTTGCGTGCTGCCTGCGACTGGGATGCGGGACTCGTTGGAGTGGGAATTGCCAAGTTCAGACGTCATTCGTCATCGGCCTGAGTTGGGACTTGGTTCAGTGGACCTGCGCTGCTGAGGTTGCACTTCAACGATGTTTACAACGACGATTGCTTTTTCCTTTCTTTTTCACTGTTTTTTCCCTTCAGCGTTTTTCTCAGAATTAGCTTCGTAGTTGATTTGGTGGGAGCTGAATTGAATTTCTCCATGCCTGCTGAACGAGTGAGTCGTTGCTTGGCGCTCTGCGGATTGATTATTCCCGTGAAGGCCGCGCATAAAGTGGTAGAGGACTGCAATTGCAAATGCATCTTCTGGGTTTCAAATATCCAGGATCGAATTTGAATATGGCTCTCTCCATATGATTCGAGCCCGAGTCCATAAGCAGGATACATCCAACGGCTGGCTTAGGACACGTTTAAATGGAACAATTCCAGTGATACACGTTGAATCCACTCTACTCTCCCATACCGTTCAATGGAATATCCCTCACGACGCACGCAAGATTAGTTAATCAAACTGATAGTAGTTATGTCCCTCCTGACAAGGTTTTTAACATCGAAGACACCGTCTTAAAATATCTACTTGGTCCTGCATGAATGCGCAGAGCTTTATACCCATCTACGACTTGATTGTCAAGTTGCTCGAACCGGTTAAATACCTTTGCCAATACATATTGCTTCCCTGACTATCCCATCATGGGCAAACCTTTGCACATGAAATGCCCTCAGCTGATTTATCTGAGGTTGGGGGGTATGCCCGCAAGGAAAACCTCGTAATAGACTGGGCAGGAAGCGCTGGATTTCAGCCACCAGCAGTGCTTAATCAACAAGCCAGCAGAGCAGGGGCGTGCGCACAAGGCAACAATTGACGAGGAAACCATGCCAATTCTGGGCTCGTAGACCATGCTACGGCAGCCTATAGTGACAAATGTGTCAAATGGGTTTTTTTGATGTTTTCCACTGTAATTACTTAATTCCACTTACAGACACTCATTGATAGAAATTTATACTAGAAAGCAATGCACCTTGAATTCTCTAAGCACATTTAAAACAGTGAATTTATGTCATTGCCAGATATTATCACTAGATATCATTACTAGATATTATCGCTAGATATCATCATTGGCATCACTAAATACCATCGCTAGATACCATCACCAGATATCATTGCTAGATATCATTGCTAGATATCATCACTAGATATCATCGCTAGATATCATCGCTAGATATCATCGCTAGATATCATTGCTAGATATCATCACTAGATATTATCGCTAGATATCATCACTAGATATTATCGCTAGATATCATCATTAGCATCGCTAAATACCATCGCTAGATACCATCGCTAGATACCATCGCTAGATACCATCGCTAGATATTATCACTAGATATTATCGCTAGATATTATCGCTAGATATTATCGCTAGATATTATCGCTAGATATTATCGCTAGATATTATCGCTAGATATCATTGCGAGATATTATCACAAGATACAGATATCATCGCAAGATATCACTGCCAGTATATATATATATACTGTGGTTTCCACACTATGGGCTGGTGGTTGCAGTGTATAGATAATGGGTTCAGTGGCCACATCCACTGTGGGCCAGGATGTATATATATATATATCACTATGAGCACAATGATTCAACAAATGATTATGTTGACTTTTTGCTATGAATAATCTAGTTATTATAGCTCTAGCTTATTATATTTAGTGATGATATTCATGATGATATCTCGCGATGATATCTATATCTAGCGATGATATCTAGTGATGATATCTAGTGATAATATCTAGCAATGATATCTAGTGATGCTAATGATGATATCTCGCGATGATATCTCGCGATAATATCTAGTGATGATATCTAGCGATAATACCTAGCAATGATATCTAGCAATGATATCTAGCGATGATATCTAGTGATAATATCTAGCAATGATATCTAGTGATAATATCTAGCAATGATATCTAGTGATGCTAATGATGATATCTTGCGATAATATCTAGCAATGATATCTAGTGATGCTAATGATGATATCTTGCGATAATATCTAGCAATGATATCTAGTGATGCTAATGATGATATCTTGCGATAATATCTAGCGATGATATCTAGTGATGTGGTTCCCCACTATGCTACGGCTGGCGGTCGCAGTGTATCAGTGGTGGGTTCAGTGGCCACACCTGCTGTGGGCTGGGCCACAGCACCACACCCATGGGTATATATATCACTATGAGCATAATCATTTAACAAATGGTTATATTGGCTTTTCACTATGGATAATCTAGTGATTATAGTGCTATCTTATCACAGTGATGATATATATTGAAGATGATATCTAGCAATGCATTGCTTTCTAATAATCAATAAGCTCTATTCAATTACAAATAGAATGAATATGATAGGTGTGTGTACATTGTAACACTAGTATAAAAAACCCATTTGACACATTTGTCACTATAGGCTGCCGTGCATACATCCCAATGGACTTTGATCGTGCCTTGCATGGACTTTACACCGCTTCCAAGCTCAGTGTCTTTGAGGATTCCACGTGATGGCCACTTTAGTTGAAGGGCATCCGTCAGTGGCTCTTTGTTGAGAACATTAATAGGCGAGAGAGCATTTTTAGGGGAGAGGTGGTTTTACTTGAGTTGGAGTGTTGATGATGAAGATGAATGTATGGACCAATCATTAGATATCTGGGCCGAAGTGAGATAAATATAGAATTCCCTGGCGTCCTTTCTGCATTGATATATATAAATAAATCCCTAGCTCGGGCGGCAAGGACCTCAGACCTCACGCACCGATATCTGTCTTTCGGCAGAATCCATTGGGGCCGCACGGGATGTTCTGGGATCGCGAAATGTGCCTGGTTCTGCTCCGTACGAGCCAGCGACATTTCCTCTGATATCAACGTCTAGCGTGTGAACGTACGTGTCCGCCTGTTCATATGGGCATGTTGCAGGAAGTGGAGAATATTATTATTCTGCGACAACAATGATAGATATGCAGCAGCACATTGCAGGCGTATTGTCGTTACTTATTCTCCTCAGGGACAGGGACATCTCAACGTGCAGCCGGAAGCGAGGACTATTTTATAAATAGCAGCACCAATCAGTGGAGTCTCCGCTGACTAGACATGCATACATAAGGACGATGGCTGGCGGAATATATTCGCTCAAAGCACGAATCTGCTGAACAGACCATTGATAATCGAACACAGCGTCGACTCTTGAGCCCTGAGCAGTATATGGGGAACAAAATGGTTCCGGGTTAGAGCTACTGTGTACGGGGTATATAGTATATAGTATACAGTCCACCAGCAGCGAGATCCAGCCCCTTAAACGTGCATCTCGGTTGACGATCGTGCTTCCCAATAATGATAGTGACAACATGCAAGTAACAGGCCAATTGTCAATTATACAGTGAAATGCCAGACATTTGATTCTTTTTTTATCCTCAACGAGCTCCTCGTCGTGGCACATGGCAATCCGTTTATTTTTAGCAATCCACCCACTGTGGATTGCATGGTCGTGCGTGGTAAGTAGCTGGTTTGAGGATACGAGGTGAAATCGCACTTGATGTCTGCATATTCCGATGGCAGCGATGGCTGATTTAGCAGAGATGGCGTTTTTCTCTGCTTGGAAGCACAATAGGAGCAGCGCATTGGCCTGCCGAATGGCTAGCGGGTGGTTCAGATGCGTTAGCAGTGCAGTAGCTCCTGGAGGTTCAGAGGTTCAGAGGTTCCGGAAGCTTTCTCTCGACAAGCTGCAGGACAGGACCACGCCCGTCAATGCGGCCTTCTTCTGGTGCCTGGCTGCATTAAAAGGCTTCCTCGTCCCATACTCATCTCCTTGACCAGCATGATTTATCCCATATACTGAGTAGATGTATATTCATACCTGACATCACTATCTTCCTTCATATACGATACAGCATATATAACATCCACAATGGGTGTCCTCCGCCTCCCCAACCCAATCGCCACATACATCCCGGACACTCGCTCCCGCCTTATCACTACATCCATGATCTCTCAACCCTTAAGTCCTGATCTTGACTCAAACTTCGGTGACGGAGCCCTTCCCACCACAGTTCTCCCCGCTCTAGAGTATATCTCCAACAAGCTTGGTGCTTGCACTCACTTAACCATCCTCGTCGGCTGCGGCACACCTCTCCCCTTCGCCCACCAACCCGAGCTCACTCTCATCCCCATTGCCCCATTAGATCAGCAGACATGGCGGACGCTTCACCGCATTGTCCAGAAAGCCTCGAAGAAATTCTCTCTCGGCCTCGCCTGGTCCAATGCCCTCCAGCGCAGCCAACAACGCCAGTCCCTGAACGAGAACTGCAACGACTATCTCCTCCGCCAGTCCATTTTACAGAACGACGTCCTCTTTAGCCAGGAAGGCCTGACCCTCCTAAGCATTGATCGTCTCTATACCATCAAGTGCAGACTGCACGCATACTCGCAAGGCGCTGCGCGCCAGAACGGCATCCCCGACCACCTTTACATTAAATCCTGCGTGAAATTGCTGAGGCAGACCGTCGCAGACTACAAGGGCCGACCATTCAGCCTGGCCTTCTTCAACAGGATCTACGAGGACCTGTCAGTTCCCGAGCACCTGCTGGTCGAGGTTGCCAACGAGTATCAGGCCAAGTATGCCCGGGCGGGCATCGTGCTCCCACAGAAGATGTCTCCGTCCGCCGCCCCTCCACCACCCAACGGACAGCAGCAGGCACAGCAACAGCCTCAAACGAAGAGAAAGAATGCGGATGGCATTAAGCGACTTCGCCCGAGAACTCCACTAAGTGCATCGGACGTCACGCCCATCACGCAGGGCGAGTGGCAGATGCTGCTCAGCAGCCAAGCACCGCGACCGCACGACAACATTACGCTTCACATTCCCTTTCCCGTGAGGCCGGTGGGCGCGTGAAAAGCATGACGGTGCGTCAAGGTCTTAGAACCTTGGCATGGACGATTCGAATGAAAAACATCTACTTGGGAGAGCCCGGTAATAAAAACAGGTCTCCAGAATACCGAAGAGGGTCACATTTCCTCGGCCGGCCGCGTCGCCGCTTGAATCACTGCTTCCTTGCCTTGTCTTCATCTTTTTAGGAAGCATCTATCTGTCTGTGCGGATTGCGGCATCCCCTCCAAGCAGAGCGGGGCGAGAGGAAAATCCCATGCATCCACGTTTCGACAAGGAGCGAACACGGAGCGGAATTTCGATCTCCTATCCCACGAAAACCGCAACTAGAATTGCACGTGGCTAGAAATTCATAATATGGATATGTTCACGGATTTCATATTGGATATAGGAAGCGGGGTGTGAGGGGCCCTACTGGTGTGCGATTGAAGAAATGGGGTTGAAGGATAGAGGGGCAGGTGGGAAATGGAAACGGAAACCTGGATGCACACGGCGTATATGATGTGATATATAACTAGTGCATTGCGCTTACTGTAACAATAGCGTGGCGAACACCTATAGGTATAGAAAACCATGGGAACCCAATTGAGGGGCGAATCCCCTATTAATTACTAGCACTCTTAGCTCCGCGCCAAAATAGCTTGCTCCAACGGGGTTTACTTTATTTTTACCTTTATTTATATATTTATTTATGTATTTATTTCAAATGTGGTCATTAACTACGAACTACTGAGCGGGCAGAAGAATGAATAACTCCCGAGTATGACGATAAGAAAGATGAACAATTCAGCTGAGGGAAACATTGTTGGGTACCGAATCCTACAATAAAGTTTCCCGTCGATACATGGGAAGCATAAGCATTCTGAAAGCTTGAACAGGAATTATATTTATTCTCTCCCGCCCACACACACACACACACAAAATAGCTTTTCAATCCCGGAGTTCAGGCAGAGAGAGAAAATAATGAACATTTTTCTGTCCTCCCCGCCTCGAGAAATGGAATGTTGGAATTGAATGATTCGTTGGGGAACGACAAGAGAAGAAGAAGAAGAAGCACCAGAAGAAAAAGAGAACCTTGAAGAGAAGAAGAAAAGACAACGCAATTAATTGATCAAAACCAGGATTATCTGCGCTGCTGCAGACTCCATCATCATCATCACAATTAGCTCCAGGGAAGCTGCGTGTGCCGACCTGCTTCTGCATATTTAATAGGCTTTCTCGACTTTTACCATCTACTTATTTTTGGGACCTCTGATTGCTCGTCAATAAAATCAACGGTGAAAAAAATATAAGATTCGTTTCTGTTGCTTTCTTTTATTATTATTATTAATTTCATCGTTGTCGGTAAGTTTAAATAAAAAAGAAAATTTTGTTGTCGATGGCGGACTAAATGAACTTGCCATAGATATAAAACACCCCGCCCCGCCCCGCCCCCGCCCCAGCTCCATTTCTCGGACGGAGGGCCGACCGAAAACAATGGCGGAACGCACAGCTACTGCGTCAGGCACTGACAATCCAGCGTCCAGCTCACCTGTGCTGACCTCCGTAGCGGCCCAAGAAAATGAACGCGGCGGCGACTTGGAATATGACGAAGCGGCGGCGGAACCAGAACGAATCCAAGGCGGCGATGACGGCAACACAAAACCCCCCAGGCGAGGCATAGCCGGCAAGGTGGAGAAGGTGCACAGCCGTGTGCCAGCTCTGCGGAAGATCCCCCTTGCGGCTCTGGGTATCATTTTCCTTGTTGCGGTGGTTAATGGTTTTGTATGGATGGTTGCGGGGATTGTGTTGGTATGTTTCTCTTCTCCTGGGAGCGGGGGGTTATAAAATGAATGGCAATGTGGAGATTGAGATTGGGATTGGCTAATAATATCTTGGCTTCCTTTTTTTGATTCTGAATGTAGTCGTTTTATCCGTAAGTGATATGCCCTGGTTTCCTTATTCCTGAGTGTTCGAGTCGACGGACAACGAAAACAAGCTCAGGATACCCAGAAGCTAGAAATGCGCGCAAATAACAAAGACCCCGGAAACCGCATTGAATGCCATATACTGATAAAAATATGATACACATACTAGCTCTCTGATATCCACTGCCGTGCTTTCCTATACGCTAGGCTTAAGACATGCGCTTGACGCAGATCATATCTCGGTATGCTCAATATCACATATATAAAGCATGTCTGTCTATATAATATACCTATGCGTACTCACATACGTCCAATCCTTCGTCTCAATTGTCTAGGCCATCGACCTTATGACCCGGAGACTCCTGGCAACTGGTCAGAGAGCAGTCAGTGTTGGGACGTTCTTCTCGCTGGGACACTCAACGTGAGATTCCATTCCCCGGACTTTTCTTTTCTGTATCTTCCTTAACACAAATCCGAAACTAAATTCCTACATTCAATATCGAACACGAGTTAACCTCCCCGCCCTGCCCTCTAGTATCGTCATCATTACGGCCGTCGTCGTCGCTGCGACTGCCACTGCTGTGTCCTCGAAATTCGACCAGTACAGTAGAGTCGGCGGCATCATTGGGAGCTCGGTCAGCTCTGCATTTCTGATTCTGCTCGGAATCATGAATGCGTATATCCTATATAAGCTTGTTCAGCAGATGAAAAAGATGCTTCGCTTGAAAGAAGGGCAGGAGCATGAGGTGTGGAAGGTTGAAGGGAAAGGTGTATTGTTTACGGTGTTGAAAAAGATGTTCAAGCTCATTGATCGGTGAGTTTTAAATTTTTGTTGTTTGTTATTATTTGGGTGCTTTTTGTCGGTGTCGGGATTTTATGCATGATTTAGTTTGAAAAGGCAATTTGGAGTTCGAGGGATCCTTTTGTTCTTCTGTATGCTTATCCGTTATTTTTTTGTCAGGCCGTGGAAAATGTATCCACTAGGCGTCCTTTTCGGGCTGGGCTTCGATACCTCATCGGAGGTTGCACTGCTAGGAATCTCGTCCATCGAAGCTACACGCGGAACAAGCATTTGGGTGATTCTGATCTTCCCATTTCTTTTCACAGGTAGGATAACCATCACTTTCGTCGTATGTCCATTAATGCGAACTTGCTAACTCAACGGTCACACCCCTGTGTAGCCGGAATGTGCCTCCTTGACACCATAGATGGCGCCCTAATGCTATCCCTATACGTCCAGCCAGCGGAAAATTTTCTCCCGTCCAAATCCGTCAATTCTTCCCGTACCACCCTCTCCACACCGTCGTCTGGCGCGGGACAGCCACTGACCACCAGCGACGCGGCAACTGCCAACCCAAGCCGCAACCCACGTAACCCAATCGCGTTCCTCTATTACTCCATTGTCCTGACCTCCCTTACCGTGATCGTAGCTACGGTGATCGGCACCATCCAACTGCTCACGTTGATCCTTAACGTGACAGAAGCGACGGGGCGGTTCTGGAATGGCGTGGAGGTTGCAGGCGAGTATTATGATGTAATTGGCGGGTCGATCTGTGGATGTTTCATCCTAGTTGGCGGGTTGAGCGTGTTGGTGTACCCTTCTTGGAGGCGTTGGGTTGCTCAGCGGCATGAACTGCAAGACCAGAATGTCGATGGGACTTTGGAAGAAGGAGGAGGGCATGAAGGAGAGGTCGAGGCGGGTTACGGTATTGCCACAACTTCTCCTACCGGTATATTCCCGGGCGCTGGAATGGGAAGTTTGAAGGGAGACCGAGGAGAAGATGGAAAAGGGCAAGTAGGCCGAGTGTCAGTGGAGGAGCGGCGGTTGAGTTGACCAATAAATCTACTATGAGGATCTACTATGTAACGCGGGGGACTGGGGACATTTTGAATGTCAATATTGGATCAGTTTATATAGTTTTGTATATCTGTTTAGTTATCCGAAATGCCCTTTGGCGAGTCGGCTTGGCATCTATCCCGCCGCCGACATCATCGTTGCCAAGAAGATACGAATCCTAGTCCTAGTACTCTCCACCATCCCACCGGGCCGTGCTGTAGCAGAGCTTTCGGGCTTCTGGGACGATATCTATCCATCTGCGAGATAGATAGTCTACTGTGCCAGGGACGTGGCCATCTCACTCTTGAGCCTCCCGGTTAGACTGCCCCTGATGCAGCGGGATACCTACTAATACTAGTACTATTCTGACCCCGCCCAACCTCCTGGAGATTCAAGTAAGCCCCGTTTTATCAATAAACCGACTGAATCTTGATGTTCATAGGCGTTTAGAGTGTGCCATGGGCCTTCTTCTCATCTTCATATTTCCCTCTACTTGTCAATATCGTCGTCTCATTCTGTCTCCTGGAGATTATGCAGCCTACAGAGCCGCTGTAGTTCGTGTTCGGGAACAAAACCCCATTTCACAACGGCAAATGGCGATGCAAGGCTGCATCTGTGCGCCATGGCTACTACCATAACTCAATCCAAATCGCCTTCTATTTTGTCTGAAACTATTAACCTCAGCGACCTTCCGCCCATATATGTCTTGCCGACCCATTTGGACCTGGACCAGCTGCACGAAGTGGAAGAAGCGCTAGAAAGATGCGGTGCTCCGCTCACCTACGATATCTCGGAGTCTGAGCTAGTCTTGGGTAAAGTGTCGCAGAAGAGACGTGCTGCATTTGAACTTCGATCTAGGGGACTGCAGACTGAGGAAGTTTCCGTACCAGCGGTGGTTACCGCTACTGCTTCAGGAGCAGGCCCATCACCTAAACGGCGGAGAGTTGGAGGTGCGAAGGAAATGCGTGAGCATGGACGGCCAGCAAAAGAAGATGATGTTGTCGACCTGACCATAGAATCGGAAGGGGAATACACGGATGCAGACGAAGGAGCTGAGAGACATGCTAAGAGGGTGCTTAAACCTCCAAAGTCGCAACCTGACGACCTGGTAGTTCAAAAGGTTGAGGGCAGTATCTTGATTCTCAAGTTTTCATGGCTGGAAGATTCTCTTGAAGCAGGCCACGCCCTCCCACTGGCGCCATATATTGTTTACCATGCGCGCAAATTAGCTGCCTCGGACAATGTTTCGATAGGTGAAACTTCTTCGAGCGTTACTTCTGTGGGGGTTAGCCCACGATCTCCGCTCATGCGACGGGAGAGCCCGTCGAGAGGAATTTTGGAGCGTGCCAAAGCACATGCATCTTCGTCGCCAACCTCAAGCCGTTTTTTTCCAGGTCCTATCAGATCTCGCCGGACTAGAGTTCATCACGGGCATCCTGTTCAAAAACAGCCACCCAGGTTTATCCGGGAGACCACTCAAGAACATGAAGCTAACGAGGAAAGACCATCAACCCCCACTTGGGTTCGCGACAATCTTCTTTATGCCTGCCAGAGATCTTCTGTTCTCCATCCTCCCAATGAAGCGTTCATAAACCAACTCAGCAGGATCAAAAAAGTACGCGAGCTAACTCTCGATGAAATCGGAGTTCGTGCATATAGCACAGCCATTGCCTCTATCGCCGCGTACCCCTACAAACTCCAATCACCCAAAGAGGTCTCCGCATTGCCAGGCTGCGAATCCAAAATTGCTGTTCTCTTCTCCGAATTTAATCAAAGCATCGATGGCACCCTTGAAGCTGCCAACCAACTGGACAAAGACCCAGTCCTCAGTGTCCTTAGCCAATTCAACAACATCTGGGGCGTCGGCGCCAAAACAGCCCGCGATTTCTACTACCACTACCACTGGCGAACCATCGATGACATTATCGAACAAGGCTGGAACACGCTCTCCCGCGTGCAGCAGATTGGCATCAAATACTTCCACGAACTCATGGCTGGGATCCCACGTAGCGAGGTAGAGTCAATCGCAGACATCGTCCTACGGCACGCAAAGCTCGTCCGGCCGCACTCGCAAGAGGACTATGATGGCAAAGGGATTGAATGCATCATTGTCGGCGGCTACAGACGTGGGAAGGAATTCAGCGGCGACGTCGACATCATTCTCTCCCACCGCGACGAGAGAGTAACGCACAACCTCGTCTACGACGTCGTCGCCAGCCTCGAACAGGGAGGATGGATCACGCACACGCTCGCCTTACATCTCACCACCTCGCAGCGGGAGCAGCAGACAGCCCCTTACCGTGCCGACACGGGGGGGAAGCCGCGTTTTGACACCTTAGATAAAGCCCTAGTCATCTGGCAAGATCCTCATTTCGACGCTGGGAAGGGCGAAGGCGGCGATGTTGACAACGATAATCGAAACCCCAACCCGCACCGCCGCGTGGATATCATCATCGCTCCCTGGCGGACGGTCGGTTGCGCCATCGTCGGCTGGACCGGCGACACGACTTTTGAACGTGACTTGCGCCGCTACGCGAAGAAGATGCACAATTGGAAATTTGACTCGAGCGGGGTACGCTCGCGTAGTACCGGAGGCCAGGTTATTGATTTGGAGGGTGGGGGGAGTACGTGGCAGGAGAGGGAGAAGTTGGTTTTAGAGGGAATGGGGGTAGGGTGGAGGCCACCGGAAGAGAGGTGTACGAGGTAACGATGGTATATAATAAATATGTTTATTTCACGTTCAGATGAATAAATTTTATGAATTTCTTTTTCTTTGTCTGATTTGGAATGATGGCCAAATGGAATTCTCACCCTGCTTCCCATGAGCACGTTTTCTTCACGCTGTGTTTATTCCTCTTCAATCAAAATTCTAAGGTCCTTCTCATCATTTCCCCCCTCTTCCCCAAACCGACTGACTCCCTGATTGCTCAAGCGGCAATATATGCTTTTCTACAGGGGCGCTCCTGTTTGTAATTACGAAGCACCCTAAATTATGATGATTGAACCAATAGGCTCGATATACTCAATGACACTCCGTATACAGTGTTTTTCGTTATACTGGATGCAGAGACTTTGTCACCAGGGTACTACCACTGGCTGTGTCATGCTAGCCAAGGCAAGATAACCTTCACACTACTATTTCCGAGTTTGGACTCAATAATTCGACTGGAGGGGTGTTGCTTGAGATTAGTTGACGGAATGAACCGGAGCGATCCAAGTGACAAATCACAACAGGCAACAATGGCATCACATCGTCATTTACCAGACCGGAAACTATGAGATGTGGACAAAATATAGAGTCAACATTCGTGGTAGGGCAAGAGAGGAATGTCTCAACATGGGTCACGTCACATGCATGTTTGATAGGCCGAAATGAAGACAGACAAGAAAAGCAACTCTGGTATCATAAATGGGGGGTAGCTAGATGGTATTTAAATACCCGCCAAAAAGAAGCAATATGTCATCGACAAGCGCCTCCAAATGGTCGTAACAATAGCTCGAACTGAAGAGCAAAAAGGAGTTGCCATCGAGTGGGGGTGGGGAACTGGTAGGAGCAAGAAAGATAAAAAGAATTTTAAATAAGAACATGATATAGAGGTCAAGAAATTAAACATAAAAAAGCCATAAATGCCGAATATCCCCAACATACAAGACGCTGAATACATTGTCCCCAATTCCTGCGAAATCAGAGCAAGAGCAGAAGTACAAAGCAAAAGAGTAAAAAGAAATTTCAACAAACATAAAAACAAAAAAAGGAGAAGGAAGCATTCAATGGGGATAGTCGAAATACAATAGCAGAAAAGAAAATCAAATATCAAGAGGCCTGGAACTCGCCATTTCCCCATACCTCCCTCTAGATCTAGTAGTATCGTAAGCATTAACAACTCTCATTTGTCCGCCCTCATCCGCCTGACTAAATGCGTAGCCTCTCTGTTTTCGATTGCGCTGCACTTGTCTAACTTTGCGAATCGCTTTCTGGAATTGCTCCATCCGAGGTCTGTAGTCTTGCACGTTGTATTTCTGTATCTCCTGCACATGATGGTACGCTTGCGGGAAATACATGCGCTTGATGTACTTCCAGGCAAAATCACGCACGAGACATACGACTGGTAGCACAATGGCCATGAGCCAGAAGACAAGTGACTGGAAGAGGTTGGGGATGATTCCTTCGTATTCTGTCGAAAATCCGGCGCCAATTCTGGGCGCGGAGAAACCGTAAACCGGCAAGAATCCCATCCAGATTATCATCGAGCCGGGAATGGCAATGAAGGTGTATTTGGTCCAGATGTTGGTGACTAGGGCAGCTTTTCCAAGAACCGTGGCGAGAACGGCGGTATAGAGTGCCGTTCCCCAGAACCAGTGGCCAGCTAATTTGCCGTTCGCCAGAGGGAGATCCCAAAGGAAGATTGCTTGAGAGAGGAAGTAGGCAATGAGAGAGTGGTAGAAACCATTGCCAATCCAGGACCAGAAACTGTGCATTTTGAAAAATACCCCTTTCTGGCCTAACTGGTAAAGTTGTGGGTATCTGTCCAGAAGACGTGCGGAAATGAATTGGTCAAAAATGCCCATGGCGAACGGGGGCATGACTGTGAAAAAAACGTTATAAAATGACAGAGTCCAAGATTCGTAAATAACCTGACCAGAAAAAGAATTTTGAAAAGAGTACTGTGTTGAAACCATGTTAGCTAAAAGCTGGAAGACGTCGAGCATACGCGTGAAGGTGAAGAAACCTACCCAAAATTGAGTCATGTACAATGCAATATTTTTATAGAATGAATAGAGAATAACTTTGCTGATACGTTGATAACTCCAAGCGCCGTGAACAAGAAGCAACTTCCGAAGAAAGCGGAACTGGGCGATTGCGACATCGGCGCTGCGGGCTGCCTGAAGACCTTCAACACCACTAATGCCGACACCCACATGGGCGGCCTGGATCATGGAAACATCGTTTGCGCCGTCGCCAATCGCAAGAAGCAATGCTTTGAGATGCCGTTTGACAAGCTTAACGACAAGAGCCTTTTGAAGGGGAGATACACGACTTAAAAGAATGCAGAGTTAGCTTGAGGCTTAATAAAAATGATGGAGATTAGAAAATAACATACCAACAAATGACAGCTTTGCACATAACAGCCAAGTCCAGAAAGATCTTCTCCATATCCTTTTCAAGAGCGTACGTTAGAGATTTACCGTCAATGATAAGTGCCAATGTCTCGCTGTCCGGAGAACCGGCTTGGCTTTGAACCTGCTGCAGCTTTTTGGACAAGTTTTCTTTTGTAGCCAGCGCCGACTCCTCGTTTACAATCAATAAAGCCATGTCCTCTGAGATCAATTTGCAACTCATGCCAATGTTGATAGCAGTTTCTTGTCTGTCGCCAGTCAAAACCCAAACTTTGATGCCCGCTGTTTGCAAGGTATGGATTGTATCTGGAACGCCATCTTGCAGCTTATCTTCGATAGCCGTTGCCCCAAGAAGGAAAAAGTCTTTCTCGATGATCTCAGCCGCTTTGTCAAGCTCCTCGGCTCGATTACCAGTGACTGTTGTCGCTGCTTTATCGTAGATTTGGTACCACTGGGAGAATTCCTCCTCAGGTACTTCTCTCATCGCGAGACACAGAGTCCGGAGACCGTCGGATGCGTATTCTTCGAGATGCTGAAGGGTAACATCGACGGTAGGATTATCCGCGTGCAAACGTTCCAAAATCACAGTATCAGCACCCTTGCAGTAAATCCTGATTTTGCCATCGGGGCATCTGAAAATGGTAGACATGCGTTTTCTCGTTGAGTTAAATTCGCAAACCGCAAGTAATTCGAATTCTTGCTCTTGACCGTTCGCAGAGATGATAACAGACTTCGGCCGCCGGTTCGTGAATCGGTAGCCCATCATAACTGCACCCTCGACTAGTGCGCCTTCATCGGGAGACGCAGCCTGGTATTTGATAACATCTGGCTTTTCCGCCTTTCTCTCTGGAATGACGGTGTGGCACGTAGCTAGTAGACAAAGAAAGTGGTGGATTGCTGTCCGGGTGGGATGCGAGTTCAAATGCTCAACAAGTTGATTAAAGTCATACATTCCCATTTCTGAGTCATCGCCATCCACCACTCTTCTGTCCTCGGATACAACTTCGGCATACTGAAGCCCGCCGATAGAACATTGCTTAAACTCCATCATGTTGCATGTCAACGTGCCTGTTTTGTCAGAGAAGATGTATTCAATTTGGCCTAACTCTTCGACCAAGGAAGAGGTACGGCAGGTGGCAGATGTGTCGGTTTTGTCGTAGTAAATATCTAGGTCAGAATTTATGAGGAAAGCATGATAATACTTGACTATTTCTATAGTCACGAATAGAGATATAGGAACGAGGTTAGAGTAGAGGACCCAGTAGGTAAAAATATCAGAGAAGAATTGTTGAGCCGCATTAACATTCCCGATGTATAGGTAGATGAGCTCGTCCGCAGATTTCACCCGAACAACCAAGTGTCCGATCGAACTGATCAAGCTAAGGATAAGCAAAATTCCGACAAGCATAAGAATTTGCAGGTTAACCATGCGTTCGACGGCAGTTCTCTTGATTGGCGTTGCGGTTGCGTTCCTCATCAACTTCGTTTCATGGCCAGTAAAAACGACAAGGCCATGGATCCAAGGGGTATTACGCAAAGTAGCGCCTCGGAGGAGGAGTTGATCAGGGTTGAGGGCCAACTCCTTTTCTCCACCCCCAGCTTGCAACGTCAATGTAGCTTCATAGGTATAAAGGCTGGAGTTGGGTTGTTCGGATTTGATTCTCCCAGTGAGCCTACCGAGCTGACTGGGACTAACAAGATCAGCCGTTTCTGGTATGGCTTGTTTTATTTTGAGGTTCGTTTCGCCGTCCAAGTTCGCAGTTTCAATGTAACAAAGGCCCTCTGGTTCGGAACTTGCAAGGAGAACCAGGTCTGCGGGGAAAGGCTGCTCTGATTCAACTTTGACGATATCGCCCACTGCTACATTTATCCATTTCGTATCTTCAAAAGTGGAGCCTTTGAGAACCTGTGCCCTCGAGTAATTAAGGGATTTATCAGAAGTCTTCCGTTTCCAATCTTCAACCAGTTCCTTTATAGCTGACACTAGGAGCACAACAGCGAGAGGGGCGATGGTGGTATATCGATTAGTCGGGGAGATATTAGGGATTTGCTGGAGGGCGGCAGTGAACAAGAAGAACAAGTTCGCATATTTGGAGAATTGCTCAAATAGGAATTTCGGCACGAAGGTAAACACATTGTACTTGGCAGTTGATATATGATTGTCCACATATTTATTTGCCGCATTCGCCGGAGAATTGTTGAATAGGATGATTCGAGGGCCCAACGTCGACGGATCGATCTTGCGCCTTCCAAACCCAAATTTGAAATCACTAGCGCTAAATTTTTTCTCCTTGAGTCTTGATGAACTTCCTCCATCATCGTCTGCCCCCCCAACGGTGTCTACCCCGGCCGATCTAGCACCCGTTTCAGTCAACGGCAAGTCCATTTCCGAGTACGGCGATTTCATCCCAAGCATATTTTTTGCTCTCCCCACCAATCCGCCGCCTAGGCTCAATATGCTGTTCCGATCCCGCGCCCGAGCATCTCTCACAGGAATCGCACCGTCCATGTCATTTTGATCATTATAGTAACCCTGCGCTGATCGCGTATCATCAAAATCGTTCAAGTCATCTGAATATCGCTGGTAGTTGTGTAAATCTGAAGTCTGTGAATACGGTTGGTATGCTTCACCTGCCCCAGAAAAGTGGCCTGTCCCAGCTCCAGAGCGCGATCCTGTAGTCTGCGTTGGCTGTCGGCCTCCAACAAACGCATCGTATGACACCGATGGCCTTGGTTGGGAAGCATCAGAATCTTGAATGTCGAATTGTTGTAAGAGGCGATCGTCAGTCACTGGAGGGCGCTGGCCGCTGTTGTATACGGAGGCCGTGTCTTCGACCTGTACAAGGTTACCATCGTTTCCAGGGGGCGAGCGATAGCCCGGCCGCCCGCCACCGGCCATATCGCAGCAAGTGGCGACGAAATCACCGTCACTAAGTTGCTTTATGGTGGTAGAAGGGGCGCATTTATGGACAGTGGCCGGGAGAAGGGGAGGGTGGGTTCAAGTTGTGTTGGAAACCTTCAGGGCGACAAACGAACAAGAGCTGTCTGCTCTGCGGCTTGTGCTATAAAAGCCTAGTTTTCTCGATAACGATATGTACGAAAAGTTTGGCTGAAGAGCAAATCTCATGAAAACTGTTTCCATAACAGTGTCGATGTCGACAGGTTGAACCAGCCAGGGCTCCCGTCGTTGGATGTTTTCCGTCATCCGCTGAGGCTTAGTCCTGGCTAAGAAAGGAGCCGCAGCAGGCACCACGCGCGTATTACGGTTACCGTACCATTGCCAGCCAATGAGATCCGGTGTAGCCACGCATTGGTATTGTAGTATGGTAAAGCCCTTACCACGGGTTGGCTTTGTTCAGCTCCGTGATAAGCCAACTGACGGAACACATTTTCCCGTCGATGGTTGGATTCCGGCCTGTAAAGTTTTTATATCTTCGTTGTCGGCGATTCATCCATCGAATCCAACTTGTGGGGCTATGGCTGTTCTTTTGAAATGTTGGTGGCGGATTGTTCTCCAGAGATTCCGATATTGTATGGAACAAAAGGTTGTTTGACAGTAATTACTAGTAGTGTCATTACGAGCAGGCCAAGCGCAGTGACATAGGGCTGGAGAAGCAGGAAAGAATATCAATTCGATATATCTTCTGCTGACCAATTTTTGTTGCAAATTTCAGCTCGGTGTCAACAGAGATTGAGATTACTGCTTGCTCTCTGTGCAGGCGGAGACATCCGCATACTACTACGTAATGCTCAACTTTTTGGTGCATCAGCTCGTCCGGCCTGAGATCGCACTAGGTCGTAAGCGCCCAGAGACTAAAAGACGCAACAATATCCATCAAGGAAAAGGTCAATCGTCAAAAATCTCTTGTGGGTGGCATGTGTCGAGCAGGGCTACTTCCAGTTATCATACAAAATAACACATTCATCATCAAACACATATAAAAGAAAAAGTGGCATCAAAGGATCATTGATTTATCGTTCATTCGCGGCGCTTGATTCTGCAGCATCTTGACGCTTTTGTTCCCGAGTCTTCAAATCTTCCTCCAACTTCGCGGATATGAACTTGCTCATGGCCTTTATCTTAGCCAGTGCCACAGTGGAGCATGAAATCATGCTTAAAGGGTCTCCTGGGGTCCCGTCTGGCTTTGTATAAAGAGCAATCTCGCCGGTCTTATCTAGAGCAATGATGAGGCTTCCTTCGCTGACAGCTTCCTCCTTTGATGTTGCGTCTAGCACAATGATTCTGCCCTCATCATACATATTGAACGTAGTGGAAAGCGGGAGTTTAGTTAAGTTCAAAGGGGATGGAACTCTTTCTTCTGGACGGTAGACGGTCACCCGTCCCTCGCGAACAACGGCCTCTGGTAAACGGAAGTGGAGCAAGCCTGTCATGATGGCCAGACAGCAGCTGTCAACCAGTCCGCCGTCTGAGTCCACGATATGTACATCTGCCCGAACATGCCAACAATTTTTTCCCGCTGCTATGCAGAGTGATTCAGTATCGAGCGCATTGGATCGCCGGATTATCCTGTCAAGGGTACGGACAAGCTGTGATTCTAGCTCTGATTGTCTCTTGGGGGAAAAAATGAGCCTTAGCAATTATATCGAAAACACATTCAATGATATGGCACTCGAAGGCCCGGTTAGCGTACCTTCCCGTTTCGTAGGCAGGAGAAGCCATGTCATTAAGTTCCACAGACACTGTGAAAATTCCATCGTTCTCTCTCTCGGAGCGGGGTTTGGTCACCTCCGCAGATATGCGCACCACAACACTAGTATACGTGTAAGTTACTAAAATATATAAGCCTAGTTTACTTTTTGCAAGCAAAAATCGAATGATACAGAGTAGCTCTATCCCAAGCAAGCCGGTGGAGGCGAACGAACGAACCTAGTTTTCCCCAATTGCAGCTTGACATGTCCATATTCATCGCCGAAGGACACCGTCAACGGGCGGAGCTGGTCTAGAGCACGGCTATCGAGTCGCACATTTTTATGGAGAGCCTCCAAAATGAATGCGCGCTCGTTAGCCGAAATATCAGCTTCCTTCGGCATGCTCAGGCGTTTCTATCCAATATTGCATGGGTAGAATAGATGGCACATCTCTAAATTTCCAAATATGCTTACAACGCATCAATGTTTATCCGTTTATAGCTCCTGATGACTAAAAGCATATCTCTTGGCATTTAACTATCACGTCGATGTTCCTTCATTACCAACGAAGAAGCACGCTGCTCCAGATAAACTTTATCCCTTTATAATTTCCTTTATCTTTCTTTCAAAAAGATTCATTGCTATTGTAAAGTCCAAAATGACTACAGGTATGTGTAGCATCTATCCTGTCAACGAACTGGGTTGCTAATTCTCCCTCCAGCACATAGACCAACTTTCGATCCGGTAAGCTACCCTTCCTCAACAATCACAAAAGTACGACAAACTCATAGTTTGGAGTAGGCTCGAGGCAAGGAGGCTCTGAGAGGCCCCGCCTACCACCAGCGTCTTCTCCCCGCACATACGTTCCTCAAAACCAGGTATGACATCCCCATTATACTCTCCCAGCCAGGGTTCCCATGTCACTGACGTCCATCGTTACTAGACAACCTGGCCAAGGTGGTGATGCGGACGAGAAGCGCGATCTGAGAGCCGAGCTCCTGAAAGCCGAGGCCGCGAATTTTGCCAAGAAGGGTATTTCCCAAGATAAATCCGCGCCATCTACAACTGCGCTCGATCCATCTTTGCCGAAACGCCAGCTAGAGAATGGGCCAAGCGAATATGAAAATGGAGAAACAGAGGACCCGGAAGCTAAGAGACGGCGGATATTAGAGGAAACACGGGATATAGATGCGGATTCAGCCGGTTCAGAGAGTGATAGTAGTGAAGACGAGAGGTAGGCGACGACACCGGAGTTGCACTTGAGATATATGATGCTGATTGGATAAATAGTGATGATGACGAAGATGAGACTGCGGAGCTAATGCGGGAATTGGAAAAGATTAAGAGGGAACGGGCTGAGCAGAAGGCGAAAGAGGTTTGTACATCATGACAAGTTCTGTTCCTTTCCTTTATTGCGCAACCGGAGTATGCTGAAACAAGACGGTCGTTAGGAGCAAGAGAGAGAAGCTCAGGAGAAGGAGAAACGCGAGGTCGATATTGCACGAGGCAACCCGCTACTCAACCCTCAGGATTTCAGTGTTAAGCGGCGATGGGACGATGATGTTGTCTTTAAAAACCAAGCCCGCGGTACGGAGAATAGAGGCAAAAAGGAATTTGTTAATGTATGACGACTTGTTTCCCGCATTGCTACATGCTTTGATAGATAGAAATGGCTGACAAATGACCCATTTCAGGATTTATTGCGATCTGATTTCCATAAACGCTTCATGGTATTTACTTTCTCTCTCTCTCTCAAGATAGTATTGTTGGTGGTTTGCTAACATGGCATCTTATAGTCTAAATACGTGAAGTAACCTTCATTTCGGCAACATTGGAACCCACTTAACTGTACATATATGAATGATACGAACAGGCGCAATCCAATGCGGACATTCTTTTCCCCTGCGCTCTTAGAGCCATTCCCATGCTATATCCTGCGGCGTCGCAAAATGGGAATTGGTGACCAATCAGCCCCCAAGGTCGTTTATGTCCGCATCTTTGAGTTAATGAGACATTAAATCATTCTGCACCAGGCCCACCAAGCACGGTGCGTACGGCACAGATCTGGAATCATTCGAAAGATTACTAGCTCATTGCAATCTCAAATACAGGGCTGTGAAAGCTGCGCTTGGAAGTCTGGAGTGAAGTGGTTGGCAAATCACACAAAATGGTTTAGAGCCGTGAGATTTTATGTGTTGTTATTTTATAGATCCATAGCTACTACATACCAAGAGCGTAATTATACTTTCCATTTCCAATCGTAACATTCACGTGATGATATATCAGCCCGTTCCCAGACACAAGTTCTTCCATATTACATTCACAAAACAACATTCCCTCCCCCGCCTGGCATGGATCCCCAGCAGCCCACATCCCGGGCTCTGCAAGGTCAGAATTATCCAACCCATACAATTATCCTTTCATCTATCTTCTCAATTGAAGGCCACTCAAGCTAAGCGGTATGACGTCGCATTGGCAACCAGGCCGCATAAACACCAACATCGCACAGCTGCTACAACGATTCGAGAATATCATGGCAACTGCAACGGTGAGCTAATATAACAGATATATAAAAATAATGGATGATTTACCTGCTCACAGGGAGCGAGGAGAATATTTCAACTTTTCCGGGAATAACAAGTTGCCAACTAACTGGGTGAAAAAACAACCGCTACAAATTCAGGTCGAGAATACAAGCTTCACATCCACAGCCATCGAAACATATCAGCTAGATGTTGAGTCTACTGCTCTTGTTCGTATTCTCCTATCTATTTCCCGCCCCTACTTCCTTCCGCATGAAACATGCCGCGAAAATACGCATGTATAGCCCACAGATACCGAATGGCCGAAAACTGCTAACTGCTACTCCTGCTTTTAATCTCTGCCCAGATCCGCGCTGCGGAAGATATCCTTTCATTAACACGTTCCATGAAGGAAGCATGGCTATTCGGGAAATTAGATACCCTCGGGGAGAACGAGAGGGATGTGCAGAGGAGGGAGGCGCTGGAGAGGGATGCGCTGACCGTCAAGAATGCCATTGAAAATGGCGTGGTATCGACGATGAAATAGGTGACGGAACAGCCAGGGGGAGCTCGCATTGTTCCCCATTCCCACATTGGCGCCACTTTTTTTTTTGTCCCCCTTTTCATTTGGTGTGGATGGGATATATTATTTGATAATGGCATTATTTTGGCTGCGGGGAGTTACGGTAATTTGCGATCATTGTATTGGGAAAGACAAATAGGTGTTAGGCCTGTGTTCAGTTTGACAAAATAATGATATTTAGAGCAGAGAGATCGATAAAAAGAAACAGTTCTCCCAGAAAATCATTCGTATTCCCCTCTTAAAATGCCGTATTCCATCGGTGTTCTGCTGTTCTCATCGGGACAGCTTCTTATAGTCCCAAAGCGGAAATGAGCTCTGAACCTCGTCAAGGAATCTCAATGCGCAACACCACGAACAACCAACAACCCCACCATTATCCTACTTTAATAAATCTCAATCCGAATCCCAACGCCAACAGCAATGCCAACACCCCATCCCAACTCCCACACAGAAATTATGTCCTCGCCCATCACTACCTCCGCCCGCACCCTCAGCCACCTGCCCCTCCCCCTCCCCCACCTCACCCTCATCGTCGCCACAACCCCCATAACAACAGCTCCGCCCTCGAGCCCCGCCCCCTCCTCACCCGCAAAAACCCCCCGCCGCCTCGGCATCGGCCATGCCGGGACGCTCCCCTGGCCCCGCATAAAAGCCGACATGACCTTCTTCTCGCGCGTCACGACACGCGCCGCTCCACTACCAACACCGCCGCCATCACCAGATGATGCCACATGCGCGATCGGCGCAGTCAACGCGGTCATCATGGGCCGGAAGACGTACGATTCGCTCCCTGCGCGCTTTCGGCCGCTGCCCGGCCGCGTGAATGTCGTCGTGACGCGTGACGCGTCCGGGGCCGGGAGCGGCGGCGGATTGAAGGGGAGTGGAGGGCGGCGCAGGAGCGGGAGCGGGAACGGGCCCGGGGGGGCGAGAAGGAGAGGGGGAGAAAGGGACAGGGACAGGGACGAGAGGGGCGGGAATATCGGAGGCACAATCGATGCAGATGCAGAAGCAGAAGCGGGGACAACTGACGCTCAGCCGCCCGACGTCCTGGTTGCGGATAGCCTTGAGTCCGCCGTGTCGGCGCTCTGCGATGCGTTCCGGACTGCGCCCACTCCCGGGCTGCTCACGCGCAATTCCACCCGCCGCCTGGCGAATGTTTTCATCATTGGCGGTGGGGAGGTATATGCCTCCGCTCTTAAGCTGAAGCTGGACGGCTGGGAGGCAGCTGCGGGTAAGATGAGGATTGTTATGACGGATGTAAGGCGAGTTTCTACTCCGGCTCCGTCTCCATCAAACGATGCTACGGCTACGACTGTGGGTACTACCAAGGCAGAGGATGGGGAAGGGGGGGAGTCAACGGCTGTAGAGAATTGCGTAAATGGGTTTGAGTGTGATACCTTTTTCCCTCTTGATAGTGATGACTTAGAAGAAGGCGGTGATGGTGGATGGAGAAGGGTAACTACGGAGGATGTTTCTATTTGGGTTGGGGAAGAGGTGAAGGAAGGGTGGGCGAGGGAGGGTGAGGTTGCCTTGAGGGTTTTAGGCTTCGAGAGGAGGGTGTGAAGGCTTACCATATATACCACAAACCCTTTTCCCTTGTTGGATTTAGTTTGAAGATGCTATAATAATAATACACGCAATCGCCTGATTCACGGCCATGGAAACTGGGAAACGCCCTGGGAGTACTACACCTACGACGCGAATGTAATAAGACAGTGAGAAAAAGACGGGAGCGGAAAGAACATTACGCACAGTACATGGACCAAAAATCCATCGGTGGAATTAGGATTAAGCCTTTTCCCATGTTCCGCTACATCATTTCTGTAACCATTATATCAAGATATGATGTCTGCCGACCCCAGGTGTCCATCCTTGCATCTCTTCCTTCATATTCCGCCACATTACTTTTTTATTATCAAAAGAGACAATCACACATCACATATCCTTAACCATACATAACCATAGCCATATCCTTAATATCCATCAACTCACCCACCACCGCACTGCACTGTCTTACTCAGAACCCACCTCATCCCTTTTCCGCTGCGATGAATTCAACCATCCGAACGCCGACGCCCCGCCCACGGGGTTCGCCGGGCGAGACTTGCCGGACCACGGCCCTGCACCACCTCCATCGCTAGAAGAGGATTTCCCCGAACCAGTACCATTCACGGATGGCAGCGCAGGATGGGATGAAGATGTTGTCATATGATCGTGCCCCTCGCCGCTGGCGCTCGTGTTGATACGGTGTTGTTCTGTGGGGGAGCGGATGTCATTGGCGACGCCAGACGGGGCAGTTCCTGCTGCAGAAGTTGTAGTTGTGGCCGTGGCTGTGGCTGTGGCTACAGAGGTACCAGGAGCGCCGGAGGACGCCTGTTTCGACAGCGTGCTCACGGACGAGGCCGATTTAGTCGGTTTCAGGATCTTCATATTTCGCGTTCGTGTGGAACGCTGGTAAGCGGACATGAAAGGACTATTGGAGCTGCTGTGGATACTTGGCCCCGTAAATGTTGTGGACGCTCCCGTTGTTCCCGTATTATCCCCCTTACTACCAGTCGTATCGCGGCGCCAGGGTCCCCAAACGCCGCTACCTTCTGCTTTCGCAGATGAGGCTGATGTGCCCGTAGAGGTGCGTTCACCCGTGCTGGATTTGGGACGGCGCGGGTCTGGGCTTCTATTGCTGTTGTCTGTGGGGTCGCCGGCGAAATGGCGCGAGGGTGAACGGGTTTGTGTCCGTCCTAAGATGTCGAAGGAGTCTGATGAGTTGCGAGCAGGTAGGGAAGCGGATGTATCGGCTTTGTTCGGGAATGTGCTATTATCATGGGCCACAGAAGCTGGAGGTTCACGCTCAGTGCCGGCCTGGTCCCCATTGGTCGTTGGGAAACCATTTCGCTTGTCATCGACAGCCCCATTGTACTGTGCCGATCCTAGCGCAAGAGTGGCCTCAGGACCAGTAGCTAGATTTCTAAACGTAGAATCATCCTCCGGGCGAACCAAAGGTATTGAGATTTTGTTGCGCTCGTCGTCAACAATGAGCATCTTATCTTGCGAGAATAGAATGTCCGCGTTGTGTGCACGGAGGACATCGCTGCCCAGGACGATCTGGATGCTTTTGTCACCCAAACCTGCGCCACGAATGACAAATCGAACCGTCAACGCGGGCAGCTGAGGGACTGGGCTCCCGCCGCGAGAAGACGGCTGATAGACACTGGCCTCGGGGAGGTAGACTGGAAGTTTGATGATTCGCACGCCATTCTCCTCGGCCGCCTCTTCCTCAAGCCCTAGTTTCCGCACCATTTGATCGCTAATGGCTGAGCGGTACGATCCCGTACACACCACAGCGTAAAGCAGTGAGTCATTGGAAAAATTTGTCGTAAGCCAGCAACGAATGATGCAAGGAGAGGGACCTAAAATGAACAGTCCGGGCGGTGGCGGCAAAGGAGTATTGCTGGTAGACGAAGGTCCAGTTCCACCACCAAGCAAACGAGATGCTTCCAGCCCCATGCTATTGGTGCGCATGGAATGGTGAGATTGGCCAGAAGAGCTCTGTTTCCCGTCAGATCGATGAGAAAGCGACCGCTCTGTCAGGGGATGGCTTCCCAGCCCACTGCCAGTCCTCAATGGGAGGAACTCCGTCGCTGATCTGTTTGCTTGGTTATAATACATCGAGCTCTCGTCGAATCGCACACTATTTGCCCGTGAAGCCCCACGACGAGGTTCGTCCTCGTTTTCCATATGCAGCACTCCCGTCAACCCATGCTGGTGTGTTTGATCAAAACCTTTGAAAGGCTCAGCAGTCGGATTAAAGGATGATTCTAGATCCAACGATAAGGTTAGCAACAGCATTCATTTCCAAACAGGGCTTAAAGATTTACGCCGTACTACATTTCTCACGTACGGTTTAGATCAAAATGGTGACTTACCTTGATGGTGCTGGGTGCCAATAGGTCCCGGGAATGGAGATAACGGACCCCAAACACTCTTCATCCTCGCATCGTCGTCCCGACGCCGTTCCAGCCTAGATATCCGCTCTCCGTGTTCGAGCTGGGCTGCAAAGAGGTCTTTCACTTCCTCTTTAATGCGCCAGATGTCTTCTCTTGATGCAAACGGGTACTGCGCGTCCATCCCCGATAACCATTCACGACGTAGCAAAGTCCACACCAGCGTAGGAAATTGCTCTTGGGAGCGGCGTAACAGCTATGCTGGGACAAAGGGTGAAATGGGAAAGGAGGAAGAAAAGCGACCGCGAACAACGCCTACTCCTCAAAGCAAGCATCCGTAGACGGCTCCACAGTGAAAGCGCAGGGAGCAAACAGGCGGCTGTTGTAAAAATAACAACCCTATCGATGCACCTGAGATCGAAAACAAATGGACCTCCCGTTGAAATGACCCTTCCAGTAAGAGAACACAGAAAAGAAGAAAAGGAAAGAGAAAGGGAAAGAGAGGAGAAAAAAAGTAACTATCAACACAAAAGTAATCCTCGTGAACTGTTCGTTTTCGTTAAATGATTCCCGAACTTTTTATTTTTCCCCCCCTTTTTTTAGGGAAGTATGTGATAATAATATCCCTTCCTCACTATGTCTTTCCCCTCTCTTCCTGTTAACCTGTGTATTTATCTCAACCCCGTCTGCCAATATAATATTTTTTTTAACCTCCAGCACAGGGACCTCTCTTCTTCTTCTTCCTTGATCAAAAAAAAAAAAGAGGAAAGAAGAAAGAAGAAAGATAGAACTGATAACCGTTTGCTGTAATGTCTATCGCGTTAACAGCTCACACCTGTTGCCTCCCGCCAGGGCCAGGCTCTGCGACAAGGCCTGAACAGCCCTCCGCCCACCCAGATGGTATGTATATAGAATCTGCCAGGGTATCGAATAGAAGCACACAGGGCCCGCTAGATTATCGTATGTAGATCCTGATAGTCGGTCCAACGGGAGCAGATGAAATTCTAACACCTTGGGACGAGGGGTTTTGGGGGATGGGGAACGCCGCGAGGTCCTTGTTGAAGTTGTTACTGTCGAAGGCTGAGGCGGAGAAAGGGTTTGTGTATACTGGGTAGCGAGGGTAAAGTGGGAGGCGATGGGATGGCGGGCAGGGAGAGAACGAGGGGAAATTTGGCTATCAGTATACGGGAGAAGAAGCTTCTGTTTCTCTCTCTCTTTCTCTCTTTCTCTCTCTCTCTCTCTCTTTCTCTCTCTCTAATTCCGTTGCAATGGGAAAAGAACGCTGTAGCGGTGGATACACAAGGGTTATTTGCCGCTCGACGAGACGGCTGTGGTGGTGGTGTTGGACTGTGGTAACAGCGGAGGGGGGGACGGATGATACGCTGGGGGCGAATGCGGGTACAAAGAAAGGGTACGTTGTTACTTTGAGGGTTCCCGGTGGACGACTGGCGAAAGGAACGCTGTAGGGATGGACGATAACGGTGAGCTGTTTGGAAGGGGGGTTTCGCTGGGGAGATTTCGTTGCAACGGAGCCGTGGAGAGAGCAGTTGGAGGTGGATGTTGGTGGATGTTGGTGGTGAAGAGGTTAACTAGTTAAGTTGTCGTCAAGCTAAACTTCGAGGTTAGAGTTGACGATACAATTCGAGCCGGTGACTAGCGCGAATAGCTGCTGCAAGCAGGTATTGGCCATAACCATTCTATCCATGGATGCAGGCTCCCGGCTCCCTCGCTCGTAACCACGAAGTCCGCGAGTGGGAAATCATTGCCTCTCTGACTTCTTGTTCTTTATGCATACGGACGACTCAAGCGGCCTGCTAGGTCAGTCACAGAAGGATACATCCAGCAGAACATCTCCGCCCGCCCCAATGCATGGATGTTGCTATGCTTCAAATCCTCGTCGTGGATGCGGCCAGACCCGGACCTGCCTGACACGGTCTAGCGTCTTCTGCTTCGGGGCTTATTTATATACAGACCTCGTCCCTCCTGTGGCAGTCTCCCGTGCTTAGGGTTCCCAGTCGCACCTCTCCCATGTAGTGGTGTGCCGAGTCTTTCCACTCATATCTAGACTGCGTGTCGCAAATGCTAAAACTAAAATCACAGCATTCCGGAAACAGAGTAGATCTCCTCGCGCGCTAATCACACCACGCTCCCTGGCAAATAGCTCCTGATTGAGAGTGCAGGCTCCAAAGATGGGTGTGTCGTTGAAACACCCCTCTCTTTTGGAGACAGCGACCGCTCCTCCAGCTCTCCATTCATCAACGTATTCTACGATCTGCTTTCGCCCTGGCTTCGTGTGTCCTGGCAACATCGTACGGGGTGAAGTTGAGGTCCAGAGTTAGCTTCAGCCAAGTGGCAGTCTTGCTCCTCCCAGAGAGAATTTTTTATCATTCTCTAGTCAGCATTTCGAGCTAATGTTATGCGGATGCGGGCTGGGGAGGTTAGACGTTAGACCTGCGGTGTTCCAGCATTAATGTGGAATCACTCCTCTCACTCCTTCCCCAGGGAACTCTGGAGCGCTTCAACGGGAAATCATTTTGCTGGGTGGATTCCTTCGGCGTGAAAAGATAGGTAGAATCAGTGGCTGAGAATTACAATAGACGATTCTATTTAGATGGGAAATCCTTCCGTCATGAAAAGTGCAAGAATCATCCCTTCAAGCGCCCCAGTATCTCCCAGCCTTGCGATTCAACTCGCGCATCTAGATATTTATTATAAGAATGAATAACAAATTTAAATGGAAATTAGAGATTTATTTTACTCTGTATATCACTGAAAATAAAATTTGGTAGTTATTAAGAATAACTATCTTATTAAGTGAATAGAAATGATAACCGACTAAGATAAAATTCGGCCTGATTTCATCTATGACTGACTTGATTATTCTAGCTCAAACAAACTATCAACACCACGGAACAACCTTTCGTCGTCAGAAATTGAGGCTGCATAGCGATCTCCCAAGTCACCCACCGTATCAGAAATAATAACCCACAATCAGCCAGACACAGTTAAATTATGATGTTAAACCAGTTAATCTGCTTCCAAACATGGTAATCCATCAGACTGCCCCGCCCACGCTCAGATATAGCAGCTTTGGATTTATATAGTTAGAGCGGGCTGGGGCCCCCTTTCTGATTGACCCAAGATTTTTTAAGTGTTGAAGAGATCCAATTTGCCCACCGATGATCTTCTTCCCATTTAGGAGAATTTCCGTTCATATTTCAATGTTGACTACGATCCAGAAGGAACTTTTGTGATACCCTACAGCGGTTGTCATTGAGATTGCCCACCGTCGAAACAGATGGCTGGAGAGATCTGGAAGGGAACCGGGGAAACCTATAAGAATGCCGGCCATACCTTCCTGGCCCACCTTTGCGTCATGTAATCCATATAGTTAATCAAAAGAGTTCCCGAGGTCGTTGTGATGCGTAGCGTATAGGTTGCTGAGTCGATTTGTCGCCTATGTAGATCGCAAAACACATACCAAGCTTTCGCATAACTAACAAGAATGGATTGTCATGTATATCCAATATTATTGCTAGGATGCTCCACCGGTGGACAATCTTAAGGGCTGCTCCTTCTGAGCTACCCTAGCCTCAAGGCGTTAAAGATAGCGGCTGGCTGGTGACAGTTCTTCTGCATATTGATATCGGAGAACACCACCCATTCCAGCTCGTGATCTTTTTAAGGGAAAACATATATTACTTTGATTGTGGACTATCCATATGTCCCCCCAAACTTCTGACTGGTTTATGTCCATATATCAGAAGAGACAAACAACGTAAACGGTTGTAACGAAAGAATGTAGATTACACAGCCGGATGCCGGCTCTGATGCATGTTCAATTGATAATCAGCGAGGTAGTTCAGGTAAAAGTTCGATGAACAAAGAATGCATGGTTTTGAAGGCGCACCATGTGGTCCAAGGTAATCCTGCATCAGCTACAGGATATATATATCTGTCGTTTGATGTCGCACGCAAGGGGAAATTGGTCAGAAAAATGAATGCTTTGAATGGGGTTCAGCAGCGAATGAAGGTGAGAAATAGTGGGAATAGGGGATGAAGCTCCGAGGTCAAGAAGTGGGGGAACCGCCATGCTTTTTATATTTAGTGAGGAGCGGGCCACCCACTTTCGGGCTTGCATATCAGGAACTGGAGAAGCGCGTGAATAAAGGGGTTATTACGCAAACGCCCATACGAAAAACGCAGAGTTGGATAAACCGGGCGGATGAGGAAAAAACGGCAGGAAAAAAAGCCAAAAGTAGCCACCGATTTACCGATTTAAGCACGGTAAAATCAGTTAAATCAAAGTAAGATGTCCCGTGAAACACTTCCTCACCCACCCCTCAATCTCCTCGTTCTCCACAAATATTCCTGATCCAGTAATCCGAGTTTACTCTGTTCCCTGGCCTCCAACCTTGGGCGTGGAGGAAACAAAGCTAGGGACGCATCGCTTTCTTGCAATTCCAAGCGAGACATGTTCCACGTTTTGAAAGTTTCGTTTTGCCTGCAGCTCATAAACTTGTTAAATACTTGGATTTGCAAAATCTCTCTGTGTTATGCTATCCAATGAGTTTTCGAGTAGCAATAAATAATAAACACCGGAACAAAAATAAATAAATAGAAATAAATAGAAATAAATAGAAAATAAAAGTATAAAAATAGAAGCATGACCCCCTATTCCCCGGTGATAGAGAGCCAACAACTACAATTTCGGCGCCGTCTGCCACGGCGGGAAATGAATAGGAACATTCCCAGGCGTAAGGTGTGGGTAATGGGTCCGAATCGCCCTCGTCACCTCGTCGTACATAACTTGATATCCTGCTGGGTTGAAATGGAGACCTAAAACACACAGAAAAAAAAAACAAACAAACACCCATTAAGTAAGTAAAGGGAGCTTCTCATGGTTGGAGGACATATACATACCATCCGACAACAAGGCCTGCAACTTCTTATTCGCAGGGACATCTCTTGATCCCGGGAGCGGCTGGCCTTCCACCCACCCCGCCGCGGTCATGAATGCAGTCCATATGTCGGCGACGGGCACGTTGAGCGCTTTGCCCACTTGCCGGCAGGCGTCTGCATACTTTTTTGTCTGGGACGCTTTGCGCATTACTGCTACGGAGGCTGGTTCGGGCGTGCCTGACGGTGTAGCTGTACCTGTATCTGTACCCATATCTGTATCTGTATCTGCAGCGGAAAACTGATACTCATCGACAGGCGGAGGGGTTAGGAGGAGAAGGTTTGTTTCCTTGTGCTCTTTGATGAGCGGGTGTGTGAGGATTTTTCTTAAGTTGGCTTCGTAGGTGGGGAGGGGGACGTGTTGTTCGAATCCAGGGAGGACGGCGTCGTTTGCGCCGAAGAAGACAATCTGCGATTTTTATTTCCAAAATTGCTTCTTGGTTAGTTGTTGCTCTTTATTTCCTCCTTGTATCCTCACAAATGCGCATTTTGTAACGGATTGACTGGTATGTTGGTGTGTGATGAGTTACCATTAGGCGGACTTTCGCCTTTTGCACTGGCGGGAAGAAAGATGGAAAGATGGCGAGAGCTTGCTGCGATGTATAGCCACTGCGATTTGATCAACATTGGATGCCATCAAGTACTGCACCATCGTGTGATTTTTGGATAGCTTTCTTTACCTGAAACCGCGATTGATGATATCGAAGCGTCTGATATAATCTATGTGAATATTTATTTAGCTGGCAAGTTCCGAGAAGAGAAAAATCAACAGAAGCAATGGAGCATTCCCACATCTCTCGATCCTTTGGACGAATGAGAGGAGATATCATCAAATCTAACACGCTAATAATGCAAGTACTCAGCGAAAGGGTAATCCCACCACTCTGTAGCGCTGGAGAAAAGGCGAATCCTCTCCCCTGATCGCACGAGCCCTGCGTTATAGAGTCGCCGAAAATAATAAATTGTTCATATTCTACGTAGGGCGGCGAGCTGGAAGCCTCCGGGATGACTGTATGTTTGATTAACATGGCGGGGTTTGGCGGTGATGTTGTCAATGGCAACTTAGAATATTTGAGGGGGAACAATATATTTATTTAGTGATTGATGCGGGGTTGAGGTCAGGACGAACTTTAGCGGTGCTTGCCGCGACCGAATCCAAAATGCGCCAACAGGCACCACAACATTTTTATTATCAACATGCTACATGGGAGGGGCAAGTTTACATGTAGGAATGACAGGAAAGATCGAAAGTCGTCAATCAAATCCGATGGATTGTTAATAATAACTAATCGGAGAATTCCATTGTATAAGGAAGCCATTCGATTGATGGATCTTTTGAAGTGGTAGGCAAAATCGGATCGGACTCTCAGAGACTCTCGCATGGGAGAGAGAGAAGTTACCTTACGATGTGTGACTAGAGGCTGCTTATCCCGAGGAATATGGAAATTTTGCATGGAAGTTGCATTTGAAATAACTAGATAGGATACCAAATCCGCGAGCCAGAGACATCATTATTCTGCGTGGTGGGGAGAACCCTCCATACCAATGCTGCTCCCCCAATTTGATGAATTGAATAAATTGAATGGAACAACTAGAACTGGCTGGGGTAAGTTCAGTCTTCTTTCAAGATTCACTCATGAATCCGCTGCATAGCAATGTAAACACACGCCTCTTTACATCCAGGAAAAAAAGCGCCCTAGAAGATGTAGAAGATGTGCCCAACTACCCATTGGACCTAGATTTCCAAAACCGCAACGGACCAGCGTGGCACAACTGCCATGCTCCCGGAGCAGTGTTTCCTCGCTGCTGGCCTCGACGCCCCCGTCCCCGTCCCCGTCCCGGTAACCCGTGTGAGGATTCCATGGACGCTGTATCCGATGATTCACCTTGCAATTTGTCACGTGTAAAGATGGTAAACAGACCAACCGCTGGCTGCCAGGTCCAGGGATGGTTGAGGATATACCTCCTACTAACCGCCGTTGGTGGCTGTTCGTGGTTGCTTAGCATGATAGCGTGAGTGGCTTGGGAGTACGTCAGGGCACTTTGGTGATAATATAGTTAGCCATAGTTAACAATCTCCAGAACAACATTTAAGTTAAGCTTGCTTTCTCGGCTACAGCAACCGCCTAGAGTTTGTTTCATTGCGTGGGGAACTCAAAGTCCTTGAGTATGTCCTGTCACTCCGATAAACTTGTCCAGAAACACGAACCAAGGAAGAAGCTCGGTATACCCTTGGTATGGCCAGAGGAACAACAACCATTTAGGTTCTGGGGAACAAGGTGTTAGCTAAGTATCCAGGTACACGGCAACCAGCCGAGGACGGTTTATTTTGATATTAATATATCAAGAACTCAACCCATTATTTTTCCTTCTCCTTTTTCCCTTCTTCTGTTTCTGATGGAATCCATCGTTCAGCAATCAACCTGGCCCCCACCTCGTCGGCCGGTGATCTCATCGATTGAAGTTGTCTCACGCTAAGAGCTGTTGTCGCTCAACTAAGACACACACCAGCCATCCAATCCTCCTCCCCTCTTCCGCCATCGCGCCAAGAATAACCTTCGCACACTGCTTATTCCCATCTTCCTTATCACATTCTGTGTTTGAACCACCTTAAGTCCCGAGGCCTGGGAGGGGGGACTTGGACTTGGGTCTGCTTTTGGGGGGAGGGCGGTTCCTTTTTGCTGAGTGAGTCCCCGCTGTCCGTCTGTCCATCCCCAGCCGTCATATGTCGCCTGACAGCCAACACCAAGAGATGGCTGTTTGGCTAAAACCCGCTCCACCTGACTTGGTCGACCTCTGCTTTTACTGCTTCTACTGCTTTTTGTTCGTTGTCCGCTCCCTGTAAGCTGACTTGGTCTGTCTAGTTATCGGAACATCAGGCTTTCCAGGGGAGTAGGCGTTGAGAATTCTTCTTCCCACTACAATGCCTCTTGCTCTCAACCGATCCACCTCCAACTACAACACTCTTAGGACCGGCGATGACGGCACCAGTGATCGTGATGATAATCCCCAGCTGATAGTAACCTCTCCGTCATCCCCAATGCCTCGTCGGACACCGACGACTCGTTTTGCGGATGAGTTGGATACCCCCAGCCGCCTACCTAGGCGTGGCACGCAAGACGCGGACGAGAGAACGGGCCTTTTGGGCGCTGCTGACGACTCAAACCGCACATACACCTCTATCCAGAGTGGTTCTTCCACCCCCCGCCCGGCCCCCTTCCACAGACACACCAGCGCTGCTGGCAGTGTACGAATACCCAGGAACCACAGTCGGGCAAACTCACAAGTCGCCAAGTTTGGCGGCGGGGATTGGTCGCTGCCGGATGCGGCAGACTACTTGAAGAATACCCTGGGCGGGTCGTTTTTGGATGACAGGGTGTGGTACGACCAGTTTACGTCCACCGACTGGGTGCATGACAGCATCGCAGATGGCATACGGCTTAGGCAGCTGCGAAGCCGGAAGGATATTCGCGGACGTCTTCTAGCCTGGTTTGACGGGGCGCAAGGCTGGATTCTGGTTGCGGTCATTGGATGCATAACGGCCTGCTTTGCGTACTTCGTCGATGTTACGGAACATGCCATGTTTGACATCAAGCAAGGGTTCTGTACGGAGAGCTGGTTTGTGAGCAAACGCCGGTGCTGCCTGTCTGAAGAGAAGTGTGATGCGTGGCTGTCCTGGTCTGAGATACTAAAGTCCTCGCCCATCGACCGGGACTGGGTCGACTTCGTTGCCTTTGTTTTCTGGGCTGTCACCCTCGCTGCCCTCGCGTGTGTGCTTACGCTTCTTACGAAAACAGTCGTGCCGTCGTCCGTCTCGCTGTCTACATTGGATGAGGATCTTGGAGCTCAGGTCAATTCATCGCCGATAGACGATCGGAAAACACGTTCTTCTAGCCAGTCACCGCAGAGAGGGGCAGTCGCTGCTCCTCCCATGGTTTACTACTCTGCTGCTGGCAGTGGTGTCGCGGAGGTGAAGGTCATTCTCAGCGGGTTTGTCCTGCATGGATATTTGGGCTTCAAAACACTGATCGTAAAGACGTTAGCCCTTGTTTTAGCGGTCGCCTCGGGACTAAGTGTTGGAAAAGAGGGCCCCTACGTTCACATTGCCTCTTGCATTGGAAACATATGCTGTCGAATATTTTCGAAATATCACCAAAATGATGGTAAACGGCGTGAGGTGTTGAGTGCCAGTGCTGCTAGTGGGGTGGGTGTTGCATTCGGCGCTCCTATCGGAGGCGTGTTGTTCGGCCTGGAAGAAGTCAGGTATGGGATTCGTCCGTTAAAGCAGGAAGCATGGCGTATCAAGGATATACGCAAGCTGACAATCCGTCTTCCAGCTATTACTTTCCCCCCAAAACCCTCTTTCGAACATTCTTCTGTTGCATCGTAGGTGACCCCATCTACTGAGATACTTTGATGATGTACGCTGATCCGGGAATAGGCAGCCGCTCTTTCTTTGAAATTCTTGAACCCGTATGGCACTGGGAAAATAGTGCTGTTCGAGGTTCGCTATGACTCAGACTGGAAGGTATTCGAGCTTCTGATATTTATGCTCCTCGGCCTACTGGGTGGTGCGTCGGGTGCCCTGTTTATAAAAGCCTCGAAGCTCTGGGCACAGTCGTTCCGCCGCATTCCAGTTATCAAACGCTGGCCGCTGCTGGAAGTCGTCTTGGTCTCATTGATCACGGGCGTAGCCAGTTTTTGGAATCGCTATACGAAATTGTCTGTCTCAGAGCTTCTGTTCGAACTTGCAAGCCCATGTGATCCTGACACCGAATCAAGAACGGGGCTCTGCCCTACGGGCGACAAGATCCCTGAAGTGATCCGTTATCTTGTCATTGCTTTTGTTATCAAGAGTCTTCTGACTATTATAACATTTGGCATTAAAGTGCCTGCCGGCATCTACGTCCCATCTATGGTTGTTGGCGGTTTGCTGGGCAGAACCATGGGGCACATTGTTCAGTATTTCGTTGTACATTTCCCGGACTGCTTCCTTTTCAGAAGCTGCTCCAGTTCTCGCGATGCACTATCGTGCATAAACCCGGGGGTTTACGCTCTCATCGCTGCTGGCTCTACGATGTGCGGTGTTACCCGGCTCTCTGTGACGCTAGTTATCATCCTGTTTGAGTTAACGGGTAGTCTTGACCATGTACTTCCGTTCTCCCTTGCAATTCTCTGTGCTAAATGGACCGCGGATGCAATGGAGCCACTAAGCATATATGTAGGCCTGCACTTGTATTCTGTTAAACTGAGCCTATTTCGCTATTTGCTTTATCTTGATATCATACTAACAAATCCCAGGACCTCCTTACCGATATGAATTCATACCCCTACCTAGACAATAAACTCCACCCAACCTCCGACATCGCGCTAAGCGAACTCGTCCCTCGCGTCCGCAAGAACCGTATCATAGACATCTCCAACTCCCCCCTGGTCCCGGCAATGGAGCTCCGCAAGAAACTCGACGTTCTCCTGAGGGCCGGCGAACTGGACGGCGGCCTGCCGATCCTGCGAAAGAATATCTTGGTCGGGTTGATCCCCGCACCCGAGCTCGAGTTTGCGCTTGATAGACTTGAGAATGAGGCCGAGTCAATGTGCTTGATGTGTACTGACAGCCCGTATGGCGATTGGAGCTGTGATGGAGAGGCGGGCGGGGATGGGAATAGAGATCGAAGTAGGAGTGGACTCAATTCGACGGGTCTGATGGCAGATTTTACGCCGTATATTGATCCGGTAGGTTCTTTTCACCACCCCTCCCCCCAACCTTCGCACCTCTGGGCGCGCACCAGCATTACTTTTTATATTATTCATATATTATCCCCACCCGCTCCCACAACTATCTGCACGATCTGCCGATGGCAGATACATGGTATAATGTATACTAACCTGTATATCTGTTATTTCTATCTAGGCACCCATGGCATTGGATATCCACTCCCCCATAGACCTTGTATACCAATGCTTCGTCAAGCTTGGGCTGCGCTACATGTGTGTCCAGCGCGATGGCCAATATGCCGGCCTGGTGCACAAGAAGTCCTTTGTCAAGTTCATGAAGGAGCATGAGGAAGGGACGCATAAGTGAACGATAGAAAAATACACTTATAATAAAGGGAAAGCTTCAGGGATAAGGATGGATGGTGGAGCATGGAAATGTGCAAAGTGAACGATGAGCACGAAGTTGGTTTTCATGTGGATAGATTTTTTCCCCTCCCTTTTCCTTTTCTTTCTGGCTGATATCCCTGATGACGCATGTATATACTTACATACTTAAAATTTCGTTCTTTCTGCATGGTAGGTAGCTGGCTCACTTTACTCTCCTTTGCCCTCCTTTGGTTGTGTTACACGTCCTTTTTCCATGGGGCCGGGGCTACACCATTTTGTTTCAGTTATCGGGTATTTGCCGCCCATATTCATAGATCTATATTGTTTTTCTTCTTCGATGTCTACACAAGCTTTTATTTCGCTTTCTTTTCTTGCTTTCTTTCTAAACACTACGATTTGGTAATCTAGATTGTTAACTATCTTAGGTTCTGTAGATTTGCACTGATTCTTATCAGTGATTTTCTCAAAAGTTAGGAGGAAAAAGTCCAGAATTGTATATCAATTTCTTTGTACTGTCCATGTTGTAACATTTCTCTGTATTCAAATATATTTTCTCGTCTTAATTTAATGTTCGTATCCGACAGAGTGTTGAGGATAATCATTTTTCCTCATGGGGTACCAGTTGCACGGTGTGCCCATACACAAAGATACCAACCAGCGTATCTTATCCCCGCAGCCCCGATCCTGATCTGACCAGCAACCGCAACCCCGTTTGCCGCCCTCGATTCCCACTTCCCTCCCACCGAACCCCCATCCCGCATCCCGCATCCCGCATCCCGCATCCCCATGCTCCGGCCAGCGAGCATTCCACGTTTCTCGCCTCACTTTCTATCCTCCCACGCCTCCCTCTCTACCTCCTCGAAGCTCTTTGCGGCAAAACCTTACTCCCGCAGCCCATTCACCCCGCCAGCAAGAATGTCTTCTGGAACCGCTGCTCCTGCGCTGAACCCGAAGACGGCACGGATTGGTTAGTTCTGATTTTTTTTTGGTCTTGAAGAATGGCGATGGCTAATAGATAGCTGCTTCTTTGCGTTAGGGAATCCGGCACTTTTGTATGTTTGACCTCATTTCTAAGAACATACAGTCCTGGGCTTGACGGCCTGCGATGGATATATATATATATATAAATATATATATATATAAAGAATTGGACGCTGTATACTACATGAAATGCTTTGCTGACTGGTGGCGTCTTTTTGCGCTCCTACAGCATTTGCGATATCCAGGAGAAATTCCGCCCGGTTATCTATGAGTTTTCCAAAATGTCAGCATTTCCCACCCCTCCACCCCGCCTTTCCCCCGCTCCTGACAGCAATCCCGCGTACACCAGAAAGAAACTATAAACGCAATCACTCAATTTCAAACCCACAGATATACCTATGGAGAACCCAACTAACGTATCACCACAGAATCACCACAGCCTCCAAGCTCCTCCGGGCTGCCAAACCCCTCAACATCCCCATCTACATCACCACCCAAAACCGCGCCCGCCTCGGCACAACCGTCTCCGAACTCGGCCCTTACATCGACCCAGCCACAAACCCCAATGTCCGCGCCGACCTCGACAAAACCCTCTTCTCCATGGTCACCCCGGAGCTGAAGGCCCAATTCCCAGCACAGCCGCTCGACGCCATCATCGTCGGCATCGAGTCGCACATCTGCGTCACGCAGACGACTCTGGACCTGCTGGCGCTGGGCCACAGGGTGTATGTGGTTGCGGATGGGGTGAGCAGTGTCAACCCGGAGGAGAGGGTGGTGGCGTTGGCGCGGCTGCGGGATGCGGGCGCGATTGTGACGACGAGCGAGAGTCTTTTGTTTGAGATCATGGGCGATGCGAAGCATGCGGTGTTCAAGCAGGTTAGTGGGCTTGTGAAGGAGACTGGAGACGAGACGAAGAAGGCCCTGGGAGTGTTTTGTGGCAGTAAGATCTGATATATATGATCTGATATGTATGTACAAATTTATTTATTTATTATTATTATTGTTGTTATTTTTTTTCTTATCTTGGGATTTGATAACCTTTGCGAAACTAAGAGGGGATAAAGGAGGAAATTATGAATTTTCATATTTGATGAATTTGATTTCTTTCGTGGCGCGTGAGCAGAAAGGATAACATCCTCTGTAACTATATATGAGAGTATCTGTTGATTGTTGAAATTTGTCACAATCAACCTCTTAACCAGCAACCACCATAAATTCCTGAGACTCTACCTTCTCGCTCCATATGTACTCTGCAGTATTTCTCACCCCACTCTACTGCACCAAACAAAAAAAAAAAAAAAAAAAAAAAAAAGAGGGGGGTGGGGTTGGGGGTTTAGATCGGGTGCCCCAAAGTTGAGAGGGAGATAATGTAAGAGAGGCAATATCCACCAAAGAAGCGATAGTGAGTCCCTTAAAAAGAGGAGCACGGAAACGAGATATTCATTGCCCCGTGTGCCCTTTGCCTTTCCACGCTCACAAGGGGGCCAGTGCAATGAGGTTGTGTGGACGGAGAGAGAGCGAGAACCCGCGATAGAGAAATAGCGAAGTCGGGGCAAGGAACGGCGTTTTCGAAGACGAAGACGAAGACGAGTTCCTGGCCAATTTTAAAAATAATAATAATAATATAAAAGAAGGCAATGGTTTATTGGGGTAGCCCAGCGGGAGCGAGCACTCAAAATCTCAGGCCCGATTACATCGTTTCTATCTATCTAAGGATTCTCCTCCTCCAGCTCCACTAAGAAATTATATTTTAGAAAGGCGACGGCAACTTAGGAGAACAGCGAAAACTGCTGTATGGTAAAAACCCCCTTGGCTCCAGGAGGCATACATGACTCGCTGGAATGTATGGTTTCAAGAGTCAAAGGGCAGACAGATATCATGTGGAGCGGGTGAAGGTCATGGCCCGCGGGACGCGCAAAAGGGTGGTGGCGCTGTGGAGAAATAGAGGCTGATGCTGTCAGTTATTAGAGGGAGAGAGCATGGTGGAGAAGTGGGCTGTGGGAGGGGCCGCGCCGGACAAGGAACGAGCAAGACGCAACGAGAGAAGGTTCCCACAGGAACCTGGGCAAGATATTTGTGCTTCTGCCTGCCCTGGTGTGGTGAAGGAAATATCTAGCGTAATTGGGGGAGGCGACGAAGGGGCCATGAACTGGAAATGAAGATTTTGTATCCAGAGGATTGCTAAATATAACATTGTCGGAAACGAAAATAACACGAGGAAACAATCATCAACCATCAAGTTAAACCTTGCTCATAACAACTTGCCCAATCGTCACACAACATCGCTGAAGATGGCCAGGGAACCCCATCGAGCCATAAAAGAAAGCTGCATCTCCCCCCCCTCCCCCCCCCCCCTCTCTCTATCTGCCTACGGGTGAATCAAGTGCACTTTCGCCATTTTCTTGAAGATATTCTCGTCCACAGTAGCAGCCTCACAGTTCGACGTTTTGGAGGCTTCGCCAGAACTGGTGCCGCCATTTTTCCGCTCAACAGCCCACATCCTCAACGCGAAGAGTTCATCGATAAGTGCTGGGAGAAAGGTGCCGGGGCCGTGCACTCCGTCTTTCACGGCAGCGCGCTCAGCAGCAATTTCGAGCAGAAGTAAACTGGCTAGTACTGCGAGTAGTTTGTCACTTCTGTGCACGGCGAGGAAGGAGGCAGCTATGGTGCCAATTATGCAACCGGTCTAGGAAACAGGTTAGGTTGGTTAAATTATGATTTATAGCAGGATGAGGCTATTCTTCAGCAGTGAATAGGTGGGAATCAAAAAAGGGGAACGGAGGCAAAGTGATGTTATTTGTAAGACTTACGCCTGTAATATGTCCGAGGAGACTGTGTCCATTGCCAATGGCAAGAGTGCGCTCGCCATCGCTCAGGTAGTCCACGGCGCCGGTGAGAAGGGCGATGTTTCCTGGGAGGATTGCTTGTTATATACACATTTCGAAATCAAGAGATTGGTTGCTGTTTAATCCCAATCCTACAGTACGGTCTGATGCAAGTGCATATAATGGAGAATGAAAATATGTACTATAGAGGATTTGTGTAGGTGTTGTGTCCTTTGAGATTTCCAACGACGTGCATGTCGCGCCAAAAGGAAAAGAGGATAGGAGTAATTGGCACAGGGGACAATATGGAAAAGGCTTACTCTCCCGCTTCGCAAGGTCCATGACAAGTCTCGCTTTTTCTTTGCAGTTCAAAGTACTTGGTCCGCTGTCGACGCCGATCTGTTGCCCGCGGACTTTGCCATACACTTGAATCAACTCGCTTTCATTTCCTTTAATAAGGTCGAAATATCCACCAGCCATGAGCTGTTTCGCAGCTTTGCGGCGAACATCCGTAGCACCAGCCCCAACTGGATCAAACACAACAGGGTTCCCTTCGGCATTATACGCCTGTAGGGCCTGGAGGTAATTATCGATGCTTTCATTATTCAGGGTCCCCATATTAATCAATAACGAACCACCATTTTTGGCGAGGTCAACTGCTTCGGGGCCATATCCGGACATAATTGGAGATGCACCACTATGTTGGAGTCAGCCATAGTAAACATTATCGAACAGTAACAAGTTCGGAGTTCTTACATTGCAATGGCAACGTTTGCAGCAAAATTAGCTACCACAAAATTGATCATATTGTGGCATAAGGGTCGTCTTGTCGCCACCAGGTTGACGATATCTGGCACTTGATCTAATAGCAGGGTAACTTCATTCTCCCGAGGAGGAAGGGGAATCGTGGCTAAGGCAGGAATTTGTTTCACTAATTTGCAAAACAATGCGGCGGCTTCTCTCGGGTTTTCCGCCGCCATGATCGCGCTCACAATCGCAGCACCATCAAGGCTTTTCAGTGGTGCTTGTGATTGGTATATAACTCGTTGAACATTTGACAAGTTGATACCACCGATCGCAACTGTTCCGACTCGTCTGGGCATTGTGGAAAGAAACGCCAAAATCTCTCTTGTGCCAGCAGGCCCGATAATAGACTTGGTGTTGGTTTTCCTTTATCACCGTCAATTGCAAATTCCACAACTTGAAGCTGTAAGTTCCATGAAGCTCAAGGATAGCATGGAGCTCTAATATCAAGTGACTTACGTGGGCGTTGCGAATACGGTTCCAATTCCGAGGTAATCAGCCCCATCCTGAACTGCCTTGAGCGCTTCCTTGTTCGAGGATACTGACGCGCCGATATAGGCGTTAGAAGGCAGCAATTTCTTTGCGTCTAGTATGCCTAAACAAGCGCAACAAACGGAGCTTAGTTCCCCGTTGTAGAGCAGACAGGACAGCGGGACTAACTCATGTCATCCTGTCCAAGATGGACGCCTTCGGCACCAACAGCTAATGCGACGTCAACGCGGTCGTTGATGATTAGAGGAACATTGTGCTTCTTTGTAATCTCGTGGAGTCTCTTTGCAGTCTCAATCATCACACCAGAGTCACTGTGCTTGTCTCTATACTGGACAACAGTGACACCTAAACAAGAGTGGCAACTTAGTAAAAACGCCAATACTCCGTACACTCCATTGAGTGTGAACTTACCCCCTTGAATGGCATCTTGAACTACCACACACAAATCCCTGCCGCGCAGAATGGCGGGAGTAGAGTCTGTAACTAAGTATACGGACAAATCCATGGCAATCTATGGGATACGCTTGTAACGGCTGGAAGAGAATATGACAAATGTGATTGTACTCTGCAGGTCTATTAGTAAATAATATCAAGATTCCAAGCAAGCCGATATCCGTAGAAGTGAAATAGGAGCAGCGATTAAGAAACATGTTTGTGTTTCTCGTATGGACACATTGTCTCTCAACATTCATTCATGGTCAAACATGGTCATGCAGGAACAGTGCCAGGCCACAAATAGCGGCAACCCACACCAAAATCATGGTGGTTTTTTAGCCAGGAAAGCAGCCAGGGTTGGCAGTGGGGCCTAGTACAATATATGAATACAAGTGACATTTTCCATGAATTTTATAAGCGTCAACTTAAGTGGTTTTAATACAAGATCAAAGAAGATTGAGAGGAGATTGTTCTACTACATGAAACAAAGCATTGTCAATAGCAGAAACTAAATCGAATCAAGCAACAAAGCAGGATACATAGGGGGAAAGGATACGTCATATGTAAAGCGCGGGAAACCAAGTTCTTTCAAGGGGCTCCCGGACAAAGGGATTTTGTACCTGATTTTTCAAGTGGTGGTCGTGGCTTTTTCGATTGCTGGAAACGTATAAAGAGCGCAGATGGGAAGGACGGCATCCAACCTGGGAATCCAAAGGATAGGAAACACCAGGGTCTTTCTATATACCGAACACAAAAGAGAATGAAATGACCCGCCCTCAATCATAGGACCCTTTTTCACACAGAGCAATTCGACGTCAGAATTTCCTCTTTGGGGCACATCGGCCTGTCCACGTGATCTATCCCATCTCACGATTAGTCAACTCCCTAAATCACATTCTGCCGCCCATCAAATTTCTGGATTCGGACACCGCCCACCCTTGCTCTCCTCCAACACTAAAATCTTTCTTTTCCGCTCATCCACAACCTCGCCAACCTCCTTCAGCCATCGCCATCACCACACCGGCTTATCCAGATTGTTCTATCTTATCCCTTAGCTGGGCATTCTGATATTGTTTCCCACTTGATCTGATCGGTGCTACCCCCAACGCGCTGCCATTCTGTGCTCACTGAGATATCTCGTTGTCTCGGCTCAACCCACGTTCCCCATCAGGTTCCCCAAGCCTTCTGCCACCAAGCAAGATAGAGCACCTGTCTATGTATTCGCCCTACGTCAACGCTTTCGAACACCACCTGCCGCTCAAGCTGCAAACGTTTCGCCCTGTGCGAAAACCTTGTAGTTACCATTCCAGATCTTGTGGCTGAGATTCACTTGCTCTGAGTTCACCTACGCTTTCAACCCTTCCATATCGCAGCCGAGCCGCAGAAATTTCCGCTTTCACTATCCTACTCAAGATATCACGGGTAAATTCGTGATACGCATGTCTTGTAGCAATCGAAACTCCATTCCCCAGCCCCTCTCCGCGTTTCGTCCTATATCTCTCCTCTTCGTAGCCTTTTAAAGAATTCCAAAATTTCGTCTCTCTTCTTACCGTGACAATGGCTACTACCGTCAACATCCGTCGGGTAAGTCAATTTCCAGAGCTCTTCCTGTTACTTGAAATATATGTTGGGCTTACATATACTGACATGATGCAACAGGACAACCCTGATCCCTTTTACCGTTACAAAATGGAACGCCTCCAGGCAAAGATCGAAGGCAAAGGCAATGGCATCAAAACTGTTGTTGTTAATCTCAACAATGTTGCCCAGTCTTTGGGTCGCCCACCAGCCTGTAAGTATGCTATGCCTGCCGATCTTCGTTCCATTGTTTTTCTTGCGTTTTTATTGTCCTTCCGATGCCAAGGCTAGTATGATACTAACCTCTGGGAACTAGACTTGATCAAGTACTTCGGATTTGAACTCGGGGCTCAAGCAAACGCTAAGCCGACAGATGATCGCTGGATTATCAACGGCGCCCACGACGCTTCCAAACTTCAGGACTACCTTGACGGGTTTATCGTAAAATTCGTTTTGTGCAAGAAGTGCAAGAACCCAGAAACTGAGGTTGTCGTCAAAGAACCCCGCATTATCCTGGACTGCAAAGCCTGTGGTGAACGGTCCGATGTTGACCTTCGTCAAAAGCTCAGCAGTTTCATTTTGAAGAACCAGCCAAAGAAGGGAAAGAAGGACAAGTCCACCAAGAAGTCTCGGCGCGAAAGAAACAAGGGCAAGGGTGACGGAGAGACGAATGGAGAGGCAAACGGAGAGTCAAATGGTAGCCCGGTAGATAGCAACTCCGATGGAGGAGATGAAAACGGCGATGGTGCTCTCGACGCCCATAGTGATGATGAGCTTACTCGTCGCATTAAAGCTGAGGCGGAAGAAATCGAGCAGTCCCAAGAAATCGACGACGACGACTGGGCGGTTGATGTTTCCGAGGAAGCTGTCAAGGCTCGTGCTCAGGAACTCCCCGACGATGTTAAACGTTCTCTCGTCATTGATGATGATGATGATGGTGAAGGGGAAAATGGGTCGGCCTCCGCCTACGATCTTCTCGGTAGCTGGATTATAAGCTCTGCCAAGGGTTCTGAGGAAGGTGTCTCAAGCATCAGTGACATTGACATCTATATGAAGGCCAAGGAACTGGGAATTGAGTCGAAGCACAAGACCCTCGCCGTCTTGGCTCAGACCATGTTCGACGACAAAATTGTTAAGCAAATTCCATCCAGAGCTGGCATGCTCAAGAAGGTAATTGTATAATCTATCCATTAAGTCTATTTGAATTTAGAATACTAATAAACCTTATTTAGATGATCACTTCTGAGCGCCACGAAAAGGCATTCCTTGGAGGAACCGAACGTTTAGTTGGAATTGAACGTCCCAATCTCTGCCCAAGTGTCCCAGCCATCCTGCTCGCTTATTACCAGGAGGATCTGATTTCGGAAGAAGTCCTCAAGGCCTGGGGCTCGAAGGCCAGCAAGAAATACGTCGACATCGCCACCAGTAGGAAGGTCCGCAAGGCTGCTGAGAAGTTTATCGAATGGCTTGAGACTGCCGAGAGCGATGAGGATGATGATGAGGATTAAACTCCTGCTGGCAACATCTCCCGAGGGCAATTGCCCATCCTGCAACATTCTTTTTTTCGGGGCCTTTATTCCATCGCTTTAACTCGTTTCGATTTTTCCCTTGCCTTGCTTCCCGTTAGTTTTCGTTTTATTTGGGCAATTGTATCAATTACCGATCTTATTCACAAGCTCCACTCTACGTCCCTCGACGAGAATAAAATTCAACTGAACCCCCATGTCCCCTTATCGTTTCTTTCTTTCATTTTTGGTCTCTTTGGATGAATGATTTCGTTGCTTGCGTTTTGAACAGTCCACCTCCACTCCTCCATTCGTTTATTATAGGTGTAGCTGAATAACATATGCAAGAGGAATTATTAAAGTGTTCATTGTATATTACTCTCAACATACTATCCCCCAAACTGTTCTGTTATTGATAACCGACATACCACCCCGAAAAGTTGTAAATAAGAACAGGTCATAGGTCACGAGGGATTGTACTGGTATTCGTAGTAAATAATTTCTTCGAAAAGTAGTCAAAGCATGGTGTGTAGTACGAGCCAAAATACGTTAAACAACTGGCATAAATAATGTTTCATTCCCTATGTCATTAAAACGCTCCAATCACCTCCGCCAACTTCCACGACCCCCTGCTTCCTGCTGAACGAAGCTCTCCCTGCGTTGGTGAATCCGACTGCGAATGTAGCTGGCTCCTCAACATATCCGCAATCCTCCTCTCAATATTTCGCCCCACCCGTGCCAGCCTATCAACTGCATCACCGTTCCCGTCATCGATACCGCCCCTGCTCTGTCTCCTCCCTTTCTCAAATATAAACCATGTCAAATCCGCATTTAGCACATGCATCGCTTGAATCGCCTGGGCAAATTCTTCTGTTCCCGTTCTATTTCCCGTTCTTGACGTCGCTTCCGCTCTTGGCTCTCCTGCTGTTTTACCGATCTGCTTCTCGTCGTTGGATTCTGTGTGCTCGCGCCATGCATACGTGAAGTAATAATCGGGCTGAAAGAAAGATATCGCCGTACCGAGACACTCAAAAATTTCGTCTCTGATGTCGGCTGATAGATATACGCTGTGGAGAATGGTGGTAAACATGCGTGTCAGGGCCTGGAATAGGGAGTTGTGAGGGGTGAATGACTTTGTGCTCGGTGGTGGTGGCGGTGGTGGTGGTGTTGGCGGTGGTGGAGGCTTAGATCGTGCAGTCACTGATGTTGTGGAATCGGGAATTTTGGTTTTGCTGTCAGTGTCAGGGGTTAGCGACTCCATCCCCCGAGACGGTGCGTAAACTAAGACGTTCCTGCTGCTCTATCCTCTGTCGCTGCCTCTCCGCCGCCCTTTCTGAGTCCTGCCGTACTCGCTCCCATGCGCGGAGATACAGTTTCTTCCACCGAGGGAATTCATGCTCAATGCGAGATGCCATGAAGTCCCCCGCGCCTTCGCACATGGCGCCGATTGCGGAGCACGACGCAGAGATTACGAATGCTTCTTCCTGGATGCCGGATTCGTCGATGCTGGTTGGGGAGTTGCGGGTTTGTGCGGGGCCTGTGTGGGGTGTTGTAAGTGCGACCGAGTTTGGTGAGAGAGTCTGTGGCGTGGTAATTCGTGCGCTAACGGAAGGCCAGAGGTCGTTAATTAGGGGTAAAAAGGTGTCTTCATCATGCGCGAGGATGGGTAGTGCACGGGTCAAGATGGTAAGTAATGAGCGTCGTAGGAACGGCGATGGTGAGGAGAGATGGGGTGGAATGGATTTGGCAATATTAAGGAGCAAAGTGTGAGATCTGCTTAGAGTCTTTTCTTCTGTGGTAGGTGGTGGCAGTCCCTCTGATTCTGAGCCTATATCACTTTCATCCTCATCCATGAGTCTGAGCCCATCGCGCTCGGAAGCCCATGGACGTCTAGGGTGAGATTCTTTTTCCAAACTGTCACCGGCTTCGAGTTCAGAGGCCCGAGCTCGCTTCTCCCTTCGCTTTTGAAATTCATTCGCGATGTCTGAAATTCTACGGGATTTGAGAGGTCTTTTCTGGTGATTGACGGGTTCATTGGTATCTGAGCCTGTGATAGCTAGTTGTGCTGGTTTCTTTGCCCCTTCGTCCACAATAGCTCCTAAAACAGAAAACAGAAGCTCCACCAGTTTAGGGTAGCCGTGGAAAGCATCCAACACTGTAAATATCGATCCAATCAGGTCATCCAGATATGGGATAAGCGATGCCCCACATAACCTCGTCATCATGAGTAGCACCTGCGGGGCTTGGGGTGATATGTCAAAAGTGTTAAGCTTCAAAGACACGGAATTCACTAGGTAGTCAACATTATCAACGAGCATAGAGCTTGTGTTTGGATATCTGCAAGCAGCAGTAAGGATATCAAGGCATGTAACAGCATGATTCTGTATGTTGGGGTTGCTAGAGCCCATCAATTGCAGCACAGGGTATAAGGTGTCAATTAATTCGGGACGAAAGGTTTCACCTAACTGCTGCGCTTGGAGTGCTATAGCCTCAAGAGCTAACGCAGGCAGCCGCCAATCGTGTGGATTGGCAGTCGACAAATCCGTGAGAAGTGGGAGCGAGATTGAGTATAACTCCTCGATAATAGCGGAACGAGAAGGAGAGTCAGAATCCAGATCAATCATGTCATCCATTGACGCTAGATCCGCTGGAACACTTTTTATTAATGATAAGGTAAGCCAAAAGGGAGCTAGGAGGTCATCACCCGACGACCCATAGATTTTCTTTAACATCGAACTCGCCATCGAGAGAGATGTGTCCGTGGCGCTAAGTTTCGAAATCATAAATTGGAGCTCTGAGAGTGTTCTTCGGTGGCTACGGTGGTCTAGTAGCACGGGTTGAAAAGATATCGACTGGCGCTCACCATCCACAATACGGAGCTCCGATCCTGTGGCAGCAAAACTTGGTAGAGGCTGGGGCGCTGTTGACGTCGATCGCATAGCCATGGAGACACTCTCGCATAAACTTGTGGCTAAAGTGTCATCCAAGATATTTAAGCTTGGCTGAGTCTGCGATAAGACTTGGAACGCAGTCGATATTTGTCTAATTGCTCTTTGTTTTGCTGCATCATTATTCGATTGCATCATTCTTGGTAATGCTATAGTCCATGTGTACATGTTAGACTTGAGAAGGTCCAGCACGCGGTTAGATGAAATGGTCAGATGTTTTAGGGCGACGTAAGCATCGTTTGCCGGCTTGTCTGTATCATATTCAGCGAGAACAACCACAGTTTCCACCATCATTGAAAGTGAGTCCCCAAGAGATTTCGGACATTGTTCAATAACCATAAGGCATAATTCAAGCAAACTGTGGCGAACATCATGTCTGTCATGTGTTCTCAACTGAATAACGTTTCCCAACGCAAGCTTTACCTGGGAAGCTGTCGCGTTGAGCCATGAGTCATCAAGAACAAGAGTATTCCCTCCCGGTTGGGTTTTAGCATCAGTTTTCTGGGGCGTCGGGGCCGAAACATCGGTATCATTAAGCACGGCCTTCAACATTTCTGTGAGGGCTTGTATGCAGCAACACAGCACTTGGTATGATCGTCGCATTTGTGTGGTCGGCTGTAGTGCTTTAGTCAAGGCAGAAACACTTCTGGGTAAAAGGCTTGCTAGTATCACACGATGAGTTACGCGAGCGGTCAGGGTCCGCAGAGCACGAGCTGCAGCCAGTTGGACCTGGTCTGAAGTACCATCCGTAATACCTTCCAGTAAGAGGTAGACAGTTTGATCAACAATAGTGGATGTCCCGATTTCATTAAATATCTCTGCTGCAGCTGTAGGTCCTACAAGGACCTGACATACGGTTGCAATGCAATCAAATGCGGCAACTGTTAATTCTTCCGATTCTGGCTTTCTCTGGTTGCAATCTTTAATTTGGGTGGGAGGTCCACCAGCAATGATGGTGAGAAGGATAAGCAGCTGCTTTCCCATTTTCACGGAGAGGTTTTGGCGCCATCCTTTCTCGATAAGAATCTGTAGACACCGCAACGCCAGTTCCAAGCAGCGAACAGAAACCCTTTGGGTTTCATTGAAGATGTGCGATAGTGGGAAGAATGCGTATTCGGCAAGTTTTTCATCGAGACCATATTCACTCGCAACCTCCAGGAGCATAGTATGCAAAGGTTCCAAGGCCCGTAACACATCCTTGGAGGTTGCGAGGTCGCCTCTGAATTTAAGCCCAACAGAACTTAGCTCAACGCAAGGAGGGCGGAGCTTTTTGCTCGACAGATGACAGAATATAGCCTAGTTAGCAAGTCATGAACTTGTAGATACGATGGAGATGTAATCGAACCTTTGAAAAGGCCCGTTGTCGGGAGTCCTCCATTACGTTTAAATTTTAAATCAACGCCATATACAGATGCACAATGTGACATGCGCATGCACGCAAACCTTGAGTGTAGAATGTCATAGCATTATAACAAAAAAGAAAAAATGTATAAGTTGCAATGAATGGGTTTTGATATTCGGAGTAGATGTTGGAGAATGAAGGAGGACAAATTCGGTATGATTACTAATATATTATCGAGCGACCACATTTAGCTTCAAGTTTTCGGAGTAGTATGATCTCCTTGATGGTCAACGACAGAGAAGCAACATACATAGACGGATGATCGCCTTTGAGACTCAATGGATTTCGGCATCTTGAGGTACGGATGCAAAAGATGTCTAATACTCCAAACGAGGACCACATCATTATTCCAGTGTCGCCATGTTGAAAGAGCTTCTCACTGGGACAAACTTGCCCACAACTGACCTCGATGCCGTAGGCCCAAGCATTGAAACACAGAGGCATCTTGCATGAGCCTGTGAAGGGATTTCGAGTGCTGAATGCTTTTTTCCCTTAGTCTCTTGAGGTGACCAGCGTAATCATCCAGAGTCCCATACCCTTGAAGCTGCATGATGTTACCAAGATTGCCCTGCGACAAATTATAATGCGGTATTGCTGGAAGATGGATACATGTAGCTGCGGTGCAACCTGGAACTCTCTTCTCTGTTGGTTGATTCTTTCAGCTGAATGATTAACTTCTGAAATCACAGCCGCACCTTCCTGTGCTGTACTTCAAATGAACCATGGCATTGAATCTAATATAAAAAGCGGCTCTTCGCCCTCATCCCTACATGGAACCTTATCACTTCATGGCAGATGGTGGCGCTTGTCTTTCTCGCCATGTTATTGAGATTTCTTTTCGCTGCGAGTTTACTCCAACTCGCCGCTGCTTCAAACGACTGTCTCAATGAACCCGTGCCTATCACTAATGCCCCAAAAACCAACGTCTGGGCAGGAATCAGTGCTGAGGACAATTTTGCTGTCTGGGAACTTCTTCATGACCCTACGATTGGCCTCAACCTGACATCCCCCGGCAACGCAACTATCACCGATAATTATGTCTTCTGGATTGATGCGATGCCGACGAATAAATCCGCAGTGCTTGCTTACCTCGACAGCGATAACCCTCCGCCGCTGAAGTACGCCCGGGTTATCATTTTTGAAGGTGGAAGGGAAAACCCTAGGTCTCAAGAATACATGGTTGGCCCCCTTCCTGTATCTCCTGCGACCATTGTCAAACCTCTTGATTACATTTACAATGGGGATATGGGTGGATCTGTGCCTTTCAATGCCCGCAGCTTCGACGATGTACGTGAAATGGCCGTGGAGCCACTGGTTGCATCTATTATGTCTAGCATTGCCCACATAACGTCGGTGCTATTCCAGGGGGGCGTGTATTATGGCAAGGAGGATAACAGAACGACGCTAAAATTTTCTTATACCAATCCTGTTTCTTTTGATGGAGAGCAGACATTTCTCAACATTATGTTTAGATTTCCAGCAAACGCTTTCCTGACTCCACTGGACTTCTTTCTCCTCATTGACTGTACTGGAACAGACCCTTCTACCTACTCCGTAAAAGGTTTTGTAACAAAGGAGCGGTTCTTTCCTACCGTTGAAGAGCTGGCGATGGCGTTTGCGGCTGATGAGCTGGACCAGGAGTTTAACCAGACCACAAACGGTTCCTGGGCTTTACTGGATCGTAAGACTGAGATGGGCACTCGTGAACTGGATGAGAAGTTCTCCGCGACTCTCTTGGAGCTTGGCGGGAAGAGATATAAGTTGGACAAAGACCAACGGTTCGTGGAATATATGGGTTGGTCTTTCTACATGGCACACAGTCGCACTCTCGGCCTCATGTTCTTTGATATCAAGTTCAAGGGTGAACGCATTCTCTATGAGTTATCGCTTCAAGAAGCTCTAGCTCAGTATGGAGGAAACCAACCCTTGGCAGCGAGCTCAGGTCAGTATGCTCACCTCACAATGCACCATAATATTATACATGCAAAACTGACCACTACCATAGCCTTTCAAGATACTCACTACAGTCTAGGAGCCAGGATGGGAGTCCTGCTTGAAGGGTTTGATTGTCCATATGGATCCACCTTTTTGAACTTGACTTACCACGAGGGCAACCACACCATAATCAGCCCAGATTCCATCTGCATTTTTGAAACTGACATAGGATTTCCCGTTTCCCGGCATCTCTCTAGAGTTGAAGAGTCTCGGTGGGGATACACAAGCCTGGGTGTAGTCAAGGGCAATGCACTCGTAATACGCGCAGTGGCTACGGTTGACAATTATGACTACATGTTTGATTATACATTCCACGTCGATGGGACGCTCGGAATCTCAGTCCGTGCTAGTGGCTACATCCAATCTAGCCCCTATTATAAGTCGCAGAGGCAATGGGGCCCTCGCATTCAGAAAGCTACCCAAGGATCGCTCCATAGCCACATCCTGACATGGAAAGCGGACTTTGACATCGTTGATTCCTCCAACTCCTTCCGGATCGACAAATTGGTGGCCACACAGCAATCGCAGCCCTGGTTCCCTGAGCTCGACGATTTTGAGCAAATTGAGGTTCAAAGCAACTTCTTGAAAAAGGAAGAACGACTGAACTACGAACCAAATAGCCAGGCCATGTACTGCGTGGTGAATAAAGGAAAGAAGAATGCTTGGGGCGAAACCCGGGCTTATCGGATCGTTCCTGGTCGCTCCAATGTCCACCTCCCAATCTTCAATTCCCCATTCTCCTTAAAGAATTCTGAATTTGCCAAACAGCATCTCGCCGTCACTCGCCAACATGACCATGAGCCCTTTGCAAACTCCGTCCAAAATACCAACTTGCCCTGGAAGCCGCAACAGGATTTCAGCAAATTTTTCAATGAAGAATCTCTAGACCAGGAAGATCTGGTCGTATGGGTAAATATGGGCATGCACCATTTTACCCGCTCTGAGGATGTTCCTGTGACGTTGTATAGCGAGTCGCATGCAAGCATGGCTTTCTCACCACACAATTTCTTCGACCGGGCACAGGATAGCGACTTAATGAATCGGCGCTGGGTTGTAGTAGATCAGGAAAGTCAGGAGCTAGATTTCGAAGATTATGGTGTGAAGCTTCCCCAGTGTAAGATTCGGATTGAAGAACCAGTTCTAGGCCTCAATCCAATACTAGAAGCCTAAGAGATGGAATACCTTGCACAAATCTACCTCGCGCTTTTTTGATTCTTATGAAGCCTGGAGGGTCATGATGCTCTGCAGTATCAACCCCATCTTAATATATTTATATTTCCGTCTTACGGAGTACATTGATGTGCCTGTCCTTGAATAGACAGATTCCGACTCAAATGGATTGAGTTCAGGAGAAGTAATATATTACTTTTCATTGATTAATTAATTAGTGAAAATCTGGGAGCTTTATATTTCCATACAAGTCACTTTATACGTTGCTGAAATTATCGAGACATCCGTGAGCCTGCCTGCCTGATTGTCACGAGATCTTTTTATGTTTTATGCTGGAGTCTCCTTCGGAGTATTGTATAGTCATATCTAGCTCGTCGCCAAACCTCTAAGCTGCTTGTTCGTGCCTATAGACTTGAAAGCATTGGCTATATCTGGGTTGCATTATCCCCTCTTTTATGGGCAGACTCCACCATTCATCCAGCAATGGCAGCCAGACGATTGGTGAGAGAATGATTCAAGATGTTCAAGGGAGGTGTAGACGGTCACGTGGTAATATGGAGTTGGACCTGACTCCTTAGCAAGAGCTAATAATTTACGCAACCACAAGGCCGTCCTCTTATTGGTATCATATTACGAACGTGAGGGCGGGAGGTCAAGGATTTAGGGTGGACGAATGGGGCTCCCTGCGCACAGCGGGAACAGCCGTTGGGCGTGAAAGAAGCCGCAAAGATAACGACTCTGCAACAGACTCTAAAAATGGTGACTCTTGGCTGGTGATCTTGCGAGGCTGTGAGAAGCGATAATGATCTGATTTGATAAACAGAGTTGGAACCTTATTTTCCTAGGACCTGAAACCTGGATGAGTGTTGCAAGGGTTTCCTTGAGGGCAGCAATGACTGCTTCGCAATCGCATCATCATTGTGCTCGGCACATCGGAATGATATCTTCATTCCTTAGCAAATGTGTTATTATTTGCCCTCCAAATTGCTGTTGTATCAAGCGCAGTCAGCACAGCCATGGATCCTATTGGGGCAGTGGGTCTCGCGGCAAATGTTGTTCAGCTGCTAGACTTTGGCATCAAGCTGGTTTCTAAAGCGCACCACATATACAACTCTCCTGAGGGTGCTGGGGTGCATAATATTGAATTGGATGTCATCGCCCAGAACTTAATCTCCGTGAACAGGCGGTTGCACAACAGGTCTCGCAAAATCTGCGCTTTTGCCGTTTGCGAGGACGGACGAGAAAGCAGAGCTTAACAGTGCGCTGTAACCAGATCGGCGAGGAACTGATCAAGGATCTGCAAGCGGCAAAAGTGCAGGGCACTCATAACCACTGGAAAAGTGTTAGACAGGCCTTGAAGAGCGCCGTGGGTCGAGATGGGATTCAGGAGCTATACAACCGACTCAAAAAATATCGAGAGCAGATTGTCGTCGTCCTACTTGTGATCACCAGTGCCAAACAAACAGCACTCAACGAAAATGTGGACGCAGTCAAGCATAGCATCATCGAGTCTGAATCGAGAATTCTCGGACGAGACCCGGAGGACTCGTCCCCAACCCCTGGATGCATCCAATGCTCGAATTGCAACACCACTAAACAAGAAGACGTGTTGAAAGTCTCGCGGCTGCTCTCCGAAAGGATCTCTCGTGGCTCGGAGGAGAAGATCAAGGAAGAAATTCTCGAAAGCCTATATTATCTAAATATGCAATACCAACGTGAATGGATCTCGAGCGCACATAAGAAGACGTTCAATTGGACCCTGGAGGATAAAGCCGGGTAGCATATTCGTTGGGATAACCTGAAGCATTGCTTTGTAAGGGAAACGGTATATACTGGTTGAGTGGAAATGCTGGGTCCGGAAAGTCCACCCTGATGAAATACATTGACCAGGACAAGCGCACTTTAGAATATTTGGAGCAGTGAGCATCGCCCCTTAACCTTGTGTTTGCAAGCTTCTACTTCTGGAATCCGGGAACATCAATGCAAAAGTCACAACTGGGGTTGTTGCAGAGCTTACTCCACAAAATTCTGTCGCAGTGACCAAGTCTCATCCAGAAAGTCCTTCCGGCTCCGGCCCAACACTACACTACAGCACCCACGGAAAGGTGAATTTCTCTTGGACGATTTCACAGTTGACGAACGTATTCAAATTGCTTCTAGAAACCAAGTTTGAGACTTAATTTTTGCTTCCTTATCGACGCGCTTGATGAGTTTGATGGCGATCACCAAAGCATACTTGATCTGCTTGTTGGTATGAGCCGAGGCCATAAAATTAAAATACTCGCTGCAACCTGCCCGTGGCTTTTATTTCAGGATGCGTTCCGGGAGTGTCCGAGGCTACACCGAGTTCCAAACACACGCTTGGAGCCTCTTTAACCCCCTGCCTCATCGACAAGCATCGAAACATATGTGCAGTTCTCGTATACCTTCAGACGCTATCGCCAAATGAATTGGTAATTCCTTTGATCGCCTCTCACGTATAGCCCTTTGGATTCAACCATTTGCTAATTTGGAATGACCATTACTAGACTTTGAAGGAGGGCAGGAATGTTGTGATATGCGCAATCGCAGGTGCTGCTGTCCCCGCGGCAGAGAGAACCGCAAATCGATTCCAGGTTGAATTAAATCTGCATTAGGGGTATCTTCTTGTGTTACAGTTCATTCCCGAAAAGCTTTTTCAACAAAATGAAATATTCTTTCTTGATGGCCGGTCGGTGGATTGCACTGCTTGGAATTGGATAGAGTTGTGGGCAATGCCATCTTGTCACCCATATAGATTTGTCTTATATATATTCCCTTTTTTTCAGAGACCCTTGTCTTTGCTGTTTCTTTTGCAAAGCTCCGGGTGGAAAGGTTAGCCTTCCCGGCCGTTTCTCTGTACTTCTTCCCCTACGGTTTCTATTGCTACAAATTCTTGGGTCTTTCTTTGGCCCTTGGTCTATCAGACATTGATCATTTATGATACCCTTCCGTCTCTTGTATGTTTTTTCTGATACCGCATTTTTATATATGGATCTGGTGTACCCCTTTTCAAAAGTCTTTTCTTTCCTCCCCATATTTATCACGACATATTCCCCCTGTTCTCCATCAGGGATGACCCCACAACCCTGATATCCTGACACTGAAGACATTCTCCTGACTCCTGAAGAGATAGGCAGGCTGCTATCTTGATATCCATCCCCCAGCGGAACAAACCCAACTCCCCGCTGCATATTTCTCCCAGACGCATGACGTGTCTCTGCTACCCAACGCGGCTAGCGTGGCCATTCACTCTCCCCCCTTTATTAACCTCTCCTCCTCCTCCTCCTCCTCCTCCTCCTCTTCTTCTTCCTCTTCTTCCTCCTCTCCTCCTTGTCAACCTCCTCTCGCCATCATCATCGCCTCCAGGTTCGACCATCCGCATACCCATCTTCCATCCACTGATCAGGTAGGCATTCGTTAAACATCCAGTCACTCCTCTCCTGAGAATCTCAATCTAGGCTGTCCAAAGGCAAGCCAGCGTCATTTACATTCCCCTAACTCCCTGCAAGACGCGTCACGTCCGCTCTCTTCGCCACACGAATCCCGACAACAAGCGCCATGAAGTCCCTCATCGCCATTGCTGGCCTCTTCTTGGCCATCACAGCAATGTGTCAAGACTTGAGTCCGGTCTTTAACCTTTCCCCATGCCCCGTAAGTGTCCTGTCGGCCTGTAGTGTTGGCTTCTCCCCCTTGTTGACATTGCGGCCTCCTTTTTTGACATTACTGACTACTCTTCAGAGATCTTGCGCAATGGAAACCTCCGGAAGGGCCAAGGAATTTGGCTGTTCCTCTGGTGATATTGCCTGCCTTTGCAAGAACAAAGAGTACCAGCGCGCACTCATGGAATGTGCTAAAAAATGCAAGCCTGAGGAAATCGAGGCCTTGGCTAAAGCTGGCCGCGAGGTTTGTGACAGTGCAGGTGCGTGCCAGTCAGAAATTACCGCCCTCTTTTTGTCTCTTCTCTTACTCAACGTTCACGGCCAATTCGATTTCTGGCATTCCAGGTGTCTCTATTCCTCCCGCGACTGGCGCAGATATTACCATCCCCGTTCCCACGGTGCAATTGCCATCTGCTCCTGTCCCTGAACTCCCCTCGGTTACCGCCCCCCCTTTGCCTGAATTACCAACTGGTTTACCCCTTCCTTCTCTCCCATCAGTTCCAAACCTACCTCCCAATGCTGGAGTTGAAGGTACTACTACAACTTCCCGCTCCTAACTCCATGCCCATTCTCCCTATCGAATCGAGCGACACCACCTCTCAAGACCCGGCCTTGAATCCTTCGGCCTCAGCCCCCAGCAGTAGCATCGATCCATACCTTGGGGCCGCCAACCTCCTATCACCGGTACATAATGGTGTCATCTACATCGTTCTCCTTGCCCTGGCCTTTTAAATTTCCCACCAGCTCGACAACAATGCTGATGTATCTACACTTCAGCAAAACTACCTCACAGCCATTTCCTATTTCCCAAGTTTGATGATTTTCACTTTCCATGATTCCGGTCTCTTATTGTCATCTTCTAATTTGCCATGACCTTCTGCTTCCCCCGCTTCCTCGTCAATCTTTTTTACCTTGGGGAATACGAAATAACAGGCGCCCGAATATATGACGCAAGGACTATATGTACTGCAAAACTTTGCTTTTAATTGTTGATGATCTCGGATGGCTTTGAATTTCGTCCATGTATATTTTACCAAACCCACACTGAGTGCCGCTCACACAGGTACAACCCAAATTCTATAGCGCACCACAAATATAAATTACTTATACCTTGCGCAAAAAATTTGAAGTTGTAGCTCTTTCAGAATCGTCCATTCAGTAATTAACGCTCGCCAAATCTGTCTCTTGTTTGGTAACTCTGCTCCCTCCTTTCGCCTTAACTGAGGCTCAAGCCTCGAATGACGTGGGCTCCTACTCAATTCCCTGGGCCAGAAAACAGAAGTCCCACACTCTCGAAAATGGGCATACCATTTTTTTCTACTTCTCAAATCGCATCCATTTAACACCATTCAAAGAATCCCTCTTTTTTCCGCCAAAAAATAAAAAATATATAAAAAAAATAAATAAATCAAACAATCTGTGATCCCTATAACGATACTGTGCTATGCGCTCGACCATTTCAAATGATCAAAAAATGTCAAATCGACGGTAGATAATGTAATATGAAGGAAATTGCTGGCTTCCACTATCCTTCCATCAGGCGCCAGGGAACAGGCAGGAATCGCGATATCACGTGATATATATCCGCCAGACAGACGCGTCTCGGCAAACAGCACGCATCCTGGAGTGGAGCCGCGCAAAGCGAAATCCCAGGCCGCAGCTTTGGAGCCTTGAAGGAAGCCTCCGCTACACAACCACAACATCACACCAAGCATGATCCAGCAGATAAATACCCTTTGATCGCTACCTCTCCCCAACCCCGTCTTCTTCTTCTTCTTCTTCTTTTTCTTTTCCCAATTTCCTTATCCCCCTCGAATCGTGCTCAATTGCTTGCCCAGATCCGCGAACCACTCCCCGATCCGGTGATGTAAATGGAATGAAAAAAGCAGATGTTCTATAAATAAAGGAAACACTCATATCGTCCCATCATACTGCGCTGGAGGTGCCAGAAAAGACGAATTAAGGGGAACACATATATTTATGCGCCATCTTCCCCTCCCCTCCTCGTGGCCCAGAATCAAACTTCTTGTTTCCGACCCTTTGCCGCATATTCCCATCCCACCACCGTGCTCCCGGAACCAACTACTAAACTGGCGCGATTGCCGCCGTATTTCCAGCACACCGCCCTACAAAGAAGGAAATAAGCCGTTCCTTCTACGTAATTGTGTAGCTGGTATCTATCGGCCACGGATTGGAAGGGGCAACTCCTCCTATTTTGTTTCTGTATCTCTGCGGAATAGGTGCTTGATAGCGGCTCCGTATAGTTCATTGCTGCCATTGATTCGACGAGGAGGAAAGGAGATGGCGCAGAAGGGTGGTGGTGGTGCGAAACAGGCTACTTTGGGGTACGTTCGAGATCCCCAGTTGAGTATTGGGTGCGTTTGGCTGTGTTTGTGCCAGGGTTGGTGTATTGGTTGGTGGTTTGCTTTGTGTTTTGTTGATTTTTAGGGAGGGACTACTATTCCCTTAAGGGCAATGAATGTTGTTTTGCCCATCCATCTTGCTGTTTGACAACTCTTCCTGTGTTTGCTTGCTAATCTGTATATATTCCCTTGCTTTTGCAGGAAGTTCTTCGGTGCCAACGCAGGTTCTGCGTCGCTCCCAAAGAAACAGGCTACTTTGGCATTCTCAACTGGCTCAGGGAGCAAAGAGAAGCGACAAAATGGATCTGCAACGCGGGCGAATGAGGATGAGGCGCTAGTAAATGGAGATAAGGATGTCGATATGAATAATGATGCGACGAAAAAGGAACCAAAGATTGACAGTAGGAGGAGCGAGACTCCTGCTGTCGAATCCAGGGAATCAGATTCGGATAGTGCAGCTGAAAAATCGCTGAGCCATAGCGACAGTGACTTCCCCGACTCAAAGAAGCTAAAACGGGAGAAAAGTCCCATGGAGGACAGTGACGAATCTGATGTTCAGCCAGTCACGAAAAGACGAAAACGTGCTCTTCGAATAGAAAGACCGCTGGCAAGAAACATTCGGCTTCCCCGAATCAAAATAAACGGACACGATCTCCGAAGAAGGCCAGGGAAAAGCCTGTGGCTGAAGACAAGGAATCCTCGTCCGCTGAACAGGAGGATAACATTTCTGAAAACGATGATGATTTGGCAGAGGAGAAGCCGAAAATTGCTCAGAAAAAGAGAGAAACGGTCCAGCAGGCATTGAAGGGATCTAGAAAGGATCCCTATCCAGATTGGAAAGCTGGAGAGCCCGTGCCATACGCGGCGCTCTGCACGACCTTCTCCCTTATTGAAATGACTACTAAGCGATTAATTATATTATCTCACTGCTCCCTATTTCTCTGCCAAGTTCTTCGTCTTACCCCAAAAGACCTTCTACCAACCGTCCAGCTCATGCTCAACAAATTAGCCGCCGATTACGCTGGCATCGAACTTGGAATTGGCGAATCATTCATCATGAAAGCCATTGGTGAATCTACCGGCCGCAGCCTGGCAGTTATCAAGGCTGACCAGCATGAAATCGGCGACCTTGGCCTTGTGGCCGCGAAAAGTCGCTCAAATCAGCCAACTATGTTCAAGCCGAAACCATTGACCGTAAGGGGTGTGCACGAGGGTCTTCTTGCAATTGCTAAAACACAGGGTCACGGATCTCAGGAAAAAAAGATTTCCGCTATCAAAAAGCTACTGTCATCTGCTGATGCTACTCTGGCAGGAAAGGGATCGAAGGGGATCGATATCACACAAAATAAAGGCGGCCCAAGCGAAGCTAAATTTATCATTCGTTTCCTTGAGGGTAAACTACGACTTGGTCTTGCTGAAAAGACAGTGCTCGTGGCGCTGGCGCATGCGATGGTGGCCCATGAGGTTGAGCTGCAGGGGAAAAAGGCTCCCAGCACCGAAGAGTTAGGCAAGGGTGAAGCTATTCTTAAATCAGTGTATAGGTAGGAATCTTCCTTCACCCCCGCCCCCGCCCCTAACTCTGGCTTTTTGGTTAACACCTTCTCCCCCTTGTTTATTCAGCGAACTCCCTTCGTATGAAGTCATTATTCCGGCTATGCTCGAGCATGGAATCTTCAACCTAAAGGAAAATTGCAAATTGCAACCAGGAGTGCCCTTAAAACCTATGTTGGCCAAGCCTACAAAGTCCATCACGGAAGTTCTTGACCGTTTCGAAGGCAAAAATTTCACTTGCGAGTATAAGTATGATGGCGAAAGGGCACAGATACACTACGTTGCCCGTGAGGAGATGCACAAATACCCTTCGACGGCGTCAACTTTGCAGAAAGATGGTGAAGGCATCTGTGCCATCTTCTCACGAAATTCTGAAGACCTGTCAAAGAAATATCCGGATATCTTGGGCAAACTAGAGAACTGGGTTAAGCAGGGGACAACAAGTTTTGTGTTGGACTGCGAGACCGTTGCGTGGGATACGGTCAATAAGAAAGTTTTGCCATTCCAGCAGCTCATGACGAGGAAACGGAAGGACGTGAAGGCTGAAGATGTCAAGGTTAAAGTCTGTGTGTTTGCATTTGACCTGTTATTTTTAAATGGAGAGGTAAGCCGGCTATATAGATACATACGTTTAATTCCTTTTCCTTCTTGTGCCCTTTTAAGTTTATCGAACCCCCTAACTGACATATCCCTTTGCAGCCCACTGTGAAAATGACACTGCGAGAACGAAGGGCTCGGTTGCACGACGCATTCACTCCAATTGAAGGCGAATTTGTATTCGCCCAACACGGCGACACTAACGATCTCGACGAGATCCAGACATTACTTGACGAAAGTGTAAAAGCATCGTGTGAAGGTTTGATGGTGAAAATGCTAGATACCGAAGAAAGCGGATATGAACCCAGCAAACGCAGTCGAAACTGGCTCAAGGTATAATACTTATAACACTGCATCAGATCGACCACTCATGCCACAATATTTCTCTAATCAATTTAAATTTCCTATAGGTTAAGAAAGACTACCTCGCCGGCATCGGCGACTCTCTCGACCTCGTCGTTCTGGGCGCTTACTACGGCCGCGGCAAACGCACATCTGTGTACGGCGCGTTCCTCCTAGCCGCCTACAACACCAGCACTCAAACTTTCCAAACAGTCTGCAACATAGGTACCGGATTCTCCGAAGCACTCCTCGAAGAGCTACACAAGTCTCTATCCCCACTCGTCATCGACCGTCCGAAACCATTTTACGACCATTCCTCCGTCCCCAAGGACCAGCCGGACGTCTGGTTCGAGCCAAAATATGTTTGGGAGGTGAAAGCGGCGGATCTGACGCTTAGTCCGCGTTACAAGGCCGCGGCAGACGAGTTTATGGGTACTAGTAATGGCGCCGGAAAGGGCATTTCGCTGCGATTTCCTAGGTATATTAAAAGCCGGGATGACAAGAAGCCTGAGGAAGCAACGGCAACGAGGCAAGTGGCAGAAATGTATCGGAGGCAGGAGAGTGTGAGTAAGGATACGACAGGGAAAGGCGGGGTGGATGATGATTTTGAGTACTGAACAGTTGAGTTGGGGCGTATGAAATGGTCGGATGTATGGGGAAGGCAGCTAGTTTCTTGGAGCTGGCTGGTTGTGGCTGCTCCACTTGCACATATACATTCGTTGTTTGGTTCTTTATACCTCGAGTGCTATTGTTCTATTTTCATGGATACCTACCTGTCTTGCTTTCTATATTTTCATATCATTGACAACACTGTCATTGCTGAGGTGGCGATGAAATGGAAAATGGATTACTTAGATATACCTTGATGATGAGAGATATAGCACGTCGCTCAGTTGGGCACGGTTTTACTATTAGGAAACTCGCTCTGACTCCGTCCATCTTCCATATTTGCATTTTTAGAACAATCCCATTCGCTGGCGAGACCAGCAGGAGAGATAAGTGAAAAACAACCATAACCGCAGGCACCAAGAACACCTTTTTAGCATAAAATTAGCAGCATAAAGGCTTCATAAAGGGCCAAAACGCCAGAGTACCTGCAACCCGGAGAACGAAAAGGAACAATAAAAGCACAGAATAATTATGGAGGTACATATGCATTTCATCCCAATTCATCGAATTTCCGCTTGTTCAACCTCTGTTACAACCGTCAACAGCACCATTTCCCACAGTGGCCCTTCGCCTCATCCACTCACTCTTCAAATTTCCTCTTCGCCCCAGTTCCAATCCCATTCACCCCCGATCCCATTGCCCCAGCTCCATTGGGTACCAGACTACCCCTCCTCCTCCTCTCCTCCTCCACAGCCCGATGCTTCGCCATGTCCGCCTCAGCCTGCCTGCGCTTCCACGCAACCTTAATCGCCGGCGCCGCACGGATCAAATCCTCCTCCCCAACGCGATCCTCAATACTCTCCATAACACTCTCGACAGTCGAGATGTGATTTGCGTCCGTTTTATCCTCTCGCAACCGCATGAAGCGCCATCGGTGCTGCTCGTCCTTGTAGCACTCGACAATGGAGTCGTCCAGCGGCTTCTGCATCGCTTTGAGCGTTTCCCATTCCTCCTCCGTGACGTGCATGGTGCCGTAGGGTATGTAGTCATTTGCCCTTCGCACGACGAAGAGGTGGAAGATGGGGATGGCGTCGTAGTCTGGATAGGGTTCCGTGGAGCCGTCACCGTCGGCGTCGGCCGGGTCGGGCTCGACGATGGGGAATTGTAGACGCATGCGAAAATCGACTGTGTTCTCTCCTGGTGGTTTCCATTTGAGAATGTTTTCATCCGTGCCGATTTTATAGGGGGTGCTGCGACAGGTGAAGATGAGGCCGTCATTGCCGTGGACCTTCTTCACCCGGGGTATTATTTCGCGGAACATCATCTCGAGGCCATAGCTGAATTGCGTTGATTTGTCCTCCACGGCAAACGCGCGGTGTTGCTTTTCCGACGGGTATTTCTTGTACATAGCATTATAGGGCTTGAGGACTTTCTCTTTGAAATATGCCAGCCGTTTATCGAGCGTGCGGTGCATCAGACTCGTCCCGTCCAGCACGAGACAATCGAAAACGTAGAATTTCAACTGTGACGAGCCATCTTCATAGGTATCGATAACTAGCTCCCCATCCACAATCGTATCTACATGGAAGCTCTGGAAGGTATCATCGTCTGGTAGTGGGAAATGTAGGCCGGGCACATATCTGTAGTCATTCTTGCGGTCGATGAGGTAATGGATTTCCGGTGTGTCGGACTCTGGGTCCCCACGGGCAAAATAAAGAAGGCAGCGGATCCCATCCGTCTTCTCACACACGTAGTAATCTACCTTTTGCAGTTCGAGGATGTGTCGTGCAGCGAAACTTACAGGTTGCGCGCCAGGGAACCCTAACGATGTGCGACCCAGAAGATGCGCAACTTCTCTGCGGAATTGGTCTGCCAATTGTGGCTCGGCTTTTATGCCGATTTTGTCGAGATCGGGGACGGTGGGGTTGTTCATGGGTCTCGTTTCCTTGATTGATACGGGTGGAGCGGAGGTGGTGTCTGAAGGCCCGCACCGCAAGAGGACTCTTATGGCGGATAGAGTAGCGTGGAAGCAGGGAGTGGGAGCAGGGAGTGAGAGCAGGTGAGCCTCAACGGGTAGCGGCGTATGAGCCACGGAGAATGGAACGGTAAAGAGCGCGGTGGGTGAAAATCGGCTGGAAGCAACTTCTCAGCTGGTGGTTTGGATGCTTTTACCGATGTTGGATGAGTGATGCCTGAGGCGCCAAAAATCTTAAATGCATCCAAACAAAACATCAATATATCGAATGAAGGAAATAACTATGGCCATTTGCCCCAGAATTAAATTACTTTTTTTTGAGTAGGAAAAAATAGACACAAGTGTGCAGCGATAATAAATTGGAATTATCAAAATATCTCCAGTCCCATGCACACAGATAATAGTTGAATCTCACATTAGAGAAACATAGACTGTATGAGCAACCGTTTTTACAGGAGAAAATTCGATATACAGTCTTTCGGAAAGTATTAACAGACCAAAATTGCATCGTGTACTATACAAATGTTGGGGTATCATCTCAGATCGCCAAAAATCCCATCCTGTCGCCGAAAACGCCTTGAGCAACCAACCGCATAAACATCGTTTCATGCCTAGAAATCCAAGGGGAAACCATCATCATAATAACAAGTAGTAGCGGAACATCATTAAACATATACAACATCCGAAAAATTAAGCTGCAGTTGCAGCCATCGAAGTCGTTGCGGCGGTTGTGGCAACCGTTGTAGGTGGTGAGACTGTCGCAGGATTTTTCGCGGCAGCAGCAGCCTGGGAAGCCCGGTTCTGCACTGCCTGCTGGGAGATGGAAGGCTTTCTCGATGTTTCCGCAGATTGCGCGGCGGAATTAATGACGCTTGTAGGAGACGATGAAAAGTTGGTAGAGTCTGAGGCGAATAACGTTCTTTCACCTCCAACTTGGCCCTGGCTGCTTGTGTCGCGTGGATGGGAAAAGATACCTCCCCTGGTGCCCCCAAGAACCTGTGAGAGCATTTCCTTCATGCGCACCAGATGGTATTTTCGTCTGGTTGGAATTAGAGGATGGGTTATCAGCGGCTGAGGATTGGACCGAGCGAGACCGGCCATCACGGCATCTTTCTCCTCGTCCGAGTCGATTGGCCCATTGCCATCTAAATCGTCGTGGATCGGAGCATTTGCATCGATAGCAGCCTCTGCGATGTGTATATTAGCAGCTTGAAAACAGGGTGATCCTAACAAAATGTATCAGATGACAGTGCAGAGGTATACTCACTTTGCTGCCTCGCCTGGTTCTTCTTTTGATATGCCTGGAGCAACATATCGTACGGCAACGACCGTCCTGGGACAGCTCGTTTGGAACCCATAGAATGGCTCTTACAAGTTAAAGATCGCGCACACTGGCCGCCGTTGGGGAGGGGAACACCGCATTGTTTTTCTACGTCGACAGGGCCCTTAGGCTTTGGGACTTTGGGTTTGGGTTCGTCTTTCTTTTTCTTCTTCTTCGGCTCCTTCTCCTTATCATCGTCTCCATCAGCTTTGCGCTTTTTTCCTTTCTTCGGCCCATCGTCCCCGCCAGCGCTCTTCTTCGCGCTCTTCTGTCCTTTCATTGCATCGTCATCATCGCCCACACCAATACCAGTCCCGTCATCCTTATCGTCACCGTCCTTCCCCTTATCTTTCCCTAGCGCCTTCTCTTTTGCTCTGTTGGCAGCGTCGCGAGCTTCTTTCTTTTTCCGCGCTTTCTCCTGTTTAGCTTTTAGGCAGCCTCGTATGTGCTCTGCCGACGTTCGTTTTAAAACTGGTCGTTTACAGTGTTTGCATATCACTGTTTCCAATTGGGCTTCTCGCAATTTGCCGTTGGGGAACGAGGCCATGATTTTCTCGTCCATTTCGGGGAGGATGGGCGACGAGGAAGCTCGCGATTCAGGGTTTCCGTCTTTCGATTCTACCCGAAGGGACCGCGTGAAACAAAAAGTTTTTTAGCTAGCCCGGGTTCGTTGCAAATGAAAATACAGCAAGTATCCATGACATGCGAACGAAATCCCCAGCCCCCGTCAAGTGCAGATATTATTTCAAGTATATTTTTCACTCACCAGCTTGTTCCTGGTCTTTCTTTGCAGCCTTCGCGTTCTTAGCCGCAGACTTTTTGGAAACCTTAAGTTTTCCCGGCCGATTATCCTTATCGCTAAACTTGTATCCCGACGCATCGACAAAACTCGCTCCCGAACTTGAAGCGACTGACGATGCTATTTGCGCCGTTAAATGCCAAAAAATGGAGGTAGATGGCAACGAAGCATTAGCAACAGTGGTAACTTAGTGCCATCTTCGCTTGAGCGATAACCTAGTATATGATCGGGGACGGGAAATCGCGGGAATCGGAACAGGGCAGGTCGAGAGGGGGAGGGGGATCTCACCTCGGCCTGAAGCGCCGTTTGTCGTCATATTGGGAGTGTTAGACTGAGCTAACTGTTGGCTCGTATGAAGGTACAATTATCTCGTGGATTGGGTATGGATTTGTATAGCCATATGCTGTTGGTTTTGGGAAATCGGATGGAAAGATCCATGGATGCGAGAAGCTGGGTCATGTGACCTGGCGACTTCAACCCGACTTGATCTCAGCGGAATCACGACGTGGGATTCTATGCCGAATATCTAGAGGACGGTGATGAATATGTCTGGGGGAGCGTTCGCAAATAATGACAATAAGTTTGTAGTATAGTAATACATTTTATTTTACATTTGATCATTGCACTGTTCGGTCATGGACAAGCCAATCGGGTATCTACGCAATCAGACAACTCAGGTCAGTATCGCGCAAAACAAAGGGTGCTATTTGTTCCCCCGAACCCAAAGCTGTTCGTCATGGCCACATTGACCCGTCTCCCCTGCGCTACATTAGGCACGTAGTTGCAGTCAAATTCCTCCGTCGTGTTGTCCAGGTTTATCGTCGGTGGTAAAACATTCTGCACCAGTTAGATTATTAGTAAAGGCATACCACTCCACAGATCTGTAACCACTCCCTGGGGTTTAGCGATCATGTTGTGGCTTACCTCGTGGATCGCTAAAATGGAAAAGACAGCTTCAATAGCCCCGGCCCCGCCCAGCAAATGGCCTATCGCACCCTTCGTGCTGCTGACATTGATATCGGCGGTTTTCTGTTTTCCCTCACTTCCTAGCAGGAGCGTTTTGATCGCAAAGTTCTCCGCTGCATCTCCAATTACTGTCGACGTCCCGTGTGCATTGATGTAATCAACCGTTCCCGGAGAGATCTGGGCATTCCTCAGCGCCCTTTTCATAGCTAATAACGCGCCCTCTCCGCTCTCTTTGGGCGCCGTCATATGGTACGCATCGCCAGAACACCCATAGCCCTTCAGTTCAGCATAGATCTTCGCACCGCGGGATTTAGCATGCTCGAGTTCCTATATGTAAGAAATCAGCCTTGAAAGATTCCATATGAATACTAGTATGAACCGCGACTTATGTAGTCTCAGGACTGTATCGCAACACACCTCCAGGACCACAACTGCTGCACCCTCTCCCACGATAAACCCCTCACGGTCCCTATCAAATGGCCTTGAAGCCTTCTCTGGTGAATCATTGAATGACGTAGCTAGGCTACGACACCTGGAAAACCCACCCAGGACTAATGGGTGGATACACGACTCAGCCCCCCCTGCTATCATTACATCTGCGTCTCCACAAGCGATGAAACGGGATGCGTCGCCGATTGAGTGAGCTCCGGTGGTGCAAGCCGTGGTAGCGGCATGGTTGGGCCCCTGTGGACGATTAGAGCCATATCAGAAACGATGATAATAATGTGAATACGTACTGCGAATCCATATTTCATTGAGATATGCCCTGCACCCAGATTAATAAGGAGCTTAGGAACGAAGAGGGGGGAGATCTTTTTGTAGCCCTAGATGCAAGAATGTAAACATGGGGGGGGCCCTTTTATACATATCTAGCGGTAATTAAGTATGAAATTGTTTTTATACATACCCCTTTATCATAAACGAGAGAGGTATCGTAAATCTCATCGAAGTTGCCAATGCCAGAACCTAAACATACGCCCTATTGACAAGTTAACCGACCACTTCAACTAGCATTAGGAGTTGATGACCTTCCTCACCGTCATTTCCTGCTGTTCACGATTAGTAGGCTTCCAGCCGGCATCCTCCAGAGCCTCCTCAGTGGCTGCAAGGGCATATTGCGTAAAATTTGCGGTCTTCCTTTCTGCCTGTAGTGAAGAAACGTCAGTAACATGTTTCGTGCTCTGTGGTATGGAGCCAGAACACACCTCACGACTTAACCAATCCGATCCTCTCCAGCCACCATCATTCTTCGAACCTTGAGGAACCAGCGCAGCAATCTGGCAGGGTAGATCTGCATACCCGGGACCCCGGTTCTTGACCGAGACGACACCACAGTGACCATCTAAAAGGCGTGTCCATGTTCGTCGTACACCTACAGCGACAGAATCATTCAGGGAACAGAACAACCTATGGAGCAATTTTCAATTTGCTTCCGCTGCGTCTAATGAACACCAAAATTAAACTCCCAAACGTACCGATTCCGAGTGGAGAGACTGCGCCCAATCCTGTGACTACGACCCGGCGCATGGCACCGCTCCTATAGCATGTGTTTGGTGGCCGAATTTTCGGACGGGCCGGATTGAAGCGGCGTAAAATGTTTACAGGAAGATGTCTTTCATCATTTCGTCAGGAATTGCGTCAGAGAAGGGGGAAGCATACTTAAGCTGATCGGGTTCCGTTGATAGTGTGCAAGATATGCTTAATTTTTTGGTGCCGTTTTTTTCAACCAGCTAAACAACTTGGCCCGTTGGAACCGTGGCTTACATGTGACAATCCCGGGCATCACCACACCCAATATTTTTGGTTTACTCGCCTATACATTGCCTGGGGATGCAGGGGAACAAGATACATGAATATTTACTACGATGGGTTTTAATATTTAAAAAAAAAAAAAAAAAAAAAATTGAACAACGAACTGCTAAGTAATTGCAATTGATCGCAAAGACTTCTTGATTTAAAGTATATAGCCTAGCTAATTGCTATTTCAAGCTTCGTGCACCTTTTCCGCCAACTTTCATTCCATTATGCCTCATACTAACCAGCCGCCTTGAGTCATCCTTCTCGAGCTCAGAACCAATCCTCCACTGCAGTCGCCTTATTACGAAGAGAATGGTGCGATGTAGACACGTTTGCCCAGGGGCACTCCTTGTTGCCGCAGGATAGCATAGGAAGTTTGCAGATGGAAAAAACTATTGGGAACCGAGTATCCGACGATGTAGTCCTTCGCAGAAAGCTCCTTGGTTTTGCCGGGACCGAGGCCCATCGTGATGAGTTTCGTCTCCTTGCCCTCGACAGAGTCGGGGTCCACCTTCTCGAGGGAAGCTATGGCGTCTGTGGTTTGTTTGCGGAGGCCAGCGAAAGTTGACTGGAGTTCCAAATCGACTGCTTCTTGGCCAAGCAGGCGGGCGGCGCATTTCGTTGCCGTTTCAGCAACTGACCGTACCTGAAAGTCGAGGGGTTTCATGTCTTCGTACAGCTTAGCCTGTACGTAGTCATCGACGTTGAGATTCTTGGTTGCGGCGTGCTCTTCAGCGCTGGCGAGGACGGCATCGAGCGATTTGAGGGTCTTAAGGACCATGCCAACACTGGCATCGTAAGTTGAAAACGGCATGTTGAGGGGGATTTGGTGGTGGGAATGGTGGGGATGGTGGGGTTGGTGGTGGTAGTGCGAGTGGCGGTAGTGGTTGGTGTGTGGAGGATATGCTGAGAGTAAGAGATGGGAACGACAAAAGGGAATTCTCTCCTGGAACGAAGCGGCTTTTAAATGGAACAGACTCGGGCAGACGGGACAATTGAATGCGCCGGAACGATGCCTCGAGATTAAGGGAAGGAATATGAGGGGAAGGAATATGAGGGGAACGATGCAAGTGTTTACCTTCTCTGTATCGGATGACCACGACTAGTTAATTGACATTACTAAGACACCCATGTTTGACATGGGCATTGTCAGGCTCGACCGTGACCATTCTCCAGGGTGCGCAGCATGGCGTTGGGATCTGCTAACTTCTCGTATCCTAAACTCGATTGCAAACGTATGTTTGTCAAGATCGAGGCAGAAGAGGGCTTGTGGCTGCCCAGCCCGCCAATTACATGGAGTGGGATGGTCCCAAAATAATTTTGTCCTACGGGTTTCAATTCCTCCGAGTTCTTGAATAATTGGCTGATAATCCCGTCTTGTTGGATATTTTGAGGCAACTGAGTTTCAGTCAAAGCATGCCCAGTCAATTAAACGTCTATAATATCATTTTATTTGAACTGTGGCGCGCGGGAGAGATGACTGATTTCAAATGCAGCAATTACAAATCAACAACTGGAAGCCAGGAATCCATAAATTCAGGGACTTCTTGACACGTCTCCAAGACGAATGTCGCATGCGCCCATCATGCAGAGCTCGTTTAGCACTCGTACTGTAGCCCTCTGCCCTGAGAGCTCTCAGTCAGACTCCGAAATCCGATCCTCGCTCAGTAACCAGCGTGCGTTCTTGGTTTCTCTAAGTAATTTGTCCTAGTAAGTTAGTACGAATGGCTGAATGGGCAAGCAATCCTTACTGACCGCAGTTATTTCACACAGGATATCTAGCGAACAACATAGAAGTGTTTGAATATCATGGCTATGTTGTGTGTTCGAGGCTTCAAGTGTTTATCATCGCGTTCCCTCTCGGCTATCCCCAATGTTCGGCACTGCTTTCTCGGCACTCGACGGCAAATTTTGCAATCGGAAATGGTGTTTGCCGCTGCCTCCGGCTTCCAATTCCGAGGCCTGGAGACATTGCAAATTTTTCCAAGTCGCTGTTCGCCATAGTGTCCAGCTTTCTTGCTCTTCGTAGCTCAAGAAAGGGAAAAGATGCTGCTTCGAAGCTGGACAAGCATCCTTGGCGGGTTTCTCCTGTACTATGTTAACCCCATATATACCCATGATGGGCACGACTATTCTGATCGTGAGAAGAGCTCCATTGACCGTAGGGAAGAGCTCCTGAAGAAATGGGACCAGGAGGTAATGATACCCTGTCCCTCCTTCCTTCTCAATTATCTCCGTTGAAACCGCGCTAATCCTAGAAACATTTTCATCAGTGGAGTTTTTCTGGTGTTTCAACCTTCGCCCATCTGAAGCATGTAAAATGCCTCCTAGAGCCGGATGAGCACTATGATATCGCTATACTCGGAGCTCCTTTCGATACTTCCGTTTCCTTCCGGCCGGGAGCCCGCTTCGGCCCGCGCGCCATCCGCGCCGCAAGTGCTCGCCAGCTCCCAGCAAATAGCTACAACACCCGCGCTGCCATCAACCCCTATCTGAACTGGGCTCGCATTCTCGACTGTGGAGGTATCCCTATTATGCTATTTGACAACGGGGTGGCAGAACGCCAGATGTACGAGGCCTTTCTGGAGTTAGGCACCCGTGAGGCCCCAAACCCTATTCCTGGGGCATTTCGCACGGAAAGCCCAAGATTGTCACACTGGGCGGTGATCACAGCATCACCCTACCGGCTCTTCGTGCCTTGCACAAGATCTACAGAAAACCGGTCACCGTGTTGCACTTCGATGCGCCGTCCGGTACTCGGCGTATTGGACATCTGATCAATCCTGCTTCAACCACGGTAGCTTTTTCCACACGGCCAGCCGCGAAGGGTTGATTTCCAACACCAGCTCCGCACACGCAGGTCTCCGCACCCGTCTGACCGGGCTGGATGATGGCGATTATTCAAATCCCGGGCCCGAACAGGGCTTCCTTCGAATCCATGCGGATGAGATTGACGATGTTGGCCCGAACGGGATCATCAACAGCATCATCTCGCGCATCGGCCTTTCTCCAGAAGAACCTGTCTACCTGAGCCTTGACATTGACGTGCTAGACACGGGCATTGCCCCCGGGACCAGCACGCCGGAGCCCGGTGGGTGGACTACGCGGGAGCTGATTAGGATCCTGCGAGGAATCGAGAAGTTGAACCTTGTCGGTGCGGATATTGTGGAGGTCTCACCTAGCTACGATACCGCTGGGGAGATTACTGCTCTCGCAGCTGCGCAGGTTGCGTTTGAGATTATTACGAGCATGGTCAAGCTGGGTGTCAAGGAGGAGGTGGGAGGTTGGTATGGGAAGAAAGAGGAGGCAGGGAAGAAAAAACGGGATGAGCTTTGAGAAGCTGACCCGGTTTATGATAATGAGTAACGATTCATGTTCCGAGCCCTCGTGGTGGAAATATTAGGATAGATTGTGGGTTGTCAGATCATTATCCGCACAACAGGGTTGAAGCATATGTCATTAATTGATTGTAATTTCTTATACTAAGGATCTGATGTAGCCATTGAGCAGGTCTCTTTCTCACAGTAGTAAACAATGATGAACATAATAAGTCACGCTCCTCTATGCTCATTCATATGCTTCTCATCGAACTAGGCTCTGAACATTTGGCAAAGGTAGATAGAATGATATAGAGCGGGGAGAGATCGCACATTGTCAATCTAGAAGGCCTCACTCTCTGACAGCTATTCGCTGTCAAAGTACAGTAGTGCGCTCCAATCACAGAGTAACACCAGACCTCGATTCCCCTTGAAGGCACATCTATCTCCCTTTCTGAACTAGGTCCGAGTCTTGACGTATAGAACAACCGGGGCGATGAAATGCATGCAATGGCCCGCGAGGCTCAACTGTAGAGGCATTCTGGATGATAAACGGAGTACAAAGATTCTTAAAAAACCTCCCATAGGAAAGTGTTTGCTGAAAGAAATACCGCCACTTCCACTGCAAGAAACTGTCATAGTCGGCACGTCCGTTCAGTCGCTGCTTGGTCCTTTTGGACCGATACGGGGCATCGACGAGACCGACCATGTTCAGCAGGGATCAAACAGAGAAACAAATCCTCCTGTAGCATTGGTGCCGTATCTCACGCGCAAAAGCAGAACCCCGAAGACCCCAAATCTCAATTCCGCACGCACACCAGCCAAACGCAGAGCAGAAAAACTGAACATGCTCATAGCTTAAGGCTTCAATCATCGATACTAGTATTGTTGGAAGGGAAGTAAGGGGTGTTGGAAATCAGAGATCTTAGAAAATTGGAGGTTATACGTATTAGGATAATAAATGCGAAGATGGAAAATATGAAAATTGAAAATCCCGGAGCTGTCAGCAACGGAGGCCAAAGAGCTCTCCCGCCCCTAGTGATAACTGGCCAGGGGAGCAATTAAACTGTGAGAGGAGGGAAAAATACAAGTAATGGGTAATAATATATGATATGTGGTAAAAATGCATATATGACAAGGCCGGTTGCTTATGTGCCGGAGGAGGGTTGAGATGGGGATTGTTGTTCTGCAAGTTAGTATGCAGGCAAGAGAGAGGGACCGAGTAATATCAACAGAGACGCAAGAAATGAATGGAAATTACAAAAAGAAAAGTCAATGAAATTTTAATCTTTTTTTAAATGTCTCTTTGTATCAAACCACGACCTAATTAACATGAAACTAGGGGGAATAGGAGCAGAGGGCATAGGGCTTCTATTATTCTCTCCTTCCATCATGGGGAAAAACTAAAAAAAACAGCGTGGGGGATTGGCGTGGGAATGCGCAAATAGACGCTGCCTCAGTCAGGTTTTAAAGCAATTCAGTAAGTCAGAAATAAACATTCCAGCATGAATAGAGTGAACCATGGAAATGGCGGGAAAAAAAGTGCACCAGTGAAGCAAAATATCTTGTTGCAACAAAATGAACTCAAAGGAAGAAGAAAACAAGGGGACAATAAAAATCGGAATCGCAATCGTTAAACCGTGCAGGCAAGTCAGAAGTAGCTAAACCCGTAAGTCACATAAAGAAGACTAAGCCGATGGATGGAAAATGATAAATAGGAAGAAGGAAAACGGTCTGGGCAAAACAAAAACAATGGAAAGGAGAAAAACGAAGAGATAATTCGAGATCTGCAAACATCAGTTGCCAGGTGAATCTTTGCTTTAGACTGTTTTTGCTTTATGCTCTTTGGGTTGTTTTTTTGGTCGTTTCTTTTCTTTTTCTTTCTTTTTTTGCGGCCAGATTTAGATGATAGAATACTTCGTCCTTTCGTTAATTTCCACTTTTCGCAACTTTTCCTTCAACTTTAAAAAAATTCCCAAATCATGCATCAGATCCACGTCTCCCCCGCCAAGTGGTACATTTGGTAATTTTGTGTTGAAGCTTTGCTAGCCGACCTCGGGACGCCTACTAGCAACGAAACAGTGAATTGGCCAAGTTACTCAGCGTATGAAGACGTCTATTGTATTTCGTATCATTGCAGCTTGAAAGCTAGAAGATAGTACACTTCGACTTCTTTTTGGGAACTGGTTCTAGTGCAGCAACGATTGCCTAATTTGATGGAAGAACGCGAATGTTAGATATGTGAACACAGAAAGGGAGTTCAGCTGGCTAACCTCGTCGAATACATCCTTGAGCTTGTATTGAGTCAAAGCAGAGCACTCTACGTATTTGACAGCTCCCAGTTCCTTTGCCATCCGATCGCCATCCTCCTTCCGTACGGGCTGCATCTTCTGCTTTGCCAGCTTCTCTCGTACGCTTGGGTCATCGCGCAAGTCAGTCTGGGTTCCTACGATCAGGCAAGGAACCCCCGGGCAGTGGTGATGGACCTCGGGGAACCACTTCTCGCGAACGTTTTCGAAGGAAGCAGGCGATGTGACCGAGAAACAGACAAGGAACACATCTGTCTGCGGGTACGATAAAGGTCGTAGACGATCGTAATCCTCCTGTCCGGCTGTGTCAAAAAGTCCTAGGGTATATGGCTCATCTCCAATCCTACAATTCGCAATTGAGTGGCTTGATCAGCATGCATTGGAAAACAAAAGTGTGGTCCCTCTTTCCATCAAAAGTATGGATATATAAGAGAGATATGGACAGTAGTATGTGAATGGAGTAAACGGATGTTCATGTGGGGTGTTGAAAGTGCTACACGATCCTCACACATGGCTGATGTGGTATGAACACGAAGGGGAAGTCACACAACTTACATCACTGTAACGGCATAATTATCGAAGACGGTCGGAACGTATTCAGAGGGGAACTTGTTGGTGGTGTACGAAATCAGAAGACATGTCTTGCCGACTGCACCGTCTCCGACCACAACACATCTGGAGGGTTCGAGAAGACTGATCAGTATCGAAGCTTTCGCAGAGCCTTCAACCGATATCAACCAATTTCTCGTGCAAGGTCATGTTACAGGAACGAGAACTACATACTTGATGGTAGCCACAACCATTTTAGATGCTGATTAGAATGTAAAGCTCTAGTAAGCTGCTGTCGCAGATATACCGTTTGTCGATGCGAAGGACGCAACACAGAGCGTGGGATGGGCGGTTCAGGACGGAGAGGGGAGCTTGACGTGAACAAGAGATAAAGGAGCCGTGCAATATTATGTAAAGACACGAGTATGGGTGGTATTCTCGCGGCGGGACGATAGAAGGAGAATATTAACGAGTGCGAGTAGAAAATCGGAAAGTCAGAGGCAGGACAGCACGGAGACAATGGGCTGTACCACAAACAATACTGCACGTTAGCGATCCAAACGTTTACTTGAAAGGCCGCTGGAGAGGGCAGAAAGACAAAAGAGAGTCACCGAAAACCGAGAAGCAAAACAAGGGATATCTTAACGACTTGAGTTGACTAGACTGACCTTTGGAGAAGCAGGAGACCGGGAGAGGTAACGAACAGCAGCACGCGCCCACAAGGACAGGAGAGGCCCCTTGCGAGGCTGACTGCAGTTCTGAGAGTGCAGGAAATCGACGAAGCACGCTCTAGCCGGAACGGAACAGTGTTGGTGGAGGAGTGGTAGATACGTGGGAGAGAGATGGAGAGGGAGGAGAGGAGGTGAGGTTGAGACGAAGTTGGAGCAAGGGAATGCGACCAAGCCCAAAGAGAAACAGCCCGGAAAAAACCACCAGATGAGACGATAGACAACACCAAGTGAACAACTCCCAATCAACGCTGGGAAGTGAAAGGATAGCAGTGTGGAGGATGTGGTGACGATCTGAGTCTTCTACAGTGCACAATTCTTTTCTCCTGCTTGATCTGGGTGAGCAGTGAGTGGTGTTCTGCCAGTTTCTGGCAGTTCGGCCGTTGAACGAAACCTATTTTATGGCCGAGACCCAACTACGGGGTCGTGACTTGGCTGGTACCTCGATTGAACCTAGAATCTGCACTGCATGCAAAGTACCACGGAAGTCCATTCCCAGTGGACCCAGCTACCATCTCACACAGTCCGTTCATTGTATGGCTATTCAACAGCAGCTATTACTAGAAAAAGCAAAGAACTTGACGTGATAGTGAGAACAGAGCATGCATCTCCCATCTGCATGAGGCAGCTGTCATTGGTTAAACCCACGCTTTTTCTTTCGCTGTCTCCCGGCCATTCAGGACTTTTTTGATTTACTCCGTATCTTACTGGGCTGTTGGTATAAATATCTCACAGGGAAAAGTCGCCGGGGCCCATTAGAGCAAAGAAATTCACGCGAGTAATCATCATGGATTTTCCTTATTAATAACTAACTTACTGCATGACTAGATGCAAGTGCACCTCCCGTCGATTGAGCAATCACTCGTGCACCTCTCTCGTCTTGGAATTCTATCTACACGTCCAATTCACGAGCGGAATGGGGAGGGTCGATACTATTACTTAGCCCAGCATGGTAGTTTTTTGGGAGGGAAAAATACCCTTCCCTTTTCAACATCATCACCGCGCATTGACCTACGCTGCAGAGGTGCCGAAGGTGAGCACTGACTGGCATGGAATCTTTTAGCTCCTCTGCATGGCCATGGCAGGGTTTGCAGACAGTCAAAATCAGAACCTCCCGGAGTTAACAAAATTCTATATATATCGCCCGTCATCGTGGTCGTCGTCGTTCGTACAAAGCGTCCAAGTTACAGTTGCAGGATGTTGGCTGTTCACTCATTCTCTGTTCATTTGCTGTTTCATCTATTGTTTCAGCCTATGTTTTCGGCTCTGACAACAAAAGCCACCGTTTTAAGGGGTGGTGTTGATTCAAGGATCACTCATCCATCCAAGTCCATCAGCCATTCTTGAATCTTCGACCAACTTTGACTAACAAGTAGTAACAACAAACTAACTAACAAGCCAAATGGCATCGGTCATTGTCAGCCTTGCCCTGGTCCTTGCTAGTGTCTTGATCGAACTGTCAAGGAGTTCTAAGTTACTAGCGTATCATCACCTCTTCTCAACGTGAAAGAGCCGCCTGGAGCTTGACTTGCTGAGCCTCGAAAATATTTTGGCATTTGATTGGGAGTTTCGTAACTGGATATATTGCCTGTTGGAGTTTGTTGCTCAATCAATGAAAGCCATCAAGTGCCTCTCAACATGACATGAAATTCGTCAACCAAGGACGATCGGAATTATAGTTCTTGATCGACTGTCGAGAGAGAATGGTAAGAAAAAAGATCATCTCTATGGAAGAAGCACAGAAAATGGAGTAGCGACGACTAACAATCACCCTTTGACGATGGAAAAACTAAAATGAATACTAAAATAGGTTTACGAGGAAGTAAGCACCAAAGAGAGATCGATCGGAGCTTATTCTGAGAAGGCCCTCCGCTATGCGGGTTGGCCTAGATGAGTTTCATATCTACCAACCCTCAGAGCTCCAGCCTACGATCATTCTTTGTGTCTCTCTGGTTAGCTGTAGACTGAGTCGTCCACCAGGAAATCCAGGAAATCCAGGAAATCGAGTTCCCCTTCCTCGACGCATTGTATAGCCAGTTTCGGACACAGTGGTTCAGTGCAACCGTTCATCCTCCAAGCAAGCCACAAAATCGTCACAGATACACAAGAACCTTCCGGGGCGTCCTCCGGTACCGCAGAAGTTGGCATATATTCCAATTTCCAACTGACCTCCGTGGGTAGAATCCGGTTTTCCTGAAAGAACTTGGCTTCGGTTCTAATGAGGACGGTTTGTGACACAATTCGGATGCGCTTGTTTCCCTACACCTCTCATAGCCGACCTGATATCTGATGGACGCTGGAAAATTCAGACAATCAAGAAGATTTTAAGGAGATGGGCGCCAGGTTCAGGAGATATTCTATCTGTTCCACATTTTCTCGGTCTCCAGCAGGGTATGGTGTACAATTACCGATTCAAGAACTGCCATGAACGGATAGAAGAGATTGAATCTCGATATCCAATATCAAAAAAAATATCCTGCAGAACCACCGCTATCGATTCGATAGCAGCTGGAATGGGTAAAACCATATGTTTTGGCCATTGAATCCAGATCTACTTCAGATGTTTTGGCACAGTTCCGGAAAACGCTGGCGAGATCTGTGCCACCCGATGGCTGTATGCAGGATATCCAGCGCAATCTGGATGTCCTTCCCTGTCTCATTGAATAAAATGAGACTAAAAACATTACGAAAATGAGGCAGTTCCCTACAGAACTTTCCAGGTCGTTGGTCGTTGCTTGATCCAGATTTAATATCATCTACCGCTCCAAGAGCTGGGTAATAAAGCACAAATATAGATGTTATTCGCTTGCAAGAGATTAGATTGAGCGGAGATGAAAAAATTATATTGATAGTCGGATAAGTGGACAGTTGTCAGTTGTCAGTTAGCGGTTGTCGACTCCCATATTGACCTTCTCGAACGCCTCTGTTCCTGATATGTCGTTCGCTCATTTATCAGGACACAGCGAAAGAAAGTTCAGAAAAAAATAATAAAAATAATTAAAAAATCGCATACAAGTTCCGGTTGTTCCTTTCAGACCCTCCTAAACACGATCGGCTGCACACCTCCGTCCGGAAACAAATTCTTTTTCTTTCTCCTCCGATTTTCGTGTTTCACGTCCTTAGACGCCAGCTCGCCGTCTGCCTCAAACCATACACCCTCGTCCAATGATGTTTCGTATTCTCTGTATATACTGGCCGTCACCTGACGCATGATAGCCCACGCGACGCTATTCAAATCCCAGCAATCAAGAGTCAGAAATAAATGATGATAATTAGATAGTATAAACAGCATTTACACTACAGACCAAGTAGAAGACACACATCAGTGAGATGGTGATATCTTCTCTATACAGGAATTCAAATAAGCTTATTTACGTACTTCATTCCCGTACACATCCTTTGTCCATATCCAAACGGCATCAGCATGCGTTGCATCTGACGGTGGGCCGGGGATGTAATTGGCACTTGCCAGCGTTCTGGATCCCATACGTCTGGGTTAGGAAACGTATCCGGGTCGCGGTGGAGAGTGTGGGGTTGGATGGAGATGATGGTCTAGATAACGCAATATTTTGTCAGCATTCTCTATCCAGGAAAGAGAGGGAAGTCTAGATTATCGGGATCGTTGGCACTATCCGAAAGCTCACCCCTGGGTTTATCTTCAAACCCATGACAGTAACGTCCTGATCTTTCGTTTTAACCACTCTCGGGAGACTAAAGGGGATTGGAGGGCTGATTCGTAATGTCTCCCGCAGGACGCCGTTTAGGTACGGGAGGGCTTGTAGCTGTGATAAAGGTATGTGTTCCGTGGATGAGGCGGGACAACTTCCGTTGCTGACAGTTCGTAGTTCCTGGCGAAGTTTGTCCTGGTGGTGTTTGTTTTCCGGGAGGGAAAGGTGGTAGAGTAGCGCGGAGAGGAAGTCCGCAGTTGTGGTGGTACCTAGGGTTCTAGTTATAACTATAATGGGACATAGAGTTTTTGGAAGGTGTATTTCTAGGAGATTGCTCACCGCCTGAGAAGTGGTCCAAAGTGTCGCTGGCGATGTAATTGATGTTTGGAATGGCAGGGCTGGGACCATCCATTTTGAAAAGACAAAGAAGATGTTGGAGGTGGGTATTTGCCTTCCTACCGTCATCATCTTTAGATTGGAGAGGCAGTGACTTGAGAGATTCTTGCACCAATGACATGCCAAATGTAGTCAATTTTGACCCTGGGTTGATCAACGGTGATAAGAGTTTCATGATGGGAACTTAACGATCAGCATCATGGAGTATTAGTTCCTAACTCCCGGGAACAGCACACTTACGGGGAAGCCATTGGAAAGCAGTCATTAACGGACTGGCGACCAGTTCCAGTGTTGGGGTGAGGAGTTCATTCATCTGAGCTCTTGAATCAGGATTGCTCAGTAGATTGAGTGGCTTTTCACGCCCATAGGTCAACCCGATCATGATATCAGCAGTCAACCACCTCATCATGGGAAACACATCAACAGTCCATGAAAGCGGCTGCTCCGACCCTGCCTCTGCTTCAATTTCGTTCATTAATGCATCAATAGTCGTTTTGATATGAGCCTGAAAGGCTGGTGATGCTGCAACTGGGCTCGAATAGAGACCCGCGACATTTTTTCTGCGAATTAAATGTAATTCTGCGTCAACGGTGCTTACTACATTTGGTGAGCCATATCGCTCAAAAAACCAAACAAGATCAATGGAATCTAATCCGCCTCGGGGTCCGGTGTAAATATCCTTTATGGCATCTGGATGACAGAATGAAATCATTTTCGGGGAAAGCTGAACAATGGGACCATAGTTTCGGTGCGCACGATGAGTCGTGTTTAGGATCCCATCTGATGTAACAACAATCGGACTGTTAACGAAGGTGCTAATAGTGAGTGAACTTCGTTGCCCGGATCACAAACGCACCTCTCAGTTCATGCCATCGAAGCCACAAGCTCGTAAACTTGGCTAATTTCGGACCTGGGAAAGGGGAGTTAATGGTGCGATACATTGACAGACATATGTTCGGAATCATCAACGACAGTATAGAAATCGCAATTAAAGGCCAACCAAGCTGAAATCCACAGTGCAGATTTGTGAGGAGGTTAGCCACAGCAGACATGGTACAGGTATTCCCTGCTTTTTGCGGCGGGACAATCGCGATGCTGAGATCACATCGGCTGCGACAAATCTAGTTGTCGGGTGGAGCTGTTTAAATATGTTTCCAGAAAGTCTCTGGCAATTTCAACGTCGGGCTTTAGCAGTCATATCTTATAAGCTACGGTTAGTGGCGTTGAGCCCTGAAATTCTTTATCCCTAGGTAGATAGGCGCCAGTGCCCATGTTGCTCAGGCTTCTAGCCAAATCAGGGTATTTGTTGGAGAAGCGTATTTCAAATGCAAAATACCCTGATTGCTCATTTTGCATCATAGCTCGTCATTGAGCGGAAGTATGAATTACTGCAACCAAAGCCACTGCTTCGAAATCTCCAAAAGCAACACAACGCGGAAAAAGATAGTGGCGGAGCCCCAAAGGTGACTCTGCTGCGGATGAAAAAGGGAAAAAGCAAGAAAACATCAAGGTTGAGGTTGTTCGCTTATACGGCGCTAAAAATAAGCGCCAGCCTTAAAACCTGCCCCCAAACAACCCCCAACAAGCCTGAGACAACCTCTGGTGGTGAATCTGGTGACACCACGCATTCGGGTGTAATCAGCTCCAGGTGCCTTCAGCGTCCATATTGGTGATGTACCAAATTCGACGTCACCGCCCCCCAATGAGGAGAAATGTTCAAAAACTCCCCCAAAGGGTTAAATGCGCGTATTCAGCTCCAGCTTCTTCAAGATTGTCCCAAGGATGGAAACCAATAACATCGTGTCCTGAGGGCTGTGATGCATTTAGCAAGTGTTTGGATACTGACCATAGTAGCCAGGCACAGATATAAATGATCCAATGCATCTTCGGGGATTCTGGATTTTCATTTTTGTTTGCTTGCTCTTTCTCATTTATGAACTCTGGGAATCCAGGCTTATGATACACTCCATCTCAAGGCCATATATTCCATTAATATATGAAACTGTCTTCTCTTATATCTGCGAATTTCCTTTGAAGCAATCCCATGATCTATACGATCCACTATACTCTATACAAAGGAGATAAGGCTATCATCCGCCATCACGTCGGCCAATCACCTCCTCCTCTCTGCATCGCACATGCAGGCCTTGAATGACAGCATGGCCTACATGCAGCCACCGATTCGCTGCGTGCACCTTGCTAAAGAGAGAAGCTGGACTTGCCTCAGTTATAAAATAACCACTCCAGACGATTCTTCTTGTCTGTACACAGTTGGAACGTCCAGGAGTCACCCAGAAGTTACCTTGACGCGACATCTCCAGCCAGTCCCATATACCCGACAGACTTCTTCCCTATCGAGGCTCTCTGGGCAGTTCTCCCTATCCAACCTCTTGGGGCAATCTCGTCACCACCACTACCACCATCAACAGACGGCCCAGTTCAACAATAACTACCTCGTCGGAACCGCGACCTTCCATACCTTCTCGTCGAAAATTGACATTGGCCTCAGCACAAACCATACCATCATCATGAAGCGGCCAGATCCGTTATCCACCACGCGCAGGTTTGAGAGCCTGACACCGCTTGGTACGTTGGAATGGAAGAGTGACGGCGGTCCCTTCGGGAGCCTTGTTTCCAGCAATCTTAAACTGGTGGACGCGAGAGGGCGTACGGTTGCGCGATACCAGAAGCGCTCATCGTCGCTTTCCAGGGAGAATGATGTGATCACGTTGCTTGTGCCGGAGCTGGACGGATTTCTTGACATTGTAGTTATTACGTGCATGGCCACGATAGAGTATAGACGGGTGGAGGACGAGGCGATAGAAGAGGTTGCTGGTGGTGTGTGAGTGCGTGTACTGAGAAGCTAGGAGATACGGCTATGATTGGTTTTGTTTGATTATATGGTCAATAATGCCCTGTTTATTTTAAATCCGATTTTCCCCCTCTCTGCTTTGTACTGTTTGATTTGACTAGCACCCGGCCTGGAGCCTTCATATTCTACCCTTTTTGCAATTGTTAGACTACTTTTGATGCATATCCACAAATGATAAGAGTTTACAATGACAAGATGTTTATGAGCGCTTATCCATGGTTGTCGTCATATTGAATATGTGAAAATGTACCCAATCTAAAATACTAGTAGTTTTTGAAAAAAGCTGCCTTGGAGAGCTGAGCCTGGAGACCCACAAGGTATGTCTTAGAGTTATAAATGTCAGAGACAGTCAGCTAGATCTTGAATAAAACATGATAAATCAGAAATGAGAGATTGAGGAGATATAAAAAGCAAGGAGACAAAAATAAAAGAAATGAAAATAGTGCCATGCGTACCTTGGAGATACATGATATATCCCTGGAAGGTCAACTCAAACAGCAGCCAAATGGACCATCGCATAATCCTTGACTCTGTACACAATAAAAAAATATCGACAGAATGTGAGAATTTGTGATACCCTTCAATCAGCAAAAGATCTACAGTTATGCACCGTTAACAACTTTAGTCCCTCCAGTCAGACTATGCTCTCCCAACCAAAAGTGCTCCCGAACCTGATCTTCTCGTCAGCCTATATAGGGAAATCGGTGGTGAAGCCACAGCGATCAAATCTTGGCTGGTGGCATGACCTTGCACACAAGAAACGAGGAGAAGATGATTGGCAAGGATATCCGGGGGGTGTGTTCTTGAAACTTGCTGGAAATCTTTAACCTGCGGGCCTTAGTATTGTTTGATGGTTTAGATGAGATGAGCTGAAAGAGCCGGGCATTTTGATTGTTTCGTTCATCGATACTCCGTGAATGACCGAAGAATCAGGAGGCATGGTAAAAATTACCGTTTCAGGCAGAGACGAGCAAGCACACAGAGACTTTGGAATGTGGCCCATGATAGTAGTGATTGAGGTGGTTATAAGGATTATCACGCTTTATCAAACAGGAGCTTGTGAATGTTGACAGATGCACAGAGAGCGGAGGGAAGGTCAATTGTACCCATCAAATGCTCGATTAAGCACAGGGGTTGATAGATGCTTAAACTAACCTGCGGGTAAAATCTGTGCCGAAGCTTCCATTTCAGTGGAAGGTTCGTTATATATATATATCAAGCGCAAGATTTGAAGATCTTGTTATAGCGCCGAAAGACATAATAATGGCGAGTGGATGGATCTTGCTGCTGCATCACAGACACCACCACAATCAACCTCCAGTTGAGGAGACACTGTCTAAGTTTGTTCTCAAAACGTCACTCATGGCAGGCCACATTTTGACAGATTGTAAACTCTTCTCCCTTGACGGTTAAATTAAAACCGACAATGTAGTCAATCCAATTGTCTACAGATCCTCATTATGAAGTTACCTTTCTGAATAACCAATGGAGGCCAACTTACAACTACCCCTCCTTTACTAGTTCACCAGTTCGAACATACAAGCTTCCGAAGACCACGTACATTTATCCTCCGGATCAAATAGCAGACAGAGAGCGAGTATTTACTTACAGGAAAATAATCCTTTGTGTTTGGATAAATTTGCTCTGGTAAAATCTATCTTTCTACGATGATTTTGAAACTGCACTTTTTTTCTCTTGGGGAAGAGGAGAGGATGATGAAATCACTGCTTCATTCATCTATATGCCAGCAGATAATACGTCGAAGACATACGTCGCGTGAACCCAAAAAAAAAATAGAAAAATAGGAAAAAAGTAAAACGAGAAGAGGCTCTAAGGGCGTAGATATACCAAAAAAAAAAGCTAAGACAAATATGATAGATTCAACAACGCTCAACAAATATGGTATTGATTTCTATATGCGTGATTGAGGAAAGATTAGCAGATAACGGCCTCCCTTTGCTTGGTGGTGGGTGATATCAATTGACAGCACGGTGGGGCATGACGTGGTAAAGAATTTGATAAGTGCCAAAAACGGTCAAGAGTTCCTGTTTCACTTATGGATTTGTCATTACTTGTTCGTTATTTGTCCTTGCGCCAAGCGCTTAGCTGGGTGCATGCAAATATATATATATATATATGCAAGGCAGGGAATCGAGGGGATGTATATAGTTAACGAGGTGTATTTCCGTAGGGAATAAGCTCCGGACATTTATCGTCAAGGCAGTTGAGTTAGATAAGTTCTCCAGCAATTTTCATCACAAGTGGCTTCTGTGACAGGAGCTGGAGCCGGGTCTTTCAGAGCCTGTAGGACGAGAGATCAACCTATCTCCCTCCTCGTCATGTCTGAGTGCTTCGCCTTTTACGACGGAATCCATCTATTGATGCGGTTTGTGCAGTCAGTATTGATCCAAAACGGGGATACTCAACGAGGAATCTTGGGGGGGGGGGGGGGGGGGGGGTAAAGGAGGGAGGGAAAGGGAATGGTAAAATGAAGGAAACACAGGCACTACGCACATTATCCAATTTATAATCCACCATGAGCAAACTAAGCGGAATAAGCGGAATAGTCAAACAGACGGCAATCGTCAGAAGTTTGCGGAACGTCTCATCGTATGCACGATTGATAGCGATTCTCGTTGCAGAGCCCAATGGGTACGAAAGCGCCTTGGTAAGTTTGCCGAAAATCTCCTTTGCATCGCCCTGGCTCTCAGCAGGGAGGTACAAAGACAGTTTCTTCGGGATAGAGCTAGTCCACACAGCCCCCGAGATGGCCGATCCCACCGCTCCGCCCATTTCTAACGATGTGAGGAACATGGCCGTTGCCGCAGCGACATCTTGATGGCTCGCAGAGGCTTGTACACCTAGCTGGACGGGGACGTTGAGGAGGCCAGCACCAAGTCCGATGACGGTTTGAATGATAAATGTCGATGTAGTGGAGGCGCCCTCTTTGTTGAAGAAGAACATGAGGGCAAGGCCAGCTATGTAGATGCAGCAACCCCCGGTGACGAAACGTCGGTATCGTCTGGTTGCTCTTATTACGAATGAGACGGAGACGGCGGATATTGTTGATGTAAAAGAGAAGGTTTGCGTTACTCGACCGGCTGTGGTGACAGATTGGCCCTGGACAACTTGAAGGTAGGAGTAGAGGTAGGGCTGTACCGAGCAATAAAATGCCACTGCGCCGAAATGTTAAATCAGGGGCCAGATAGAGATCAAAAAACTTGAAGGGGGCCTTACTGAAATAAAAAAAAGCAAGGGCACAGCCAACAAGAGCTGTTCTCTGCTTGAGGAGGTGTAATGAAAGGAGAGGGTGCGGAGCCAGCCGCTTCGAAGTTTCCCAGAAGGGGAAAACAACAAGGCAAATCCCCCCAATGACTATCATGGCGATGATGCTGCTGTTTTTCCACGTATTCTTCGCATTGGCCGCCAACGTCAGGGGAACCAAAATCAAAGCCACTCCCGCTGACAGCAGCAATAAACCGAATACGTCAAGGTCGTACCAAGTCCTTTTAACTATACTGGTGAAGCGGTGCGCTTTCCAGGGTCGGGGCTTGAGGAGATTTAGTCTCCGAGCCTTCTTCTGGTTCAGGAAAAGAGACAAGGCCAACGGAAGAAATGCGGCTGGCAGGATGATTGTCCACATCCCATATCCCCAACGCCATGAGGTTTCGCGGAGGATGGCTGCAGCGATCATGGGCCCAATCCACACGGTAGCTAGGAATGGTAGATCGGGTAGGCTGGAGAAGAGCGCTCGGTTAAGTAAAGAGCTGGTATCTGCAATGAAAACTTGTTGGAGGATTTGCAACCCCGTCGAGCCAGCGGAGTAAAATAGCTGCGCCGATGCATAAGTTTGTACATTACTTGACGCTGCCATCTGGGCATATCCAAGGACGTAAATCGAAACTGCTATGCAAAATGCCTCGAATCGACCAAATACATCGGCGACCTTCGCCATCGGAGGTTTCACGACAGCTGTGAGGCATGTTAGACCAAGATCCTTTAAATACTCTGAAAATTGAAGTGTGTGTACCGTTAACTACATTCTGGACGACCAGAACTGTTGATATTAACGAATGCTTGCTGAAGGAGCTCGTGGCGTATGCTGACAAAGACAAAACCGTCTGGCCTTCTAGAGAAGTTGAAAATGCCATCAAAAACATTCTTGGTTATGTTAGCGGGGCTTTTAACGAAAGGGGGGTTTTCTCGTGCGTGGGACGGGACGCAGTAGATTCCTGTTGCGGAGCAAGCAACATAGCGAGAAGCCCCAAACATGCGTGCCACTCAACAATATTTTCTTAAACAACGAATATTATGACATACCCAATATATGCAACTATCAATGACTTGTGCGTCCACGTCTTGCTAATGGCCTCAATCTTGCGTACACCCTCTTGGACGGAACTCGATGAAGAGGAAGTATATCTCCCACCACCTCTTCGGTCATGGCCATCGTAACAGGTCCCATCGCCATCACGATCTGCTGGCGGTGCCTCCATGGGCTCTGCATATAGCAACCCCACGCCCTCATCCTCTGTCGCCATTGTAGGTTGGGATTCACATGTACCGTAAGACTTGATCGAGGTCTGCTGATTCATGGCGCAGGGTATGGGATTCGTCAGCGGGATAGACGGTTCCCCAATCTCAACGCTAGATGGCAGCAAAGGGTGAAAGAGGAAAAGGTGTAAAATATGACTTCGTTCGTCGTCGAAGTGAAGGTAGGAAGTTCACTGGGTTGGTTCATCAATCGGGGGGACGCATTTCAATATGTTAAGCGTCGTGGGTATCACAAGACAAAAGAGGAAGGGCGTAGAAGAGCGAGAGTCGAGGATAAAAAAATAGCTGCGACCTGCAGGATTGTTGTCGATATTCAGGCAAAAAGTCCGTCTATATAAACCTTGATGTGACCGGTGGCGGGGTGCCGTAGTTCCGAGCAAAACGCGAGATAAACGACGCTGCAAAATCACGACAAAAGCAGAACAGAAGGAGGAGAAAGAGGAGAAAAGGGAGAGAATAGAACTATTCAAGAAGAAGCTGTCGCCGATCTGGACAGATCTGTCAATGTGTGAGTGCAATAGCGTGGAATCAGAGCACAGTGATAATCAGTCAGACTCAAAATTGGGAAGATGCATGCCATGAGCAGATAAGAGCCAACAGCCCAGCTTCAGCCGCGAATGCGTGTCCTGAGATACTGTGTCGAGGAGTACAGAGACATGAGAAGAAACACAAGAAGAGACCCGGATAGGAGGCTGGCGGGGACTTTGGAGATACGGAGCAGACGAGGACCGGATCAGGAGACACAAAACGGCCAAAAAAAACCCCCAGCCAGGCCAGATCAGACTGATCACATTCCACCCAAGATCGAGGCTAGAAAACCTAGGAACTCGCCACACTCCCACTGGCGTATCCGCTGGCTGGGGGCACCCCACGTTCGGCAAGTGACGCAGCATCTGAGGAGGATAAGCACCTTAGCGCAAAGTGACTCTTCCCTGAATTTTCCTGCAGACTGCCAAATCTTTTGCGCAGGTAAATCTACGAAATAAACGTGTATGAGATATATATATATTTACGCGATGCCTCGCCGGTCTTTTTATTGTGGAGCACGTCTGCAACTATCCATCTAGCCCCCACCTCCATTTGTCGCAGTCGGAAACGGTTGTACTCGACGCCTTCCTCCCTGGCTACTCCTCCTTCTCACGGCTACTTTCTTCCTATTTCATGTTGATATCTCATCATATCTTCGCCTTATTGTTATTTTCGTGGCCATAGGCAATTCATTCCGCTTTCGCGACGCTGTGAAGCACGACTTTACCTCGACTCTTCAGATTAGATACGATGATGAAGCATACCGACTTTTTATTTTATTTTGGATGACCAAGCAGCACTTTTTCCAACAAGTGCCTCATGTTGTCGCAGAAACAGAGGCAAGGAAGGACATTGCCTGGTACAGAAGTGGGGATAATAATTACAATGATATTGATGAGACCGAACTGCAAAAGGATATGAACTTCAATGAATACTGGTCCCGAACAGTCCACTGCGAAAAATTCAAGGAGCCCATGCCAACAAATGGAAAAGCCTACTGGTCCCACAGCCGCGGCTGCTCGTCGCTCCAGGGTTGCCAACCACTTTAAACTGGCTTCCAATAAGCTCCAGTGTGCAGCCAACCGCAGTTTGCAGGATCCCGGAACAGTGCAGGCAGCAGCCTGGAACCGCACAGGGACGATTCCCGGTGGAGCTGGGTGCAGAAAAGCGCGACAGAGCGATACCGGAGCAGGCAGAAATTGGTGTTGAGCACCGACATTCAACAACACAGTGGTTTTTGTTCACCGGATTCACATCTCAATGTATATGTCTTTCCCCCAAGGACAGTATTCCACTCCAACGTAATAAATATTTGGTTCGTAGATGTCCTCTCGAACAGGAATTGACTCTCACATCCGTCCTCTTCAAACCTAGGCAAAATTGAAGTCTGTCCATCCCGGGCTGCCTGCCACAGTGGTGCTCCATGGATGCCGTCGACATTTTGGTCAATATCCCTTCGAGATAAGTAGTCCAGACAATCACATCGTTTCCCGTAGACGCCGGTTTTACAAGGGGATTCTTTCACCACAAGGCATATTTGGGTCTTTGTGGCAGCAGGTCTTTTGAGGCGAGTTAAGCCATAAATTGTGCGAGCCGCGGCCCCTTTCCCCAGGTTACTCAATCCAAGGTGAGCCCATCACGTGGATAGTTAATCCGCTCCGATCAAGCAGGTGCCTTCCCCGATATTGGATCACAAATCTTAACTTTATCTTCCAGTTCTGTTCTTGTCAACATATCAATTCCAAGCCGTACAGATCTTCCATTGCCAGTATGTCAGAGCTATCATCAGACGAGATTGCTTCGATTGAGAAATACCCTCTGAGGACACTCGACCAGTTACGTAACTTTCTCCAAGGGACAGAACCGTCTAACTCGCTATCTAATGATGGTGCTGCTGATGACCCTGTTCGAACCGATCGAATGACAATATCGAAAGTTCTAATTACTTTGATGGATGAAAAGGCATCCTATAATCTCCAGTCACCGATAAGCAAGCTGAATATTGCATCAGAACTGGCGAGCGTATTCAAGAGTTTTCAGCAGGATGACTTCAACTACAGCTATTGCCAACCACTCATCCAACTTATCATACAGAAAGCACCCGACACTGATATATGGAAGGCCATTTTCGATCTTATCACCTCAGTCGCACAGGCCGCACAGGCCACCAGATCCACGCCTCCGCCCAGGTCGTCCTTGATAATTCCACAGACCCCTCACTCGCGCAACACCAGTAGTCTCGCAAACTCGTCGGAGCTGCGAAGAGATATTGATCCTGTCCTGAGGGATGAGCTGTTAGGAGAGCTCCACGTGAACATTCCTGGATTCTTTGCGGCATACTTTGATGGCATTGAAGGTCTCAGCCGGACTGCACAGGCTGTCTACCAGAAGTGCAACACAGGGGATAGCCCGCTCTACAATGACAAGAGTGGATGGAAGGATTGGCCTGATGATATGGATGAGAAATATGTACTTGATTGGCTAATCAAAGTTATTAACCAGCTTTCCCAGTTTGCAGAGGATCATGACCTGACTCGAACACCTGCTCGCAGACCCTTGGCCCAGCCAGCCCAGCCAATTGCTGGATCCATTGCAAAGCGAAAACTTGATGTAGGGTTTGTAGACAACCCAGACAGCACACCAGATAAGAAGTACAAGTGGTCAGAGATCCTAGTGCCAGGAGAGCTGAAGAATGACCGAAAGTATGATATCCCTTCTGGGGCAAGGCTCGATCTGGCCCGATATGCTAGAGAAGTGCTCTCTGCGCAAGATGACCGCCGATTCGTCCTTGGCTTCACACTGTGTGGACCAATTTTACGCGTCTGGGAATTTGACCGTTGTGGCGGGATTGCTTCAGATGCGATCGACATCAACAAAGATGGCCTGAGGTTTATCTCAGTGATGCTGGGGTTCCTCTACATGGACCGATCTCAACTCGGTTTTGATCCCACAGTGGTCACAGTGAATGGTAGACGCTGCATTGAGATTGAGTGTGGTGGTGAGAAGGAGTGTCTTGTCATTGATGAAGTGATCCTGCGGGCGCGATGCATTGCTGGCCGAGCCACAACCTGCTGGAGGGCGCATCGTAAGGCGGGTGATTTGCAGATGCCCCTGGTGATCAAGGACTCCTGGCAGTATTCAGAGCGCGATGAGGAAGGGGAGCTGCTGCGCCAGGCCACAGAGTGCGGGGTCACCAATGTAGCCCGGTATGATTCCCATGTCACCGTCCAAGTGGACGGTAAAGACGATGACATCCAGGCCATTCGGAAAGGTCTCAGCGTTCCAACAGTGAACAATCAGTCGAACAGTCTGCAAGAACTCCCAAAGCGGAGTGCATCTAATAGAGGGCGAAATGACCCTGGCAACAGCGCCATTGGACAGAAACGGTCATCTGACTGCATGGATCCAGTGTTTCCTCCTCCTAGCAAGCGTACTCAGTCAAACTCTCCAACAAAAGTTTCTGCAAAGGACAAGCCACTCAATCGAGTTCACCGCCGTGTCATTGTTCAGGACTATGGGATCCCTATATTCAAGAGCAGCTCCAAGGTTGCTCTGCTCAAAGGAATCGAGCTCTGCATCGAGGGGTATGAATCTCTGTACTCAAAAACTGGATTGATTCAGAGTGATATCTCTCCACAAAATCTCCTGATAAATGAGGATAAAGATAACCCTTCCTGGCGGGCATTTCTGATTGACCTTGATCTGGCAATCAGAGAGCAGCGGGATGGCTACTCTGGGGCGCGAGGCAAGACTGGCACTAGAGCATTTATGGCAATTGGTGTGCTGTATGGGGAAAAGCACTCCTTCATGCATGACCTTGAGTCCTTTTTCTGGGTTCTATTCTGGATATGTGTTCACTACGAAGGGCCTGGGAGGGGAAGGGAAGTGGGGGATTTTGAGGAGTGGAACTACATGAGCACAGAAAAGCTTGCTGGATCAAAGAAGGGGGTGATAGATGATGAAGGGGATTTTCTCAGAACTGCAACAGATAACTTCACTCCATACTACCAGCCATTGGTATCTTGGGTTAACAGGCTACGGCGAATCGTGTTCCCGGGTGGGAGACGATGGAAGAAGCCTAATCCAAACCTGGGTTTGGACATGCGGAGAGTGATTCAAGAAGCACAAAAGGATCCAGATGTTATAGGATAGAATTTATAAATAGAATAATAATCTAACTAGAGCATATATAAGACCTACGCAAATCATTTTGGCTATGTCTTGTGGGCGTTGCACTTCCGCGCCGCCCTCTTGAACTGGAACAGAGTGACGCAGGTTAGTTTCGGGCTCCCAGGAAGGATCGTAGCCATGCCACCCGACTTTGACTATACACTTGCATCAGGGACCACATAAAATGCCAATTAGAGATATAGAGAAAGAGATTACACACAAGGACTATAGGACATAGGAAACAGCTAGCAAGTAATGTTACTGCCCATATAACAACAACCTTGGATAGCTCCCGTACGACCCGTGAATTCGGAACTACAAGTTTGAAACATGGCAACGGAATAATCCAGAAAATCGTACTGGCTTTCATCCAGCCCCAGAACATTCGATTTCCATGCCATCTCATTTCTATGACGCGCTTGATTGTTGAGGGTGGTGAAGGCATTTCACATGTCGGACTCAACAACGAAACTTGGCTGGTGACTTAGCGCTGCTAGCCTGCGCTAATGCAGGAAAGACAGGTGGAGCGTGCGACTTGAGCGGTCCGTCGGATCGTTATTGGTTCAACCATCTGCGATGACTTGGCCCTGACCTGACGCTGGAAAACTGGAGCAGCATAATTCTTATCCTCCAAGACCTTGTGAAGAACTTGGTCAATGGGTGAGATTGACTTTTCATGCCATCATCATTCGTATCTGGCGTTCGGGGATGTTTATATGATGATAGATTTCCTTCCCGAAATGTTGAACTGGGACCCTCAGAGGAGAACCCGCTTAAGCGAAAAATTCCACTGACATCATTTCCCCCGGTTGTCAGCATCCTTGAATGTGATTTGTTCCAGAGAGTTAGCTTGCAGAGCATATTTGTGCGCTCCCACACTAGAAAAGGTGTGGGGACCTCTGTCTAGTTTTGTCAAATTCAAATATACACAGTAATAGCACAACTCAACAATAATATGCCTGTTGTATTATCCTGACAGGAAAATTTGTTTGTTGTTGCTGCTGCTGTTTTGCTGTCGACCCCAGAACCGTGGGGCTTGAATCTAGTAACCTATTATAGATAGAGTTCCAGTCAGACCTTTCCAAAGCACCACCTTTCCCCGAGACCAACATTCACGACTCTCTTAACGTCTTCCGCCTCAGCACTTGGCAGTCAATTCAACTTGACTTCCTCTCGTTTCTCTGTGTTGATGCTTTTGCTGTTGTTCTCAACTTCGACAACAGCCTCTAGCTCCAGGTATGAGTGAACAAGCGAACTCTTCGGGCATCGAATCCCTTTCGAATGGGCTCCGAGAACGGAATGCACAGGCATCGAAACCTATTGGGGACGGGGAAGTAACTTCCCAGTCTCTAGAGGATAAGTTACAAGTAGAGGAAGGGGATGCGGCAGATGCAGAGAAGAAGACATTTGGTAGAACTCCAGATGGCAAAGGTGAGCTCCCTCGCTCCTCGTTTCGATGGAAATTATTATGACCAAGAGGAGGATGCACTGTATCAGAAAAGCCATAAAAATAGAGCAAGTCTGGTCATTCAGCGCCCTGGCGATGTGACTGGCGGCCCTTTACTTTTATCTGTACCCGACGAATAGAAAGCCTGGCGCCATTTCAGCCTCATAATTGAACTATTTATGGCCTTGCTAATGCCAAATGACATCAAACTACAGTTTTCACCGTGCCCCCCACTCGTGATATGGTATCGCAGTTACTTTCCCCTTCAGAGCCGAAAAACATATCTGATATCTTTGTTCTCGCCATTCTCGGCTGCCATATCCTTCTGCTCTGGTGTCTTCCATCCTCGTTCCGGATCGCAGCTTTTGCCGTTATATTCCTGTTCTGGCGTGCCTCTTACAATATCGGGATAGGATGGCTCCTGCACATGCAGTCAAATGGCCGAACATTGGTCTGTTGGGCCAAGAAGTCGAACATCTTCGTGAACCCATCCACCGGCCAGAACCCCCATCCGACCTTGTACAAGATGCTCAAGTGGGAATTGGAAACGAAGATATCGGAACAGTATTCTTTCGATGAAGCCCCCACTGAATACAACACTTGGCTTGTATTTAGACGTGTCGTGGATCTGATTTTGATGTGTGACTTTACTTCATACTGCCTGTTCGCAATCGCCTGTGGCGGTCGCCCAGCTGGAGAGAGTTTCATTATGCTGGCTTTGAGATGGACTACTGGGATGAGCCTGGTGCTCTTCAACCTCTGGGTCAAGTTGGATGCCCATCGGGTAGTCAAAGACTTTGCATGGTACTGGGGAGATTTCTTTTACCTAATCGATCAGGAACTCACTTTCGACGGCGTCTTTGAGATGGCCCCGCATCCTATGTATTCCGTTGGCTATGCGGGATATTACGGCATCTCCTTGATGGCAGCTAGTTACAAGGTCCTTTTTATTTCCATCCTAGCACATGCCGCCCAGTTTGCGTTTCTGGTTCTTGTTGAAAATCCTCATATCGAAAAAACTTATAATGTTCCTCCGCCCCGGAAGAGAGTCGCAGTCGACACAGATACGAAACTACAGGAGGACGAAAACTCCCATGAAGGCTCAGTTGTCAGCGACATCGCTAACTCGGCTCCAGTCATGCCGGCTTTGCAACCTGTGTCGATGCACAACCTCTTAGGCCTCCACAATATCGACCTGTACCGGAGTACAGACCAATCTGTGCTCTTAGCCCAGCTACTATTCTTTGCCCTGACTACTGTGACGCCATCAACTCCTGTGTATCAATTTTGCTTCGTCCTGAATGCTGCCCTGTGGAGGATATGGTATTCCGTGGGTATTGGTTACATACTCAACCGTCAATCAAACTGTAAGATGTGGACCAGGCACTTCGTCAAATACGGAGAAAGCAATCATGAAGCATGGCGACAATGGAAAGGCACATATCATCTAAGCATGACCATGACCTATGCGAGTTTCATAGCTGCTGCTTGGAAGATGTATTCTTTCCCACAGGACTGGGGCTACGGGCTAGTCCTTTTGAGGCATATTTTGGGTGCAAGCCTGATTGCCCTCCAAATTTGGACATCTACGAGTATCTACGAATCCCTTGGCGAGTTTGGATGGTTTTTTGGAGATTTCTTCTTCGACCAGTCCCCCAAACTTACCTATAGTGGAATTTACCGGTTTTTGAATAACCCAGAGCGCGTCCTCGGTTTAGCAGGCGTCTGGGGAGCGGTTTTGATCACTAGCACCAAGTCTCTCGTGTTTCTTGCACTATTAAGCCATACCTTAACCCTTGCATTTATCCAGCTGGTCGAACGTCCCCACATGCAAAAACTTTATGGCCAGAGTCTGAGACGAGATGCCGGCCTTGTTAGGAGCCTGAAGCGTTCGTTGCCTCCCTCTCTAAAACAAATCCATGGCAGTGTCGACAAAATACTCGACGAGTCGTTTGAATTTATTGAAGAGTTCATTGAGGCCGCTCGGCCTAAGCTCGCTACTGGTGTCCAGACTTTCGTGAAAGATACCTCTGCCTTGTTCCAAAAGTACCCGGCACGAGTCACCATTTCTCGCCTTGAACCGGACCTAGCTGGCTACGATCTAAAGGATTATTCTATTACATTAGAAGGTACTCAGCCTTCCCAACCAACACAATTCGAAAGAGCTAGTGATAAGGAAGGCGAAAGAGCGCGATCTATGCAATTCAGGAGAGGCGAGCAAGAAAACCTCATATTCGAATACGGGGCTCCAATCAAAGTTAAATGGACCGCGCCACTGAACCATAGTAAAAAGGATTGGATTGGTCTCTACATGGTTACTGATAATACCTCGCGGGAGGTCACAAGTGTGGCATCCCAGGGCCGGTGGATCGCCACTAACCAAGCTTCATTCGACTCTGAGACGTGCGAGCAGGGCCTAATCTCGAGTGACATTGTTTTGAAAATAACTCGGGAAGATTGCGAGCCAATCGACGTTGCATCTGGAGAAATGGTTTTCTCAGGCGATAAGCTCTGGTGGACTCAAGGTGTCTTCGAATTCAGATACCACCACAACGGCAAGCATAATGTTATGGCTGTCTCGCGTCCCTTTGAAATCCGCATTGGAAGATTCGATGAGGATATCGTCGAAGCCGATAACTACGGCCTCGTGAGGGCGGCTGTCGAAGCTGCTTTGCTACCAGTTGTCCAGAATTGCTTTGACAGAGACCCAGAAATTGCACCGCAAACTGCTGAAGAACATTATGGCTGCCTCGTTGAAAGGGATGGGAAGTACTCGAAGAGAGTAGTGTTTGCTGTCCAGCACATGTAAGTGATCTAATATTTTTGAAATCCCTGCTTAACGGCTTTATAACTTGATACGCACGGCAACATCACACTAACGAGTTACTCAGGTTTGGTATCGAATTTGCTCCTGAGGTTGTCCGCGCCGATGGAAATGTTCGAAACTTGGCATGGCGGATATGTAATGCCAAGAAAGTTCTGGTATGTTATCACTTATCAATTTCAAAATCGTGTTGGTGGCAGTAGCGTTTCCAATCGGTTCAATTTGTCGTACAACTACGAGGACTGACAAATGGATGTCCCAATTTAGGCACCATATAGTATGTCGCGTTCAAACGGAGCCTCGACACCCACGACAGAGCACGAAGATTAGACCGCGACCGGCCTTAATGAAATGACAAATAATTATGACGACGTCTCTCAAATTTTTATCCTCTGCACTTTTACTGACTATATATACGAAAACGCTGTTCTCTCGTCGTGATGTTATCATCAATATAATGTGGCATGTCCGTTCAGCTGTCTTGAAATTGGCAATTTCATTACCTAACGCAGTACGGGCAAGAATCTATGACCGCCATGGAAAGACAGGATAATTAATAGAAGGAAGAAGGGTGGTGGCTCTATGCATACTTAGATATAGACTTATTTGGGTGGAAGCAACTCTGCATGCATAAATACTTGCGATGCTTTTTAGCTACTGATCTCCACCGCTCTTTCTCTCTTGGCTTCTCGAGCATGCACAAACCACGAGGCTATCTGATTAATTATTTAGTTTTTAATTGTTTTCCTTCAGGAGCGATATGGCGTTTTTTTCTCCTTGTGAGAGTGGTGGGGTTTTGGATTCTGATGGTTATATCCTGCATATATACATATATATATATATATATATATATATATATATTCAAACCCAGAATAGAAAGCTTATGAAAGAATACTAATTTTGGCATTTGCTTTACATATGGGTATCGAAACAGCTACACAAATCATGAAATATGCTGGTGAGAAGAATATAATTAATCCATTGTCACAAATGAAACTAAAAGAAAATGCGAGGCTACCTTCACAGTTGGAGGGGTTAGTTGAATTCAGGAGGAGCTCACCATGCATATACCTAAAAACCTTTGGAAGTCAGCCATTATTCGTCGATAAATACCAATGAGTTGAAATCAATACCCCAAACACACATCATAACGGCTATGATGAGCGTTTCCAAAAACAAAACAAAACAAAACAAAACAGAAAGGCATGAAAAGAGATCAGTGTGGAGATATAATATATTCAGCAAAGCCATGAACTCATCCCTTCCCTCATCCCGACATCACCCTTGAAAAAAAACGTCCCAAGACGAGCCGTTTCCCCAAGAGATGATCGGACGAGTTAATCGATCAAGGAAAAAATAAGGTAAGGACAAGGTAAAAAAAAAAGAGTAGCTTGGGGAAAGTTTTTTAACGACCACCCCCAAAAATCCCTTCCATAAAAACACCAGTGGATCTCCACAACCAATCATCCCTCTTCTTTTTATTTATTTTCATCAACCAATTCCCAAGTTGCAGACGAGAGACGTCAACGAAAATAAAGAAAAGGTCCGGTATCAGGGAGAGTGGGAAGATGTGGAAGAGTAACTCATTTTTTTTCCCTTTCCTTCCTTACTTTCCTTTATGAAAGAAGGTGCTCCGTGAGGAGACTCGTGGAATGGATTGACTTGTTGTCATCATGAAGATTGATTTGGTGGAAGGGGAAGTTGACCGCGAGATTGTTCATTTTAACGAAAATATATTAATACTAACATTGAGAGTAAAGATAACAACGGTAGTATTGCTACGTTAATATTTTAGTTTCGTTTGGTGTGGAAAGAGCGCAGGGAACACTATTTGAAATATCCAAAGGCTTGTCAGCTACGATTCGTAAAAAATGTCATGTGAAGGAAAAGTCTGGATTTGTGGATCAGGATCGTTATTTTTGGTAAATGGGTTTTCTTCAATGATTTTGCAGAAGCAGAACTGAATAGAAGGTTTCTCATCATAGAAAAGCAGGCAGACAATGGAGAAGGTGGAAAAAAATATTGAACCTTACCAGCCTTGCCTTGTTCGTGCACTCGAATAAATCCGTTCAAACACCCCCAAGAGACTTCTGTTCATTACCATTGTGTTAGCGCAGTCCACAAAGAGACTCAGTAAGAATAGTACAATTGATAAAAATGATTCTCAGATGGTAGTGCATGTTGTTCAAATGGCTCACGGAAGAATCTCCGAACAAAGTTTTGGTAGGTTTTCCTCCTGGAGGTATCTCGAAGGATGCAATAGATTTAATTTGGTACAAATGACTTACCATACGAATAGCAAGCCTGCCACTTTGCAGCAGATCTCACTGTATTGCTATCCTGGCTTCGTCTAGCACAGAAAATCTTACGGCAAATGTGGAAAGATAACAGGAACGAGGAGAGATGCACAGAAGAAAGAAAAAAAACAGGTTGTGGATGAACTAAACAGCGTCGGTTAAATATTGACCCGTCAGCCGTCAAACAAGGCAAACACTCCAATTAATATTTGATATTCATGGACATATGGGTGTACAAACATTGTTTCCATTGCCTTAACTCGAGTTGTCTTTTTGCTCCTCTGACACCGTTCCAGCCACTCGAGGAATGGATAATGGCTGATAAGAGACGGTTAAACGGTCCTCCTGCGGGCACACGACCACCAGTGTTTGCATCATCATTGCTTTCCTCCGACGGCCAACATTGCGTCGCTCTTGAGCGCCCCGTACGCACTAGAAAGCAGCATGAGCTGAGAAGAATATGTACGCTCTATTGCAAACCTCGTGAAATAGAGAAATATTAATGGTTATTTTGTGCCGATAGTTTTGAAGACGGGTCTTATCCCATCCGCTTCTGGCTCCGCGTATCTCGAATTCCAGCCCTCCTCCTTCATCCCCCGGTCGAAACTAAAAACTCTCATTCCTCCTTCCTCATCTCTAAAACTCATATGTTCCATCCATGGCCCAAAACCTCTTCCCCGCTCAGCGCCATTCTCACCTAACCTGCTCCTTTCCACACATGTGAAATTCGCGCCATTCGCATCCAGACGGAGGAGGGGACATATCCGGGATGTCAATGAAAGAGATCTTGGCGTGCACCTCGAAACTGCTTTGAGAGGGGCTATAATAGCGGAAAGATGGCCTAAAAGCGGGCTTGACATCACCGTGACTGTGCTAGAGGGGGAAGACGATTGTTGGTGGGGCGATGTTCTGTCTGCCGGTCCACTGGGCGGTGTAGATGGTTGGGGCTTGATGAACGTTCTTGCGGGTTGCATCACCGTCGCCTCAGCAGCCATTGCTGACGCTCGGATAGATTGCATGGATCTTATCACTGGGGGTGTTGCTGCTTTTGTGGAGAGTCCGAATGTTGAAACTTCAGGGCGAACAAAAGACTCGTCCCAGAGGGGACATGGCTACTCATTAGTATTGGATCCAGATCCATCCGAACACCTCGGGATTGTATCCGCCTGTGTCGTAGGCTATATGCCATCCCGTGACGAGATTACCGAACTGTGGCTCAAGGGCGACACCTCTAACATATCAGCTGGGTCGCAGAATGCAGCTGCCCGACATGAAGCTCTGATAGATGGAGCTGTTGACGCAGCGCGAGGAGCACAGGCGGTTCTTGCGGAAGCTGTTAGAGAGTCAGCAGAGCGTTTTGCTATACATGCAGGCAAGAAGTTGGCATTGTCTGGTTCAGGTACAGAAGATATTGAAATGAAACAATAGAAAGGAGTTGTAATGATGTGACGACCAGTTGAAACATGTCCAATGGGATGGACCGGCTTTTTCTTCATGCATTTGCTACAATATACATTTGCAATTGGTTATATCTATTTCTCTTATTTTAAATTTCTACATGTGATCATTTGTCCATCTTAATATCAGAGTAACAAATTCGGATATATACAGATATTCAGGTGAACTGCAGCTCATGTTGAAAAGAACATTTCCTTAAAGTATTACCCTGCTCTCCTTGTTATTCTAAGATCAATTGATACTTTGCAATAACTATCTGGCAATATTTCTGTTCTTTCATATTCACCTGGGCTTGTTGTTCTCTTCATTTCCATCCACGCAGAATTCCTCCTGACGAGCCATTTCGCTCCAATCCATACACATTTCTTACATCTTCATTATCCACTTGTCCAGTTTTACCTTCCAGGTCCATATCAGCGTATGCTGGGGTGTTCTCATTTTGAATTGGTCATTTGCTGAACAGATAAGGGGCTTTGTAAGATATCCACTCCGAAAATTACTTCTCTAATCCAATTCTTACAGGAGAACTTGTTCAGGTATGCCTTCCAAAACCCAGACCGATGTGAACCTATGGTTCTTATATACCTGTCTTCAAAAATCAGACTACAAGACTGTGAGTCTGCATTCCCCTACTACTGAGCATGGCGCGTATATTTTTGGTAGCATTCATTCCAGAATGGTACACTCCACACCTTCAATTATTACCCGCCCCCTTCCTTACGCTCCAAACGTTGTTTTTTGATATCGTTTGGCCATTGATACGCGAGATATGCGTGACAGATCGATTTCAAAGCTGTGGGAGAGGCGACAAGTTTGAACCCTCCTGCTGCTCGTATGCGCTTTTCTCGTCTTAAGAGGGCAATCGAAGCTGGTACAACGAATTCCATAACGTCCCCTGGAAGGGCCAATCAATGTATTGGGATCGTAGGGAAATCCAAACAACGGTGCAAATCTAGCCAAGCGAAATCGAAAGGGGTCATGGTGAAAATGGAAAATCAGATGCGGCGTTCGGGTTGTCCGGGAGAAAACGCAACAATAACGGATAGAGGAATGGGAATTGAACCTCATCTGATGGTCTATAATCAGCAAGAGATGGGGCCGAATTGTGCTCGCGGTTCATCTGAACCCGACTGTGGGGATACAGACGACGATGATATCCCATTGGCCGTCAAACGCAAGGCAGCTCAACATGGAGAGACTGACAAAAAGAGGAAGAAGCAGACGGATGTCTTGTGTTCGACGGAGATCAAGGATGAGAGGGCCATCGATGATAAATATAATGGCGAAACCCAAAACATATACCATAGGATCAACATGGACGAAGTGACGGCAATGGACGGCATACCCTCGAGAGAAGCCAATAGACAATCCCCAGATACCCACCAATATAGCGCCACAAACGAGAATATGACTCTTGCTCCTCCTGTTCTTACCACGACCCATCAGGGTATGGTCCCTGGGTACATTGCTCCTTTCACCAACGACAACAACAACCAGTTTACGAGCAGAGCTTCAGAGCAACATGACCTTTCCCACGACCCGTATTGGACCTCATGGCCCTCGATGGTTTCCCATATGACCCATCCGCACGATCCTCCTGCTACTCGATCCCTATCCACTCATACTCCCAGCTACGTCCGCTCTCCCGGCATTGGCCAAAGCGACTCCACTATCCCCTGGACAAGGTACCGGATTCCGAACATCACCATCACCGACACAGATCCGTACGGAGTACGCAATCCACTGTATCCCGGCAGCACCAATTCCGTGGACAAAGTCCAAATGGCTATTAATGAAGCTCTCTTCAGCGCAGGCTCCAGGGCATTTGATTGCAACTATTCTGGTACCACCGAGACGAAGGATATTCGACGCGACTAGGCAGCGACTGTTACCGCGAATATGAGAGCGATTAATTCTGTGCTTTGGGAATTCTAACCGCCTTCTTGTGCCGGTCGTTTGTAATTCTCAAATGCGTGTATGTTTGTAGCCTGTTTAATTGTTTTTCTCATGTTCCTTAATCGCAATTTTAGAATTGGGACATCATCCAAATGTATGGCGATCTCGGATTTGGAAGGGAATAGGAGTTGATAGTAAAAAGGTGAAGAAAGAGGAGAAGAGAAGAAAGCAAACTTCTAACTGAAATCCTTTGGTAGCTCTAATCCTATCGCGTGCGGCTCTCGAAAGGCTGTTGATGTTGATCAAGCCATGGAGAATGAGATTTATTTCTAGATTCCTCTTCACACAGGTTAATCGCGCTTTGATCCTTTAAGATATGGAATTACTTTTTCAAAAATTTTGAAGGTCATTGTGTGTAAAATTTCCAGCGATAGATAAGACATAAATAGTATATGGTAATAGCATGCTGGATTCACGCCCAGAAGTCATCTAGAACCTAGGTTTCGTTATCTATCAACTCGCGCGATGGCTCTAGGCGTTGTCAGGCTGGATGCAGGCATGGGCTGGGGATCAATGTTCAGCCGGCAAAAAGAAAGATAAAACTACATAGATAAAATTTAATATCATCAGACCTCGGGGGATGTGTGAATGCTTGTATGATACTGTCCCTCCTCTGTCATCGTTGCCAAAGTTCACCTTCATAGTTCGGTAAAGAAACATATCAGGCAGGAACCATTAAAGAAAAGGGGCCTGGGAGTGCCTAAAAAAATTTACAGGAGGAATGTAAAGATAACGAGAGGGATTGTGCATAGGATTGTTCGCTCTTCCAGGAGATACTAGTATGTGTGCAATGAAGCAGAGCGGAAAGCGTGTGGAAGCTGTGATGGAAAAGACCCTGTACAACCCAAGCATCTTTCTGGACTAGCAGCTAGCAGCTAGCAACTCTGCTGGTTTCTGATGAGAGCGAGAACAATCCAGTTGGTCTCCTCGATTCTCGACATACATCCGCGAGCAAGAGCTCTGTATGGAGTATGAACATGCAAATCACCAACCGCATGGAGAACGCCAAAACGCTGCATGGATGCCCGATCCAATTGATAGATAAACTAGTACGCATAGAATCGACACTTGTTATTCGTGATGATGGCGGATTGAAAGCCGTGAAGGATCGGAGGGAATCCACTTCCCCTTTCTCTTTTCATCCAAGCCATCGTTGAAGTTCCTTTTATTCCCTAGCGTTGGTTTTAGTCTTCCACAAGGACATGTTAAGTTTTTCCTCGCAACGCTAACCTCTCCAACCCAGCAGGTCGGTTCCTCCTGCGGCTTGAATCACGCCGGTTTGTGATTCTCCAGGATCACCTACAAATACGGGAAGAAACACAACAAGGCTTCGAGAATTGAACACGATGGCGCTTCGATAAAATGCCCCTGCAGCAGACTCCAAGAGTCCAGGAGTCCGAGAGGACTAAGTGAGCGCTGGGTTTGAGGCGCAATGAATTCAAATATGGGGAGAGCAATAGACTTGCAGATCTTCACAACTGACACTGCCAATCGGAAATCGAGGAGCAACGTACGGATGGATATTTTTGACGAGCGATTCCAGACAGTGGAGCCACCAGCCGTGACAAAAGTCTGCCATGCTAAGCCGCTTTCGCAAGAACGGGCCTGATGGGCAACGCCGTTGACGCCGTTTCTGGCCCGTTCCTGGTTTCCACCTGTGCTGGATCATGCTTGTCACGCCGTAGCAGAACGCTTTCAACCTTGGCTGGGCCGGCAATTCTGGGGCCCCTGTCTAGAAAATCCCCCTGAGATTGTCCGAACTTATCAGCCTCGTACTCCGATCTTGACAAGCCAATTGATTTCTCAGCTCAAAAAAATAATACAAAAAAGGGAAAAGAAAAAGAAAATAAAAAGACCTATGGATTCCGAAAATGTCAGTTCTGAGAAGAAGAAAAGAAAAAGGCTGGGCCTTGGCCAATCCATCACTGGTTTGACTCTCTGAACTCAATCGGGCATTTTCAATTTGCTCATGGGAAACATTGCAGACCCTGGTCCCTGCTTCAGTGTGCTCAAAGCTTGAGCCAGCTTGAGCCAGGGAATTTCCTGTCAGTCCAATGCTTGAGCTTCGACAACATTTATCCTCGTCGTGAGGAACCAAGGTTCAATTGTTCTCTTTTGAAACGAAGATTTCTTTCATTTCATTCCTTATTCTTGGACACTCGTTTTGCGGCTAATACTATTTCGTTTCCCCTTAAAGTATACCATCGTTCGTGGCTTTCTTTTTGCTCCATTTGCTCAATTATTATCCTTGCTATTCCTCCAGTTCCTGCGAGTTCCAGTTTAGATCTCTAAAAAAAAATAAAAATAAAAAACCTGCAAGCAACTTCCCGACGCCAACTGGTGAATCCTGCTTTCAAACTTGTTTTTCTCGAATTGCATCGAAATGACTCGACGATAAGTCTCTTACGATGCGCCGGTTTGCGACCCCCCTTTTCGGCTGGCACCGTTGACCTTCATTCGGTTTCTTGACATGTCCAATTGGGAAAAATGGCGGGCCTGAGAAAACTTTTCAGTATCGAGAGGACATTGTTCCAGTCGACAAACCCCGAATTGACGGAGAGCGAGTCCAACGGTCCAGTAAGCGGCACCTATTCCCCATTCCTTGTGTTGCCCCGCGGATCGCCTGAAGCGAAACTCCCTCGACTCCCACAGATGCAAAACCAAACTTTCTACGGAATTGAGAGGGAATTTGAAGACCTCCATGATCAGTTTTGCTGCCACCAATCATTGTCCTTGCAAAATAAACGATTCAGAAACGCTGAGCCTAAGTCCTCTCCTCACCAGATCCGTCGCCATGTCGATGTCATAGAAGCCGGCTTCCCGGCTCAACACGCCCGAGTTCCGACTCCAATATCTCCTGCGAGTATGTATAATGAGGAAATTGCGGATCGCAATATCCATAGCAAACGATCTAACAAGCGTAGCACAAAGTACGCGAATGTTATATCAGCGGTATACCAGGAAGACGTGGCGGATCGTAACATCTTGCTTGCCGCTGGAAATACACGCACACTTGAAATAAGAAGAAGGGGAGGGGTATCTCAGTGCAATTTAAGTAATAGTAGATCAGCGTCATCCCTTTCATACTACCAGGAAAGCCGGCCACGGTTATGGTCCAGAACACAAGCATTGGGACACCGAACACCATCAGGAGAAACCAGAACAGAATTGAGAGTTATATCTTCTGACCAGGACCTCCGAAGCCATCCTCCATCACATCAACCGGAAGATGCTAGCGCCAGCCCACCGCGCAGGATAGGTGTCAGGCAGTATATCGCTTTGCGACTAAAAAATTCTTCACCAGCGCTATCCTCTCAGGGATCGGAGAATATTCCTCCAAGACCAGCACCGCAACCACAGTTAAAAATTTACAAAGTCGCGCCTGACCGCCAACCATCTACGAGAGATGCCGGCGAATCATCTAGGTCTAATCAGGGCTTGGTGAATCCGCCGGGGCAGCTGGATGTTAAGCCTCGAAATCATGACTCAAAGAAAGCTACTCCCAAATGTCCGACGGTCGACGACGGATCCAACCGCTTATTATCCCCGGCCTCAGCGAATCTATCAAGGAAAAATGTTCGAGATCTTTCTATCAATACAAAATTGGCTGCCCCCACCAAAAATTTTGTGAAAGTGCCTACCCAACCCCCTGTCTTGGCCCCCACTGGAGCCAGGAGAGAGCCGAATTCGAGTATTTCGGGGATTGTAAACAGTCCACTTCCAGTCGCAACTCCCTCTGCGGTATCTCCAAGAACCTTGAGCTACAACGTCGAGGAAATTATGAGTATGTTCAAACATGCTTATAAATCATCACAAAAGACCAGTTCCCCTCCCTCCTTCGAAACATTGCATGATGCTATAGTTCGTGAGATAAATTCTCATGAAGCTTTTCGCCAAGTTGCTTCCGATATTGAAACAATGCCGTTTCCGGAGCCTAGTCCGGTTCCGATTCCCATTAAACAGAGTGAAATTAGTGGCCATACGAGGAGGAAGTCCTCGTCAAAGAGTTTATCAGGAAAGGAGAAACAATCGCTGAGACTTGTTGGTAGAAACTCCTTTGCAAAGGCGCGACGAAACTCATACACTTCCGGGAAAGAATTATCTTTTCCTGCTATTAAGGGACTAGAAGCAGGAGCCGAACCGGACAGCAGCCACCAGGAACGAAGGAGAAGGCACACTTACTCGCAGCCTTTACCGCCAAGTGTACCCGTTGCCCCTGAATTCCCAAGGGAGTTACGACAAGAGGCGAGAAAAGTGTCTCTGGGGAGGTCTGGAGATAGTCCGCAACCTAAATACACTTACAAGCTAATACCCGACATCCGACCAAAGAGTTCACATAGCGTCCGTTCTAAGGGACCACCTTCCAGACCAAGCAAATCTGGTTCTTCAAAACAAACCCAATCATGTCGACCTGCACTCGTGTCTCAGAACTCCCAGTCGGAAATGGCACAAAGGACAAGTAGCCGAAATACTCCCGCAGAGCAGACGAAGCCTGACCTACCCAAATATCAATCCGACAATCCTAAAAACGGAGAGCGTGATACCCTACCCGGCTCAACCAATAGCTCATGCACTACACCCGAGCCTAAAATTGTCACCTCCAGTTTCCCCCAGCAAACCACTCAAAAGCCGCCAATAAAGCGGCTTTTTAGCACTTCACCTCAACAAATTGGCCGGAATCGAATACCTCTACGCCGAAGTAGTATTCAGAAGGATTTATTCGATTCTGGTCGGTTTAAGCCATAATCGAGCTCTATTAAGTCCGTCTAAGCTTGTCATTTTTCAATTCTAGCAACGCCAAATCTGGTTTACGTGTCGAATAGAGAAATGATTTTTGTATATTTCCTACCGGAGCCCCAATAATCCTAATCAGACACACCTCACCATCTCTGCCGAAATAATCTTCATCACCAACCAAATCCATCTTCCCGCGACGGCATTTGCAAGTCCCATTTACAACCCTTCATTTCCCCGATCGCGTGCCCGCCCTTGAACTACAACCCATTCTCCCAAGTAACGCCGTCATCCGATCCTTATATACTTCCATCGAGATATCTCAGAAAAACAAAGAAATTTTGTGACACGTCATCCCAAGACTTTCCCCCCTACTTCGCCTAACACCTCTTGTCACACATCGATTTCCTTTGTCTTCGGCCACTTTATATCCATTTACCAAATTCATTCATTACTCCTGATTTCATAAATATTGTCATAACATGCATGGCTGATACTTTTTTGCATACAAACATGGGGCGATTTGGCGGCGCATGAATAAACCCTGTGATGGCGACTCCGGCCTCTGAAGGGAAATATCATCTTCTTTCCCGATTACTATCGTTATTATCATTTTACCATTTTATTATGTTGACTCGCAGAAAATTGGGAGAATTTTGGAGTTTTATTGTTCGTCTGTTTGCGGGGCGGGGAATCTTTTGGAAAATTCCATGTTCTTATTCTTCACTTTTTCCCTTCTCAATATTTTCTATACTATACATGAATCATTTGGTCACTAGGGTCCCCTTTCTTCTCAGATTTTTTCCCCTTGCCTCGGGCGAGGTTTTTCTTCATCATTTGACAGTTATGGGCTCTTGATTTATTGTCCTTTTTTTTTTTTTTTTTTTTTCATTGACCCCATTCTTTTTCTGTAAGTATTTTGATAACTTGGTCGGGCCAAATTGGGAAGAGAGGTCACTTTATCAGCCTAGCTATTTCTATTTGGTTTGACATTGGCGAACGCTATGTAACATACCACCTGATTCTTCCACGATATATTTATCCTTCATGTTTTCCTTAGCTTAATTCTTGTAAATAACTCTGCCTTTCCCGGCTTTCTAGAATTTGTTCTTGGGTGGTTTGAAAAAAAGAAAAAAATGATACTTGATAAAAAGAGAAATGATGTCGCCCAGGCTCGAACTGGGGACCTTGAGTGTGTTAGACTCACGTGATAACCAACTACACCACGACACCTTCCAATTATGTAAGGCTGGCCTTTCTTGTTCCCTTTGTTGAGAGAACCAATTAATATCTGAGGAGGTTCGTGTTGCATATATCAAGCTGAAGAATATATTCACATCCATTGACGGTACAGCATGGAAAGATAGGTACTGGACTTTAATATTTTCTTAATTTCTATTCTTGATATTTAAACTCTCTCGAATCATGATAACATAACTAGAACTGCCGAGACTGGAGAGCGGATGAGTGCTTAAAACACCGATAGCAAGATCAGCAAGGTTGTCTGGATACGCCCTCATCAAATATCGGGGAAATTTAGGCTGGGAGTCTTGAGTCTGGTAGGAAGTATTCATGAACGCTAAGCTCCGTGGGTATTTAGAAGAACAGAGATAGGCTATGCCAGGTCCCCTTGGTAATATGCAACCAGCTGGGTGTTCGGAGAGTGTTTAGTAGGAGCCTATCATATTGGCTGCATTAGTTTCGAAGGTTTTGGAGAACGAAAAAAAGTCTATATAAACAGTGGAATTTGCGCTGAGGTAAGAAGATAGATGGGAAGCTACTCACGTCCAAACAAGCACCATTTCTCCGCGACCCGTTTGCAGTTGGGGTTCGTGCACTTGGTGACTCCCTTCTCAATGCCCTCAGGCTGCTCGAATGGAATACACAAACTCTTTGCACCCATGCTTGGGGCCCTGGCATCCTGGGCTTCGCCAGTCTCTTCTTCAGCCTTTCGTGCACTCATGTCTTTAATTTCGTCTTCGCACTGCTCGGTCAGACAGTGGGGAATCATGCAAAGGTTCTTATCGTTGAGCGCAGGGGTGAAATCATCCCAGTTCGTGATGCGCTTAACATGTGACTTGTACGTAGCATCTGCTCGTGAGTAAAGGTCCGCTTGGATGGTTTCAAGAAGCGCAGGGACTTGGACTGCCAGTTGAGTGATGGGGATGGTGGATTTTCCATCTTTGCCAAGTATATCACGGCGAGAGGCAGTCACATAATGACCAGCTGATTCCCCTGGGCCAAATTCAAGTCGAAGAGGAACACCGTGCAATTCCCAGTCGTTAAATTTCCAACCGGGAGTGTAGTCTCGTTTGTCGACTTCAACTCTGACCCCGGCAGCTTCAAGGACAGCTGCTAGAGCATCAATCTCGGCCATTAAAGACGCCTTCTCTGCATCAGTTGTCTTAGCGCCAGTACCAACAGGCACAATCACGGTTTGGATATCCGCGACGCGTGGTGGAATAACCAGGCCACGATCATCGCCATGGACCATGACCATGATACCAATAGTCCGGGTAGACAAACCCCAAGAATTCTGCCAAACATGAAGTGCGGGCTTCTTCTCGTCAGGCTTAGCCGACGGATCTTCAACAGTGATGCCGAACATCTTGCTGAAATTTTGGCCTAAGCCGTGAGACGTCCCTCCTTGAATTCCGCGGCCTGTGGCTGGGATATAACCTTCGACTGTGGTGGTGTAGAGGCCCCCTGCAAATTTTTCCTTTTCGGTTTTCTGACCCCTGATGACGGGAATAGCAAGAAGCTCCTCGTAAACGTGGGCATAATGCTCAAGAATTTGCAGGACTTCTTCACGAGCACCGCCTTCAGTCAAATGCGCGGTGTGGCCTTCTTGCCAAAGAAACTCACGAGTGCGAAGGAAGGGCTGGGGGTTCTTGAACTCCCATCTAACAACAGAGTTCCACTGATTAAGCCGGAGAGGCAGATCACGGTGACTTCGAATCCACTTGGCATAGTACGGATACATAACTGTTTCCGACGTGGGACGAATGGCAATTTTCCGTTCCAACTTGGAATTTCCTCTTTCGAAAACGTCAGCAAACGCATCGGCAATGAACTAGATATACTAAATATTATGGGGTTTTGAAACCCAAAACCTACGCGTGAGTGACCCAGGCAACCTCAGCAGCAAACCCTTCTATGTGGTCCTTCTCCTTCTTTAAAACGTCTTCGGAAACGAACAGAGGGAAAGAGCAATTTTTAACACCCATCTTCTTAATTCGATCATTAAACCAGTTTTGGATCGTTTCCCAAATGAAGTACGAGTGTGGCTGGGAAATATCAGTATTAGCTAGCAGCTCAAAAATGGTGACCACACATCTGGTAAACAAAAAGATAAAAAATTGAAAATGAAAATACCTTCAAAATAAAACAACCCGATACATCGTAGTAATCCAACATCTGCCCTTTCAAGAGAACCTGTTGGTACCAACCTGCGAAATCCCCCTCCTTCGAGACATCGATACCGATAAGAGCGGGGCCGTCAGTTTTCTTCTTGGGTGCTTTCTGGGAAGGTTTATTTTTCGATTCCATGCCTATGCCTTTGTTGGCCAACTTTCCCGCCTTCTCAGCAGCCTGCTTCTCCTTTTTAGCAGCTTTTTTAGCAGCATTTTTGGATATCTCGCCGGCTGGGGAGCTCTCCCCTCCGGCGGCGGGGTCCATCGTGCGATCAGGCAGGGATTCAGTTGCAGCTGGTAAAGAGCTTGCTGGTGCGTCAACTCGATCCTGCTCTTGTTGTACCGACATGTCAAACCTCCTGGATATTCAATATAGGCAAATAATCGCAACTCACTTGTGCAATTGGTGTGTTTGGTAACTGGGCGGGAGGAGTCACGTCGGTAAAGCAAGAAGTGGGACAACGACCTTCACCGCCTTTGGGCGGCAGAATGGGCATCAAGCCAAAAAAAGAGGCCGCAAACTCTCTGGGCGCAATAGACACCAGCAAGCTTCTATCTCCACACCAAGACCCCTCCTTCGATTCTTTAATTGGACATGGCAGGAATTTTTGAGGCTCCCCGGAATGCGGGACAACTTTGTGAGCTTTCTCTCTATTTTACAATGTGGGAAGGAGGCTATGGAACTAACAGCTCCCCACAGTTCTTGGAGGACAGAAAATCAGTGGTTCTGATATCAGAGATCAGAATGGTATGTGACTATCGAATTAAACATGTCAAGGTACCCAGCTTACACAGTTTTTTTTAGTTCTTGCGACTCAAGCCATTGCCAATGTGGTGAAAAGTTCCTTCGGCCCTTCGGGGCTCGACAAAATGATGGTAGATGATATTGGGGTATGCCATGCCCTTTCTTCTTGGTTGAGCAGTTGAATTAATATGGTAATAGGATGTCACTGTTACCAATGATGGAGCAACTATCCTAAGCTTGTTGGACATCGAACATCCCGCGGGAAAGATTCTGGTGGACCTAGCAAAACAACAAGACAAGGAGGTAGGATCGCCTTTTCCCCCGCCGTTTATCTGTGCCGTCTAATTTAGCCTGTCTAGGTCGGTGATGGAACTACTTCCGTTGTTTTAATAGCAGCCGAGCTTTTGCGACGAGCGAACGAGTTGATGAAGAACCGGATACACCCCACTACAATAATCACGGGATACCGATTGGCCCTTCGGGAAGCCGTGAAGTACATGAATGAGAATATCAGCACCAAAGTTGAGCATCTGGGAAGGGACAGTTTGATAAATATTGCGAAGACATCAATGTCAAGCAAAATTATAGGAGCTGATGCAGACTTCTTCGCCAACATGGTTGTTGATGCGATGCAGCAAGTCAAAACTACGACGCAGCGAAATGAGATCAAATACCCAGTTAAGGCTGTCAACTTGCTCAAGGCTCATGGGAAGAGTGCTACTGAATCTTTACTTGTCCATGGATACGCTCTAAATTGCACAGTTGCTTCACAAGCCATGGTTACTCGGGTTACTGATGCAAAGATTGCTTGTCTTGATATGAACTTGCAGAAAGAGAGGATGAAACTTGGTGTTCATATCACAGTTGACGACCCACAAAAACTTGAGAAGATCCGTGAAAGGGAGTCTGGAATTGTCCTCGAGAGAGTGGAGATGATACTAAAGGCGGGCGCGAATGTCATCCTCACGACCAAGGGTATTGATGATCTTTGTCTCAAGATGTTCGTCGAGAAGGGCGCGATGGCAGTTAGGAGATGCAAAAAGGAGGACCTTAAACGAATCGCCAAGGCTACGGGAGCGACGCTGGTTAGCACACTATCCGATCTTAATGGTGATGACAAGTTTGAACCATCCAGCTTGGGCCACGCAGAAGAGGTGGTACAGGAGCGGATATCCGACGATGAGTGTATCCTTATCAAAGGAACCAAGGCCCACACTGCCGCGTCGATTATTCTCCGTGGTTCAAATGATTTTCAACTTGATGAGATGGAACGTTCCGTGCACGATTCTCTCTGCGCTGTCAAGAGGACACTCGAGAGTGGAACCATCGTTCCGGGAGGTGGTGCCGTTGAGACCGCCCTGCATATCTATCTCGAGGAATTTGCTGTTACAGTCGTAAGTGTTTTCTTGAACTCCCCTTTTGCGCAACGACCAATAGCGACTAGATCACAACTAGTACAATATAATCAAAAACAGTGGTATTCACGAAGGTGATGAATAACAGGGCTCCCGCGAACAACTCGCCATCGGCGAATTCGCCCAATCCCTCCTTGTCATTCCCAAAACCCTTGCTGTAAATGCAGCTAAGGACTCATCCGAGCTCGTCGCCCAACTCCGTGTCCGCCATGCCCTCTCTCAGCGTGTTCAGGAGGGAGAGGCTAACGCGGAAGAGAAAGCCATTGCCAAGAAGAAGATGTATAAGAACTACGGCCTTGATCTAACAAGGGGCAAAGTTGTGGATTGCGTCAAGGCGGGTGTCTTGGAGCCCAGCATGAGTAAAGTGAAGCAGTTAAAGAGTGCGGTGGAGGCTTGCATTTCGATTATGAGGATTGATACGCTGATTAAACTTGATCCTGAGAGGAAGGCTGAAGGTGATGGGCATGGACACCACTAGACGACTGGGAGCTGTAGCCCGTCAAAGAACAAAAAAGAAAAGGAGTTGAAACCAATCTTTTTACTGGCTGGGTTGATACCGTACATCTCTTTCCCTTCCCCTGTTTATTAATTAATGTCTAGAGGAAAGAAGAGGATCTGAAGAAAAATTTTTTTTAAGTCTTCATAAGGAACTCATCATATGAATATGGTTATCTAGAAGTTTATATTGTCGTTTGGCCTAAAATACTCTTTTCCGCATTCCGCCTCGAGATTTGAATAGTTACCTCATTTTCACAGCACATTTAGACTCTGTTGAAATTTCGAAGGTAGAGAATAATTACGTAGCTCATCTCAAACTGTGTATGTTGTGATAATACACGCATAACCTGGGTGTACAATTCGTCTAGTCGTCTAGAAAGACAATGGGAAATAAATATGAATAACCGAAAAATGGACGACAGAAACGGCAATTCTCGCTAGCAAAAACGCCTTATAATAACTTCGCTCTGAAATTTGAGGAAAAATTACACGCAAAACGAACTCCCTAATGCACATAGCAGTACCAGCAGATACGTTAATGGGCCCCTCCCCCTATTCATCTTCATCGTCACCTGAGTCCTTCACATCCGCCCATCCACAACGCCATCTCCGCCCTTCACCATCCCCGCCGATCCTGAGGTCTCGCGCTGCAGGGCCTTTTCGCCAGCATCGAGCATGTAAGTCATCGCTGACGGTGATAAGCTCGCCACCATACGTCCAAGAAACGCCAGATACTTCCTTCTTATGCCCTTCAACTAGCGCCGCGCCATGCTTGTATATCGGGATGGTATCTTCCAGACGTCCCGACAAGCCTACACTGCTGGAATGGGAACTACGTAGGTTGTGGCCGTGTAGTGGCCGAGAAGATGCTTGGTTGGAAGAGTTATTAACAATACCTGTGGAGGACGAAAGGGAAGAAGAACCAGTGATGAATGGCGACGGTAGATATCGTTCATCTGTCGGAAATACGATGGCGCAGTTATCACTGCTGCCGACTGCGAGCATTTCACTTTCGTCATTGACTGCACGGCGGACGGCGATTTTGACAAAGAATGTGGCGACTTGAAGGTGCGGATGGCGGAAGCCGTATAAGGGCCCTAGGCCCGGTTTGGCCTCGTCGCTTGGGAAGCGCTTGAAACTTGAGCTGGATGGTGTCATTTCTGGACAGCTCCCTAGAGTCAGGTGGGAGGTGGAGTATGCGTAAACGCTGCCATCCCGGCATAGGGTGTAAAGCCTGCTCCCATTACCACTGAAGGCCATCGATGTCAGTCCGAATTGGCGGTATTTTTCGTGGCTCTCTGGTTGTCTAGTGATGGCTAAGGGGACAGGTGTTTTGCGTCGTAAAGAGTAGGTAGTTCGCAGGTCCCACAACCTCACACAAGCATTTGATTCGCCGCAGGTTACGAAGAGGTTTTCACGGCCAGGGTGTAGAAATGCGATAGAAGTAACGGATATATCGTCCCGACGTGCTAGGGCTTCTGCTTCCGAACCAGTTTTGGACCGGGCCCTTTCCGCATGCGCTGGCCAGATGCTGTTGGATACCTGGGGATACTTCATTTTAGTGGACGCTCTTGCAGAATCATCCGCGTCCGATGTAAGAGAACAGCGTAACTGCATTGCAGGCTTTTCAAAGGCTTTGTATCGTAGATCCCAAATATTAACGCTGCCGTCACGACTACACGTTGCAACAACATTGTTATTAGAAGCGGGCTGGAATTGAACGCGTTTGACAGATGAAGTATGCTTCGACAGGCAGTATATTTGGGTTTGAGTAGTCATATCGATAATCCGTGACGTTTGATCACCCGACGCAGTAGCTAGAAGTCTGTCATCAGAGGAGAATTCTAGGTCCATAATGGAGTTTGTATGCGGTTGAAATGATAGATAGGTTTTGGAAAAACCCGGTTTCACGTCCTTAGCTGAGTCTAATAGTCGGACTCCTCCTTCTTCGTCTCCAATCGCCACCAGAGAATTGGCTGGAATGCATTAGTTAAGAGCTGCAAATTGTAACGGGGAATTAAAGAGTGAAAATTACATACTGTGACAAGAAACAGTGCAAAACGGTAGAGTGAGACGTTCTCCCCTCTGATCTCTATAAGAGCATTGATGGAGGTCGTCAGCTAAGCTATAGAAGTCGGACACCTCATCCCGCCAGGCTGTTTCCAGAGTAATTAGCCGACAATAAGTTTAAAAAAGCACAAGAGATGTACCACACACCATTCCCATAGTCATATCGGTGTGTCAGCGTCCCCGGTGTATTACCCGAAAGGCTGCGTATAAATATTTGACCGGTGGTTTGAAGCGTATGAGATCGACGTAGAGGTGTTGGCGGTAGGGTATGTTGTTTGGTTTTGGTTTTAAGCACCTCCGATTGTATCTCAGATTCGATCCCAATTTCATCAACTTTTGGCCTACGAGGACTCGAGTCTATATCAATTTGACGAATAGATGGCGCAATTCGCACTCTTCTCAATGGCGAAGATTGAAGTGGAGAACTTGAAGAAGAAATGGACAATTTTCGTTTTTTGCGGGGAGTTAATAAGTCATCTTGTGAGTGGGAAGATTTAGCTGGGTTGTCTTGGGTGCCATCTGATATCCTGGAAAATGCTGGTCCGAGACGGTTCAACGCAGGGGAGCATATATCTTTCAGGATGTGGCGATTGGGGCGGTCGTTCCCTCCACTCGAGAGCGCCCCCAGCACAGAGCGTGGGGTAAAGAACCGTTTGAATGATCTGGGCGTGACGGGAGGGGGCTTTTTAGTCTTCGTTCGAGGAGGAGATGAAAGTATCTGTGGAGCATTGAATATAGGAGGAGAAGATGGAATCGTGTCCTGGGATCCCTCGGGGGTGTCGGATCTGACATATAGAGAAGAGGACCCGGTGACAGATTCCATGGCTAGGGTTATTTTGAGATGGATACAAATCTAACGCATTGAAATCAATATCTATTTATGCTTTGAAAGGAGTTGGAGGGTGACTGCAGCTGGCGGAGGAAGAGGAGGAGTTGTCAGATTTCGAGCCCCACGGGAAGAGATTTTGATATTGAGGCTCTGTCTGCCCTGCTCGCCGTCGCGACACAAACTGCGTCCAACGATTGATCCCCGCGAAGTCGTGCCCGTGTCGGTCTTGGCGCTTCCGCGACGCGAGTGCTTAGTCATGGTGACCTGTCGTCATACTGCCCCAACGTTGAAGCGATTCCGCTAGATTTAAAGAGGAAGGCGGTGAAGGGGTTCACAAGCTTGGTGCTCGGCTCTCGGGGTGTTGATGCCGAGCCCGCGCTTAGCCTAAAGGAGAATTTTTGATTTTTCAATATTGAAAGTTGACGAACAATTTAGGTCAATTGCCCTGCCCAGTTTCTGCTATGAAGATGGCTCCCATCAAGCGGAAGGGTAATGGCCCAGATGAGTCAGGTTCTCGGCAGCCGCAGAAAAGAGTCAAGGTCATAGCTGGCGTGCAGCGCAAGGATGTGAACGGCGGGAAGAATTCGAAGAAACCGGCGGAGAAGTCGAAAGATTCTTTGGATTCACCCTCGAAGACACCAGCTGTTTCTGTCTTGCGGGAGGAGGAACCCGCATTTCCCCGTGGTGGTGCAGATATTTTATCACCACTTGAGCAGAAACAAATCCATATCCAGGCCACTCGTGACGTTCTGTTCGAGCAGAAGGGAGCGCAGGCTCAGGATGATATCGACAATGAGGACGGGACTCAGAAGAAACAATCTAGCAAGGAATTCGGGATTAAATCTAGGAAAGGGAAGACCAAATCCAAGAAGCACACGATTCCTCAGGCGTCTACCAAGGAGGAGGTTCGCATTGAAGGGCTTAATTTCAAGGTACCTTGTCCCTCCCCGAATAGTGAATCCTGAGTGAATCAACACCACTGATGTTTATTTTTAAAGCGCATTGTTGTAGGATCTAAGATCCTTGGCCAAGTCTCTAGCATCAATGCTCACGACATTGGTTTGTCGCTTCCGAACAATTTAACTGGTTACATACCACTCACCGCAGTCTCGAAAACACTCCAGCAGAAGATCGAAAAACTCTTGAACAGCAGCCAAGAAGAGGATGATAATTCCGATGGTGATGATGATGGAGATGATGATTTGGATTTGAAATCCTACTTCAAATTGGGCCAATATTTACGAGCGGCCGTTACATCAACTGAAACTGAGGTGAATCATGGTAAAATCAAGGGGAAAAAACACATCGAGCTTTCAGTGGACCCTAGGGAGGCTAATTCAGGCCTTTCGAAATCCGATCTAGTCGTTAATGCAACTGTACAAGCCTCTGTCCTTAGTGTAGAGGATCACGGATTGGTTATGGATCTTGGCTTGGAGGATGGCCAAACGAGAGGGTTTATGTCTTCGAAAGAAATACCCCATGACCTCGAGCTATTACAGATCAAAGAAGGCACGGTTTTCCTTTGCGTCGTGACTGGGCATAATGCGAATGGCAGCGTTGTGAAGCTTTCCGCCAACTTGCCAACGGCCGGCTCCATTAAAAAATCCCACTTCTTGACATCTGCACCCACCATCAACTCATTCCTTCCTGGAACAGCAGCAGAAATCCTTCTGACCCAAGTTACTTCGACTGGCATGGCTGGAAAAATCATGGGAATGCTGGACGCTGTTGTTGATATAGTCCAGTCTGGAGCCACTGCTGGAAAGGAAGATATTACTGCAAGGTATCATGTTGGTGCGAAAATTAAAGGTCGACTCATTTGCACATTCCCCACGGCAGAGCCTTTGAAACTTGGATTTTCGATCCTGGACCACGTTGTCAAGTTTACGCCAACAGTTCTAGACCACAAATCTAGCTGTGAGGGTGTCCCTGCTATATCTGCCATTGTGCCTGAAGTAAAAGTCACTAAAGTTGAGCCTGGGTTGGGAGTCTACGTTCAATTCAATGACAAGCATTATGGATTTGTCCATATTTCCAGGCTCTCCGATGACAAGGTCGATAGCATATCTTCTACGCAGGGTCCTTATATGGTCGATTCTACCCATGAAGCAAGAATAGTTGGCTTCAGCGCACTGGATAACCTCTATCTACTATCTCTCGAAAGAAAGGTCATCGACCAACCTTTCCTTCGTCTCGAGGACGTTACAGTTGGCGCGGTGGTCAAGGGAAAGATCGAGAAACTCCTCATTGGACCTGATGGTATCAGCGGACTCATTGTTTCTCTCGCGGATGGAATTTCCGGGTTGGTTCCAGGAATGCATATGTCCGATACTAAACTGCAGCATCCAGAAAAGAAGTTCCGTGAAGGAGTACAGGTTTCCGCTAGGATCCTTTCCGTGAATTTGGAGAAACGCCAGTTACGACTTACGTTGAAAAAGACGTTGTTAAACAGCGAATCCTCCACCTGGTGTGATTATAGCGACATCCTTCCAGGGAACCAATCACCCGGAACCATCATCAGCATTCAGTCTCATGGAGCAATTGTTCAGTTTTATGGCGAAGTTCGAGGATTTCTCCCGGTTTCGGAAATGAGTGAAGCTTATATCAAGGACCCCGCTCAACATTTCAATATTGGACAAGTTGTGAATGTGCATGCGCTAAATGTTGACGCAGATTTTCGAAAGCTGGTAGTCTCCTGCAAGGACCAGTTGTCCTCCACAGAAGCTTACAAGCGCGCGCTTGAGCATATCCACCCCGGGAACACTGTTTCAGGCACTGTATTTGAAAAATCCAATGAAGATATACTGCTAAAGCTGGAGGACTCTGGGTTGGTTGCTAGATTAAATGCGGAACACGTCAGCGATGGCCAAGCTTCGAGAAATGGCGCTGCTCTTGCCCGCATTAGAGTCGGACAGAAACTTAATGAACTTTTAATCCTTAATATGCAAAAGTCTCATCGGCTAATCAAGGTCACCAATAAGCCGAGCCTGAAGCAAGCTCGTCAACGAGGGGAATTACCTGCCAAATTTGAGGATCTTGAGGAAGGCTCCAAGGTGACCGGATTCGTGAAGAACATCATTGCGGATGGTTTGTTTGTGGAATTCCTGGGAGGCCTCACCGGATTTGTCCCAAAACGCCTTGTCGACGATGACCACGTAAATAAACCTAGCTTTGGATACGCTCTAGCACAACCTATCTCCTTAACTGTACAGTCTATCGAAGACGACCGCCAAAGGTTTATTTTAACATTAAAGGAGCCACATACAGGCAAGCAACGTGTATCCGATCGTGATAAGGAGTCCAATAATGCTAATCAGTCGTCTATTAATCCCATCGACGGAGACATAAAATCTTTGGACGATTTGACCTTTGGTAGAATCACCAAGGCGAAGGTTGTCTCCATTAAGGAAACGCAGATAAATGTTCAACTTGCGGAAAACATTCAAGGGCGGATCGATGTTTCAGAAGTATTCGATAGTTGGGAAGCCATCAAGGATCGCAAACAGCCGTTGAGATTCTTTAAGGCTAAGCAGATACTTCCTGTACGAATTATTGGTATCCATGATGCCCGTAGCCACAGATTCCTTCCAATTAGCCACCGGAGTGGGAAGTACCCTGTTTTCGAACTTTCAGCCAAACCCAGCTCCCTCGAATCGACGGACCTCGACCTTCTTAGTCTTGATAAAGTAAAAATTGGATCTGCCTGGATAGGATTCGTCAACAATATTGGTGACGACTGTCTTTGGATAAGTATCTCTCCAAATGTCCGTGGAAGGCTAAGGCTCACTGACGTTTCGGATGATTTATCACTCCTTAGTGATATCACGACGAATTTTCCTGTTGGGTCTGCAATCAAGGTTCATGTTACCGGGGTCGACACAGATAAGAATCGTCTCGACCTCTCTGCAAAACACGGAGGGTCTCCAAACAAGCTGACAATATCGGACTTCTCAAAGGGCGAAATACTGCTTGGGCGGGTCACTAGAGTTACCGAACACCAGGTTCTCGTGCAGCTAAGCGACACAGTGGTTGGTGCTATCAATTTAATAGATATGGCTGATGACTACTCGAAAATTAACCCTGCAGACTTCCACAAAAATGAAATCCTCCGCGTTTGCGTTGTTGATATTGATGTCCCTAAAAAGAAGATATTGCTTTCCATGCGATCCTCAAGGGTCCTTAGCTCATCTTTGCCAATTCAAGATCCAGAAATATCCTCGATTAGCCAAATTAAGGTTAATGACATCGTTCGTGGCTTTGTCCGGAGAGTTGCTGATAATGGTCTTTTTGTTACCCTGGGCCACGACGTTACAGCCTATGTTCGAATCTCGGATCTCTCAGATTCGTATCTTAAAGAGTGGCAGAATGAGTTCCAAGTAAACCAGCTTGTGCGTGGAAGGGTAATTTTGGCGGACCCTGAATCCAATAAACTTCAGATGAGCCTGAAGCAATCGGTCCTTGATCCAAACTACAAGACACCGATCACAATCAAAGACCTGAAGCGCGGCCAGACCGTTACTGGAAAAGTCCGCAACGTGGAAGAATTTGGCGCTTTCATTGTGATTGATGGAACTGCCAATCTCAGTGGTCTCTGTCATCGCACGGAGATGGCAGAGGGGAAAGTGGAGGATGCAAGAAAGCTCTTTGAAAAAGGTGATATTGTCAAAGCTAAAATCGTCAAGATCGACCTTAATAAGGAGCGGATTTCTTTGGGATTGAAAGCCTCCTATTTCAAAGATAGCGATGACGAATCGGATGGTGAAGACGTTCAAGACGAGAGCGAAGAAAATGTGAGTGAAAGCGAGTACGATGGTGGCATGGATCTCGAGCTTGAATCCGGCGATGACATTTCAATGGGAGGAGTCGACTTGGAGGATACCATGAATGGCGATAATAGTGAGAGTGGCTCTAGTGACGGGGATGTACAAATGACCGGAACGAAAGATGCCGGTATAACGGGAGGCCTAGTCACTTCTGGATTTGACTGGAATGGAAACAACAACATCGGTACTGATGAGGACAATGAGTCTGATTCCGACTCCGACAACAAAGCCGCTGTGAAGAAGAAGAAGCGTCGGAAACAGGAGATCCAAGTCGATAGAACGGGTGACCTTGACACCAATGGTCCGCAGTCTGTCGCGGATTATGAGCGCCTCTTACTCGGTGAACCCAACTCGAGTTTGCTTTGGCTGAAGTACATGGCCTTTCAACTTGAGTTGAGTGAGGTCGATAAAGCACGAGAGATCGCGGAACGAGCGCTTCGATCAATCAGCATAGGCCAAGATACGGAAAAATTTAACATTTGGGTCGCGATGCTTAACTTGGAGAACACTTTTGGAAACGATGACACGCTCGAGGATGTTTTCAAGCGTGCTTGTCAATACAACGATCCGCAGGAGATCCACGAGCGGTTGACTAGCATATACATCCAGTCTGGAAAGCATGATGTACGTTGTAACGATCACAAAACCTTAATTCAGTTGCAAAAATTTTTACTGATCAATTGGTATATAGAAAGCGGACGAGCTCTTCCAAGCAATTCTCAAGAAAAAATTCACCCAATCCCCAAACATCTATCTCAATTTCGCTACCTTCCTTTTCGACACACTTGCTGAGCCGGAACGGGGACGTGCACTCCTCCCGCGCGCCATCCAATCACTCCCAACCCACACTCACGTCGATATCACGTCGAAATTTGGCCAGTTGGAATTCCGCTCTCCAAACGGAGACATCGAACGTGGACGAACGATATTTGAAGGCCTCATCTCTTCATTCCCCAAACGCGTTGATCTGTGGAATGTGCTGCTTGACCTGGAGATCAAGAACGGTGACATGGAACAGGTGAGGAGGTTGTTTGGGAGAGTTCTGGGGCTGGGACATCCCATTGCGGCGGATGGAACTAAACCTGGGGCGAAGAGGTTGAAGGATAAGCAAGCCAAGTTCTTTTTCAAGAAATGGCTGGCGTTTGAAGAGAAAACTGGTGATGAGAAGATGGTAGATGAGGTTAAAGCGAGGGCTGCGGACTATGTGAGGGCCATAAAGGCGGGACAATGATATAGGTTAAGAATGGAGTGATATAGACAGCTCGGAGTTGAAAGAAGATATAGACCCTTTCTTTGTATGCATTCGCCGCTCGTGATACCTATCTGGACTCAGATCTCAAGGCGATCGAGATTCTAGCAAGATTTTAAAAGTTATCTTTATTTTTTTTTGCTCTTGCATTTCAAGGCGTTGTTTTATAGCGAATTGAAGTTTCAATTCCGCAGTTGAATCGCCGTCAAATTTAACAAATAACAATGTGATACCACGACGTAAAACAAATAGGTATTCTTTTTCACCCTCTCCTCTCTACCATAACCCTCCTATACTCCTCTACAATGCTCTGCCTCTCTTCCGCCAACTCCTCCCGGGCCCGTAAACTCCCGGCCGCTGACGGAACATTGACCACATTGACTTTCGCACCACCCATGCCCCTCACCTTGAACTTCTCCTTCGGTTTCGTCAGCTGTGCAGGAGGCGCCTGCACAACCTCAAGTGGGTTGGCAGGTTGCATAGACTTCGCTTTGCGATTAAGCTTCGCCCACGGATCATCCTCGTCATCATCATCATCATCGTTATTGTTGTTGTTGGCAACATTGTCAGCATCGCTTCCACCAGCACCGCCCAACACGTCACCTCTTCCACTCTTCTTTCTCTTCTTGATCTTCTTCTTATTCTTCTTGGCAGTGGTGCCCTTCTTTTTCTTCGTCAACCCCGCTTCGGCCTCCCACGCCTTCCACTGCTCATTGATCTCTTCCTCCTCCGCCTCGTTTTCTTCGCGTTCAGCCTCTTCCCGCTCTCTAATCCGCGCCTCTTCTTCCCTCCATTCCCGCTGTAGCCGTAGAAGCCGCCGTTCATGTTTGGTCTGTCTGTGTTCTCTCAGGTTCTTCAGCGCGGGATCCTTGCTTACACTTGACGAGCCCGATTTTCTCGAGATGCCTGAGAACGGGAGGGCCCGGTTGACTCGCGCGGAGAAATCGGATAAGCGTTCGCCGGGGAGGATTTTTGGGATAGCAGTAGACGTCTGTGGCGGAGCAGGAGGCTGCGATGACGTTGCTATAGAGTGTTGTCCAGGTTCCGAGTTGGATTTTTTACTATTACCGGTTCTCTTCGATGCCATCCCCCCTCCATTGGCAATAACTGTGGGCCCCTCCCGTTCTCCTCGTTTCCGCTTTTTGTTGGGCTTTGTCCCGTCATCTTCAAGACCAGATTGTGACCGTGTAGTTGTTCCAGACGTAGATTTTTGGAACTGGTGCATCATGCGGAGAAAAACCTTGGGGGTATCATCTTCGAAGGCGATTTGGGCCGGCTTTTTCAGCTTGCGCTTTTTGTTGGCAGATTCCTTGAAGTCTGCATTACTCTCTTTTGCCGGAAGGGGCTTTGCGACCTTCGTCGGAGGAAGGTCAAAGCTGGTGCTGTGGGTAACAATCGGAATTGAGGGTTAGAAAGGAAACTTGGACTGAAATGGAGCGCAATTCCCTGGCTGGCTGGCTGGGTGGCTGGGATACTTACAAGTCATCTTTATGCCTCCGCTTGTGCTTGTGAGGCATTCTCGCAGCGTGTCCCTTCTATAAGCAATATATGCTGGTTTCGTTGGACTAAGCTGAGCAAAATTAAGCTTCCTATATTGGGAATAAAAAAATCTCTGAGCTGTATTTCTGGTAATTTTGATACCAATATTACTATACATGTGATCTAGGTAAAGTTTGCGCATTTTCAATCGATTCTTGGCCGAAGCGCTTAGCGGCTGTTGGTTTATATTACGCGCCAATAATCATGTTGAAACTGGTAATTTACTACATGCGGTTGTTTCTAGGTTGGCGTGGTTCGCTTGCATATCTCGATGCTTTCTTGAAGTGCGGGCCTGCTTATGATGTGCTGCAAGGCAGGCATGGTGGTAAGATATCATGTGCGGATCCAGGTACTTCTATATGTATTGGCCATAAACTTTGAGCGTACTCATTGATACTCAGTCAATCTAGTGAACGAAACTTGGTGGGTGCCTCTGACAGTCGGTTCATGGGCCCCTCCATCCTTGAACTCGGTCATTCCTGGCTCTTCAAGAAAGAACCCAGTGATGCGGAAAGGTGTCCTATAGGTTTTCACATCTCCTTCATCCAACATGACAGTGACATTATCCGCGAGGACAAACTCACTCATCATCGCCGGAACATCATCCTTGGCCATTCTCGTAGGGTTGCATCTCGCCGCTGGCTGTCAGCTTGAAGATGTGATCATGGATCTCTGTTGGGTTGATGTCTGCGATAGAAGTGGGCTGAGTCCAGCATCCTTGAATGGATTTGAGAGACATTCCCAGTATGATTTCGTCTTCCTCAATCTGGAAGTGCCTGAGGATGAGATGGGGTCCAAATATTTCTGGACATTGAAACATGCAAAGAGGCCAGCAAACTCCTGAAGATGAATCTTCTGCACTTGCGGCTGGTCTTCATCATCTGATAGAAGATGTGATTGTTTCAATGTGGTTAGCGCACAGCTAGTCTAATTGCAAGCCACTGGGATTAGCATACGCCCGCGAGGACTGTAGAAGGTCCTTAATGGTAAAAAGAACGTGAAGACCAGGGATAACGATGGGAGCGGTTACAGCAACTGCCATGATGGAAATGAGCTTGGGAAGAAGTTACTGATTGTGAATGCATCAGTTGATGGGAGAGAATGAGAAGAGAGCAAGATTCTCTAGGTAGCTATATATAGGTGGTCTTTGAGCATTCATTCAGCACTTATCAGCTGTCGAGGATGAGCAGTGTAAAGCCCCTCATACTTCCAACTCCTAAACCATTTGTATATGCCAGCGGTGATGCCACCTGCAGTTACCTCGTCATGCGGAAATTCGGAAGACTTGGATCATGTTCGGGGATAGTAGATGGGTTTCTTTGGCAGCTTTTATTTTGGAACTATAGAAGTGATCCTGCAGCGCCATGTTTCATTAATATTTTAGTATGCATGGCCTTCCTCTATGTAGTTTTGATGTCGTGGAATGTTTGTGGATATTGTTTCTCATGTTGAGTGTAGATGCGATATTGAATGCAATGGCTTTGTAGCAAGAGCTCACCAATCACGGACGTGGCTGGAAAGTGGTTATTCTTCAGTGTCAGGGGACACTGTCACGAAAGCGGGGTTTTCGGAGGCGGAGTATTGCAGTTTATGAAGCTAAATTGGAATTTCTCTTGTATGCTCTGGATTGGATGGTATTTTCCTTTTATTGTTTTTTCCTTTGCCTGCGAGAGGACTTTTGATATGTTCCTGTCGAGAATACCGATACTACCAACAACAAGGTGATTGTTCAAAGCGACGCGTGATCAGCAACTTGAGCGGAAAGTTCAGTTAAGCTTTTGAGGCTAAGTAATTGTGGATGTCCAGCCTATTTCAAAGTCTGTCCCAGCGCTGAATTGGCGCAGAATTGAGTTTGGCGGAATACGGCTCTCCTATCTTTATTTAGTAAGTTGCCAACGCCGCGTCTGATTATAACCTGGTCTTTATTTTATAACCGCCAGGTAAGGTCAGCTAGAGAGGATTATAGCAGAATAACAAACTACACCTTATATATCTCTTTTCCTGGCTGTTTGGCCCGTGATGGATTATCCTACAGCCCCTTTATAGACAACCGTCCACACTTATTCCCCCACGGGTTTCCAGGCAAACGTCATATCCCGTATAATAATCGCCTAGGTTCGACCAATTATTCACTAGCTCGGAGGGTAATATCAAACTAATAAGGAGTTGGGAAATGGTTGGCAGAGAAAGTGAATCCCGGAAGAAACTATCAACCTATGTTTCCCTAGTTAACTGCAGCAGCACCTCGCTTGACCCGAGCATGACCTCCGGTGGCGACAGGGTGGGCGGGAAAATAGAGATGAAGGGACTTCCTGAGTCGGCAGAAGAGCGCGATGAGCAGAGCCATTATATTGGCGATGAAGAAAATGGATATGAGGATGAGCATGCATATCCACCGCAGTCACCAAGGTCTCCTTTGATAAACTGGAGGTCACTGTCGCTGGGGGGGCCCTCAAGAAATAGGCGGAACTGTTTCCTGCGAGATTCCCGCGTTGCTTGTTTCCCCAGAATCTCCAAACTGTGGAGGAAAGGGCCGGGCTCGGGGTCGAAGACACGACGCCTGCTGCGGCACTGCATCGTGGGTGCTCTAGTTGTACTGTAGGTGTTTTTCTTCCTCGTCATTCCTCGTTAATTTCCTCCCCCGTCGTGTCATTCTCTGATTATTCGTGTATTCTTCCCATATCTGTTACACACTCCAGTTGATGTATTTTTTGAGAAGCCGACGGACGGGGGTATAAGCAAAGAATATGGCTGACGCTGGCGATAATAACAGAGGGCTGGTTCAGTTGGTCGCTCTGACTCTAGGGGCTTTGGCGTCTCTCTTACCTGGTGACATCGAGGACGCCGTTTTTCGCTGGGGTCGACCCGGCCAACAAGGCGAGTATCGCCCTCACTGGCCTACGGATACAAGGGGTGTTAAGCCCATCCCATGCCATTCTCACAACGACTATTGGCGTCCTGTACCCCTGCTTTCTGCCCTGGAGGCCGGCTGCATTAGTGTAGAGGCGGACATCTGGCTCCTCGACGAGGACCTCTTTGTGGGCCATACTACGTCTTCTCTCGCTCCAAATCGGACTTTAACGTCAATGTATATCGACCCCCTCGTTAAGATCTTAGATAACCAGAACCGTAACACCAGTTCCCATTCCAAAAACTCACCAAATGGCGTTTTCGATGCTCGGCCATCCCAAACCCTCGTCCTCCTTATCGATTTCAAGAATAAGGCACTTGAAACTTGGCCACGTCTCCTCTCCCAGCTGTCCCCGCTACGTGATCGCGGCTACCTTACTTATTTGAATGGAACAGATGTGACGGAAGGCCCGATCACTGTGGTTGCGACAGGAAAGGCACCATTCCAGAAAATTATCGCCAATGACACATATAGAGATATCTTCTTCGACGCCCCACTAGACAAGCTGGGCAACGGTGCGATCCTAGAAAATCACGAACGATCCTCAAGCCCAAAACTTGTCAACAATGCAGGCATAGATGACAAGTTAAACATTATAAAACTCCGCCGTCATCTACAGAACGGCGCCACCAAGCAACGTAACTCCCAGCTCCCAGAAGCTTCTCCCACTAGAATCGACAAATTAAAAGCAGCACCCAACAATTACGTGTACAATTCTAATAACAGCTACTATGCCTCCGTCTCCTTCATGAAATCCATCGGCTTCCCCTGGCGTTTTACTCTTAGCCAGAAGCAATTGGCGCGGATCCGAGCCCAGGTGCGTGAGGCGCACAAACGTGGCCTTAAAGTGCGCTATTGGGCTACCCCTGGCTGGCCGCACAGTTTACGAGATCGCATTTGGAGGGATCTGATTAGGGAAGGCGTCGATATTTTGAACGTCGACGACTTGAGAAGCGCAGCGAGACTAGATTGGGGTAAAAGGTCGCTGTCGCGATGACAATGTTAAATTAAATATAGCTGGGGTCTTGAATTGGTTGCTTTTTGGGCTCCTCTATTCTCTCCTTCAACATTGTCTTTTGGTCTTTCCTTTTCCATCTTTTGGGGGTTTAATCTGGATTGAACTAGCTCTGGGCTATATTTGTATTACTTGAAAGATTTTCTGCTTTCTGGATATTGATCAATTGGGCTGAGGGGGCGTTTGGTTCATTTTATATGAGATGCAGCTCTGTGAGTTGTTAGTACGGCATCTTCCTTTGTTCTATTACCTAAGAATTATATGCCATTAAAAACGCGATTTTGGATTGGATTTGTCGTTCTTCATATTTATCTTATAGCACGGTGGTCTCATGAACTGCATTTTTAAACCATTGACCTGAACTATTCTAGCGAACCGATGACGAAACAAAAGTCTGTATTCTAAAGTTTTCTTTTTCCCTGTGCGCGGTGTTTCATCCTTCTGTTTCTGTTTATGCAAGAGCCTGCTTGAATTGGAATGTAAAACAAGTAACAGAGGTGATGTAGAGTACATTTTCATTGAATATATACATATATCCTTCTCTCTCTTTGTGTATTTGTGTATGCATGGTGTATGCATGTGTGTGTGTGTGTGTGTGTATGTACAACAAGAGAGACACAAAAAAAACCACAGCAGCGTTCCCCCGAAATAGATCCAGCGGGGAAAACGAAAAATAAATAAATAAATAAAATAAAATAAAATAAACAAATATATATATTTACAAACACCCCAGCGCCTCCGTGCCAAACTCCCCCACCACACTCCCCTCCCTCCTCATCAACTCGCCCAACCACCCCTTCGCGCTCTCAAAGTCCTTCGCTCCGAACTTCACAAGCACGAAATTCGACCGCACTCGTGCCGCCGTCCATGTTACGGGGACCTGCTCAGAGGCTCTGGTGCTGGGTATGGGAGCAGAGGCGCTGGCCGCATTGGATGATGCAGCCCAATTCCGCCCGCCAATGCGCGGGAGGGAGGAGAATTCCTCCATGATGAAGGAGGCAAGGGAGTCGAAGAGGGGTCCGTGAAGGATGAGGGTCCCCACGATCCCGTGCGGGCGTGTGCGGGACTGGATGGAGAGCGCAGCGGGGGAGGGGGCGGGGGAGGCGTGTGCTGCTTGCTGCGACGATGCGGGAGTATGTGAGCATGTCAACGGTGGCAGCGGGGGCGGGATCGGGTTGGAATCCAAGTCCGGGCTGGGTAGTAGGTTCCCGTCCTGGTCCTCTGTGTATCTGGTCTCGTCTTCCAGGACGACGGTGTCGCGGAGCAGCAGCTTGCGGGCGCCCGTGGACGGGTCCTCGGACCAGACCTCGTTGCGACCCTTCCAGGAGTGGAAGTCCCAGTCTTCGCCCCGCGCGGTGCGGCCTTGGGTTACCCAGTCGAGGATGCAGAGGCTGGGTCCGTGGTTGCCGGTGGCGGTATTTGTGTCCTCTGGGTGCTTGTCCTGCAGAAGTGTAAATCGCTGTACCTGCTCATACTGGCTATCTTGGAACGGTTGGGAGGGGTCAGGGATGTAGCAGAGGCCTGCTTGGTGGCTCAGTTTCACGTCGAGTGCCTGAGAACTGTTGCATTGTGGCAAGCCTTTGTCATGAAGGTTAGTTTTAATATTAACACCTTTGCTATTGCCATTTCCCGTTGGCTGCTGGATGTTCATCCTTTTGTTACTGGAATCGTGGTCTTGGAGAACGGGCTGCCCGCCTCTGTCCGTCGCCCGCGTCCGCTCTGTCTTGTATATCTTGGTGCTTCCTTGCGGCGTCGTCACCACCAATCTCGTGCACGGTTTCAGGGTGATCGAGACATCAATGTGGTCACCGGGAAGCAATCCGCCGCCGTAGGTGAGCAGGTAAAGATGGACGGGGATAGTTGCGGATTCCGGGTATTTGGAATTGAGGGGCGTTGCGGGAGTTCTGTTAAGAAGCTTTAGCGGGTACTGGTAGGACAGGTGAGAGATGGTTGTGACGAAAGGGGGCAGCACGGAGAGGACAACCTCCCCGCGGCCTGGAGAGGTCTGAGCTGTTGCAAAGGGGGAAACGAATGGGCATTTGGGAACATTTGGTGAAAGGATGGTTTCCTTTAAGGGGAGGCCCGAATGGAACTTGTACGTGTACATTCTATTGCGCAGATATTTAAGCTGGTGTGGAGTTAGATACGGAAAATGATTATTTTGATAGTTGACGCAAGTGACTCGGGTTGGAGAAACTACTAGTATTTAAAGTGAATATTTGAATATTTCCCGGTCGTTCTTATATCTCCAAGCGGCTGCGTGGATGCATAAAGTGTGTGATGTTCCTATGAATCGCACCCGTTTGTATCTCCCGGACGTTGGAAAAGATCCGGTTCTGCGGAGAATCGAAGGCAGTTCAGAGCAAATCAGGCTGGCTCCCGCGGTTGAGTTAGCGGAACATTTGCCATGCACCCCCAGGTCCACGGTTGCCAACCGAGTGAACGAATGAGATCATGCGATGAGCCGTTTGAGATTTTTTCATTTTCAACCCTCTCATTCGATTCCATTAAGCTCTTGGCCAGTTACCTATTTCCTCATATGGCCACAATGACCGTGGTTGACCGCATGCCAGGCCGCCTCATAGTGGAGTTAGCGCGAGATCGCGTTTATAACCAAACGCACAAGGTTTGTCATGTTCTTTCTACAGAGTACCCTGCAGTACCTAGGTGCAGATGGACCGTGGCTCGCCGGGAAATCCTCAGCATTGCTCCAAAGCATAAGTTGAGGCAGCCATAATTAATTGTCATACAGCTCATTTGCTGTCGGTACATAATCTCTTAGATCAGAGATCTTCTTGTGGTAAGACTCGTGCGCGACGAATGCTTCCTGTCCACATTCTGATAACTTTTCCAATTGCTTTCGAATCCGAACTTAAAGCCCCATGGCTAGCTAACTACTCGAAAAGTTAACTAACACCTTGCCATCGTCCATTCTGCGTCATCAGACCTGGACTCAAATTTACTAAGTGACAGCCACAAGGTGGGGGTGGAATCGTGCAGGCGCTCAAGGTTTCAGGAACCTTCATCCATGTTTCCACGTCTTGTATCTCGTGTAGTTGTTACTAGCCACCAGGTTATCCATGGTGCCATCGAATGGACGAGGCCGTCGTGGGCAGGAAGTACGTCCATGCTGCCCTGGTTATCCATAGAGCATTTTGTGACAGCTTTTGGATAGATTTCGATGTTGCCATCACATATCCCAATACTTGTTAGTTATGTTGGAAACAAAAAACAGACCTGGGTGGACAAGGAAACCGAAGCTGTCGAGGGGTTTGAAACCAAAACCCCTGTCTGAAGCCGTTCCCCGATATGCTGCTCACTGAATACTCATGCTCGCAATCGAAACCTCGGTCTCCGATCAAATACGAAGTACTTCTGCGTCACTTCCTTGACGCTTCCTGTCTAGACCCAAATATTCTGGCATGAGAATTTTAGGGACTAGATGATGGGGCATAGGGATGATAAAACAGTTTAGGCCGGCTTTCTCGCTCAAATACAACTTCCGAATGTATCTACCGCCAGCCAGCCTGATCCTTGCGCTTCCAATGGTTAGTATTATATTGCCACTAGCGGGCCACCTCTCGCCACATAAGATCACCCACTTATCAATGAGTTGAATGTGGTTTAAAAAAGTGGGTCTGAAAAATAAACCATGCTCAGCCCTTCACTCCTCACTAAAATTTACACTGACTAAAAATCTTTTACACCCTAAGCATATATTATTAATCAGTTGTCATACTTCAATATTCAGAGCTCTTCAATATCTGAAAAGTAGTTATGAGTTAGAATTAGTGATTAATATTAGTCAAGAGATAGGGCTTTGAGAAATAAGATTAAATCACTGTGTCTGATGCATTTGAAGATGTGTGAGAGATGTGTGGGAGATATGGCCAAAACCACACCGAAGGTTATTCCGGCCCGAAAAATTAACCATGTTCAACTTTTTATTAACCACGTTCAACTGTATCCCTTGTGTTGCTTCATATAGCCATTGACTCTGTGTAGTAGCACTTACAGGTACAAGAACTCTATGCGGTCTCCTGGCACCGAGGTGGAAAAATTTTCCAGTCTGAATCCCTTTTTCCATGACGCTTCCATGACGCTTCCATGACCCTTTTGAAGTCCCATCCCCTGAATAGCGATTTGGCATATCTGTCCGAGAATAACGGGTATTTGCGATATGGCCCTGCTTCCCGCATTCTGGTCATACAACCAGTCAAAGCTGACCATGGCGATCTGCGTAATCCAGCGAGCAAGATGGTTCGTTACTTAGTTATAGCAAGAGATTACAAATCCATGGAAAATAGATGGTTAAAGAATAACGATATAAATGAAGATGGCTGATACCAGGCCCCATAAAACGCGCCGCGCAAAGTCGCTTTACCGTCATATCTCCCCTTCCGGCGAAGACCCCAACATAATATCCTGATCTTTACTCCTTCTTATCTGCTTTGCTTAGACCCAAGTATGTTCTTCTCCAACCTGCCGACTGTGGTTTTGCAGCTCGCATTGTGAGGTTCCATGAACCGGTCTTATATATATATTTCTCTTTGGGTATGTTTGTTCTGTACTGTGCTTTTTGGAGTTACGTGCCACACAACTTCTGCTTTCGTCAAAAGATGCCTTTCCAAGCTTAAGGAAAAATTGGGTAGGAGCCACATTCAAGTAAGTGACAGGCCCAAGCCTGTAGCCATAAGCCCACTATTTCTTTTATCCCCAAGGCGAATGAGTCTTTGGACATATCAGGCTGGGAAGGCGATGCTCATGTTCGTATTCAGCGTGGTGCGAAGCTTTAGTAAAGGCACCTTCAAGGTGGCTAGTTTCTCGGACGGAACATGCGCACATGTAAGCAACTACTCCTGCTACCGCAAATAGGAGAATCCTTTGGTGGAGACTTGAAAGCTTTTCGGTTTGCAATGGCTTATGCGTCTGTTCGTTGAAGTTGCCAAAGTACGAAGGGAAACATGATATGTAGAAATTTTTGCCAAGCTCTTCCTATTTCGGGATTTCAGTATCGGGTACCTGGATCGAAGATAGGATTACCATGGGTCCCGCTGTTAATGTTGAAATAACTACTCTCTTACTAGGGAGACGTTCTCTGGCTGGAAATATGGGAAGATGCAAAGGCAAGGGGTTCTCAAAGTAGCTCATGCTGGGTTGGCGTTTTCGATAGAGTACTGGTAAGAATACAAATGGGTGTTATATCACCTGGTCAGGGTTTTTATTCTCGAGTATTGACGTTTTTCTGGTGCTGCTATCGGGATTGTTACTAGCGACCAGCTTTCCAGAGCGCGAACCGGAGGGGATTTTGTCCTGCAGAGACCAGCTGCAAGCGTACTTGATCGTTGAGCAGGTCAGCAGCAATTTGTAGTTAAGTTATAACTAAAGGAGTGAACGATTCTTGCCTCTGACTTTCTCAGCCGCGTTATATGAGACCTTAGTTAGGTACTTGGTTGTGTTTGAGATCTCTGACTTACATAATCCCTTAGTCAGTCGTCATAGCTCCCCGTGTCCTATCGCGATCCAAGATCCACAAGATCCACAACCTGGACAACGGGCTAAGCAATTAGCTAAATCGGCAGAGGCCAGCTTGCGTTAAAAAGCTATGGATGCCGCCTGAACTCCCGCCGCATACGTCCCTGCCACGCACAAACCCGTCTTCCGTGTTCTCGGGTTTGCCTCTCGATCTCCATGTTTCGGACCGTCAAACCATTGATTCTGACCAGGGCCAGGACGTCCAACCCCAACCCGTAGTGGGTGACAAAGCCACCAGTCCTCCTGTCGCTGGTCGTCGCGATAAAGTTTCCTTGGCTGGACAAGAGGAAGATCCGGGAAATATTGAAGACGAAGGGCTCGAAACGGAATCCGACGAAGATAACGCAAATAGCCCAAGCGGGTCTAAACTCTCATCCGGCGAAGACTTTGACGAACCATTTCCACCTTCTGGCCGATCAGCCAAACCCAAAATCCTTCCGATGAGGCGCTCTAAAAAGGCCGGATCAGTCAAACATCGCTCCTCCAGCAGGCCGGGCCTGTTCGTCGTGGCTGGCGGTGAAAACGGCCACGCCAACAGCGACATGAATTCCAATGTCGAAATGCGGAGGAAGGACAATTCTCTCGACTCGGCCCCTTCAGCTACCCAGGCTGTCTGGCTCATGAACAGATCAAGTTTCACGCTCGACGATGAACCCCCAACCCCTCAAACACCGAGGATGACGAACATGAGCTTTAGCGATCTACCCATTTATGACAAGCGGAATTTTGCGCTGTTATGTCTTCTCTACTTCTTGCAAGGTGTACCAATGGGCCTAGCGGCCGGATCAGTACCTTTCCTTCTTAAACCTTTCCTCTCCTACGGCCAAATCGGCATATTTTCCCTTGCGTCATACCCTTATTCCTTGAAACTGTTATGGAGTCCCATTGTAGATGCCGTTTGGAGTCGAAGATTTGGACGGAGGAAAAGCTGGATCACGCCCATCCAGATGATATCCGGCATTGCCATGTTATATCTGGGAGGTAGTATTGATCAAATGATGGTAGCTGCCGGCGCGGATGGAGGTGCGGGTGTTTGGAACTTTACTGGCTGGTGGTTCCTCTTGGTGTTTCTCTGCGCGACCCAGGATATTGCTGTTGATGGATGGGCGATTTCGCTTCTGTCGCCTCAGAATATCTCGTACGCTTCCACGGCCCAGACGGTGGGACTCACCGCAGGCCAGTTCCTTTCATACACTGTCTTTTTGGCCTTGAATTCAAAAGATTTCGCCAACAAATGGTTCCGCAATGAGCCCGGAAACACTGGCCTTATATCTTTGGGCGGCTACCTTACATTCTGGGGATGGTTCTATATCATTGTCACACTAGTTCTAGCTGTCCGGAAAAGGGAAGAGAAATCCAACGATCGAGATGGCATCCTCGCCGTCTACAAAAGCATGTGGGGTGTATTGAAGCTGGCCAACATTCACACCTTAATAATCGTCCACCTCATCGCAAAGATTGGATTCCAGGCCAACGATGCAGTCACCAGTCTGAAGTTAATTGACCAGGGCTTTGGCCAAGAGAACATGGCACTCGTCGTTCTAATCGATTTTCCCTTCGAAATTGGTCTGGGATACTATGCCGGAAAATGGTCGAACAAATATACGCCAATGAGACTTTGGTGCTGGGCATTTGTTGCCCGCCTATTCGCTGCACTTCTCGCACAGGCAGTTGTCATGGTTTTCCCAAAGGGTGACGGGCCAATTCCTACCTGGTATATCCTGGCAGTTATTGGCGAACATGTCTTCTCCACGTTCATGATGACTGTTATGTTTGTGGCTGTTTCCGCCTTCCACGCACGCATCGCTGACCCCGTCATTGGTGGGACTTACATGACCTTACTCGCAACGTGAGTCTCCTACATATTGGTCACCCCTCTAATCCCCGCACATTCACAAAAAACACGGTTTATATGACTAAGCTGATATGTATTGCACAGTGTCTCCAACCTGGGCGGAACTTTCCCCAAATTTTTCATTCTCAAACTCGTCGATCTCTTCACGAACGCAACCTGCATACCGCCCACAGAAACACCTGCGGACATAAAAGATCCTATCACGGCGCAATTTTCCTGCGCACTCGAAGCAGACAAGCTTCGCTGTGAAGCTGGCAAGGGTGTTTGCCAGGCCCACCGCGACGGGTACTATACTACCAACATTATATGTGTAATTATCGGAACAATTACATTCTTCCTATACATCAGACCGGCTGTTCTCAAGGTGCAACAATTGCCATTACGCGCATGGCGACTTAACGGCAATAATAGGCAGGCATAGAATTTTCTCTGATTTCTCGTTCCCTTTCTTCCCATCTTCTCTTCTTTTCACCAAAAATACAAAGACTCCTTGTACTCTTTGACTAACTGTTTTAACTGTACACCTTTTTATTCATGTTCGAAAAGCGTAGTTTTTGATCTGAGAGGGATCCTTGGTTCTTTTCTCTCCTCTCTCTCTTGCTGTCTTGTCCTTCAGCATTCCCAAATGCCTCAAATAAACAGTGCATGTTCTCTAGACAGTTCAGTCTGTGTGTACAATAATATCGATGGATATTTGAGAACTTTTCATATTAAATTCTCTTTATTTTCATTTTTTCATTTTCATTTTTTCTTTCTCGAAGCCTCAATGTTGTTCTCACGCCTCGAAATACCACCTTTTCTATTTTCTTCTAACATGAATAACCCACTAATAGCTGAAAAAGAATGATATGCATGGCTCATCTACTGTGTGGATGATGCAGTACCAGAACGGGCAAAATAGACCTAGAATAGCAGCACAGATGTGGATTTTAGGAAGAAGCTGTCAGACCCATTTCAATTACCATGTTTGAGTGCTTTGAGAGATCTTGAGTACAGAGTTCTTCTAGGACAGCATGCAAAGAGAAGTAGCAACACAAAAAGAGGACAATTCTTGGACAATTCTTGAGCAAGAAACAGCTCACCGGTCAGCAATAATGTACTGTAGAACATGGCCAATAATTTCCACATTGTACCTATCAATGTTCATATTATATGATTAGTTTGCAGTGATGTTCTTTTTTCATAGCATTGTATCTTGTGGCGATTGGCCGGAGCATGGCAGGATATCCTTTTCATAGAGGCCACAAAATATGCAACTCTCTGCCTGGCATGCATCAACCTAGCGACAGATCAATAAGAAGGGTCAATTGTGTATGTTTTGCGTTCGGTGTTGGCATTCCCCAATCTTCGCATGGCATCAAACCGCCATTGAAGCATTACACGGTGCCGCTTCTTATCTCAAGGAGTTCTCTCGATTGGCCCTTCCCACCGGGTTAACATGCTGCTACACAAACATCTGCGACCAGCAGAAACACGAAATGTTCCCACGAATCAACTACGCATTTTCGGCGGGTTTAAAATTTAGTCAGGACCCAGGAGCTTCCGTAGCGGTGTTTTTCCAGCAACCAATTCGACCTTACAGACTCGAGCATTCGAAATGCGCCAGGCTGGTTGTGGTGGGTTATAAAAATATCAGTGGCTTGCGGAACGATGTTGGGACGTCCAGCCCTATCCCCTTCCCTAGTAACTGGCTGGGTTCCTTATATTGCAAGCGTGTATGGAGACGGGTGTTTCAAAGAGGTATTGTTTTATATAATATTGATCGCATTTGGTATGTACTTAGAGATGCACTGGATTAATTGGCATTGAATCTAACCTACCGAGATCCGCAGCTGGCCCTGATCAGAGTTACAAAAAGGTGCTGCCTGTCCTAGCATAAATTCGTCCCAGCATTTTACTCCAGCGCTAGACAGCCCATTGTTCTCCTTCATAGGCCAATAATACCATTTGACACGGTTATTCCTGGCGAAAGGATCATATTCCTGGGCGCAAAATTAATCAATCAGACAGAACAAGGTAGATATCGTATATGACAAAAACCACCCACCCACACACACACACACACACAAAGAGAAGAGAAGAGAGAATAAAAGAGAAAAATAGAGTTTTATATATAGACACATCACCAGAATAAAAATATATTCACGGAAATTAAAAGCGGAATAAGCAGAAAAATAAATCCTTAAGATCACAAAATCAGCATCCTCCGCCCTGTTCAGTAACCTCTGCGCACAGGAAAACGGAACAATAAGAGCAGTTAAGGGGGAAAAAGACAATGCAGAAAGAAAAAATTACGTACAAGATCATACTTGGTAAGAGAAGTTGAGTGCGAAACGTCCACGAAAGGGAAGCGCACGACTGGAAAAATAAATTTGGTTAAATTGAAATAAGGAGATCAAAGAAAGGGGGAAGGTTATTCGCTCTAACCCGGCTCATTGTGCTAGGTCTTTGTTATACTAAGTTCATTTTTTTTGTTGCCTCTTTAAAAAATTAATCTCCCATCACATCATCAATTTCATCAGGGGCGGGGGTCGGCTCCAAATCCTGATCAGATTCTCCCATACCAAGCCTATCCTCTTCATCATCGATTAGCTCTCGTGCCACTAAGTCGCCTTCTTCATCTTCCTCTACCCGTGCCATCTCGTCTTCGTCACCATCGTGATCTTCAGCCGTCTCCGCTAATTTCATCTTCCCATTATCTTTCTTCAATCGAGCACCAGAAGGTCCAGAGCCGTTAATTTCTATCTGTTCGGGTTGCAGTCTCATATTGTCCGTAGCCGAAGCTACTCTCTTCCCACCAGCTTTTCCAACATCAAGAAACGCCACAACTTCCTTATAATTCTGCCCGAGACGATTCTTGTTCCGCAATAACTTCTGTTTTAGCTTTCCACCTTGGCGCCCTGAAACATCAAGCACACCGCCAACGATAGCAAGGACCATCTTGCCCGTGAGTTGGCATAATTTCTGTTCAGCTAACAGCACATTCCGAACTCTGTGGGCAGCTAGTATGTCCCGTATTTCCTCATCAGCCTCGTCTTCATCGTCATCACCATCTGATGGACTGGTGCTGTTGTCCGACGACGAGTCCATAGGCTCGTCATCGTCTGCTACTTCAGCGACTTCCAGCTTCCGTCGAGACTTTTTAGCGAATGTCCGTTCCACTTTGTCGTGCAGACGGGAAATGAGAGCTCGGGTTTCAGGGACGATTTCTTGCACTAGGCTTTGGATTTGGAGAATAACTTCATCATTCAGTGACGCAACGGTGTTCTTTTTGCTCTGAGCTCTTGACCCAGAAGTACGAAGCGTTCCAAACACCGTTTGGAGGTCAAGGAGGGTAAAAGTAGCAGATACTCTAAGTTCATCAAGCCCCGAACGTCCTTGCATTGTAGAAGTAAGGATCGCTACAAAGGCATCTCGACGAGCAGAAAGTGAATCGCAAAAATCGGTATCAATGGAAGAATCCCCTGATGCCAGTGCAGTCCTTATGAACCGTACCTTCCACATAAAGTAGATAAGAAGGGTTTTAAAGCTGTTGGTCACAAGTTCGAATTCCAACCTCTCAATCTCCTCATCGGAGTCCTCTGCCCGGAGACCCCGTTTGCTCAAGTTGAGAATAATATCAATAGGTGGTTCCATTGACAGTTTTTGCTTTTTAGACGGAGCACGAGGTTCGGATTCCAAAATGGAACTGCAGTCAGATACACTTGCGAGGTTTGAAATCCGCATCACGGTATTAGACAGAGCGGTAAGAACACTGGCGGAGAGAGAGGGTAATTCCTCCTTGCCTTTGGTTACAGATAGCGTGCGCAAGACTTCAATGGTATCATCCCAGAGCTCTTGCACCTTCGATTCCATAGCTTCTCTGAGTTCGTCAGAAGTGCGCGCATGTAAGAAGGCTATTGTGGCCTCAGCAAGGACAGATTGTTGCGAGTGTGTCAAGAATTGTTTGTTAATATTGCCAATGAGATCCGAATATGCAGCCGCATCCTTCTGAAGATCCTGGATCAAGTTGAGATCGACCAAATGCTCTAACTTCAAAATAGCAGAAGCGGCCTCAGGTGTTGATCCAAACTTATTTAGCAGTTGGGGGATTATCTGAGATAGACTGTGAGCAATAGATTCTTGCCGCTCCTCCATCCTTTCTACCAACAGCTTGGTCTTCCTGCCCTTCTTGTCTGTATCGGATTTGGCGACGTCCATGATATGTAGTTTCACTGCACAGCTTAAAACTTCCAGCAAGATCCCTTCCTGGCCTTCACTCAGTTTGTATAGCTGTTTCACAGTAGTGGCAGAATCGTCGTCAGTCGAAGTCTCTGGGATTTGTGAATGGTCGTAAAGGAGATATCCAGCTAAATGTTCCCATTGTTGGAGCTCTTCGAAATGGGAATATATAGCTTCCGTCGCGAGCACAAATCTCGAATCGACGCGACCAGTAAAACTTGTCCGTGAGATGGAAAGATCTTGGTCAGCTGGAACCGCCGATTCTTGGCCATCATACACCTGTAGCACGTCCACTAAACATTTGTATTTTATCCAAGAGGGACGAGGCGTTTCGAAGTTGTCTTCGCCATCGTCTTCCATAAATGTTTCGTGTAGTTCTTCCTCTAAACTCTCTGTAAGAGCATCATAGACGTCCTGGATATTCTCAACGAAGAATCTGCCAGCCGCTTTGCGCACACGGGGTACGCTATCGAATACAAGACGCCCAACGCTGTCGATATCATCTGGTTCAAGCAGTCCAGCCTCTCGAATCAAATCCAACAGCTCCACAACGTCGGCGCGGACACCTGGTTCGGCATCTCTAGCAGCCATCTCCACAATCCGCGGACGAAATCGTTCAGTAAATGCACGGAGCCCGGCAATGTTATCTTTATTCTGGTAAAGTCGATGGAGTTGTTTCACCACAGCAGATCTAGTATGGGAGACGGTATCTGAAAGGACCCAGCCCAAATAGCGCAGATATTGGCCGTCGAAGAACATTTCTCTATAGGTACTAATCCACACGCCAAGTGCGTTGACGCACTCGGCCCGAATTTTCGGATCGACATCTCTGTAACGATGCACGAATACAGTGTCAAAGGAGTCGCCAAGGTAGCTATCAATCGCTTGCAGCTTCTTCTCTCCTTCTTGAACCTTTGATTGCATGGCATCGGCTCTGCCTTTATTCACCGATTTTTTCCTCTTCTCTGTATCCAATTGCTTCCGAGTATTCGATACAGTTAGAGAGACCTCTCTGGCAACATTGCACAACGTCGTCACAATTGCTAGAGAAATTATCGTGGCGGTATGTCTAAAAGGCCGAATAGGGGCGGACGACATTGATGTTACCCATACTTGGATGTTTTCGACAAGGGCAGAGTCGCTGTACAGGACTGATGAGCTGTGGATGGTTCGGATGAGAGAACTGAAGAAGCTAGTAAGGGTGTACTGGAAAGACTTGAATTTTTTGGATTTCGAAATCAGGGGGTATTCCGTAATGTTCTGTGCTTGGTATTCTTCTTGGAGGTCATTCAATCGGCTCGCTACATTATCAACGTCTTCAATATCGTGGTCATCCACTTTCAAATCAGTTCCAGTACATCTCAGGATAAAATTAACCAAATCGGTCATCCCTTTGATATTGTGCTGCTCATACTTCGTAAGCCACTCTGCAGCAACGGCATCAGTAGTGTGACCTCGGGCGAAAACCTCAGCTAAAGGATAGAACGGGTCAGCAAAATAGAGAATAAAAGTGAGGCGATTGGGTCCAGTTGTCCATACCGTAAAGGCCATCCTCCTCAGCAAAATCACTTGGCCTTGTGCGCGGTTTTTTGAACTTCGACATTGGCCGATTCCCGTTGACAGCAGGGCGGATAGTAAGCTCAGTCGTGAGGCCGTTGGTAATTTTTGGTTTCTTGGCTGTCCGCTTCGTGGGAGGCTTCCTGGGCTCTTTGGATTCCTTCGACGCCTTCTTCATTTTCTTAGCGGCCGCCTTCTTTCGCGCCGCCTTCCTGAGTTCCATAAGTTCTTCTTCGTCGGGTACATCGCTCTCACTTTCTTCCTGTTCGTCTTCCTCCTCATCCTCATCCTCCTCCTCCTCTTCTTCCCGTTCTTCTACGGCCTCAGCCCCGCCATCCGACGCGTCGTTCTCGTCCTCATCCCCGTCTTCCTGCTGTGCGGCGCGCTTCCGCTTGGTCGTTCTGCCACCATGCGATGGGCGACTCGAGGTATAGGCAGTAGACGAAAAGAGCTCAGGTTTCCGCTTCGCTCGCCCAGACTTTCTTCTGCTACTCGTATCTGCGCGCGGCGACCTGGCATTTTCGCCGGGATCCGTAAGTGAGCTCGAGTCGCGCTCATCACCCTGAGCGGACGCATTCATCTTGTATTCTATGCGATGTCAGAATTGCTTCCCTCTGATCTAGTAACCAGTATGGTCGGCTGCGTATTTGCGCGGGGGTCTCTGTGTTTGCAGGAATCACATAGGGACGCGACTTGGTAGCATCGATATGGCCTGCCAGCGTGTAACGTGTCAAGGGCCCGGTGTCAGCAGTGAGAGAGTAAACGTAGTCCTTAGCAAACAGGAGACAGGGCATAGATGGCGGGCAATGGTCTGGGTTGGGGAGATATCAAATCGAGCGTTGATGGTCAATTGTGGAGAGAAGCCGCAAGTTCGATTTCTGGCAAACGCGACACTGAGATTTACCACGGCATTTCCTTTTTTGGGAACGTATTGAGGGTGGTATGACGCTAGTGTATGGTATGGTAAGTTGCCTTACCTAAGGCAACTTCAACATCAACGGGTTTAACTAACTAACCACTACAACTGCAACTGCACCAAAGGGATCGGCCGTTCAGGTGGGATCACACAACTTAAGATATGTATAATGGGCATTTTTCAACAGGAACCCATTCAATTCTGGTTGGGGTACCCCTTGAGGTCGCAATATTCGACAACACGCTGCACAAAAGGACGGCTGGGCAATATCCGTCAAACAAGTTGGGAGAATCTCATGGTTGCATTCCCAGGGACATTGTGGATGCGCCTTTCCGTCGGCATGTTTTGCCAGGTCGACTAGCGGCCTCCATTAAGTCGCCGGCAAACGCGCCCTACTACATCACAGAGCTGATTTAAAGTACTGGTATAAATCAACTGGGTTGAATTTGTTGTATATATATATGTCCAAAGCATGGTCCATTTTCACCGTCAAAATGAATCCACCCCAAAATCGTCACTACTACCATATTTCTAGCAGCAGCAATTCAGCTATCAAAAAATTCAGAGCCTTCAGAATGGAGATACTACCTAAGGAACCCGTCTATGTGACGTTTCCAACCACTCTTTCGTCGATGGAGAGCAGTCGGCTGCTTATTCGCCCTATCGTCGACACTGACGCGCCGGCGCTATTCGCGATCCGTTCGCGGCCAGAAGTGGCAGCGTACAAGTGAGGCAATGATTCTTCCCCTCCGGGTTGTACGGCATGTAAACTGATACAACTACTCTTTACAATTGCTAATTCGTAAAATCAAACAGCCACCCGAAAGAACCACTCAAGTCACTTGAGCAAACGCGTGAATGGATGACGTTCAAGATTTACAAAGACGGCCCTCCAGATATCGTGGGCCGTTCTTTCAATTTTGCTATCCTGGACAAGTCAATTCCTGATACCCAGGAGCAACTGATTGGCTACGTCAGTGTCAACATGGTCGTCCCATGTCCGGAAATTGGGTACTCGCTTCTTCCCGAATCGTGGGGGAAAGGTTACGCGACCGAGGCATTGCAGATGATGCTGAAAATTTGGTGGGATCTGCCGAGGCGGAATGATACTGAGAGTCGTGGTGGTGACGGTGGTGATGGCAAGCGTGCGGATAAAGCATATGCCATTTGCCAGGCAAGGAATCATGCGAGCAGAAAAGTGCTAACAAAGGCTGGGTTCGAGATCGCGGAGGAAATCACCTATGAAGGTGTTGATCTTCTTCTATTCGCTACGGAAAGGCCCAAAGCATAGGGAATAACTCGCAACATGCTTGTGGCTATGGAAAACCTTGGTCCGGTGGTGTTGAAGAACTTGTTCGACTCAGGATATATAGCTTGCTCGCATCGATCTCAGCCAGGAATTGGTGGGATTTCCGCTGTCGATTTGTTAGACCTCACTCGTTATATTACCAAAGCCAGGAATGAATTTAACAACTTATAACTTCTAGTGTATTGCAAACAATTGATCAAGTCTGACAACATTGAAGGAATAATGGAAATGGACCGCCCCCTTTGTCAGATCCCCTTGGCGCTCGTGACTTGGCAAGGAAGCAAGTTGGTCCTGAATAGGATACTAGAGCGTTTATCAAAGATTGAAACGTACGGAGTACATAATATCTATTTTATGGAGAATTGTGTAGAAACAATAAAGGCAAGAATAAAAACAGAGGTAGTCAAACATTCAGGTGATGAAAGTTTGTAGCTTTAATTAACTTAGTTAATGTTAGTGGTTACGAAATCACAGCTATGTTTCATTTGACCTGCGGGCTATAGACTGCGCGGGAATTTTTCCTAAAGAGCAAGTGTCAGACACATCTTTCCCCCCTATGGCTGGAGAGCATGTTAAATCGTAAATTCAAGACAAGAATATACATCTGTAATGAAAGCAGAGCGCTCGACATACTGGAATCCAGCAGTGCCAGGGGGGATATTTATCATTATGATCAAGGAGCGCTTCTTCATTACCGTAGCCAATAGTGAAACGAAAATACCGTAGTCACCAAATTGATTTGCATGAAAATCCAACGTGTACTAGAATTTCTCAAGATCAAGCGCAACAACATGCCTGTTTCCCGGTGGTTCCATCTGCGTCCAAAGTCCATACCCTTCTTGATGAGACACATCCTGCGGTACGCCTGAGAACACGTTCTTGTGCTCTTTCTGTCCGTCCTCCCATGTAAACGTCCATAAGCTGCCAGTGCTCTGAGTCAGGAGATATTTGTTGTTGATCGTGACGCTGCCCTGAATATTGGTGAGCGAATGCTGCACGGCGCGAGACGCAGTTGCAATGTCATCGTCATCCACTTTAAGGAGGTAGCTGCTTTCATCGAGATCCCAGTGAGTGACGCGGCCGGGGCCGCTCGGGAACCATTCGCCAGTAACAAGACTTAGGTGTTTATTAGAGACTCGTTTAGGCAGTGTACGAGAGTAACTTATTTCAATTGACTACGTACGTACCTTGAGGGATTGCTGGTCCTGTCGAGGCCGACGGCCGAGAAATGCAAATTTTTGACGCCTTCTTTCGGCTGCCATTTGTAGGTTCGCACTTGTGGCAGAACATATCTGAAGGGAAGATTTCAGAAATTAAAACCAGAGACTGGTGTCAAAAAGCAGCTGTTTACCTGTAATTGTACGCTTGATACCCATTTCCAACACGGCCAATACCATCTCCGATGTCAACTTCGTATATATGCCTCATATCAAAGACAAGGAGCCCACCAGTGGTCGCGACCACATAAAGAAAGTGTCCATACCAGGCAATCCCACCAGCATGGAGGCCACTGAGTGCTTCAAAATCTGGCTTCGACCCTCTCGCAGTTGGTTTAACGAGAAGAACATTCCGGTAGGCTCTCTCAGCCCCTTTATTCATGTTGATGAAGGAGATACGGGCACCGCGTTTCCCATCATTATAGTGATCCGAGTGCCAGGAGACCAATAAAGCGATATCGCCTTCATAGTCACCCGTATCGGTTGCGTCTGCGGTTGTGGTTATGCCTTGCGGATACCACTTCCTTGTATTGACATCATCATAACCGTCGATGTCCTCCCACGTAAAAGCTGACAGTTTGTGCTTAACGCCCGGAGAGGAATCTGGGTTGTTGTGATTGGTTTTTGCAAGGACTTGTTTGACGGACTTGATGGGCAGGACCTTATCGAGGTCTTTGATAATGCCAGAGTAATCACTTCCTTTGAGTTTGTAGTCGTCCACAGTGATGTTTTCGAATTCCGCGACGACTGGCGGCAGCGCGCAGAGAGCTGCCGCTGTTGCTAACAGTAGCGAAGACAAGTTCATCATCCCTCCTGATAGCAGGTGTAGAAGGGGTTGGAAAAGGAATCCTTGATTCTACATCTTGCGGGCAGGACGACCGCGGGATGGTCACTGTTTTAAATACGATGATGCATTCCTCAATGTGTTGATCGTCGCCGCCAATGACGGCTAACTTGGTCATCAACTTCCAAGTTTCTTCGTGTATCTGCGCATTACTGCTCATTATTGTGCTGCGCAAACGATTTGAAACGTCCAGAAACACGGATTTGCGAGGACAACTGAAATTGGTGTTGAGAGCGATTCACCTCCCTCGTCTGCGCCTCGTCTTGGCTATTTGCAGCGTGTTGATGAGCATTTTGTAATGTCTCTATTGGCGGATGGCCAGAAAAAGCGGGTTGTGGGGGTACGAGGTTTGGTTTCAACAGGTTCTGGTAGGAGAATGATAGATAGAGCACGTAGAATATACGGCTTGTATTTAGTTTACAAAGTTGCACGGGGAAGGTTTTCATAACAAGTTATATTTACACATGTAATTCATATTCTATACTATAGCTTTTTAGAAAAAAAACGGTACAATATATAGACTAGAAGGGGATTTAAATTATCATTTATAAATTACTCATAATAATGTGAGGTTGAGATATGAGCGTCAAAAATTTGATACGTTGTATGTGACAAGATGGGTGTTTAGTGGACTGGGATTCTAGAGTACTCCATACAAACAGCACAGCAGCTGTAATAAAATACAACTTGTAAGTTTAGCTTTCACAATCCTTTTGTCAACTCAAAACAACCACACGAGACCATCAGCACGGGTTGACAAAAGAGTGCGGACAGGACATTCTCCAGGACAGCCCAATGTCGTATCTGCGTAGTATATGACGTCGCTATGTCTGCAGACGTACTGACCACCACTGCGCCTGAAATAGACGACGCGTCAAGCGGCCTAGAAGATGAAATCGCGGCTCTACGTGCTCAGAGTTAGTTCTTCCACTCCCCTGTTGGTTGTTTTTATGTTGTTGCCACTGACTGCAGTCATAGTCCACAACCTTACCAATCGCAGACAATTTCTTTCATCAAGCCTCCTGTCTACAAATACAGTGCAAGATGCGCTGCGCCAGCATGTCCCGTCCGGGTTGGAAAAGAATATCGAACCCGTCATTCTCAGCAGCGGAGAGCACGCGCGGACCAACCACCATCGTATGACATTCTCCGTTACATCCTTTCCTTTCAAGGACCCTTCACCCCATGCAACATCGCCCAACCTACTAGGTATTCGATTTGACATTTGTACGCGCCATGGAAAATTTGTTCAACCATACTATTTGTTGTTGAAACACGTTGGCAGGCCAGAAAAGAAGATTCTCCAAGTACATCGCCATACCATTCCTGTATTCATACCGTTGAGTCAGCTGGAGCGAAAATACCTTCCTGTGCCCCAGGGCACCAATGAGGCAGATTCTACGAGTACAAAACCTAGGAATACTCCAAAGCAGGACTTACGCAGCCTCGTGCGGGAATTGCGGCGGGAACTTGTCGCATGGCACTTACGCTGTGATGCTCTCAGGTGGCTCCAAGAGGAACTTGGTCTCCTAGACGAAAGCAACCAGGCCTTATCATCACAGCCTAGTACGCGTGAAGATCAGCTGCCTGCGAATGGCTTGGGCATTGTATCCGTTTCTGCAACGGCTGTCGAGGCGAGATACATTCGCATTGAATGGCGAGATGGTCGTGTAGGTCGGATAAAACTCTCTAATAGTGGATTTGTGGAGCGCGCTATTATCATTGGTGATGAGGGGAGAGATAAAATGACAGAAAACTTGCTGACAGGGGGAGACGGGCGTATTGAAAGTGTTATTGAAAGGCTACGGGGTGCCGTGATGCCAGGATGAGTAAGCCATACATCGCGGATGGTTCCGAATAACTGACGTCTTGACCCTGTGTCATTGTCATATATATCTGACCTATCGCCCAATGCAATTCACGCTAGTTGACCAGCCTCCATGACCTGCACTAGGACTTCTGATCGTGAGGATCTGTCAGCTATGGCAACCCATCTTATGGTGTTCACTGCGAAGTACCCACATACTATGGCGATCATGACCGGCCCTTAATGATATTCAGTCGAAATGCTTTCCCAGAATGAGGTGGCAGCATTATGCTCTGCATATTTGCTTCTAGGCAACTGCAGTATTACTTTATTCGAATCAGCCACCAACGATCATCCAAAACCTGGAGCTGGCCTTGACTCGAAGAGTGGATGCCAATCCTCTTGTCGGCAGGGGTGGTCCATATCCCGGATTTGTTCGAAGGTTTAGTTGCTTGGTCAGATCGTGAATTTAATGCCCGCGGTAATGCACGATTCTCATACTCGAGGGAGTTGGAGTTTAGTATGGGAGAGCAATTGGAGTTAGAGATCTAGGCCTCTGAAGCGATACGAACCGGGAATTTGCTCAGCCATTGCGTATGTCGCTGGCAAGAACAGATAAATGCCCTTCCTTTGTTTTAGCAAAAAATACGTGTACATGCTTTTTATGATCATGAGGTTTACTTTTACTTTTGCCCACGCTTACCGATTCATCATTGTTTTGACATGTGAGCTGGTGGATATATATAGTGGATACTTAGTAGAGGCTGAAGCGAGTATAGATGCAACCCACTCTTTCTCCTTTTCGATGCGCCGATAGACTCACCCAGCCTGGGACGAAGTTTCGTGTCAAGAGAAGAACTAGACAGAGTGGATTAGGCTGATGAAAGATCAACATTCGTATTGCTAACAAGCAGCTTTGAGAGCCCGTGGAGATAGGGACGGAGAATTAATTATTAAATAACGTTAACAACAATATCTACAAAATTTGCTCGGCATCTATGTTTTTTTTTAGGCCAGTTTAATCATTCCCGATTTTATGACCTCGAGAATCGCGCGAACAGCTAGGTCTAGATGCAACGACACGGCGGGCGGGCGGTGTGACCAGAACCTTGATTCGTCAATAAAAATGCCAGACCTGCACAATGCTGTACAGGCGATTGAACATGGCGTGCATATTCTCGAAGGTTCAGACGCCATTAAGCGCTATGGATCTGATCCTAACCCCGCGCACGCCCCCCCCCCCCTCTGTGCATAAAAGAACAACTACAGAATCATATTTATGAGGAGTTAAGCAGCTGTGAACTTTTAGTGGTATAAAAAGGCTTAGAGATCGGACCGTAGCTTTGTATCGATTGCAACGATTAGTTAACTAACAGTCGTTCAAACATGCATATTTCTTTGTTACCTAACAATTGGAACACAACGACCAGCTTGTGGAACTCATAGAAAATTTGAACTCGTACGATTCTACTATGCGTGCAAACTGGTAAATTAATCTAGAGTATTTCCCCTTATTCAACTTCAGCATTTTGATCTGTATCGTTATTTTATAAATTATGCAAGATCGCAGGGGGTGGGAAAATATCTAGATAGATATATTTCCGAGTGCGAGTCCAGGAACCTGGAAACGTGGAACTTTGCTGGTGGGTCAAATTTAAGCTTAAACTAACACCTGCAGGCACGACAGGATTTAAGCTTCCCAGCTTTTATTTTTATCTCGCGTGTCCAGTCCAGTTTCCACGCACCAGGTTCCACGCAATCAGGCGACATTATTGAAAGCAAACGTGCAATTTACACTGAAATTTCTTTGAAAAGGTTTTGAGACGTAAAATATTCCCCAGAATTGAAGTATATTGCACGATTCGACTAGTGAAGGAGAATACGACGAAGAAAAAGGAGGATGGTTGTTCTCCCCAACTTCGAAGGGGATGGGACTTGCAGGGATGATCCGAGATATGGATGTGATAACCGGCGACAGATCCCTTGTCGCCAGTGAGAGATTAGTAAATCAGCTTTCCCCGGGACCTAAAATGGTTGGACACAAAGGATGGGAAGTTTGGAGGCTTTCACAAAAGCGGATTCAATCCATTCCATGGAGCCGGAACGGGCGCATCTCTATTTGAGGTAGTTTTTTTTTTGAATAATGTTCATGCACTAGAAATTGTCGGCGAAAACAGATATATTAACTTCGTTTCTATTTATTTCTCTTTCTCTTGGCGCGCCTTTCCTCTGTGCAATAAATAAAAGGACTAGTGGCGCATGCTGAGAATGCATAAATTGAATCACGATACTAGAAGAGGGGAGGAGACGATCACCGGTAGGCAGTTCGTGCTGTACAATTTAAGGAAAACTGGGAAAATGCAAAAGCAAAAGAGAAGACGAAATTATAAACATGCAGCAGAAAAATATGAGGGGTATCAAACTGGCGTCAAATCGTTAAAACAGGGAGATGTCGGGGGAAAAAATGAGTAGAATTTATATGCGGAAATGGTATAGAATGGAGAACAGTGTATGTGATCGAGTCATAATAAAATTGGGCCGGCAATGACTTGGGGCTGTGGAAATCGGGTAGTGTTGGGGATCGACAAGAAAAGTGTGAGCGACAACCAAGGTTGGTATCTGAGACGCATATCGTTTCATTAAGTTAAGACGAATTGCCATTTTCATATTCCTCTGAAAATGAAATGACTGGCAACGGAATATAACAGATGCCCGTGTCGTTTTCCAATCTCTTTCTAACAATTGCTTCTTCAAGCATCCACCTTGTTTTTAAGTGTTGTTCTTGACTGAGAAACCACGTACTGGTAACTGTGGTTTCGTTATTACAACGGCTGACAAGGTTCTGGAAGTCTTTTTCATTTATATCGGCCACTTTGCTAGCTTTCTTCTCTTGTCTCGACATTGTTTCTTGGTATTTCCGTTCCTGGGTATCTCGAAGTACTTTGATCTTTGACATATGTAGAGTATCCATCCTGTCCCGTTCACGGTACCTTTCGAGTAGATGGTCCCTGTCTTTCTGAGTGACATGGCGGTGGCGCGGCTGGATCGGAGGGGGGTCTTCCATGTCATTATCCAGGAACCAGGATTGGGGATGCTGGGGACTGGCAGCCAAGTAGCCTTCCATATGGTGGATACGAATTTCTAGCGTTTGTCTTTCTCGCCGTAGTTCCTCAACTAAGTCAAGCTCCGCATTGAGTTGAAGTTCTTCAAGTCGATTCGCTTCTTGAATGTTCTACAAGTGCAAAAGTCAATATGACAGTATAAACAGGTTGAAAAATCGGAATTGAACACTAACCTGATCATCTATGTCATGTTCAATTCTCTGATGTTCTCTTCTCTTCAAAGATTTTGACTCTTCGTGTCTGAGATAAAGAGACTCGAGAGTGTCTTCTTTGAATGCCAAATGTCGATCCCGTTGGGCCTCCTGAACACTGCGCAACTTTTGCAGTTGAGGACAATTCAAAGTCTCCATCATCGCAGGATTATCTTCTTCATTACTATGGTTTATTGAAGCGCTGTTATTATGTTGCGGCATCAGTTTGCCCAATTTCGCCTGTGAGCACTGAGCCTGTAGGTTATCAGGGCCCGGAGCGATTGATCTGGTATCGAACCACGCAGGAGAAGCAGGCGATTGGACGGCTGCCGCAGAGCGCCTTCTAAAATGCGGAAATTTCCCAAAAGATAGTCTGAAATTACTAAACCTCACTCTTTTCTCACAGCTACCCGACCGGTTTCTCGAGGACGATAAACTCGATCGGTGAAATTGTCGCGGTCTTGACAACGCCGGCAGAGTGCATGGCTGCTCCAAAACCGAACCGGGCGACGTTGGGCGCGTAGAAATGGACGTAGTTGAATACATGCTGCCGGCGATCTCATTGCTTGAAGATAGAGTTGGCGGAGAAGATATAACATTGTTATTTCCATAACAATAACTTGTCGAAGTAAGAGGAGGAGACCCGATGTGAAAGTGAGAAGACGAAGCTGGAAAATAGTTCGCATATCGGGATATATCGAACTGTGGATGTATATCACTGGAAATATCCAAACCAATCTCTTGGGCTATACCGATAAGCTCTCTTTCCACGTCTTCCTCCGTTTGGTCAGGTGGAATTTGTAGAACAACCTCATGGTATTGGCGTTGGTTGATTGATGGAGAGCTGCTATATTCGAGGCTGTTTCTCATGAAAGATTGTGGTGAGTTTTCTGGTGTTGTTGCCGCCGCTATGTCCATAGCTTGCAATCGAGAGAGATACGCCCTGTAAACCAAACAAGCGACCCGCGACGGCGCGGTGAGCCAATATTGGTGATGGACATCAGACAGGGACAGGGATGAGAAGATAGTTAACCTGCGGGGATAATTATCTGGCGGCAACCGGCTAGTCCCTCGAACCCAGAGTGTATCAAATGCACCTGAGAAGGGATATTAAAGAAAAAAGAATGTGAGCTGCAAGCTGCACCACACACAGGTTGGAAGAAGTTTAATCACTGTGGAAGACAGATGGAGCCGCCATACTCCGGCATCTCCACGTGATCATCAGCAGAAAAGGGGGAAACCCGAGGCTCCGGCCCGAGCTCGGTGGACCTTCTTGCGGAGTTTGCAAGCGGGCAGCTTACGGATTGCGGCTGAATGGGCCGGACGCATTGGCTGTCGACCCCCGACTTGGCGTCCAGCCACTGGGAAGGCTTTAGTTGAAGCTACGCCTGACTTTTAAGCACTGCCCTATCCAGTTTACCAGGCTACCCCCGAAAGCTATTTTGGTCCCATTTGCTAGCATGGTTGAGAGTTTCCTGTGAACCCTAGCCTGATAACTTGTTTGGATGGACCATTTATAGCATTAATATTGTCACCAGTCCATGTTCTTGTCCCTCTTGTTTAACATTTCCCCTTGTGGCTTTTCACAACCTTACTATATATCAGTTCAAAGTCATCAAAATCATTATCTCAAATGAAACTGAAGACCATCAGTTGTATTTGATCTGCTCAATCAAAGCTACATAGCAGGCAAATTTCAATTATTCCACTACACATCATATTGAGACCAGAGGGAATAGCTATTCAGCAAAGTCGGGTGCTACAAGCCAGCCAATGATACGACGCTTAATAATACATGACTCAGCCGTTCCACCACAGGCTCTAACCTTAATTTGATGTCAGGTCAAGCGACCAAGATCGCTACCTTGCTTCATTACTATAAATGAGGATAGTAGCTCAACAACCACTTAAAGCTATGGTGTATGTTGCTATTTTGCCATTCTTATTCCTATTTTTGAGCTAAATATGTGCTCAAGTTGTTTTCCATTTCATTGAAACTGTTCCATTTCCCTTTTCCTACCACTCGGCGGTCTTTCAGCCATCTCCATCATGGGCCCTCAACCTGCGGAAATGGATCCACATTTCACCGTATTCATAAGGCTACCATTTCCTAGAGGCGACTTTGTAGATCCTCCTGCGGTATGTCTACTTAAATATACATTTCTTAGGATTTTTATCTGATGGCTGTCTCTAGGTGGAATGGAGTGTTTCTAAAGACCATGCTCTGTGGGATATCCTGTCACGGCCTCCGAAAGGCAATGATATTGATTGTCTGTGAAATCTCTGGCCATCATTCTATCCTTTTCGCGAATTCTAACTAACTTTATGACGATCGGCAGGGAAAGGATTGTATGATATTCTCATGACCGAATGAATTGGGCGTATCTAACGGAGTATAGGGCGGAACATTTTGACGTGACTCTACCGTTCCTTCTCCAGCAAGCAGCATGGCTATATGACAGGCAGCTATCACAGGTTAGAGCTCAGATACGAAAGGTTGGAAATCCTCATTCTGCTGCAAATTCGCCAGTGCCCCAATCGATGTCCGGGAGCGGCGCGATTGGTGGGCAACCTATGAAGAGAGTTGGAAGTGGCGGTGCGTTATATTGAACTATCAAGTAGCTCTTATTTGCACGTTTACTAACTGAGGCACAGCGTCAAGAGACCTGTCGAAATTATCGATACGCCAAAAGGAAGGACAATCCGGGAAACAAGATCCCAGCGCACCTGCTACGCCGATCCACTCCAAAGGTAAGTTCCAGCAAAAAAAGTCATATTTACTATACACTGATATTGACTACTGCTCTGCAGGCCCCCTGTACCCAACTGTCTCACCAATGAACCCTCCGATTCAGGCGATGGGCATAAGATCCCAATCACCTCGACAAGCAGCACTTGTTTATGCAGATTCCACCGGTCGTAACCAGCAATCTTTGAGAAAGGAAGCACGCACGGTTTCTTCACCTCTTACATCGCCCCCATTGGAGCAAGACATCTCACCAGCTAGCTCATCTTCCTCGTCATCCTCTGACTCCGGAGCCGAAGAGACGACGAGACGAGGGCCTCCGTTCGCAAGGTTTGGTAGATTTTCTGTCCACCGGGGAAGTAATAGTATTGATGAAGATGAAGAGGACTCGCCGGCATTTTTGCCTTTAACCACACACCATAAGTCATCTATACAGCAAGCGGGACATGACCCCAGCGCAACTCTTCGGCAGGAGCCAGAACTACCCGGCCATCCACATGCCGGTTCGGCAGACACCACTATCCCTTTGATCAAGACCTCTGCAACAGAATTTTCAGCCAGCTCGGGCAGCTCAGAGCCAGCAAGTAGCGCAGCGTCGAACGAAAGACCCCGACCGACTGGCCACCCCATCAATCCCAACCGGAGGAGAACTGCGGAATTGGCTCGACTCAGTCCACGTCGGCGTGCAGCTGGCCGAGAGGGAAGTGATGGGACGCCCAGCATGGGCAGTAGCTTTAGCGATTTGGATGGTGCGCCGTTTCCGTTTCCTCAACAGATGAATATAATATGCCCTTGTGTTCGTCGGTTTGCTAACTACTATATCCAACCCGCAGACGCCAGCTTGACACAATCTGCACTGGAAGAAGCTCTTCTAAGTACGATGCAACGTGGTGGAGTTGCAAGCAGGATGAGCACAATTAGCCAGGCGCTCAAGAGCAGATATTTGTAGCATAGCCCCCCGTAGTACCGCTTTATTGCCATGTACATGTCTTGCCTGAAAATAGCTGCTCTTTTATTAGATTTTAGATAGGCTTCACTGAGTCGCAATCAAGAAACTATTGATCACGTGGTATACAGTATCGACATGACGTCATCTCAGCTGGGGGTTTCGAGGCAAACTTAAAGTTTCATCCCAGGAAGTCAAATTCAGACAACAGAGCCAGAGGGCTTACCCAAGGGCCGTCCACAACATAACAACAGAACAGAACACACGGACTGCGAATCTAGTTGCACCGGTCGTATTGGACCTGAAGCCATTCAATTGAGCTCGGTACCAGGCTATTCCGGCGTCGCCCCACCGTGCCCCTCCTTTAGGATCCCAGGAGGGTGGAATCGGGCGAGCTACATTACAGAACGTTTATCCATGTTACTCTTCGAAAGAAAGGCAATTCTCAACTCAATTCTCAAGGAAAAACAAGGACTGTCAGGGTTTTTGGATTGAGATTGCGGTCAACTGAAGGGTGGTTGCAAGGTTTCTGCTGAGCTGATTGAACGCAAGGCCTGCTAAGGATACTGACTGGTACGAGTATATAATTTTACTTCGTTGTTCGATTTTCCCGCAAGTGCATTGCGAAATCAACCCATTGGTCGCTCTTCCCACCATTCCTCCAACTCTGCGGAAATGGCGCTCCCGAGTGCCAAAGTAGAAAACGTCCCACCTACGCTCGCGCCGGAGCCTGATTATTTCAAAACCAATCCTCCGCCTCGGGACCTCGAAGCGCACGCGGCCCAGGTCCAAGAATTTGTAGATCTCCATCTAGCTGCAAGCAGACGGGTGGTCCTCGTCACCTCCGGTGGGACCACCGTGCCCCTCGAAACCCAAACGGTGCGGTTCATCGACAATTTCTCCGCAGGCACACGAGGGGCCACATCAGCCGAATACTTCCTCCAAGAAGGCTACGCGGTGATATTCCTGCATCGCCAATTCAGCCTGCTTCCGTACTCGCGACACTATAGCCACTCGACCAATTGTTTTCTAGATTTCATGGACGAAGCCGCCGTGCCACCCTTGTCATCTCCAGGCTACGATGAAAATAACCCAGACCACGGCGCGATTGTAGTCCGCCCAGAGTACCAGGATGAAATGCGCAAAGTACTCCGCCAGTACCGCTACGCGAAACAGAACCAACTCCTCCTACTCATCCCCTTTGTGACAGTGACGGAGTATCTGTACGAGTTACGCTCACTAGCGACAATCATGCGACCCCTGGGCGCCAATGCGCTCTTCTACCTCGCCGCGGCGGTTTCAGACTTCTTCATCCCCCGCGATCGCATGGTCGAGCACAAGATCCAATCCTCAAACGAGGTGTCCACGCCCGCTTGCCAACCAGCACAAGGCCACAGCGTCATCCCCGCCGACAGCATCTACACAGGCTTCAATGATCCGCAGCCACCAACCCATGGCAAGAAACTGATCGTCGACCTGGACCCGGTGCCCAAATTCCTCCACAGCCTCGTGAACGGCTGGGCGCCACAGGGCAGTATGGTTGTCAGCTTCAAGCTGGAGACGGATCTGTCGCTTCTGATTTCCAAGTCCGAGCAGGCGCTCAATCGCTACTCGCATCACCTCGTCATTGGTAATTTGCTTTCGACGCGCAAGTGGGAAGTTGTGTTCGTTTCTCGGGGCCCGGATGGGAAGATTTTGGAGCATTGGTTGCGGATCCCGAAGGCTGCGGCGCCACAGAGTGGTTCGAAGAGGCTGAGCTGGAATACAGTCCAACCACGACAACATGAATCTGTGACGAAAGGGAAGAAGGACGGCGTAGTTGTGACGACGGCAGATGCCAATGCGGGCGAGATGTTGGAGATTGAGAGCTTAATTGTTCCGGAGCTGAAGAAGAAGCATTCGGCGATGATACAGGCAGTTCTTGCAAAGAAGGAGTAGATGTATTTGTTTTCCACTGATATCGATGCGTGCAAGCGGTTATGGGTGTTTTGTATTTTCAACTATATATATGTATACATATATATATATTTGAATCGTGGCGAAGTTTCGCTACTTTTTGACAGACATATCACAAGATATAAAACCAGTAGATATCGATTCTATATTAGTTTCTCAGTTCTAGATATATTATCTGTATAATTGTATTTCGTATAGTAAATTCCTTCCTTCCTTTCTTTCTTTCTTTTGGTGGTATCAAAGAGTTGAAACAAGTTCTAATAGGCTAATTCATTGTGAAATAGTGAAAGCATTGTCTCTTCAAGTCAGATATTTTAAGTTTGGCTTCTGACTACACTCTCAGTGGCTGGCCTTTTTCCATTTTGACATCACCATTTGGCACTATCATTAAATTACAATTTTGGATATGGCTACGGCTGCGAATCAATAATAACGGAAGCCTGAATCGAGCTTAGTCCCTTCAAGAACACCAAACAGCGGCAGTTGCAAACTCAGTTCCATAGAGAGATAAACTAATAATAATTGGCCCCGGGCAAAAAATAGTATTAAACACTTTCTTTTCAATTTTAAAACCCACACACAACCGCGGTAGCATACTCTAATCAAGGGGTGGCGCCGCTGGATCTTCCATACACTGATCAACTCTCATAATCCTCTTTCCAGTATTCCTCGCAATCTGGATAAAATCCTTTGTGTACATCACTGTATCCTTGCTGAGGAAGTGCATCACTACCAGGTCACCCCCCTTATCCACGTCACGCTGGAATGCTTCAACTTGCTTTTCAGGGGTGGGTGAACCAACCCACAACCAGTCTTCGATATCGACACTCCAGTTGATAATCTGAGGGTCTTTGATGAGCCTAGCGAGTCGCTGGCGAGTGCGTGCTCCAAGGATGCCATATGGCGGACGGAAGTATCGACCTTGGGAAAGTTAGCCCCATTCGTTAAAGTTGAGTCGCGAAGGGCCAGTCGGTCAAGGCTCTGTAAAACTCACTTTCGAATCCCAGCTGCTCTCTTACTATCTGGATGTTCTTAATAATATCCTCATCGATTTCTGCATCAGTTTTAAGTTCTTCTATCCTATCCGTTTGTTAGCAATGGATCGCCAGTAGCAACTGACGCTTACCTCTCGAGGAAATAACATACGGAGGATGCGACCATGAATGAAGCGCAACTTGATGCCCGTGTGCCAACATGTCCTTATATAGATTGGTCCACCCAGAGTTCGGAGCCGCCAGTCCATTCCCCACTGTGAAGAACGTCGCATTGATTCCCTCAGCGGTCAGAATGTCCATCATCTGTCGCCCCAACTCCAGGGAGCCATCGTCAATACCAAACGCGAACGAATTCGGGCGTTTGCACCGTTTCCATAGAGACCCGGTCGGTAGCTTTTTGGGAGCAGGGAAATTTTCAGGTCTTGTCGCAGTGATTTCCACTTTCGATACTTTCAATTTTTCGTCGAGATAGAACCCTTTAAACGAGACAGACAAAGCACGGGTATAATCGATATTGAAATGCGAGATAGGGATATAGACATCATTATCTTTCATATATCTATGGGCCTCTACGTCATCCCATGTTTCCGGGTAGGGGTTTTTGAAGGCATCACATTGGGGATTATTTTGGCTCAAGGAGACGGTGAAATGGCTTCCCCCCTGGCAGACGATGTGTAGGTACATGTCCTTATACGGATTAAGGTCGTAACAGGTGCTCGTGAGCTGGGTGTGGAAGTTCTGGTCGGCATTGGTGGGAGAAAATTCCACGAAGCCGTAGCCCCACTCCACGGGCATGTCTTCACCACCGCCATGCCAGGCATCTAGGTCGTTGCGCCCTCCATTTGTGAACGTGTCGATCACAAGAACAGGATCTTCCCCTGGCTGGGCGCGTGGAATATTGGAGGCGGACGTAGACCGTAGGAAGAGTGCAAGACATATTCCGCGGTTTGCGAGAGCAACAAGGTTAGCGAATCTCATTCTCGATGGCAATACTCCTTTTTCCTTCTGTTTCTTGTTTGTTTATCGTGGGACGTATGGGTGATTCCAGAGAAAACGACGTGGACGGGTAGAATGGTTTTGGAGGACGTGATCAATGAACCCTTGAAGCAGTGAAGGGATCCTATCAGCAATACCTGGATAGCTGCTCGCCGAGCTGTATAATATGAAAATATAGGGAGGTAGAATATCCAGGCAAACAAGAACCAGTTTGTATATCTGCGCATGTCAAGCAACGAAGGCAGAGAACGGCCACGGACACGCCCAGCAGGAGGCTCTTCCCCACGCTGTGGTTTACAACAGGCTCCACCATCGCCCTTTCCTGCATAAAAGGTATGTGTGTGTAAATGGCGGAAGGAGCAGCAGCGTATAATTTGTGCTGGTGGTGTATCAGGAACTTCATGTCGATACATGTTCCCCTTGATATTACAGTCCAATCGGGAAAATCAGGGATAGCCATCTCAACTTAGATTCGCCGTTTGATATAACTACCTAGTCTAATCTACATAAGTAGCTACACTACCTCTCTCATAAGAAGATTCCCTATGGGCGAGGCGCAATTGTGAACACAAACAAAGAGAAAGACAAAAAACTCCCATTGCCAGTCCACTCATGAAGGAAACGAACCCCTCATTCAATCGGCCTGTGAGTTGTGTTGCAGCAGTGTTGCAACCATCCAAATTAGAACAGAAAGACGACGTAAAATCAAAGGCAAATCGTCTCAACCATACCTCCCGTACTCCCTTCAATAAACCTCCAAAAAATTCCCCCAATATTTCCTCACCTTTTGAGAAAACAAAAAAAGGGGGTGTGGGTTGAGAGGGTGTTGTCAGCTAATTATCTATCTCAAGATCGTGGGGATGCGTTATCCTTCAATGCCGTGGCCCGATGTGGATATAGATCGCTCGGAAACGAAAGACACGTCTACCAGCCAATGCTAGGATTCTCGGTGTTCCACCCTGGCGCTGCTTCTGGCTCCGCAGAAGTAGTAGGGGTTGGCGCAGGCCCCCATCCATCCCCCCCAGAAGCATCCCCCCCGTCAGTTTTTTCGTCTTCGTCATCCGTATCATCGTTGAAGCGAACGTCATCTCCCTCTGGTTTCTCGGACTCGAGGAAGTCAGGCAAGGGCTGCTTGCACTCTAACAAGATCTTAACTAAGTCCGCTGCAATGTCGCTGTTACGATCGTGGTTGTAGAAAGAAGTAGCGAGTCCTTCGTTTCCGATACGGGCAGTGCGTCCTGAGAAAATTTAAGTTAGCTAAAATTCTCTCTCTCTTTTCTTTTCTTTCTTTCGCCTTTCCGTGATGACATACCGATTCGATGGATATATTCCTCGATTCCCCCGTGAGTGGCGCTGGGCATGTCGAAGTTGATAACATGCATGACGTTTTTTATATCAAGGCCACGCGCAGAAACACCGGTAGCAACCATGATGGGAGACTTTGCTGTCTTGAATGCACGTCTACACATTCTACAATTAGTGACTCGAGGTGTCTCGAGGTCCCTCGGGCAAAAAAAAAAAAAAAGAAGAAAGAAAGAAAGAAAAAAAGAAATTGTGAATCCAAAACAACTTACAGGGCATCTTCTCGTTCGCGCTGGGTACGGTCAGAATGAATAGATGTACTGGGGAGGCCCATATTGTACAGGTAATCGTCGATTAGGTCGGCTTGGGCCTTCGTATTGACGAAAACAAGGGTACGGGAGGGGGGCATGGAAATAAGCAAGTCGTACAGGGCCTGCTTTTTCAAATGGTCTTCCGCGTAGACGATGTTCTGGCTCACATTCAGATGGGCACTTCCAGCACGGCCGATGCGGATACGGACGTGGTCCGCCGCAAGGAATTTGCGGGCAAGTTCACGACAACTTTTGTTGAAAGTCGCGGAGAACATCATATAGCGATGATCTGCATCTTCGTTGGTATCTATACTCATTGTCAGAAAGTTCCTGCATTCAGTAATTATCCTAGCTTGTTTCGTATAAGTACCTCCACCAGACATCAGCTTGCTTAGTTCGGTTTCCCAATCAGAGTGAAGCATTTCATCCGCTTCGTCAACAATGGTGTACTTGACACGATGAAGAGAAAGGATGTGCGGCTTCTCCATGAAGTCAAGAAGACGCCCTGGTGTCCCGATGAGGACATCGCATCCTTTCTGGAGTTCAAGGCGCTGTTCACGCGTTGGACCACCGCCATACACAACACAGGGCCGCAACATAGAACGGTAGCACAAACGGCGAGCTTCGTCAAAGATTTGAGTTGACAGTTCGCGGGTTGGGGCCACGATAAGGACTAGAGGCTCCGCTCGAACACAGTCCAATGATTCGTTAAACCCATTGCCCAGGTCTGGACGAGGAGCGGCGAGCTTCTTTGCCTTTCCCATCAATTTGGATAAGACAGGTATTAGAAACGCGGCAGTTTTGCCGGAACCTTACTGTGTCAGTAAGGGGCATTCTCGAGCTTAGGGTTAGAAATTGGCTCCTTACCTGTTTGGGCCACGGCAATGAGATCGTTCCCGGTCAAAACTGCTGGAATGGCGTACGCTTGAATTGGTGTGGGAACCTTATAGCCACATAGCTTGATATTCTCACGCATAACCGGATGCAAACCTGCATCATCGAACTGGACATTTATTCTCAGTAAACCTTTCAACACGGAAGACAGAAGGTAGCTTACGTTCTTCACAGGATCGGGTTGATGGGTTGTTTCTGCCGTAACTTTGACTTCACGAAGGCTAGTGACTGTTAGTATTGCCCACAAAACGATGGTTTCGGGAACCGACCAAGGAATTCGATACTACTTACCGATCGAACTTGTTCCCCGCGCGGTTCAGGTACTCATCGTGGAAAAGCATTTTCTCAAGCTCCTCATTCCGAGGACCCACATCGCCATACTCCTCCTTCCACTCGTACTTCGCGGCATTGGAAGCCCACTCAGGGAGATCGGTTAAGCCAGCACCCTCACCAGGCTTTGGATCCGCATTGTACGTGTCATAATCGTAGCGTTGAGGCTCTGTCCAACCTTTTTGACGCGCCAAAGCTGCAGCCTCCTCTTTCAAGTTATTTGCAGAGTCCGCAACCTGGTCGATGGCCTCTGTCATTTTCTGCACTCCAAACCTTTCGTTTTCTTTCCCGTTCACAGACATTTCGGGCGTATCTCTAGCCTTGAGTTATAGAGATCATTCAAACTATGTGGACGAACGGGAGAGTCAGTTTTGTATTAGACTATAAAAGGGGTGGTATCGTCAACAGGGGGAAGATAGAGCGTGGAGGGGGGAATAAAAAGGCCACAACAACACAACCAATCAACCATGACAGCCAAGGATAGACAACAAGTATTGAGAAACCATCAAGGACGAAACGAAAACTGCACCAAAATTTCAACTCGAAGGAGCTCATACGGACGGAAAGCTCGGTGAATAGACCTCCAACACCCAGCAATCCTTGCTCTAAAATTGTCCAGGACGTTTGGAGAGATACCAAACCCAATCCGTAGAACACATAAATACAGCAAAATCCCAGTACTAGCGAGTAGATAGAGGGAGCCCTTGAAATATACAAGCAATACAGATGAATCCAAACCATGGGCGCGTGGTGGGAGTTGAGAGGAATGTTAGAAGCTAGGATGTGGAATAGCCACATAAGGATATCGTGAATGCCAAATCAACAGGAACACGCACTTACTAGAGTTTCAAATGACGATGGCGAGGTAATCCGTCAAGGGGGATTCGCCGATGGTGGCCTCTGAAAGGCAACGAAGCGTAGGATACGATGAAGGCGTGCCCAAGTAGAGTCTGAGTGCGTAACAAAGAGAGAGTCCTGGGAATTCCAATTGTGGGGGAAGAACTGGGATTGAGAAAGAAGGACCACCAGATGAGTGAGGTCTGAGGAAGGACAAGAGAGTGAATGGAGAAAGACACGTTGTCCCGTGTTGTGATGGCTGATATTTACTCTCCTTTGTTTCCTCTGTTACTGTTGTTGCCGAAGAGGATGAGGCGGCGCTGAATTTTGATGACATGTGAGAGCATCATCATTCATAAGTAAGTGATTGTCATCCCGCTCTCCCTATGAGAGAAGCTTCTTGACATATCTATACAGAAAAATCACAAAGAAGGATGCATAGCCCTATTATGGACCTGAAAATGCACTTCTGGGATAATGAGATGTATTTATCCTGTCATGGCCATAAGAGTGTCATGCAGTAGTGTATCACTGTAAAAGGAAGTGTGATGCGGTATTGCTTTTGATAAGACATTACATTGAGTTCCCCCAGGTAGAGGAAGATGGATAATGGAAACAAATTCTTCAAATACGGCTATTTGCCGACGGAATCACAAATGCCGTTGGCATTCCATGCAGAATCCCAGGAAGAGGTAGGATTTACAATGGATGGGTGGGAAACCCAAGAAGGAAAATGTTGAACTTTCCAGGGAATACAGCAGCCATCCCAAACATCATTAGGACTCAAAGTAATAATCATTTTCCAGCTCAAACCATCTCTCTCGGGCCTGTGCATGGTCTGTGGATTTATCAAAGTTGGCGAGCTTTGTCGATGAGTGGGCGGATAATCCATTATCCGAGCCCCTGAAGTATGCAGTGGGAGCTTGAGAATGGGGGTTCAATGTCTTCAGACTAACATCAAGCTAACTTTTTCATCGATATTCAAGTTTACCGAATCAGCCAAAATGCTGCTGGACTTTTTCTGGTTTGCTCAATGTTTGCCAAAGAGAAAGATAAGCGCCTCAACGTTCAACCAAAACTCCCCCAAAGATCGAAGATGAAGGAAAGGGGCGAAACAAGAAGAAAAGAAGAAAAGAATAAAGAAAAGAAAAGCAGAAAGATGCCACTAGTTCCCATTTACCCCCAGCAACTACTTGAACCATCTAACGCTTCGCTTCAACCATCACAAATACCCCAATGCTCGGCACGCCGTCCGCTACAACATAAACCACATACGGACCAGGCGGTGCAATATTATTATCCGGCGGCATAGTAACTAGGATTGTCTGACTCTTGCTCTGAGGCTGATAGCCGACATGATCAAGGTATAGCATTCGATGGCCCATGTGCAGCGAGTGGGTGACGAACCCACCATGGTAAAGCACTACACGCAGGTCATTGGGTTCGGTATGGAGCTTGAAGTCCACCGTGAATGGTTCGCTGTCCACGAGGAGGTGTTTATTGGGTAATTCAACATCGTATGGTCGAAATTTATCTCTCCCATCTAGGAGGTAGTGAGGTGTGTATATCTCTACTCTGAACTCTGTGGCGAATGCCTGTTCCGCAACGTCGGGATTAGGCACCAAGATTGGTTGTTCCACAGGGTTTGATCCTGCAATCATAACAGTCCCATCTAGCAAAACGAGCGCGACAGAGTGGTACATTCGCGCGATTTCTGTCTTTCCTCCGATACTCCATCGGCGACCCAGGGGAGCTTCTGGGTCATAGATCCACGCATCAAGGGACGGGTCTTTTGCGATTCCAAATCCTTGCGCACCACGGTTGCAACCATTGAGCCAGATTAGTTTTCCATCAGGGAGCATCATTCCTTCTACCATAACTCTACCGTCGGGCATCAGCTCCAGTTCCCACTGTGGATCCTTCGACAACGGCTTAATACGCCCACAACTTGGATCGGTTGGACTGGCGATTCCCACAAATGCTCCTCCCCCACATATTATTATTTCATCGTCCCATCCATTTGCGGCTCTCAGAGGGAGAAGGACGCTCCCTCCAGTATTTGGATAGCTTCGATAATCACCAGGTAAATCTGGTAGTTTCTTAACCGTCTTCTGGCCATGAGCATCGAAAATTTCAGCTGACCGCGCAACAAACACGAAAACGGTGCCGTCCTTTAAAAGGTGGAGGAACGGATACATGTAGTAGGGTTGATTTTTTTCAAGGATAGGAAATAAGACGCTATGGCCAAAGGGAATTCCATCCTTATTGAGTAACTCATATGTCGGGTTGTTATTCGCTATCACGGAAGGATTGAGCCCATTGAGGCTGCCAGACACAACGAAAACTGTTCCGTCGCGAAGGGTTTGAGCACTTGCATACCACCTGTTGGTCGAGAGTTTGTTACCCGGCTCATCCCATGATTTTCCATCCCAAGCTTTAGTGTCTAAAGGTCGCGTTAGATATCGAAGTGCTCGGAATCCATCACCAACTGTGGGGTCCATTGGCAACGGAGAATTTCCACCAATGCTAATTAGCCGCCCATCTTCTAGGAATGCCCCACCCGAGCAAAAAGCATTTGTCTATATTATGACATTAATTCTGAGAGAATTAAAAAATAAAGACATGACATGGTCTCACCTCATAACGTAGTGGCGCAACCATATTAGTAGATGGGTCATATTCAGACGAATATGCATACTGGCCGTTGTCCAGTATTAGTTGGGTATAGTTTTCGACCTTGTCTATGAATACAACCCGACCATTGGCTAGAAGTGCGGCAGACATTGCTGGAACCCCGGATTGGCCAACAACTTTAAAAGTTCCGTGTATCGTGTCCGGCGCATGGGTGTTGGGACTAAGAATCTCGAAAAGGTTACCTGACTCACATTCCCCTGACTGACAACCAGGACCACAATGAGATGAGGTGCTCCCACAAAACTTAGAAGAAGCGTCAGCACGCATTCGAATCATAAATTGTCAGCTAAAAGTGGAACACCTACCCCGTATGCCGAGCAGCATGATCCCCCAGGCCAGTCACCACAAATGGTATCGCCGTTTTCTGGACCGCAAAGGCCATCAATGGTTTCCTTGAGATCTAATTTTGGCTTCTCCTCCTGTTTTTGCCTCAGTGTCATACGATGAACCTTATTGGTCGACAAATTTGATGGATTCATTAGGTTTTGGGGAGCCCCAAGTGAGACGCTGCTATTCGCACCCATAGTGGTATGTTCACTTCCACATTGCAAGTTGCTGCAGCACCAATTGTCAGTTAATAGGAACCCAAAACTATGGAGGATCTCCTTTTTCGAATAAGTATGTCTTGTTTTAGCCTTGGGCTAGAACAATCTATCTTTCTATCATGTATCCTCACAAAATCTCGCTGATAATGTGGATACCGGGAAAGGGGGCGTACTCAGACTGGCCTGGAGAATACATATAATTCGTGTTCCGATTGCCATCGGTATGAACACTGTAACTCTGGGTGTCACAATTGTTATATCCACCTTCCTGTGATGCCAAAGGATCAGACGCCGTTGACGTAGTGACAGATTCGGTTTCCTGCGTCGCAGAAGGCGATTGTCGAATTGTTGATATCGGAAAATCATCTGAAACATGCCGATTATCATCTTCACATCTGGAATAGAGAGGTTAACAGCCATATTATGGCGAAGAAAACCACAGACCTTGCAAGATATGTCAAACTAACATTCCGTGACGTGAGCAGCGCTGACCACGAAAACATCCCTGGAATGCTGGCAGAATGGGGTCGCAAGCAAGAGGCGGATGCTCGAAAATGATATTTGCGTGAACCGAGCAGACGAGAAGTAGAAGTAATAGAGGTGCCATCTTTGAGGGAGTGGGAGTGGTATACATGTCAGCTTAGGAGATATTGATGGTTTCTAGAATGATAACCAAGGACCAGGGATATATTGGGTAAAAAAAAATGAAGCAACCAGAACCAGCGTTTAGACCAAGTATCGAGATAGAGTTATGAAGTTCCCATTGGCAGACTGCAATGTCCTGGAAAGCATCTATGGCGAATAGTGGCTTTCTTGGGGGGATAAATGCCCCGTCGTGTTGGGGTGATAGAGAAGACAGATGACAGCAACAGCGGAGATGTGCAGCATTAACGTAAAGATTAGACTGTATATGAGATCCCATTCACTTAGCAGTTCTCGCTCACAGACGATGAAATGTTCGATGTCAACACTGTCGAACGATGCCTCTCCTGCAGCCATCAGGGAGCAGTCGCGTGTCATGGTCATGGCGGCTTAGACAGCAGCCACGACGCAGAAGGTGTTTGCGGTTGAAAAGCAGAGTGAGGGAAAGCAGAGAATAGAGGAACATCAACATCGATATTGACAGCGACAGCCACGGCGGAGAGAAGCAAGGCCTGCGTAAATATGCAAACCTGGTATGCATATGCCAAGCCAACATCCGCAACGCAAAGGGAAGAAAAGTCTCAGATATAATAATTTAAATATTCAATTTTCGTAAGGATACTATTACCAACGCCATCTATTGACTATCGTCCTCTTTCATGTTTCGGTTTTCTTTGGTTATATACACGGACTTATCAAGCCGTATGCCGTGTGCACACTTTCTGCTGTATGCTCCTTACTCTCTGATTCTTCAGGGTCGGCTGCCAACTCCTGCCTCTTCGAAGTAAGTAGACAGGATGGGGAAGCCGCGAGGTGCCTTGGGATTCTCACGAAAGCGGCAACCATGATGGCAAGCAAGAGAAAGATTGCAAAACATACAGTTATGGACAAGAAGAAACAGCTCAAGATCAAAATATATTTCTGGGAGGTTCGAATGGGGGTGACGTCATTTAGCGTTTCACAATTGAACCAATTATGTGCCGGAGTAGGCTTCGTGAAAGACGGTTAAAGCTAGGAAAATGTAGCTCAGCAAACTTGGCCAAAGGTTGCAGTACAGTATAAAAAGCCCAATGCATGTTGTCCTCTAATGCACTAGAATACCATATGGATTCCCCTGTGTCTCAATAAACCTGAGAGCTGAGGAGATATTGAAACGCATTCCTATCACAGCCTCATCCATTATTCGACCACGTCAAGGACGTTATGCTCTCTAGGTTAGAGAGCCCCAAGTCATTATGAGGTATGAGCAGAGGTTTCTAAGAGTGATATAATCTTGAGTAGGTGAAAGATCCATTTCAGTAGAGCAAATTCATGACATCATTTTCAATACGATCGTAGGCACAAGGGGGAGTATGATCTGTATTGATATATGTCGAACCCCTCCTGAGTTCTTGAGGGGTTTCAGCAGACATAAAGTTCTTTTTAAGTCACTGCATAACCCAGGAGGCCCAGCCTGAGATGTCTCTTGACCATGAAGCAATTTAATCAATGTGGGAGATCTTGAGTTTCTAGAGTTCATCGAACCACTCTCTTGTACTGCCATTAAGGATATAAGGTTTTATATGTGGACGTAGATATAGATGACAGAAGAGATGACGTCTGGCATAACTGTTCACTAGTATGGCGATCGGCTACGGGGGAATATTTAATTAGAAAGAAGTTTCCATGACAAGTACCCTCACAAGAGGTTTCCTCTTGTGAGGATGTCACCCATGTGAGCGACCAGCTGGATTTATTTTTGACACATGGGTAGACTAGCCCTAAGAGAGCACTCATCGAGTAAACCCATTCACAAAAACTTCATTCTGGGTTTGACAAGGCCTTGTGACGGGTAATCAATGATCTCTCTAGACGCAGTGGCATGGGATGTCCCTTCTCACTTCTCTGGTATCCCAGAGGTTCGTCCGTCGCCCATCTCGCCTGTGTCGCAGTGAAAAAAGATAATATGAATATATTTTTAGTCCCGTCCGCTCTTCTGCATCGAAGCACTACTCGGGGGCTAGTTTTAGCAAATTCTTGTCACGATAAGTCGTGTGTCGGCATCAACAAAGTCGGATTGTTTTACGGATAATCATGTCTCCATTATCGACTATCCAGAATACAACAAGCCGCCAGTTGAGGATTTTAGGGACAGGGCACTTTTTGAATGCTTAGCTGAAGGAGGAGTTGTCTTAGAGGACGTCTGGTTTTCCAATAACTTTCAAACTTCTACTAGGGGATAAGCAACAAGCAACAGTAAACACATGAATCTGGAAAAGGAAGTTCCTGCAGAACTTATTTAAAAAGATACCACTTGATCCTTTCAAGTCCCTGAAGATCTCCATCGATCGAGTTGGCATTTTCCTTCCCAACCCAGCCTTGAGTATAACCTCCTCCAAAATCAATCAAATATGCATCCTCATTGACATCAATTAGAATGTTAGCAGCTTTTGCATCTCCCCAGATAATACCCTGAGAATGAAGGTGCTTCAGTGTGACAGTGACTTGGTCAAGCCATTTTTCCCGAAGTTCAGAAAACCTGGGATCGCGTCTATCAACGCACTGTAGTGTAGCACCTTGACAATCAATATATGATAAAAGCAGTCCCATAACACGTCCATTGTCGTCCTCAACTAAGCCTTCAAGTCGCGATGTGCGAACTGTAGCATCAAATGTAGCTGTATGAATCTTTGAGTATGTGAGAAGCTCCTTCAGAGTGATTCCCACATCACCTCTATAGACTATCTTGAAGAAGCTAGGATTTGGTCTTCCATGGATAAACACTTTATGAGGTACCGCCGGCAATGACCTCGAATCGATCGGAATCTGAATTGTGCTAGGATGGTAGATGGGAAACATCGAATAGTCCATATGGATAGAAGACGGCAAACGAGCTCCGATGAGGTGGTGCTCCTTGGCTTTCGAGTTGCCAAGGTAAACAGGGACCAAACTCTCTTCCACCGCTTGAACAGTGTAGTGGAATTCTTCCGCAAACAGGCAGTCCGCGAGGGTGTATTTTTGACTCTGGTCCAGAGGTGCAAGTTTGCGGAAAATTGGCACAAAAGGTTGCAAGACCCAGTCATGCATTTGATAAAGAGGATCTTCAAACTCTTCATCTTCCTCTGTGTTGTCAGGGATATATTCTGGATCTAGACGTTGAACATGCTGAAGATATTCTGCAAGTAGGACAGGAGAGCTTTCGAAGTTCGCAGTAAAGAGGTCGATCTTGAAATGTTTGTCGGAAACATACACATTCAACTGGGTATCCGTGTTTTTGTTGCTTGATCGAAAGGGACCGATATTGTACAGAGGCTGTTGCTCCGCCATGGCCGAAGTTGAGGTCAAGCAAATGATAGGTGCTATCCCGACCTCTATTGTTTTACAGTTGTAGGCTGCACGACAAGACGAGGTAGAAAATAGGATAACGAAGTATATTGCCGCATTTTTAAAGAGGTTGGATTGTGGTGTTGCGGGTCTTTTGAGTGGAATCTTCGATCATGCAGACAGTAAACTTAGAAGCTGGGAGTGAGCCCCCTTGTGATGTTATGACCATGAATGTTTAGCGCCGAAGAGAGCTCGTGGTTACTTTTGGGATAGAATATCTACTGTAATCCTTAATTTAATGTTTTATATTGAATGAAGATTTCTCACAGTTTCAAAGCAGCAAATATTTCATTGAGTTCAGTATACAGTGACCAAATAATAATCAATGATCTGTGTGATTTGAGCAAGGGTATAGCTGCTGTTTAAAAGATGTACAATCTCATTGGTGATAAAATCTCTGAGTTGAGAGGGCATATCGACAGATTTGATGATAAAGGTAAGAAAAACACATTTGAATGATATTTGAATGATTTTAGAGATATGTGGATATTTTGGCTACTTTTGCGGTGTTTTGCTACTAATTTTCAGGAGAGGGCTGGAAAATTCTGTTTTCGCAAGCTTTACGTCCGCCACAACATCAGAAATCTACAAGTATTCTCCTCAGATATTCTTCAAATATCACGCGACGCAATTACTCTCCCAATCTCCCGGCCGATTTCCCTAGTTCTTCGACGTCATCCTCGGCGCTGTCCTCCATCAACCCCGAACACCCGGCCAGAAGGAGATATACGCCGTAAGCGTGGGCACGGCGACCAGCCGATTTTTTAACCAACACAAATACCTTCAATACACAAAACTCCTACGGGTTTGCCGGAACTCTTTCGTATAATGACAATCAAATGCTACCTCGTACTCTCACACCTGATTTCGCGCCGCCATGCGTCGTGCCAGAAGATCTCACACTGAGTCAAGCACAGCTCGGCTCGGGCATCGCAAGTCACATTCCGAAGATCGCGGCTTCGCTGGACGTATCAAGCAGGCGATTACAAATCCGGGTTCTGTAAAGATCAATGTTAAGGGTGCTTTCATCGTCGAAGATGAGGAAGAATCGCCATCTCCTCCTAATGGCACGCCAATGGATGGTGTTCACTATGAACGCAAAGATATCCGTCTGCCTCACCACACTGCCGTTGTGAGCCATGTTGCCGTCGATGTATGCGTTTTTCCCCAACCCAACCTCAACAACCCCTCCCCTCTCCCCAATCCGCCAATAATTGCGCCAGCTTTAAAAGGACAATCAAGTCAAAATATCCTACACGAATATAATACAAGCCCCTCTCTAGGTCTTCATGGTACCAGAGCTAACACTCTTTCCAGATCGGAGGTTCCCTAGCAAAACTAGTTTATTTCTCCAAGGAAATCGGGTCGCCGGATAACGGAGGACGCTTGAATTTTATGAATTTCGAGACCGATCGGATCGATCTATGTATTGAGTTCATAAAGGAGTTGAAAGAACGCCATGAAAGAAACTATGTCACTTCCCCCGGCGAGCTCTGCGTCATGGCCACCGGCGGTGGCGCTTTCAAGTATTACGACCGCATGAAGGAAGCTTTGGGGATTAATGTGCTTCGTGAGGATGAAATGGAATGTCTGATTATTGGTACGTGCTGTTTTTTGCCTTTTCCCCCTTCCATTCACGATGTATTTACGACATGGGATGATAATCTAACAAGCGTATATTGATAGGGCTGGATTGGTTCATAACTCAGATCCCGAACGAGGTATTCACGTACAGCGAGGCCCTTCCAACGGAGTTTGTGGAACCTCGACCGGATGTCTATCCGTATTTGCTTGTAAATATTGGCTCTGGGGTGTCAATGGTCAAAGTTTCTGGACCAAGACAGTTCCAGCGTGTGGGAGGAACTTCTCTGGGAGGTGGCACGTTTTGGGGCATAATGTCCCTGCTAACTGGATCGCAGACTTTTGATGACATGCTGGCCATGGCAGATAAAGGCGACAATAGTGGTGTTGACTTGCTCGTTGGAGATATCTACGGCACCGATTACGGAAAGATTGGATTGAAGGCTACCACTATTGCTAGCACTTTTGGGAAGGTCTTCAAGATGAAGAGACTGGCCGAGCGGCATGCTGCGGCTGGAGGGGTTACTTTACAAACTGAAAGTGACTCGGATACAGACCCTTCCCAGTTCAGCCATGAGGATATGAGTCGAAGCTTGTTGTACGCTATCAGGTATGTATTATGCAGCACCTCCTTTTCTTCGTTTGTTGTCCCCTTCAACAAAGCATTTTTTTTGACCCCGCATTTAGTAACAACATCGGCCAAATCGCGTACCTCCAATCCGAAAAGCACAAGATAAAACATATTTACTTTGGCGGATCCTTTATCCGGGGCCACCGCCAGACGATGAACACGCTCTCCTATGCCATTAGATTTTGGTCAAGTGGAGAGAAACAGGCATATTTCTTGCGGCATGAAGGGTACCTTGGTGCTGTTGGCGCATTCCTTAAGAGGAAGCCCGAAACCTGGGGGCGCAGGAAAAGCCTGGAAGACGCAGTTGCTTCTGACTACGCTGGTTGCCGGGAGAATCTGCGTAGGTGTGCTACGAATGAAGAACGGCGGTTTGGAGAGACATAAAATCGGCAGCCACAAATCTCTCCTCACAATGATTTGATTACTACTACTATGCTTCCCCTTACACTTGATGCCTCTACGTTACTTCTTTCTCAACAATATCTGCCCTGGGTCTTGCGACTCAACAGCTTCTGGTATCCTCCTATACTATCCCCCCCCTTGGAGACCAAACTACTCCAATGCTATGCCGCTTTGCTAGAACACTTTATTGTTATGTGGTTGGATCGCGCAATGTCCCTTACACACATATTTTTGGTGTTCTGCATTGTCCTGAGGTTCTGTCTTTATTTTTTCCTTGGAGAACAAGAAGCATTCTCATAGACGATATGCATGTAAATGCCTATTTCCGTAGATTCATGGACTACCATTGGATATAATGAATTGCATTGGTTGGACGATTCAATCTCAAATTTCTTATTTTGGTTCCTTGGAGCTCGATTACTCATTCATGACTAATCAATTATCCGCCTCTTCGAGGCTCAGCGCAATAAGACGATGACAGTAGAACAACCCAACGCTTTTCTCGAAGGAAAGCTCAAGACCATCTCGCATTAGATGCGCTAATGTGCCATGTTTCTACAATGATTACGACGTCCCTCACATGGCTACCCAAGCCCCACCTCCACCCGCATCTCCCTCTCCTCCCCCTTCTCCACCCGTGACAGAAGGAATATCAACCTCTTCACCTCGATTACCGTCAGGAGGGGTAACAGGAACAGGAACAATTTCAACATCGCCTCCTGCACATCCGCCGGCCCCAATTCCTCCGCCAGTTCCTGTCGAAACACATCCAAACCGCACAGGTCTAAAACCTCCCCCGCCGAGACGCGTTCTCACCGATCCAAACCGTCTCGCGCCAGAAGATGCTTACTACGCACACTCCCCCCCACGGTTCCGTTCTGTTGTCACTAACAACCATGCGGCACATTTACGTCTTCCCGCGGCAGTTGCGGCGTTAAGGCCTCCTCCGGCGGTACCGGGGGCGGAGCCGCGGAGGGCAAAGGAAGTTAGGAGAAGATTTGGGTCGAGGCGGAGGAGGCCAAAGGGTGCATGGAAGAAGCTGTTATGGGTTAAGCAATCGTGTACGTTTCCTTACCGATCCAATTGGACACGGTCATTCGTCCGAAGCTAATATTTCCATCACATTCTGCCCTTGTGTTCTAGATCCGGATAATTATACAGATACAGAGACATTCCTTGACCATCTCCAGCGCAATCCTCGTCTCCGTCCCTATGACTTTTGGCCTTTGGTAGCGGATTCAACGGTCATTGTACAACATGTTTGTTCCGTCGTCCTATTCGTTTGTTGTTTCAGCGGCATTTTCCAAGAGCGTATTAGCCCGGTGTCAGTGGTGGGATGGGGGAGTATCTGTACAATTCTAGGCTGGGGACTATGGGATTTCTGGGTTGGGAAGGAGCAAGAAGAGGAAGCTCGTTTATCATCAATTGGAGACGTAGTGGGAGGTGACACAGCGTCTATCTCTGGCTCCTCCACGGGCTCTGTCAAAGCCACCAATGACGACAGGAACCAGAAGGAGAACCAGATCCCTAGCAATGACTTGCGACTCTCTACATCCAATCTCGATTGCCAGCAGCTGCGACGCCACAGCACGGGACTCAGCACTCTTAGTGCGCACTCACATAGCGCTTCAGCTTGTTCCTTTCATTCTGGAAATTCGCCCCAATCCCCAAATTCCCCGATGTCGCCATTTACGCCAATTAATCCCAGCAACGGCTCCACTCTTTCCCCTCGCAACCGCCAACGCCTTGAAACTGCCAAATCCGCCCTCCTAATCTTCTGCGCTCTTCTCGGCCTCAGTCCGATCCTCAAATCCCTCACAAAGTCAACAACCAGTGACTCAATCTGGGCTATGAGCTGTTGGCTCATGGTAATAAACATCTTCTTTTTCGACTATAGTAGCAACAGCGGTGGGAGTGGTACGGGAGGGAGTGGCGAGAGCGGAGCCACCGCTGCTAAATTTCCTGCCTCCTTGTCCACGAACGCCGCCGTCATGGCGTCCACGGTGCTCGCCTCGCGTCTGAAATCCACCACCCACGTATTTAGCCTAACGCTGTTCTCTATTGAAGTCTTTGGCCTATTTCCTGTTTTTCGTCGCCATCTGCGCGCGATTTCCTGGCGGGGTCACGTGTTGCTTACGGTTTCCCTGGTGATTATTGCTAGTGCAGCGGTAGGCATTACGCTGCGCGGTGGGTATATGTCTGCGATATTGGGCATATTTATTGGTAGTTTTTCGACAGCACTGGTTATGGGAGGTTGTAGTTGGTGGCTAATCAGTTTACAGAAGTACAAAAATGTGGTGGCTGGCCCCTGGGACCCGGCCAGACCAGTGCTGAGAAGGCATTGGGACTGAGACATAGGCTGAATTTTGGTAATTCAAAGATATTCTAAGAGGTGGGCTGGGCGAAAAGAAAAACGTCAATGGCCTGATACTCAGATGATAATGTGGTTCACCACTCAGCGCCCACTTCCACTCAACACCCACTTTTTTCCATACAAAATCAAGGATGGTCAGCTATTGATATCCAAACATCAACTCTATTAAGATACTAAATAATTTGTAATTTATTAATATAGATAGATATATTTGAAAATAAATGATTTAAAATTTAACATAAGCCTGTATTACAAGAGTTTTCTCATATAAATTACAGTATATAAATTGTGAGATGTATTCATATTACAGCATTATCATCAACATAAATAATTAGTATTATTCAATGAAAGTCATATATATATTAGAATACTATGTAATTAGCTTTTAATCTAAACTATATCAAAGAATAATAGATATTAAAGAAATTATTCAAATATTATAAAAAGGTGTACTTTTTTCATAGAAACTGGAAAATAACAACTAGGAATTATTCTCTTTGATAAATCTATGCGATGTACGGAGTTTAGTAGTGGATTTTATATTACCCTTTATAAATTTATCACAATAGGTTATGGTTGAGATATGAATTTAAAAATTTCCCACAGCTTATTTTCAAAAGAATGGGTGTGGAGTGGTGAACTAATTAGATTAGGAATAACTTTACTCTCCAGGGTGAAGCAACCTTCCAACATACCCTCTCCTCCTCAACAGATCAACAACCACCTTATCAATACCAGGTCGCTACATCCTGAGACTAATTTCACAGCATACCTTCAAAACCTTTATTTCAACAAATCTTCTGTACGACTCATTCACAGCAAGTTTTTAAACCCAATGAGTGATGCAATGTGGACCTTGAGTTGGTTCATCGCCTCCACAATCTCACTCCAAATAAGTTGGAGACAACGGCATAGCGGTATATGCCGACTGTCTGATAAATACTAGCAATGTGACTATGGATGAAGGAATTGATTCTACGTCATTTGCATGATGATTTGTGGGTGACTAGTCTATCAGATCTCATAACATTGAAGAGGGCAACTCGGTAAGTCAGCACCGTTCACGCTGCCACCCTATACACAACAAGGTATGTTTCTAATCTCCATTCTGCCTACGGAGTACTCAACAGAAGAATAAATGATTCTTTACCGTCGGCTGAATGTAGCCCAACATTGGTAAAAATAGCCCTTGTGCTGGAATGGCCATTTTCCGCAGCACCATGCCCCAAACATGACATTATTCAAGTCTGCACAACATGGATCCACAAATCCCTGTGCTGCCGTGTTCTGGAGGGAATTGGATTCAGTTAATGCCTTATTAGCTTGTTAGTGTTAGGAGAGCACGTTGATAAAACACTTGGAGCCATCTATCCTTCAAAACACCAATGTGAACTATTCAGGTTGGCAAAACGTCTGCTATGTGCGAATTCTGTCATCCGATATCCGATTTGTCAGGATGTCGTTTGCAAAAGCCCCGTTTGTATTGTAGCAGGACCAAAGATACGCGGGAGCCCAACCTTGGAATGTTTGACTGGTACATCTTCCTCGCTCAGGAACCTGAGAACCTTTGAGACGCCTTCCCAACCACAATGCAGTGCAGTCTGCTGCTACACACCCTCTCACCTTCTGATCATCTTTGAATGCGCTGTCGGTGTCTGTGGGGAATTTTGGCGCCCGCAACTTCAGGGGTTTGCTCATGGCGATTTTTGGGTTGTCTCACTTGGGACGCTTGAGGCTCCCGGTCACCACCAATCCTTCACAGCCTTCGTTTGCTAACGAGCATTCGTAGCAGCGACGTCACTCATCGTGCTGTGCACGTTTGTGTTTACTATGTATGTGTTATTGAAATCAGATGTGATCCTTGTCCTTCCATCATTAGGGAATAGGGTAAGTGCCTGAAACATATCCGTTCACCCATTTCCCCTACCCCTTCCTCTAGAATTGGTGAGGAATGATGAGTAGTACGAAGTTTTAATGACGAATCGTCATAGAGCCAGCACTGCAGCCATGCCGAGGTTTTCTGGCTGAAAATTGGAATCGTTTCCTGCGTTTTGTGGTTTCCACCATTGGTGCAATCCTATGATATCCCTTGGTAGATGAATCTTCGGGGCCGGAACCATTATTGCTCATCCGTCCGTTGCTGGGTAGGATTCTATCGTATACTTTGTTTGTGTTCGCTAGATAGGCCTCGAACCTCGCCTCCATTCGCTCTTTTCTTATCTTTAAATACCATCATCCACCGAGTCATCTCCATTCTCTTGACGTTCCTCCATCATTCCTTCATCAGTATTTCTAACTGCCATCTTCTATCATAACTACCTTACCACTCTCCGGATATACAGACGGAAATAACAACACTTTCCACCATCAGAATGAAAATCCTCGCAATCATTGCTCTTGCGTCCGGAGTGGTCGCTCTTCCCCAATTCAGATCTCCGTGGGGCTGCCTAAATTGCCCAAATACTACTATTACTACTTCTACTACTACTACTCGCATCCCTCTACATACTCTCTTCCCTGCGACCACCGATCGGCCTACTAGCACAACAAAACACATCCCGCTACATACCCTCATCCCTGCGACCACCGATCTGTCTACTAGCACCAGAATGACAACACAACACATCCCGCTACATACCCTCATCCCTGCGACCACCGATCGGCCTACTCCAACACCAACTAGAACCCCCCATTTCCCAGCACCGAAACCCGGTCTGCTAGCTGAATTCGGCATACATTGAAAGATGAAATACAGTCGCCAGCGAAACTATCACTCGTTGGCATGCTGCATAATCTGGAACAGGCCCGGCAGTTATTCTCCCTCGTACCTTGTGGCACCACATACCCTCCTTCAATCGTTGTTATAAGAAAAGCTCAGTTGGTCCCGTGTCTTGTCTTGAAAGAGAGGTTCTATAATGTCACGGAAATGCGGCGACTCAATTATACAACTTGTTGATTGTTATTTTGACCCTCCCTTTTGCCGTATTTTATCCTCCTTTTTGAGCCTTGCCATGTTTCGCGGCGGGTTTTGCATGATTATGGACGACTGTTAGAATAATCTCACTCTCTCCCTGTATCAAAAAGAAAAAAAAGTATCAGTATCAAATTTAGAATTACTTCCATTGTAACTCTATAGGCCGATTCCTATCATAAGCGGTTTGATCTACAATTGGTCCATGAAGGTTTGGGTCAGGGCCAGATAATGGATAGATACAATTGGTATTATCGACCCGAATGAATAATAACTAATTTCGAAGCTTGCTGATAGGCCAATGAGGGAAAATAGAACGAGATTGGAAGTTTAAAGGGGTCAAAGTGCAGGTACAGTCTTAAGGGACAGGGGCAGATCCTTAAACTATATTTGGCCTAGCGTTTGCACCTGGCGAAGCTTATTCCAACGTCCACTTTTCCCGCACCATGACGGTTGATAAATAGTACGATGTAAAGGTGACCTGCTGGCGGCATACCCACTCGCTTTTTCTCGCATTTTACCTTCCGATGTATTTCCGTTGCATATTCCGCGTGGCAATTGAACCGTGTAAAATCTGGCTGGGAGGTGAAACAGCGTGCATCATTTTCGTTAGCGTTTGTATCACCCAATGGCAACCGTCATAGGGGTTCTGGATCTACATCGTTATGGGAGTATCCTCATTTAGCGGAAAGGAATGTCAATGGCACCAAAAGTTTCCATGGTGACTCGCAGTATCTGATTGAGTCCGTTACGAAAGTGTTCTCCAGCCTCAATGACTGAAACCAGTGAAACCAGAAGCCTGGGTTAAACCCCCTCGGTGATGACATTCTTACAGAGCAGATTGAGGGGTAATTCAATCCATCAAGATTTTACAGCTTCCGAACATATCGAGTCACATGTGAGCCGTGTGTACATAACATATCTTCGGGTGTCAAATACCTACCAGAGCTTAGAACAGACAGCTCGCCAATCCGTTGGGACGATATTATGCTTACGTCTATTGGAACTTTTATCAGAAATTCCCCAAACTCTCCTCTTCAGAGGCTATTATTCCTACCATATTTGTCATAACTTCTAACTAGGCTAGAAACAGATAATGGCTTTTGAATTTTTATCTTCTCGCTCCTCTTCATAAGCCATTAGGCTCTCCCCATCCGGATAAAGTGACTCCGATATCTGTCTGTGGTGCTGCATCGTCGAACAAAGCTCTCAATAACGCACGTAAAGCATAAATCGAACCACCCTATACTGGTACGCCTTCCGAGGCCGCATACAATCGGGGATGCTGGATATTTTTCCTGTTACGGTCCTGTTTGCTTGTCTAACATATTCCCCAGCTTTCCTACATATTACCTCGGTAGAAGTCCGTTGTGTTTTTCAATCTCGCGTTCCATGGAACCCGTTCTCTTCTATGGATAATCACATCGTGGATAATTAAGCTCTAAATCTAAACTCAATTAGCCCGTTGAAGCATGAAAAAAATTCGTGTGTAGGAATAGGAGTACAATCTACCAGTTGTTGATCAGTGGTGATTCCACCACTAAAGCCCACTTCGAGCATTTCAAGATCCTCTCAGATATTCAGTAAAATCCCTTTGCTTTGTATGTTGATATTTTTCAAGAGCTTAAATTTAATATTACTGTTCATACATTAAGAGATATTATTACTAAAAGTGAATATAATAAATAAGGAATTCAGAGAAGATTGAGATTAATAACAAAGATAGTCAAGCTGTAATATCAATTGATTTCGAAGTATAAAAGTTAAATATTTAACTAAAGACTAGATAGTAATTATGTAATCCGATGAGCACCGTGTCAAGCTGACCCCCGGAACCCGACCCCACCCCCGAAAATAACACGCTCGCGCTTAGGGGGGCCGTGCCCAAGCTTAACTAAACTTAGTTAAGTAATTTAGGCACGTTACCCACTATAGGCGCGCCTAAGCGTCCCTAAAAACCCGGGTCGGGTTTCACAGGTTTAGTTAAGTGAACCCGGGAACCCGTTTAATCGGGCAACCCCAACCACTTTTTCAACCCAACCCGCGAAAAAAACAACACTACTTCAAACTAAAAAGAGCAAATATACTTTCAACTCTATTTGACTCTGCTTGAGAATATGTTATTCTCTATAAATGAACTAAGCTTGATCTTCATACAAGATAGCGATTCTACTTATGTATTCAAAGAGATTAAGAATTGATTGAGCGATAATGCTATAAAGCTTATGTGTGATAAAATAACACTATGACCACTAGGTTATCTATAAGCCAACGTAACCATTTGCTAAATGGTTGAGCCCGGGCGTACAGTTGAAACCACGTTCATGTTTGAATAAACCACGTTCAACTGTAACCCGGTTGAGCCCGTGTGTGTGGTGGTGTAGCCTGGCCCACAGCGGCCGTGGCCACCCAACCCCCACCAGTTGCAGCACAGTGTGGAAACCACACATGAATTGACATTTATATTCCCTAGAATCGAACCTGGTTGAACATAGATGATTTCTATTGAAAGAGGGGTTATATGATGTAGATAAGAATGTTGAACTTATTCAAGAATTAAACAATAAGAAGGATCAGCTCTGGAAGATTTTGACAGACTCTTGAAACAATATTGAGAAATACTCCGTGTGTTGGCTAGAATGCCACGTGACCACACCTGTTTAAGCCCCCGCCAGATACTTATACTTAAAATAACCTAACCTTCCGCCTCCATCAGTGTAACTTAGTAAGAATTGCAATCAATAGAGTAAAGAGAGTATGTACGGGATGCCGGGATGCAAAGAAGTGATATACCTGCTGCTGAGATTGTAAATAATCTTCAAGATCAAAGTATACATTACTCAAATTAGTAGTCTATTTGGCTTCAATTGATATTTTTAATAGAGATTTGACGGGTGGAGGTTGATTAAGAGAGTGAGTGGAGGGGGTGTTGGCCAAGGACGGATAAGTAAACGGCGATAGAAAGCAAACAGGGAAAAAGACTACCAGTTGGTTCACTTTATAGACTTCAGTCATCCTCTCAGCTCCGCTCATACCGTCCTCCGCTTGTCTGCTTATTCTTCTATCATATTATTATCCTAATTCTTTCGGATACATCTATTGTAAAATTTAACTTCTAAGCCACCTCCCCAGACTTCATGACTTGGTTGATGCTATCTTCTAGTAACACTTTATTTTTGTTCTCTGGACAATATAGAGGCTAAATGAAATAGGGGGAAAGCCTCTAGTAGACCTGGAGAAGCAGATACATACATTGTATACCGGAGGAATACGATAGCGAACCTAAAGGGAATATAATAATAGCCAGGCGCTTGAGAAGCACACTACATCAACGCAAATAGTAAGGTTCGATATAATTTTTGTCATCAGAGTCCAGTAGGAAATATTACAAATATCATGATCATATCCAAAATAAAGTATATATATAAATATAGAAGTCACTTTCAAATGCATGTTGCAAAAGTCAAAAACCTTTGACAGGTAAACAGCGGTCGAAAAAGGATGAAAGAAAATAAATTACATGATGAAAAGAGCGCAACCAACAACTGTCAACGTCACGAGCCACTTTCCGCTGAAAGATGTTGCCGGGGAACTGCCAGTGTACATTGGTGGTATCGGGCTTGTTGGGTAGGCTCCTGATTCAGGTGTGCTTGGATAACTAGGGGCTGGGATCGGTCCGGTTGAGAACGTTGAAGGCTTCCAGCTAGCCGGAGGGGTTTCGACGGGATAGCTTGGGTTAACTGCCGGTGGTGCAGTTGGCTCAACACTGTGTGAACTTGTACCACACCCTATTCCTGCGCAGTATGTTGTAGTATATGTCGTTGTGATCGTGGTATATCCCGTCGGGCAAACTGTCGTGTACGATGTAGTTATCACTGTAGTAATTGTTGTGGGAGTAGGATATATAATCCCAGTGCTCGTAGGGTGGGCGGACTCCGTGTTAGTAGGGTAGACATCGGTTGGGTAGGCAGTCGGGTAGTGATCACTAGGGTAGGCAGTCGAGGAAGCAGTTTCACTGCCAGTAGGATACGCAGTTTCAGTAGGGTAGGAAGATTCGGTGTCAGTTGGGCAGAGAGTCTCTGTACCAGTTGGGTAGGCATCAGTTGGGCGGGCAGTGGGATAGGCTGTCTCGGTGCTAATAGGGTTAACAGTTCCGGAGCCGACAGGGTAAGTGCCAGTAGGATACCCAGTGGGGTAATCATCAGTGGGATTGGCAGTAGGGTAGTTAGTCTCCGAATTAGTAGGATGAACAGTCTCACTGCCAGTGGGATACATAGTTTCAGTAGGGTAGGAGGATTCGGTGCCAGTTGGATAGACAGTCTCAGTATCAGTTGGGTAGGCAGTGGGATAAACAGTTCCAGGACTGACAGGGTAAGTGCCAGTAGGATACCCAGTGGGGTAGTCATCAGTGGGATTGGCAGTAGGGTAGGAAGTCTCCGAATCAGTAGGATACACAATCTCGGTGCCAGTAGGGTATGCAGTGTCAGTGCCGGTGGGATAGACAGTGTCAGTGCCAGTAGGGTATACAGTGTCAGTGCCAGTAGGGTATACAGTGTCAGTGCCAGTGGGATAGACAGTGTCCGTTCCAGTAGGGTATGCAGTGTCGGTTCCAGTAGGGTATACAGTGTCGGTGCCGGTAGGGTACGCAGTGTCGGTGCCGGTAGGGTATACAGTGTCGGTGCCAGTAGGGTATACAGTGTCAGTGCCAGTGGGATAGACAGTGTCCGTTCCAGTAGGGTATACAGTGTCAGTGCCAGTGGGATAGACAGTGTCCGTTCCAGTAGGGTACGCAGTGTCGGTTCCAGTAGGGTATACAGTGTCGGTGCCGGTAGGGTACGCAGTGTCGGTGCCGGTAGGGTATGCAGTGTCGGTGCCGGTAGGGTATACAGTGTCGGTGCCGGTGGGGTACGCAGTGTCGGTGCCGGTAGGGTATGCAGTGTCGGTGCCGGTAGGGTATACAGTGTCGGTGCCGGTGGGGTACGCAGTGTCAGTGCCGGTAGGGTATGCAGTGTCGGTGTCAGTAGGGTACGACGGATTGGTAGAGGTCGTCGATGATGTTGGAGGAGGAGAGACCTCGTATAAAATCCTCTTCATATGATCCGCGTAGCTGAGGCCGTTAATTTGATTGTTTTCAGAGTAAGTTGCCTCCCAGATCATAATACCTCCAAAATTGTTCGGGTATTTGGTCATGAATTCTTCTGCAAGAGGCTTCACCTCTGACGGCGTGAGATAATACATGTCATCAACGGTAGCATCTACGCTACCTGGCAAGCCAATATAGAGTCTCGCGGAAGGGTTGGCGCTGTGCTTAATGACTTCAACCCAATCATCGAAGGAGAACTCGGATGTTTCAGGATTAGAGACCCAACTTCTCGCGGAACAATAGTAGGTATTGTAAAACTGGATAAAAATGAAATCAAAGTACGACTTCGTTATTGGAACTGCCAGCTGTTTATCATCAGGGGGACATTGCGGAGCAGCAGAAATATAATATTTCCTCTGCAAGTCCTCCGTGAAGCGATGCCTTAACCGATCAACCATTGTAGAATAGCCTATCTAGTTAGCTATAATCTTTCTTACCGTGGCAGGAAGGCCGTCTCACCAAAGTCACCATTATATTCTATGTCGAAATCAAATCCGTCAACAACAACATCGCCAAAGGGGCGAGGCTTATTACCCCAAGCGACCGTCTTGGGCCCAAAGGCTCCCCAAAGGAAATCGGCAAAATCAAGCGCGGCTTGGTCGGTGGTAAGTTTATAGTTGGAGGTGGCACCACCACCCAATGAAAGCAGTATCTTTTTTCCGGCGGCCTGACAAAGAGGAATGTCCTCTGCAATCTGGTGGCAGTCCTTGAGAAGTTCTGTTTCGACACCATCCTCATTCTTATACATCTCTGATGAACATTGATTCCCGAAATTAGTTCCTGGGTAACCACCTTTGCCTTGCTCTGGGAAGATATGGACGAATGCTATCGGGATGATGTCCATCGAAGTCTGTTGACAGAAATCCGCTAAGCGCTGTTGGTAGGGACCTTGACCCTACAGTAAATGTTAGCACCGATGAAACGCCATATTCTGTAACCAGAACATACATAGTAGACTGCTAGGTTTGTCGTAGAGTCCAAGTCCGAAGCGAGAGTGGAGGAGACTAAAAGAGAGGACGCGGCCATTGTGGCCGTCAGAAGGCTTTTGAGAGCCATTTTATTTTGTCAAACAGCTGGCGTTTATTAATGTATTATCAATTGAAAGAATGGAGCATTAGACAGCAAGGCCTTCGTAAATGAGTGTGGCCGCAGAAAAACAGTTAAAGAAAGGACGCAAACAAAACGTTTGCTATGGGTGACAGCAACGCACAGCCAGGTTGCGAAAGGAATGAGCAAAAGGAAGGAAACAATCACAGGAATGCTGGGCTATCATGTTGACTTATAAGTTGGGTCACTAGGCAGAAAGCCTCTCGAAGGAGAACCTCGATAACCTCCAGTGGCGTTTGGAGTGACATCGTTCGTCAGATAGGAGAAGTTCCGACTGCCCGGCCACACCCCACGGAGAACGCAGGAATGGATATTGGTAAGCAGTTCAGCACGAATGAAGATTTCAACCCCCTGCCTGGGTTCCATTAAAATGGGAGTTGCAAGCATTCTTTCGGAGAGCCCGTTTTCAGCGCGGAGCCCATTGACATGACAAGGGATGGCCATGGATCAGAATATTTAGTCCATTGGTCAAGCAACAATAGATGGGACATCAATGGGATGTCTCTTATGAAGTGGAATGCACTATTTGGAAGGCAAGCATAGTCCATGAGTTGATACCCCTCCAGATATCAACCCTCTGGAGGACATATTGACACAGCACACTTCAAATTGGAAATATCCACTTTTTTCGGCTCCAAGGCTCGAATGAAGTGGTCCAGCAAATCGGCAGAAACACTCAGCAGCGCGCTGTTCGCTCGACATCATAAGGGCGAACCAAAGTTGCAAAGTTGATGAGGCTCAAGGAAATGGATACCGCCCCCATAAACGTCGAGGGATAAGTTTCCGGTCATATTAGACCAGGCGGTTGGGACCCACGAAGTCACACCGAACGAATATGACCCATGTGAATTTCCTCGGCTGCTAATGTTAAGGATGGGTGGCGGTCTGGATACGATGTTGTCGTGGTAAGTCACAGGCATCAATCCGATTTTGACGGGAAGGTTTAGCGGTGTTCCATGCCGAAAAAGAGACTTGACTAGTTGTGACCAAGGCGTAGCTTGGCCACCCACAAGAATACATCTGTATACCTACTAGAATCATATCAGGCCCTAGCTGTATTGATGTCGAGGTGACCGGGTATAGCGGGCTTTGCAAAAATAACCCTAACGGCTCAGCGCCATTTTCGATCCGGCAGCCCAAGTGGCGTAGAATAGTAAGTAGGCAGTTCGGCGAAGATTTTTGGCTCCATTCGGCCCCGGCGAAAGGTCCTCGCGTCAGAAAGATGTGGGAATTGCCTTCAGATGTATCATATATCCTTCATCAAAGCGAAGAGTTGGGGTCTGATAATAAGCGGCCAAGGGCCACTAATATTTTATAGGAATAGTGTGTATACAGAGCCGTATGACAAATACCTGTATGATCTGTTCTTTTTTATCAAGATCTGTATTTTAATATTTGTGCATTCCTAACAGATGTAGAATTTATGGGGCCAGTATCCGAGACATTTTCAGTGCAGTGAGTGGTGCTAGCCGCTCGAAGCAAAAATCACACCACATGGGATGATATATTGCTGCTATGGCAGGCTATGTAGGTAACTAACTCTCGAAGTGATGTCGGCTCTGAATGGCATATCATATCGCAGTGTGTATGAGCAATGGATCTCCAGGACCTGAACCGTCTTTAGTACAGGTGCAGCAGACATTCAAAGATACTCATAAGTATTGTAAGATGAAGTGATAAAGCATCAGAATATTCAAGATGCTCTCAATCACGACAATGCCAGATCCGGATTACGAGGAACAGCTAAGGAAAGAGTTATGTTGTATGGCTGTATATTCACTGTGCCTCTAAAATATTAGTGGCTCTTCGCGGTGCGTAATGATCTCAAAAATCCGCATAAAAAACTTCCCATCTGCCTCTCACCTCAGAAGTGGATTGGATGAATACGCTGGAAGAAATGAAATCCATTTTTAAACCCAACGTCTTGGCTGCCTGAACACTGTTGACAATGCCCTGTCAACAAGAATGACAGACAGGAATGGACTGGGTAAGTTTGTCTCGCGGAGGCTGGCGTGCACGAAGGAAAACCGACGCTGCATGCCACAACTTTACCTTCCTTGCCAAATGGCGCTGACTGATTGATAGTTTTCCATCCATTCCTTGGGCATGTAAACGCCAGCAACAGCCCGCCAACTGATTTTATCCCCCGCCAAGCAGCAAAGTCTCAGTCTGGGTTATCATTTGTCGGCTCACAGAAATAGCGTGAGCCATTCTTTCACTGCGGGGCATCGACGGCCAGGCGCATTGCTACCCTCCATCCGGTTGGGGGAATCGTGATGATTCCTCCAAAGTCCGCTCCTCACAGAAGGGAACAGAGAAGCCAAAGCAAACGTGGTGGACAGTTGGACTTTGGAGGAGGTTGATTTAAAGATCTGATCGACCTGCTGGTTTACTGGAAATCCAGTACGCCGATCCCAACCCAAGGACAATCTGTTGTTCTTTCGGGGAATTTGTCAAATTCCAGGATTCCGGGATTTCTGCACTAGACTCGAATCTGGATGGTCCTCGTCAATGTTCGATTTTGACACGTTGTTCCCCGAGTCACGGACTCCCGCAACACGGCGAAACCCCTTTAAGGAACGCCGACCTGAACCCCTCCACCAACTTTCTTTTTGAGGCTGAGTGGAGGTTCGATCCTCTGGCGCAAATAATCCAGGCACCGTAATACCATTGGTCACTGATCTGAGCCAAAGCCATATCTCGGGAATTCCAAAATAGCGACACTAAGCCTTGGCTGGCTGACATTGTCTCGCGCATACAGACCAGCCAATAATGTATAGCAGTTGTTCTCAAAGACACTTATTACTGTTACTTCCACTTTTTCAACGATCACGAACGTATCAATTGATAATTACATTTAAAATATCCTTCAATACCTGGAATAATAGCCGTTATTCCAGCGGCCCTGAACTTTTCCCCCTTCCCTCGGCAATGATCGGACCCCGCAAAGAGCGCTATTTGCATGAGTCAAGCCACCTTAAAGTTACCCAGCGTGGTGGGTCCCTGCTCCTCGATGGCCTGTCCATCATGCAAATTTCGGTTACTGCGAGGAACGATCGATTTCGATTCTAGACCCTTCGAAGCAACCTTTAGTCAAGTGGCATGGGTTGGCATGTGCTCGAAAAGAAAATGCACATTTGTTCGAATTTGTGGACATCTACAATTTGGCTGAGTCGCATCAACAATCTCAACCGTGGAATCCAGCGAGATTGTCAGTCAGGATAACCGTTTACTCGAGCTAGCGAGAGGAGAAAGAATACGTTGCAAAGATTCGAGTCCTCTGGGAACAATTGTTGGGCGCAAGAACCAACAGTTAGAAACGGTCTCCAGAAGTTGGTAAAGTCGGGTATGATTAGTGCTTATGGGAGACTTGGAATATCCTGAACGTTAAAAGAGCCTCTCCCCCGACTGTGAGTTCTGAACACCTGGAGTGGTGACTTGACTCCCTTCAATCTTTTGTTACATCTCAAAGTATGTCAACCTTCACCTTCTACCATCAAATATGTTTTGCATCAACATACCAATGCAGTAAGTTAGTGTTAGAGGCTACCTCTAACAAACTACACAAACACACCCAAGAAGGCTCTCAGGTGTTACTTTTCTTGCAGTCTGCTATCGGATTTTTTATTTGTAAAGACTTCGCCCAAGGAAGACGCGAAGCCGGCTGATGTGGAGAGCACTTCTGGTCTGTGGCTTTGAAGGCACTTACTCCTTTTGCGTCTGAACTGAGCGGAGCAGAGATCAGAGTAACATGCCCAACGCTGTGAGCTTCTGAAATTTCGCGATTGCTGTCCGTGCCATACACTTCTCTACTCCGTACTCTTCTACATTTCGTTCTAAACCTCTTTGCTTTCCACCTAGCAGCTATTTGATGTATAACCGTCTACCAAACCACGTATCTGCGTGGTTGAGGACGGTGAACCTGGCACAAGAAAGCAAGCTCAAGGCAATGATATCGCATGTGCCTGGGCGGTGATTTTTCCGTACTCGAGCACATCTTGAGATCCACTGCTGAAAGTCCCTAAACCAATCTCTTCAAAACTCACTCATCGTAGTGTCAATGAGGATACCCTTTCAAAACCCCCGTACTATGAGATATGTCATGGGATTTAATCTTCCGAATGAATTGTTTTCAATCATTAAAAAAAGTTGTCCGGTGTTCTTACGGTATTCCAATCATGAATATACGTTCTGGCGAGGAGCAGCAATGCAACCGTTTTCATCATCCAGTAGCGCATTATATTCTGGTTCAGATGATATAGGGCCAGCTACTAATTCTCAACCAAAGGGGTTTGAGAGGTCGACGAACTCTATGACATAACTTTTAGACTACATATCCTGAACCTGGTGGACGAGGAAGTAGGGGATGAGTAACTAAGCTGATCGAAAGCTACCCCCAATAAGAACTATATGCGATCCACATCCACCCAGTTCTCCAAAGGAACTATCGATTGTCCATATATACAACATCACACGGACTCAAATGGGTTTCTAGTACAGTTAGGAGCAAGACGCCAAAGACTCCCAGCCCTCGTTACAAAAAGTTCACATTGCATCATAGAAACAAAAACATTTCTCTGGCTTAATTCTTTCCGTCTGGGTGAACACGCCTATCAGCGGATATTGTATGCGGTGTGTCCCATTCGTCACAGAAAAGGGAAGAAGACACTGGTGCCGGTGTCCGAGGCGGCGGGGTAGTCGCCTGTAAGGACGGGATGTCGTTATGAGGGAGATCGCGCTCTCTCTTCTCCTTATACTCTTCGGCTTGATAATCTTCCGATTGAACTGTTATGGTGACATCCTGTCTGATATGCAAAGAACGCACCGAACCGTCGTCATCGCTGCTGATGGTGGTGGGGCTGCTGTGCCTTTTACCATCCAAGGTTGGCTTTCCCCTGTCGGTTGCTGATCCCAACCAGGTGAAGGATTGTAGTTTGTAATCTACAGATTTGAGCCCTGTCCATGACGGGCGTCGAGGCATAGAGAGCGCGGCTCCGATGCAATTTGCTGGACCCAATCCTCCACTAGACCAGTTCCTGAGTGAGGGGAAAATGTCCCATAACAGAGACCAGGTCAGCAGCAGATTTGTCACAAGCACTACAACTGTTGCCTCCCAGAAGTGCCAATTCAGATAAACATAGGAAATTAACAAGGGAACAAGACAGTATATTTTGGTGAGGAGGGCCGCCACAATAACGAATATACCGAGGCTGAAGATAAACAGGAGAATGCATTTCTGTTTTAGAGGTAACTAGGCGAACCAACATCAGAAGCAGGATGCCAACAAGAAGCATAAATATATCACCAGTGATGCCTAAACAGCCGTTGATAATTTCGTAATATTGATATGACGAGCATTGGTAAGTAAATAAATTAGTATTGACGGTCAGACAAGTAGGGGGAGGCCAATATCAAACACGCACAGTTTGGTGTAGGTACTGCCCAATGATCCGTAATAGGACAACAGATAAGAAAAGGTGAAAGTTCACTTCCAACGAACGACATTCCTGTGTATATGGCACAATAGTTGACTAGTTTTTGGCGGCTCAATCCATTCCTATATGGCGTTAGAAAAACCAGGAATTAAAAGATCATGTCCAGGACCCCTCAACAGCTCGTATAATGGTGGAGAAGAACGAGTTCCCTTACGTGATACGCCCATATATTGTTAACATGCAACATTTTAAAGTCCATATGGTGAGGACCATCATGTACTCGGAGACGTAGACCCATTTGCTACCACTGACACGTTCTGATTTCGTTTTCGGCGTGAGAGCTAGTATTTCTTCGTCGGTTAAGAGATTAGAACCTCCGCCAGCGATGACCTGGTTTACCGCAATGGAGAGAAGAGTAAACCAGATAGTAACGGTAAGCATGAACTAATCGTCTAACTGTAAGTCTCTAAATCCAAGTCGCTTTACGCGAGCAACGCTATCACAAAATTAACATCGGGAGCACTGTATATCCTCAACATGCGGTAAACGTTGTGCACCCCGAAAAAATAATACTTACCCCCTAAGTATTATAGAGAAAATACCCACACCATATAGTGTCCATGTTTCGGTCTTGAAATGCTGGACAAATTTAGGGTCCGACAATGACATCTTCGCTGATTATTGCTAGATCTTTAGATTTTCAACTCCTTACAAAGGCTGATATATTTTCCTAGAGGGACTAGTTTCTCCCGTGTAAGAGTGCAATCAAGCTTATATTTGTCCGAAGATGTTCCAGTGGATAGATACGAGGAATATCGAGAAGAGAGCGAGATAATGCACATATACAGCACATGATATAATATTCAAAAAAAGTATAGATAGTGTAGGCCGCATAAACACGATCCGTATCTAGCAGCTAGAACTCGAACAATAACGAATGACGAAAAGAAGTTAATCTTTCTTTTTTGAAAAAGACAATCAAAATCTTAGCCACCATGTTCCGTCTTTGTGGGAAAGTTGCGAAGGTGCAAAGGGCTAAAAAGACAAAAACCAGAGAGGGTCACAGCGAAGATCTAGGGGTTAAGAAAAACCCTAGATGTTACCCGGTGTTGTAGGTTGATTTGAACGTTTCTGTTTAGTTTAGTTCCTTGCAAAGTCCTTGATTAAATATCGATGTTTCATACTATTTTCGTCCAGAGAAAATTGGCTTTTTCAGGATATTTGTGGATCTCGTCCCTCTCCGCAAGTGCAGCTGAATAACGAAGAAAATAAAGAAAATGAGAAGCAGGGTTATCTGGATAGTTCCCAAAAGACGTCGCCACATGGCTTCTCCAACCATGATCGATATTTCCATGACTGGAGATCAAACGAAGATGTTTGGCAATTATTGACCAACACAGCCTTCGTGTCGGAGTTAATTTCACGTTGATCCTAGGTATATCAAGGAAGATGGGACCCAGCTCAAGCACCAGACGGGGAAATGCGAGACGTTAGAATCAGTCAGTGGCCGATCTGATAGGAAAACGCGGGAAGAATGAGGGCTCTGAGTGGACAACTCAACCCACCGTTTGTCGCTACTCGTCGGGCGCTTTTTTTCTCTGGAAAGGTATGAGAGGACCCATCATGGGAGAACAAAACCTCAGTCGTAGCAATGAGAATGATGAAACCCAAGATACCTGGAGGTGGGGGATGAGGGCGCTAATCTTTTATAGATATAGTGTATGCATCTCCATTACATACAAAATATATAATGGATGAGAATTGAACAAAGAAATAAACCGGAAGAATGGGGAAATGAGAATGGTTGCAATCCACATGGCTGAGGGGTGCGTCCTACAATACCAAAGAAGCAAAAAAGTAAAAAACCACAAGAAGATGATCAGGCCATATGTGGGAGACTGGTCGGCTTTTGTCCAGGTAGGCAGGTGAAGAGGAAGATGGATCGAGTAGTATCGCGCATCGGAGCACTGAAAGGTTGAGGCCGTTGCAGATCCACATCCTTCACCCCTGGAAAAACGTGGTGTCTGAGTGTCTATGAGTGTGCATCTTGTTTCCTCCCTCGTCCACTGGATTGGCTACAGCGAGTGCTGGTGGCTGGATAGTGGAGAAGCCAGCCCTGGGAATCCACGCTAGACTTGAGCAGGGTTTCCCAACTTATATCGAGACAACATCTCTCTGGCCTCCAGGCTTGGGGAAATGACTTGGTGCCTCACCATTCTTCTAAGGACCCACTAGCAAAGTACAGATCTGTATCGTGGCGATAAGATCCAAAGAGTCCAAGTCTTCACCAACCTGGGCTCCAAAATCGGCAACGAGGTTGTATTCCTAGACTCAAGTTTTTTTCATGGGCCAAAAGAATGGGCAGTCTCCACCATTTTTTGCCTCCACAAAATTCGCAGGATTTCGGCAGGATAGTGTGGACGGAGGCGCTGGAGGATTTATTCAGTCAAGTATATCCTTGAGGCACAGCTAAGAGAGAATTCGACCCTGACTTGATCCAACTTGCTCCAATTAGCTGTAAACCAGGGTTGCATTCTTCTCCGCAAAATTAAAGAATGATAAATAGTCTCAAATGGTAGCAGAAATCCGGCCATAAGCCTACCATGGTTATCCTGGAGTTCTGTGCGTCAACGCATATATATTTCCCACTCTATGAGGCGAGGTTCAATCAAGCCAGAAGAAAAATTAATTAGTTTCACGGAATTTGCCATATCTCGATGCCCTTTCCACCACTAACGTCCCCTATGATGAGGCTAAGACCTAACTAACCGACAAGAGTGAGAACGTTATTTTGAGGGAGATGCATCGAATCCGAAGCACGCGAACCATAACCACAGAGTTTCCCTTCGGCTACAGCGATCTTTTCTGTCGAACACTCCGGTTGTTGTTCGACGGCCGATGTCGCTAAGCGCAGAAAAAAACAAACGTTCGCACCGAGATCTCGATTTTTCCCACGCCCTCAACGGTCACAGCGACGCAGGAATGTAGTGGCCATCGACGAGTAGGGATCCAGCTGGCCAATAATGCCAGGCAGCATCAACACATTTTGTTATCATCCTGGGCCCTATGTATGTGGAGTCTGTTGCATGATCAGCCCCACCATCCCATGCCCGCTGCGCCGAAACGGAGGCAATCGGGATGCTGTGAATTTGGAGAGCGTTATCCTCTCTTGCTGGCTCGTTTTCTGACCCTCTTCTGACATTGCGAATGCCCCGCCGTTGTTTGCCTCTTTATCTTTTTCCACCACTGGTCGTTCCAGAAGTCTCTGGCGTTCTTTCGTTTGGGGGACGACGGATGACGATGACAATTGGTTGCACAACGGCGGGGAAACAAAGGTTCCCAGCTCTCCTGGGCTTTGGGAGCCCTGCTTGCAGATCAGAGCTTTACATTCTTGTCTAGCTTCAGTTTTTTGTACCATCACTTTATCATTTTTGGACTGTTCTGCTGCGGTTAATTTAATTTAATTTAATTAACTATTTTTCGATTAAAAAAAAGAGATTCATTTTTCCTCGTTTATTATGCCCAAAATTGCTTTCTTGATTCTCCTTTCCCAAGGACCGACTTTATATTCACCCCAAGTTCGGACCAGCATATTTCTAACCGGCCGCAAGAACGATGTTGAAGGGGGATTCCGTCAAAATGGATGCTAACCCGTCGGATGGCCAAAGTCAAGGTCGAGTTCCGTCAATTGAATATGGAGAGGCGAAGCAGTCATTGTCCGGCGAAGCCGTTAACGCCTCCGGGCATAAACAGGAGCTGGAGCGCAACTTCAGCCTAATAAGCATTTGTGCCATTGGGATCACGACGGGAAACTCATGGACCGCAATGGGAGGCAGTCTTGTACTTTGGTTTCGTCTCATTTTTGCAAAATAAAAAAGCCTTCAGAGGGAGGAGATGCATTAGATAATTCTGAAAGGAGTATAATTTCTGACATTTTTTTTCTCCCTCATAATAGAACGTCGCTATTTACAATGGGGGACCACCTGGAGTTATTTACGAATTGTGAGTTTAAGCGACCCAATATCCAGCGGTTGACAATGTGTTTTTTTGACCGTTTCTAACGGGGGATCTTATTCTAGCATTGCCGTCGCGATATGTTACTGGTTAGTTGCAGCCTCCATTGCTGAATTGGCTTCCGCAATGCCCTCAGCGGCTGGAGGTAAGCTACCCCTTGATGACAGAATACCAAAATAATGAATCATTCGCACACAACTAACTGGACGTCGGATCCTAGTGTATCACTGGGCTAGTTTAACAGCAGGACGATATGGTCGTCCGGTAGGTTGGCTAGCTGGCTATTGGAATTTCTTCGCATGGGTATTTGGTGCTGCCTCCATGGCCTCAATTCTCGCCAACCAGACCGTCTCAATGTACATGCTTTTCAATCCGGAGTTAGAACCACAGGCATGGCATATATTTGTCAGTTATATTTTCTGCTCTTGGCTCTGCTGCTGCATTGTGTTGTTCGCCAATAAAGCACTACCGGCCATCAGTAATGCGGGCATGTTCCTTATCATCGCCGGTGTCTTCGTTACCATTCTGGTTTGCGCCATCATGCCCCATGTGACTGGGCGCGGATATGCGTCGAACGACTTTGTCTGGAGGGACTGGGAGAATCAAACAGGCTATTCCAGCAACGGCTTCGTCTTTGTTGCCGGTATGCTTAACGGTGCGTACTCCGTCGGCAACCCTGACATCACCAGCCATGTTGCAGAGGAAATCCCCAGGTACGTATTTCCAACTCAAGCCAGAATTATAAAACCTCTGGGTAACTCACTCTATCCATAACCGCCATTTCATGCTTGCATACTAATCAAACGCACCTCCAACCCACCAGACCAAGTCGCAACATCCCTAAAGCCGTCCTTGCTCAAATGGCCGTAGGCTTCGTCACCGCCATAACGTACATGGTAGCGCTCCTCTACTCCATCCACGACCTCCCCGCCGTTCTCGACAACAAATCCACCTTCCCACTCGCCGAGATCTACCGACAAGCAACTAACTCCCACGGCGGCGCCCTAGGCCTCCTCATCGTCGTCTTCCTGCCCACCTTCATAACTTGCATCGGCTGCTACATCACCGCCGGCCGCACCCTCTGGACCCTATCCCGCGACAACGCAACCCCATTCAGCGGCTGGCTGTCACGCGTCAGCACCGCATTCCACAACCCCTTCAACGCCACGTTTATCTGCGGTTGCATCGTGACGGTCATGGGCTGCATCTATGTCGGCTCGTCGACGGCATTCAGTGCGCTCGTCGGCTCCTTCGTGCAGCTTTCGTCACTATCATACACTGCCGCGATCCTGCCGCACATCCTGAGCGGGCGATCCGCGTTCCGGCCGGGTTATTTCTTCATGCATGGCTGGGTTGGGTACCTCGTCAACGCCGCAGCGTGTCTGTATATGATGGCGTTCATTGTGATATTCTCGTTCCCGTTTGCCCTGCCTGTCACAGCGCAGGATATGAACTACACTTTGCTAATCACGTGGGGATTGACGATTTTCGTTGGGGCGTGGTGGCTGTTTAGGCGGAGGGATTATATAGGGCCTAGAGCGATGCCGCTAACAGAGGTGATGATGGCGAAAGATGCGATATGAGTTCGTTGGTTATTTGTTTAGTTTTTGCTTTTCTTTTATTTTTTAAGAGAAAAAACTCTCTATTCCCATGACCCGAGAATTCGCTCCCCTCCATCAGAGAGGAGTCTCCTTCATTCATGGATAAATATCGATACTGCCTTGGATATACGGCCTTAGAAAATATACTTCTGGTAGGTTAATATGTTGAGAAGGGCGGGGAGGAGAACGCCTTTCCTTCTCTTCCATTCTCGTAGATATTAAGGCCATATCTATTAAATTCGCTTGATATAATTTGTATATACATATATGACCTCAAAGGCTTGTTTCTGCATATTTTTGGAATATACAGTACTATTATTTATACCATCAAAATCTTATAGACCCTTACTCGCTCGTGTTTGTCGCTATTCAGATTTGAATACCGCTCTCTTCTTCTTCTTCTTATTTTCGTCCCCATCTCTTAATGTCTGGTATGGGCAGTTGATGTCAATCCCTGATATTTTACTTGAATGGTATAGCTTTTTTTAATAGTTAATAGATACATACTTGGAAAGGGTGCCTAATAATACCTAAAAAAAGCTTGATCTTCCGCCAAGTCATGATCGAGTTACAGCGACAAAGCTTATTTTCAGGATCCAGGGGTTTTACGCTCTATTGCAGGCGAAGGAAAATAAATAAAGAGTCACTTTTCTCCATGGGCTTTGGTCACCGGATAGGCAGCATGCATGGTTTATGTCTCCGGGGTTTCTCATGGTGATACAACATTGCACTGTTACACATTTGGTCAGATCGTTCGCGGTCTAGACTTTTCTGCTGCTCTTGCTTCCTGGCTTTTTTTTTCCCTTTTGACTTCTTCTTCCCACAGAACCAATTGTGCGAGAGGCGCAATGACAATCGAATTCACTCACACACAGAGACAAAACAGTTCCTGCGACGAAGCCTTGGAATCGTTATTTACCCAATGCGGCTACGTGTCCGGCTGATGATCAAATAGAGGAGCCATTCGATACGGAGCTGACACTCAGAATAAAACAGAATTACCGAACTGGGAAGCCTTGCGCAGTGTCGTTCAAACTGCTGACGGTAAGGCGTGGTGATGAATGATGTGATTGTCCAATACTTTCGGTGCGCTAAGCTCAGGGAAGCACAGGGGGGTACGTATGTTTCCCCCACAAAGACCAGCTCATTCAGCCGTTGTGGTACGGCAGTTTGTCCGGCGAGCGCATCGTAGTTGTGGGAAGGGTCCCTTGCGGCAGGAAACTATTACCAGAAATGAAGGGGCAAAGGTGGCCTGGTCTGTCAGGTAATTCTTTTTGAATGTATCACTCTGTAACAACTTACGGCCGCCTGCGTCGTGGATTCAAGGCCTGGAGTCTCCAGCCATTGATCGACCAGGCGAGTTTGCGCAACCGACGAGTCCCAACAATGATATGCTGCCAGGCTAGCACAGCAGCCAATGAGAACCAGTCGGAGAACCTGTTGCCTCACGCTGCAAATTAAAATAAGACAAATTCTTAGCTTCGCCGGAGCTGACCATCAGATATGCTTCGTCGGGGCACATGGTGAGGATCCATTACGTAAGCCCAACTCGATCAAGAATTCGATGGAATGTAACTAAATATTCGGATGAAGATCGAAAGAGAATTGCCTTCATTCAAGACGAAGAACGGGAAGACAAAAGAATCAAAAGACAATCCTCTCCCTTTTCTATGGTTAGGGCCAGGGGTAAACAGTAAACAAACAATACTTGTAGGAGGTCAGGGGGAAAGCCTGGTCTCGTTTTACCAAGTGGAAGTTCTCTTATGGCCCCTGGATCGTGACCCATGGCTGGGGGCGATGGTTGAGTGACTGCTCTGTCTGTTGGGCACCATGAATGTCACCCTGCAGATCTAGAATTCGGATGCTCGAGTATGACTATAATTCTACATCCGGTATGATACCTGCCTAGCCTAGACAACCGATTCCTGTCGGCAGGAGCACTTAGCGCGGCCGCAAATCCAGGAGGATCTGCCGCGTACGCAGTATATTTCGATATAAATATAACCACCCACCCCCAAGACATGGGTGAGTCTACCTCCTCTTTCATCTTTTCCCTGCTGAGAAATGTTGTGCTGCACAACGCTCATCAAGATGCATAGAGTGCAGGTCTATTCAACTTACTTTTTGTTTGAACATGTTTAAGTAACAAAGTTTTCCCATCTGTGCCTGTTGGATGTGTCTCTCAGCTTTTTGTCGCTTTTCATTCTGTCCCCTGCATAAACTGGCTCAAGTGCTATTTGTTGTTCACATCTCAATATACCAAAGTTTGCTGGGTTCCCATCAAGTGTGGGCTGACATCAACCTGCAGAAGTTTAGAGCCGAGGGGTAAAAAACAAAGAAAACCAGAATAACAAGCTAAGAGGCAAAGGTCCAACAAACAGGGGAAAAAGAGGGTAACAAGGGCCTTGGAGTTGGGTTGCAAAAGCAGGAACTGCATATCCAGCTGGGTGCATTTGACTTGGTTTGAGATATCTCCCGTCGACTCCTGTTATAATCGATCCAGCGACGTCGGTCCTGCAGGAACGAAACAAAAAATAAAGCAATCGCACGGAGCACGAAGGACACTGGCATCAACGACGTGCAGCTATATGATGAAGCCAATTGCCCTTCTTCAGTCTATGTTTCTTGTGCACGCCCTTTGCGCCCCCGCCCTTCTATCAAAAATTGCTCTCTCAGGGGCAGATACTGACCTGGACAAATCCTCCTCATCCACTTTACCATATCAAACTACGGTATATTCTTCGACTGGTGAAAGACAACCCAGGAGAAATTCCTCTGGGCAGAACCTTAGTACGCGCCAACTTAAGCTGCTCAGAGACCTTAGCCTCAACCATATATCCTATCAGGAGCTACAGGAAATAATAAGCTGGCTGAATGAAAAGTGGCCCGCTGCTGACGACCTGATCCAATCCATACAACAACTGGTCGATATTGGGCTTTCAGACTCGCGATCGTCGCCACTGCCTGACCCGCTGTCGGATACCCATGACAAACCACTGCCAACTGCTGTTCTCATGTACCTGGGGAACCAGGTTGGACACAAACAAAGCACCGCACCCAACTCCCGAACAACACTGAACCCCGCAGAATTCGCAGAGGAGCGCCTTACACACGCCCCAATTAGTGCTTCTCTCGAGATCATATACCCACCACAAGAAACATCAATCATATCATCACTCCTTACCATTCCCTTTTCAGCATCACAACCCGCAGCAGCAGCAGCAGCAACTACGGCAACAAACTCCGATAAAAGCCTATTCACCACGCTCAATGCCATGGACATCATCGATGAGCTCATCATCTGGACAGCTGAGAGGCCCTTTTGGGCAGCTCTGTTCTCCATTTATGCATTGGTACTGCTGTTTCTCATCTCCGTCGTGATTGTTGAAGTAGGGGATTTCGTCTGGGCTTTGATTAGCACGAAGATACCGTCATGGAGACGAGTCATCCTATCTGGGCCCGAGAGACGTCTCGTCGCGGTTCCTGCGGCAGAGAATGATGAGAAGCGAATGGGAGTGGACTATGGGTCGTGTTGCGAGATGGATGGCTGATTTATCTTTTCCTTTGTCTTGCTTGGGTAGGGGACTGTTTTTGTTGGAATTGCATATAACCAGGTTTCGGTGTTTTTCTTTTCTTTTCTTCCTTTGTCTGTTCCTTTTCAGCCTTAACATTAGCGATTTCATATCTCTCCTTATGCTCGATTCTGCAGGAGTTAATATTTCTAACGAAGCGATCATATCATCTCTCTACACACCTCTGCATGACTTCTTCTTTAATCACCCGAAACTGGTCCTGAAGTTTGAACCCATTTGCGCCAGGTTTCTCCCACTGTTTGGAGAAGTTAATATAAACTTCCCCCCAGGTATACACTCATGATCCCCCTTGGATCCAGCTAATTGGGCCTTCCCCTCCTCCCCATATCATCCAATGTTCCTTGCCGTTCATTGAATGCTGCAAATCCCCAGTAAAGCCAATCTTAATAAGCCTTACCCAAACCAACGAATAGAAGAGGGTGGCCTAGGTTATTAGAGTATATACCCATCATGGACACGTAGAAGGCAAAAACGCGCTAGAAGCTACCAAGATGGCGGGATATAAAGCACTGGAACGGTCCAATTGTTGACCGGTAAGTTACTCGCAGCGGAAGGAACTTGAAACCGAGAAACCAGACCTCGGCATATCATTTCCTTTCGTTCTTGCTCCTTGCCGGAGCCGGGACAACGCGGGGAGCAAGCCGATCTCGGCAAGCGCTGCCGCAATGCCGAGCCCAATGCCGAGCCCACTGCCGGCGGGGTTTGTCGCCTATCACACGCTCGCAGAGCCGCCAAAACCGGCTTGTTTGTTCTGTGTGGGCGTGGCACAGAAGTCGAAAGGGACGCAGAGCTGGGCTGGACTGGCAATGCTCGGATAAATGCCATCTATCTCATCGTTTAGTACTAGTACGGAGTGGTTTCTTTTCTTTTTTCTATTTTTTGTTTCCCATCTACTGCGGTGAAACAGAGACAGCTGTAGTAATTAATCAATCTACGATTCCACCATGGCGAAACAGTATCAGCTTCCCTTTCAGGTATGTGGATTCTATGATCGAGGCGCTTCCGGTTTTGTGGATGAGGAAGAGCTAGAACCATTAAGAACTTGAAGTCGTTGCTGACGGCTCGCTGGTGGCTTGCATGCATAGCTGGATGACCCAACTCTGCTGCACTTCGACTCCTTCATCAACAACGAATGGGTTACAGCAACCGATGGCAGCAGATTTGAAGTCTCCGGTAAGGCTTACCTTTCATCTAGTGACAAGGGAAGAGACTTGAAAATTTTTGGCTAATTACTGGCATACTACTGTCACACTGCAGACCCAGGCACCTCGCTACCATGGGCCAGCTGCCCCAATAATTCCGCCATCGATGTCCCGAAGGCCGTCGAATCCTCCCATGCCGCTTTCGAAAAGTTCAAAAAAGTAAACCCCCGCATCAGAGCTCAGCTGCTGATGAAATGGGACGGTCTGATCCGCGACGCACGGTCGGATCTAGCCAAAATCCTCACCCACGAGACTGGAAAGCCAATTGCGGAGGCGTACAGCGAAATCGACTACGCCCTAGGCTTCACATGGTGGTTTGCAGGCGAGGCAGAGAGAATCCAGGGTGGAATTGCCATCCCCTCAGCAGCCAACAGACGTGTATTTACCATCAAGCAGCCCATTGGTGTCGCGGCGGCATTGATCCCATGGAACTTTCCCATCGCCATGGCATTGCGAAAGGCCGCTGCCGCCTTCGCCGCCGGCTGCACAATGATCATCAAGCCCAGCCCCGAAACACCAATTACAACTCTCGTTATAGCCCATCTCGCCCAAAAGGCCGGCTTTCCACCTGGCGTCCTCAACGTCTTGACTACCGACCTGGATAACACCCCCGCCCTCAGCGAAGCGCTCTGCAAGCACCCCCTCGTCAAGAAAGTGACGTTCACCGGCTCCACGCGCGTTGGAAAACTAATTGCCGCCCACTGCGCCCCGGGCCTGAAAAAAGTCACCCTGGAACTGGGCGGGAACTGCCCCTTCATCGTCTTCGACGATGCAAACCTCGAGCAAGCCCTGGACCAGCTCATGGCTCTCAAATGGCGCCATGCCGGCCAGGCCTGCGTCACCGCCAACCGCATCTACGTCCAGAGCGGCGTGTACGAGAAGTTCAGCCAGATGCTCAAGGAACGAACCAGCGCCCTTGTCGTGGGCCATGGGGCCAATCCAGACACCACCATGGGCCCAGTAACCACCCCACGCAGTCTCGATAAGGCTTCTAGCCAGGTCGAGGACGCGGCTAAACTGGGTGGGAAAGTAATTTTGGGCGGCGGTCGGAAAAGGGACTGTGGCGGCGGCTATTTCTTTGAGCCTACCATCATTACGGATATGAAGGCGGATATGTTGATCTCGCGTGAGGAGACGTTTGCGCCGATCGCGGCTCTGTATAGGTTTGAGACGGAAGAGGAGGCGGTGAAATGGGCAAATGACACGAGTATGGGCTTGGCGAGCTATGCGTTTACGAAGAATGTAGATCGTTTGTGGAGGATGTTGGAGAATCTGGAGGCGGGCATGATCGGGTTGAATACTGGTATGTTTTGCGAGTGCTTCTTTTTTATTTTATTTATTTATTTATTTTATTTTTTTTTTTTTAAAAAATTTCCTTTTTAGAGCTTCTGTTCTTGCTAACCACAGGGTAAAATATAGGTAACTCATCTGCTGCGGAATCTCCATTCGGTGGCATCAAAGAATCTGGGTATGGCAAGGAGAGCGGCAAGGACGTTGCTGTTGCGGAATATTTGATCACCAAAACCGGCACTTTTACCGTGGAGGGCCAGTACTAGCATTGAAGGAAAGCAAAACCACACACAATATACACTGTAGCTATTACAAAGGGTTTGCTTTCTGAATGGTCTGAGTGAAAACGTGTAATAGAGTTGCCAGATACCGCTTCCACAGCTGATGATAATATGCGATGATTTGAATATAGTTAAATCGGGCCGCTGGCGGGGCGGGGCTCTTTTCGTACATGTGTCAATCCGGGTTCTACTGTCATTATCTCTAGTCCTCTTCAAGCCAGCTAGGGACAGTTGACGCATCACACCCCTAGCAATAGATAGTGGGCGTTCAAGCAGTCAAAGCATATTTTTGCGCCCCTTCCCCCCCTCTCTTCCCCCGCGCCCCTTTTTTTCCCTTGGTCTTTCAGAGAAGCGAATTTATCAAAGGAAAACACGTTCCTCATGTAAATACAGGTATGCCCAACAGCCCGCACGTACCCGTATCTTTCAAACGCAGGCATCGAATTCGCAGACGCCCACTGCATCAGATTTTCACGAGCGGGTCCTTCGCGGATTCGTGAGGGGTTTCCCCATTTCTACTCTATACAATCGCAGTGGCAGTTAGTATGCCAAACTTCACAGCTATCCTTCGCGTACTAGTATTTAGTAACCGTCACGTTATTTGTATTAGAGTTAGTTGGTCCACGGGAGGCTTTCGAGCGGGGAGAACCTTAATCGGCCTGGCCAATTGGATGAAACCAGGTTGAATGGGGCTCAACGAACAACAACAACAACAACAACAACATCGCGGACTTTTGGAGGCCTTTGTTGTTCATGGAGAACTGATAGGGCTTAGCTGGCGCCGTGGCAGTGCCATTACACCTTGGTGGTTAGAGGTGGCATTTCGATGCGAAGAGGTTTCTTCTGAAATAGAATTTTTTCTTCATTTTTTTTCTTTCCTTTTCTTTTATTTTTTATTTTTATGTTTATATTGGGGGGGGAGAATGTTTCACTGCAACCGGTGCTTCTTGATAAAAAAAACAGTCAATTCAGTATTAAAAGACAGTTATACGTCATTGCAACCAAGATCTCAGATACGAAGTATGATCCTAAGCTTGATATCTGGAAACGCGACAATGAAGGAGTTATCCAAGAATAGACGCGTCCTTTGTAGTTCTGTCTCATCAAATTTTCGTTAAGGGACATCAACGAGCTGAAGCCTTTCTATGGAGAGTTGTAGCTAGTAGCAAAGCCGATCTGACGGGATAGGTCTCGCTTGGGGAGAAATTTGCTGTTTTTGAATAGTTTTCCATTCAACACACTGTTTGTAGGATTGTATACGAGGAATCTGGGATGGAGGCCCAGCGCCACCAGTTATTTCAGCAGTCTGACTGAAACTTCTCCGATTTACTTTGGAAAGTTGTCTCCAACGTTAATTTCCTCCGATAAGTAGTCCTTTTTTACCCTGGGCGCTTCGATATCTGACAACAACCTGATCAGATCCTTGCCTGATGGAGACACAAGAAATGCGAATTTTCTAACGTATCCTGGCAATAATTTAGTGAGTTGACTCTATCTCTGCTAGTCAGGGTACTAAAAAAGCATCCAAGACAGGCATCTAGTTTCAGAATGTCTTTGATTCAACCTCGACAACAGAGACAGAGGAACTCCGATGTGTTTCTCTCTACCATCAATCCGGACTTCTCCGTCTCTGTTCCGCAGCTAGCAAACACTGTATGCGAGGTTCAAGCGATGAAAGAAATGGGGACTCTGAAGTCACACCGGCGCTTGTGCCTTCCGGTCCGAGACTGCTCGGGCCAGGCGATCCCTGCTCCACCGGTGCTTACTCCCCGCCAGAGATGGTAGTCGCATTTCGTATACCAGTCCGCATGAAGAAATATCAACGACGCCCGTCATCGGCCCCTCACGTTTGGGACGGTTTTATACAGCGTAAGACCTCTCCATACTCCTATACTCCTACAACTCCCAAGACCTCCTGCGCATTCCCTGGATCTCCTAGATCTCCTAGAAGCCTCACCGGTACGGTTCAAAGGCCACCTCTATATTTAATTCTATTTTGACTCAGGAAACTGGCAATCGTACGCTCGTTTAATCACTCCTATTCTTCCATGCAAATGGCAGACGAAGCGGCTTTGCGACACCTCATCTTTGACCATCCTATCATCGACAATCATGCTCACAATATCCTCAAAGCAGACAGCGCCTCCAATTACGACAGGTACCCTTTTGAAACTATTACCTCAGAAGCCCAGGGCGAATCTTTAGGGAGTCACGCTGCCAATTCTCTTGCGCTAATCAGAGCTGTCAACCAGCTAGCAGAACTATTCGGATGTGCGCCCGAATTAAGCGCCATCAAGTCCGCAAGAGAAAAGGAAATCGAGAACGATTATGACGGTCTGGTCAAGAAATGCCTCACGGGGACTCATATGTTGTTGATAGATGATGGCTTGCCTGAAGGAGACATGGAGTTATACTCATGGCACGACCAATTCACCAATGCAGCCTCGAAAAGGATCGTCCGCATTGAGGCCGTCGCCGCCAATATAATTGAAAAACTGCTGGAGACCCGGAACATTTCCCGAAAATCCCTGCTCTCGGCAGAGCTAAAGAGCGCCAAAGATTTCTGGAATGCGTTCCGAGATAGCTTTAGCGCGGCGATAAAAAACGCGTTGGATGATCCTGCCGTTGTTGGTTTTAAATCTGTTGTCTGCTACAGAACCGGCCTCAAGATCCGGAAAGGCTCCGCAGAAGCACTATTTGCTAGCTTCGAAACTTACTTTCGACACTTTGTGGAAACTGGGGAATCCAGAATCCAGAACAAGCCATTGAATGATTATCTCGTCATATCTGTTCTTGAGCATATATCCCAGCAGTCAAAGGAGTCGAGAAAACCAATCCAATTCCACACAGGCTTGGGAGATTCCGATATAAATTTGCTACGGTCAAACCCAGCCCACCTTCAGAATTTGATTGAAGAGTATCCCAATGTTGATTTTGTGTTGCTACATTCGTCATATCCATACACTCGAGAAGCAGGGTACTTGGCTAGCATATATGCGAACGCGTATCTAGATGTTGGTGAGGTCTTCCCCATGACCAGCCGAGATGCTCAACTCTCCATCCTCCGACAAAGTCTGGAGTTGGTCCCCAGCACCAAGCTCCTTTGGAGCACGGATGGGCATTATCATCCAGAAACATTCTGGCTTGCGAATAAGCAGTTTCGGCAAGCTTTATACACGGTAAGCAAAGGCCGATCCGGGTATCAATTTCGTTAACAGCTTGGTCATTTTCCGTTAACTAGCTACTCCACTAGATTTTTACGGAATATGTCTACCATGGGGATTACACATATGGCCAGGCCATGGAAGCTGTTCGGGATATATTATTTTTCAACTCCAACCGGCTCTACAACCTCAAGCAATCGCCGGATAGTCCCGATTTCGGTCTCAAATATCTTCAAACTCGAGACTTGAGTCCGGCAGTATTTCAAACAGCGACCACACCCACACCAGAAGATATACTTAAAAAGTTCCTTCATAAGAAGTCTGTGGACTTTATATGGATGCAATGGGTTGACTATACTGCCACTGTGCGTGTTCGAATGTTTCCAATCCGGCAATTTAAGAAAATTGTCAGTTCAAAACACAAAGTGGGAATCTGTTTGGCTGTTATGATCATGTTGCAGAACGACCATCTCGCATCCCCTGAACCTTTGTCCACCGGCGAGTTCATTCTAACACCAGATGTCACTACTTTATGTCGGAATATTGGACTCTCCTCACGCAGTGCAACGGTTATGACATTCTGGAAAAATCAAGACGGCGGTGAACTTGAAGGGTGTCCTCGAACTATTCTTCAAAATACTGTTAACAAATGCCAAAGTGAGTATGGAATTAAAACGCTTGTGGGGTTCGAGATAGAAGTAGTCTTCATGAAGATTTCTAAGGAGGGTAGTTCTACCTCTTACTCCCCTTGGTTCACTAATCACTCGTGGTCAAACATCACCACGGAAAATGTTCAGGCCTTGCCAATGATTGAAAAGATTGTCGATAAACTAGCAGATATAGACATCCACCTCCAGCAGTTCCATGCTGAATCTGGCCCCAGTCAATTTGAGTTTATTTTACCACCGTCTACACCACTTGCTGCCTGTGATACTCTCATCCAGGCCCGACAAACTATCACTGACGTTGCTGCGCAATATGGGGTGCGAGCCACGCTTCACCCTCGCCCAATCCCTAACGCTGCAGGCACTGCATCTCACACCCACCTCTCGATTACACCAACTACCTTCAAAGACAACTTCCTAGCAGGGCTACTCCAAAATTTACCATCGGTTTCACCTTTTACATTGCCACAAGATGCCAGTTATGAACGAATTGCGGAAGGAATCTGGTCAGGCGGAGTATGGGTAGCTTGGGGGTACCAGAATCGCGAAACGCCCATTCGCGAAGTGTCTTCGGGCCACTGGGAGTTCAAACCCATGGATGGATTGGCCAATCCGTATTTAGCAGTCGCTGCAATTATTGGCTCAGGATATCTCGGCATTAAAAATAGGATGCCGTTGACAATCAAGGGGTGTAATGGTATCATATTTCCCTCTTGTTTTCTGCAATTGAATTCCATCGCCTGCCCTGCTTTCTTGGTTGCAATTGCCATCAGGCATATATGGAACAGCATTAGCTGACTCTCATTCTCGAAAATCTAGTTAACACCGCGGCGCTCTCTCTGTCCCAGCGGGCAGCTCTCTCAATCACAACCCGCATTCCCTCATCGCTAGAAGAAAGCCTCAAAGCTCTTGAATCTAATGTTGAACTACAAACTCTTTTGGGCCCAGATTTTGTCAGGCGGTACGTATGCGTTCGACGAGGAGAACAGAAAATGCTGAACGCGATGGACAAGGAGCAGAGGCGGAATTGGTTGATTGAAAGGTATTGACTTGAGATTTGATATAATCCCAACCATTCGAGGTAGAATTGGGTTATTTTAATTTTCCTTCCCTTTCGTAAAGACGTTTTCTGTTTTCCGTTTTCGGTGTGCGTTCGTGGCTTTCCCTAAGACGCCTTGCTATCAATACAAGTAATGTCCTGTCTATTTCTATTTTTATTGTTCATTTTTAACACTTTTCCTTAAAATTCCAGCATGAATTCGTGGTTAATGGAAATTCCCAGCTAGCGTAATCAAGTTAACAGCATTGGTATCAGTGTCTAGCTAGAAGTTGTGTTAATGAGATTCTATTATTACTAGCTTTTCCTTATTTTTTTGAATTTTGAATTTTTTTTGGTGTGTCTGTTCGGAGAATCTTTAGTCCTTTCGACAAAACATGAGAAGAAAAATAAAATAATTTTAATTTCATTGCACATTTTCTCGAATAGTTGATCGTTGAAGTCAGTGTATTGAATATATTCCCCCAAAACGGTTCCCGGAGCGGGCGGAAATTAATTAAGGCTTGGCGCTGTTGGCGCTTTCCCGCTCCGCTCCGCCCAGCACTAACAAAGGTTCATCATGGGGGGAGAGGAATATTTAATTCTAGTCGGGTGCTCATCATTACTAGGTTTTATGACGTATATGATCCGGGTAGATAGAATCCTAGCAGGCCCCGTCATTTTACTCTATCCCGTTATTTCTCTCGTAAAGAAAAGTACAAAAAGAAAAGAAAAAAAAATTAAATAACTCTATATTGGTAGCAATATTCACAGAAGAATCTTTTAAAAAATCTGTGTGTAGCTAGCTACTCAAAATTTGCATTCACAATTTAAAATCGCGAGTGGAAAAAAGAGACTGGAACGGACTACGTATGCATGTATATGTTCCTTAGCAGCCATACACTAGGCGGACGGCACAACCCCCGCTCCCCGCATCCGTATTTTTGCTTCCCCCTTCTATTTTGATCCAAGATTGCAATGCACGTACAAAACAGCCACCCAGTAAAAAGCCTTCAACCGAAAGCAATGCACCATGTATCCATAACAAAAGACAAATAAGAGAAGGAACATGTAGAAGCGCATCATAATCTAATCAATCGTCGAGGGTAAGACAGAAAATGGAAAGAAAAATAAATAAAATAAATAAACATAGCGCATATACCTATCTGCAATGTAGATAGGAACTTGAAAACATGTTGAACATCATGTCTTGATCATAAAAAAAGAGAAATTTTGTGGAATGTAGGCTGAGACATTAATTGTATCACCCACTTTCTCACAATGTTCCGAAAAGAAAAAGGTCAGGATTTAATCCTGACCTACACAGTATGCGGGTAGGTGTATGGTAACCTCCAAAAAACACCTGTTTAAAATTTCTCCATCAACCGCCTGCGGACAGTCCACATACGAGCCCTTTTCCCGTAAATATACAACGGAATAGAGGAGAGCATGCAAGCAATATGAATCCCACCCAAACAGACGAAGACATCCCGTGCCCCATCTGATTTGAGCCATTGAACAAAGAACAATGAAAATACGAAACCATGCAATACATCTATCATTGGAATAATGGTTAGCAATGGGGCTACGTTGGTTGCCAATGGAATGGCGTACTCGAGATAAAAAATTTGGTCGGTAACTTACTTTTGCTGAAATTCAGTGTAACCAGAGCCTCGCCTGCATACTGACGGTAGCTATCGACGCAAAAGGTAATGGCTGTCGTGCTTCCCACAGAGCATCCAAAGGAGAGAATGCCAAAGAAGACAGTTGGTACGATCCACCGATCCCTTTCCTGAGCGCTCCACCCAAATCCCATCAGGCCCATGGCGGTGGTCAATGTAATTGGCACTGCCATAACAAGCCGAAATTCAGGTTCATAAATGCCGCCATTTCGACGTGTCATGAACCGCACCACTACGTCAGAAAATTTGCCTGCCACCACCGTGCCAACGATACCGCCGACGAAGGGCGATATATATATGAGACCAGTGCCCAGAGCGGAAAAATTATAAGTTTCCCTATCCCGAAAGATTTCTGCCACGGCTTCCGATAGGACGATCAACCACCCAACGGATAGGGCGTAGACCATGGCCGACCACAAGACGGCAGGGTAGGCGAAAAGGATAAATGGACGGACCAAGACACGCAGCCACTTATCTTGTGAAAGCCGGCCGTGGAACAGTTGAAGAGAGTGGGAAAATCCCAGAGGAGGACTGGTCTGGAGATTTCTAGTGTAAGGATGGATTGGAGGAAGGGACGAAGCATATGATGCGGCTGAGGTGGTTGAGGTATCCCGACGAGGTATAGGACGAGCGGTAGGACGAGCGGCTTCAATATCAGAGGTTTTCTCCTGTGGTTTTGGTTCATTCTGCGCACTAGTTTGGTCATCAGGAGCAGCCGGCACGGTAAGTTGCGAATAAGAACCCTCTCTTCTGTTTCCACTTTCTTTTGATGTTTGCTCGCAGGAATTGCGACTAGATTTCTCGTTAAGCTCATCTTCCCCTTTATCGCCAAGGGGAACTTCCGCAAAGCCGACATGAGCATCTTTGCGCTTTGACAATGCTTCCGGAGAGAGCATTGCATTTTGGTCCTTTTCTACAGCAGGAGTGACAGTGTTAGTGGCTAAACCTCGACGTCCCGACGTAAGGAGATCAGAAAGGCTCCGGCGAGCGACAGGGCGTTTTTGACGACGATGCGGGGTCCGGTCCCAGAAGCTCTCCGGGACAAATAAAAACACCAAAATAAGCCCAAATCCAGTCGTAATGGCCACAATCCTGTAAAGTAAGCTAGGTGTCGTTTCACTATGTAGAAGGAGAAAGGAGGACTCACCAGAATACCCAACGCCAGCCTAAACTCTGTGTGATCGCCGCACTAACCAACGGGACCAAGTTTTTGCCGCCCAATAAGAGGAGAGTGTAAATTCCGACTCGATACGCGCGCTCATGCAAAAAGAAAATTTCTGCGATAGTAGCAGAGGGAAGGCATTCAACAGGACTGACCGCAACGCCCTGGAAGATTCGAGCGAGAAGCAAGCTCACAAAATTGGGAGAAACAGCGCACCAAACAGCTGAAACAATGAACAGAGCAGAGCCCAGAAGATAAATTGGGCGTTTTCCATAAAGAATTGCTGTGGGAGACATCACCACTGAGCCAAGGCCAAGTCCCAACATGTATAGGCCAGTGGTCAGAGCAACCTGGTGTGATGTGATACCAAAAGTTTCCGAAACATCGTTGTATGCAGCTGCTAGAATGGGCGTCATTCCTCCTCCAAGCATGGAGTAAAAGCCCAAGGATAGAAGGGAAAGATCCCGACGCCAAGAAGGCCAATTAAGTGGATCGTTCAGCGAATCATCTGGCTGAGGATCCAAGACGATGGAGCCGTCAGCCGTCCGTTTCATTTGGGGAACATGTGAACGCGAGGATGCCCGAGACGGCGGGTAGGGAGACGGAAAAGACGATGCTGATGTTCTTGCAGGTTGTTGTCGAAGTCCAAGCGGCTCATTTCGGTTGGAGGAGAGGAGAATGACAGTTCCTGTATATTAAAAATTGGAGTTCAGCATAGTTATCTGAAAACCTACGTGGAAGCCACTTTCCGCACTCGACAGGGATCTAAAAGCTTACCAGGCACTTCATCAGTCTCCTTATCATTTAAAACACCGAAAGACCACTTCTCCCGCTCTGGTTGATAGTCATTTGATCCATCCGACCTATCCTCATCACTGCTCTGCATTCGTAATATTTTTTTCCATTTCACTCTATTCAGCACGGGGGAGTTGGAGCCGTTGCTCTTATTACTCCCCGGACTTGCATCAACGTTGTCATTATCACTGGACGGTGCTGTGGAAGAACGGGGAAATGTAGTTGGATCTGCCGACATGAGGGATCTAGCGAATTCGGTTTGTTAAGCCTCGCGTCTCGGAGCCGCAATGTGCCTTTCTCAACGCCTGCGTGAAACGATGCGTGGAAGGAGGTAGGCAAGAAAGGCGGACCGGAGGGGGTTTGAGGAAATTCACCCTTTAATGAACCCTGGATGAGAAGAGAAGAGAAGAGAGGACATTCACAAGATCTATTTATTTATCTCACAAACAAGATGTTCATTGAGGGAAGAAGCGTGAAAGACTAAATAAAGAAGCCAATTTAGCCAGACTGGTAGGAGTTTGATGAAAACCTTATATACCCACCCCACAAATGCAACAAGGAACAGGCGAATTAAAAAAACTGGATTATCCGAAGGAAATATAGAAGAGGGAGAGAAAAGGACAGGTAGTGGAAAAGGTGCGGGCGGGCTCATATAAGGTCATGGCGTAGAGGAATTCGCCCCAACCCAAGCAAAAAGCCAAAGTCCACGTTGAAGTTTGGATGTTGCAGGTTGAATGGGAGAGCTGCGGGAGCTTTGACAGGACATTAGCGACATGCGCTAGAGACTTGGCGTGTACCTCCCCATGCAGCAATCGTTCACACTGTTTCAGGTATCCACTCAGTACCCCAGCCACAGTCGAAATGTCCTCGTCCATGGCCCCTCACCAGCTTTCCCCCATGGCACCCATTGCCCTGTCCTAGCGGAACGGCCAATCTACCGGAAGCAGGTAGTATAAATCTTTCAATTCGCGTCTTGCCATTGCTGCCATTGCTCCCATGTTTGTTGAATGATGTCAACTTGCCGAAGGCCCAGGTTATCAATCAGCATCGAGCGGAATCTGTGCTTGCCAGCGACGATCCACCGCTGCACCCAAGCTCCAAGTTTTCGCGCATGCTGTCCGCGTGCAAGGCAACTCGAGAGAATGGCGTCATGGCTGCTCTTGGGCCCTGCAGATGAGGCACCTAAATGGCTGGCGGAGGTTGCGCTGACGCCTTGGCAGGACAAGCCTACTCGCGCCGTTGCAGCCGCGGAGGAGGGACATCTCCGTCGTTTGGTGTACCCAGTTATGCATAGCGATGCACACAGTGGGATCTCTTACAAGGAGGAGAGGGGCTGTTCTCACCGCCATGCGCTGATTTGCCATCCACATCTTGGTGGACAAAATATTCATTTTGTTGCTACAGCGTGATCCGATGACTGGCGACAAGCAGGGACTATCACTGTCGCTGGCGCAGACCGGGGAATGCAAGTGTCGCCCTTGTCATCTGATGGAGATGTTGAAACTGATGCGGTCATCATGCATCTGCTAGAGTTGGCCCTGGTCGAATTGCTCGATATTCATTCGCTTGTGTCGGGATGATCGAACATCACAAATATATCGTCCTTCTGCGCAAGTCACGCATCCCTTTTATTTTTTTTTTTAGAAAAAAAAAAAAAAAAATCCACCTTCTTGGATAGCTTTCTTGAAAACTTTCTCCCGTTATCTTGATAAGGGATTGTCAACTCCATAAGGCGAACGAAGACGGGCCTGGCCCACTATTATATACTTCAACCCCACCATGTTATGCTGCATACTGACATGACCTCTATGAATTAGCAGAATTCCTTAGATGTGCGTTTTCTGCTTGTTTCTTTGAAGTATTTTTTTTCCCCCTGACTTCTCAAAAGCCATGGTGCCCTGCGTCTTTGTTCACAATACATTTCCTTTCAATATTCACCACCTGATAAGGATACCCAAGCCATATACGCCGACAATGCGGAAATCACGAGTGTGTTTGCTCCAGTGATATCCTAGATATGAGCCACAGGAGGGCTTAGCGATGCCTCTAAGAGATATATACTTCTTAAGTCTTGCTCGATGGGTCCAGTGTCCTCGCATCACGGTCGGCCGCGAGTGACCTCGAGATCAACACCAACATGACTCTCTCAGGGGAAAATGACTATGGGCTCAGGATGCATGATTACTTCCTTGTTAGTCATGAACTGTTGTCTGATATTACTATATGTATATCATTTTACCTTAATCCTTCTGATTATGCTGCTGACATTCCAAATATGCCTATATATAATACACCTCCGTTATATGTTCATGCTCGCTGCGATGCAATGCAAACTACAGCCATCTGTTCCTCAAGTGGGCCACCCAACTGGGACGAGGATTTATAGTCATTCACTGCACCTATATCCAGGCATATAGCTACTCAGGAAATTCAGTTCCCATTCCCGATCACTCTCCCTTGCGCATAACATACATATACCACAGATTCCCCCCTCCAGCACACATATATCTACATATATATCACGCCATCAAACTTATGGTTTCTCAAATTATACAAGGTTGAATAATACACTATCGCGTATGCCTCCCGATGCAAGTGAAATGGCTGGCTTCTATCTTCCAAATATCCTTCAACGGAAAACACCCCCACAGGCAAATGGAAATTCTCCACCTCAGGCTGAAATGATAGAGAGGGACAGTCCGCAACATGGTAGCCAACAAACGGACTCGCAAAATTTCCCCAACCCAGATGGCCATAAGTCGTCATGGCCATCTAAATACTTTGCATCTGCATTCGCTACCCGTTATGGAGCAACCAAATCTGCAGCCACTTTACCATCCATCACTTCCGAGGCCACTGCCAGCCAAGCAATCAATCTTCGCACCAGAATAAGCAGAAACAGCAACAATAACAATATATGCAAACTCCCAGCTTCAGTAAAACGAAAACCCTCCGATTCCCCCTGTAGAACCCCGACAAGAAACACAGACCTTCCAATCCCAACCATAATCCACCCCAGCACTCCCATATCCCCATCTCCCTCTCCTGTCCATTCCTCCCCAACCCGCGCAAAACCCCACTCCACCCTCCGCCCGTCGCAAAGAAGGTCAATTCTTAAAGTAGCTGCAGACGACAGCGACCTGCGACAAGAGGAATTATACCGCCAGTATACCTCCCAATCAGACACCCGGGCCAACACATCGCGAAACGTAATCCTAACGCTCAGCGACTCCTCGGCCCGAAATGATACCAGCCCGCTTCTACCACCCTCCAAACAGATGTCGCCAACAAACCCGCCGGTCGTTGCGGGTGACATATATACTATCCATTCCGCGCTTGGTGATCGGGAAGCAGAACCTGAGCCTGAGAGATGGGATGGCTACGTGGATGAGAGTGGCGGGCCGGGAAGTAAAGCTTCTAGCAAGAGTGGGAGGTCATCAAGCTCCGTACACTCCGAACGCGAGAATTCTCAGGAAAGGAATAAGAAGAGGAGGAAGAAGGAAAAGAAGGCGAAGAAGAACAAGACCGTGCGCTTTGACCATATCGATGTTCATATGTATGAGGTTGAGCGGGGTGAGGAGCCTCGCTTTCGTTTTTTTGGTCGTCGAGGCGGGGGAGGTGGCGCAGAGGGATTTGGGAATGGAATTGCGAATGCGAATGCGAATGCGAATGTAGATGGGAATGGAAGTAGGCGAGGTCGAGGTGCTGCTTTCAGTGAGAGTGATCTTGATATTGACCGTAGGGAGTATGTGATGGATATCCCAGATGTTATTCAAGGGTGAATCTGGAAGCGAATGGGCTGTGTTGGGGGTAGAGGCAGCACCGCCCGGAAGCAGAGAGGTCTTTCATTTCTATTCTTTCTCTGATTTTTATTTTTTTTAATTTTTTTTTACTGTCCTTTTTGTGTATGTATTCCTATATCTGTACTTATTTGATACTTGGAAAGGGGGATTCTGTAACACATACATGTACTATTACATCTTACAATTTACAATGAACAATATCAAACAAAAGAACAAAGAAGAAATGAAAAGAATGAACAAAGCAACCTACATACACACATACATATACACGGACACAGACACACATGCGCACACATCATGCTTTCTTCACTGTAAAATACCCATCGTCCCCTCGAGTAACCAGGCCCGCGGATGACCATGAAGTCGTAGCAGAGCTCGGGTAGCCAAAACTAGATCCGAAGTTAGAAGTCAATTCTCCACGCTCCAACACTCCTCCCTGGAAGCTCCCAGATGGTGTACTAGCAGCGACAGGCGAAGTAGGAGACGTGGCCAGCATCATTGGCGTCACAGGAGGCCGGAAATCGATCACGATCCTAAGCTTTTCGAAGCAGAGCTCCTTGAGCTGATCCCAGGTCGCTCCATTCTCAACAGCCAAGCGGAAGTCTTCGACTGTCTAGCCGTCGAAGACCTGTTTTTTGCCTGTTGCCTTTTAAAGGCAGCTTCTGAGAGATTTTCGCATTAGGGATGTTAACAGCTACCTTAGCAGCATTCCCCTGTTCTTGGAATTCATGGTTTTCATGAATCGCATCGCTCATCAGCCCAGTCCCGAGCATTTTCGACATAAGCTTGGGGTTTCTCCCAAATTTCTCTTTCTTCCAAACACGTGCAAAGTCTGTCGTGGGATACAGGTCCGGGTACAGAGGAATAACACCCTCTGGCAAATACATATGCAAAAACGCCTGCGCTGTGACTAGTGCAGTCTTCTCGCACACGGAGTCTCTCTGGCAGATGGGCACGACGAAGTCGGTGATATTAGGGAACCCATCCAGTCCCAGCGCGGCGGTAGTGTCAGGGTACTTCCAGTTACCACCTACATATTTGGCCAGCTTCATGACGATGTCGCGGAGAATCTGAAGACTGGAGCTGGAGGTATTGCGGTCTCGTTTGAATGAAATAGGGGAGTGGAAGAGGGAAGTTGCCTTCGTTGCGGTTCCAGGGCAGATGGCACAGCGGAGATCCGCTGCGTCCAGCATGGCTTGTTCATGAAATGCTGCGATGCGTTGGTAGCACTCGTACTCGTGCTGGTCTGGATCTCTGTAACCAGTAACCATCTCTGTAGGCCAGTTGGAGGTGAAAAGGAACATGTTCAGGCGGCCGTGACTGGGTGCTTCTTTGGGATCGACGATGGGAATGCCGCAAAACACGACAAGACGAACTGGTTGCATGTTCTCCAGACTCATATGACGTGAAAGAGAAGCTCTATCGCGTTTCTTCGGGGAGGCTTGCTCGTTCTCTGTATCATCGTCAGTACCATCGTCGTTGTCCTTGGCATCGCCGTCACTCCGATCCATGTCATCCTCCCAGACACTGTAGTCAATCGCTGCGCTTTTGGTTGATAGGAACTTAGCACTATATCTCCTTTGACCATTTTCCAAACCTTTCAGAATTCCCTGCACAAATGAGTCGATAGCCTTCTCCACGATGTTCTGACACTCCCCATCCGGTTCGCAGACAGGCACCGCCAGCATATTCACAAATGGATGCATCTCCTCATCACTCATGCCTTCAGTTTTCTCCACAATACCAATAGCCTTCTTAGCCATCTCATACGTCTCAAATTCCTCTACCAAACGCGCAATAGCCATCATAAGCCTACGCATCCAAACCCCATCCTTTAACATCTCATAACCATCCAACGAACAACAAAGTGGACGATACACCATAGCACCCACCTCACGTGCCTTTCCTTTCCCTTTGCCTCCATAACCATCGGTTCCTTCGCCACTACTGCTGCCACATCCAGCACAACCCCCATCACACAACTTCAAAATCTCCTCATTGAAACCCGCAGCCAAATATGCTAACTCCTGAAACTGCGGCAACCCGCTTTCCACACTTTGGCTTGGATGAGAAGCATGATTCATTTCGGATTTTCCCTTTCCCTTGCCCTTCCCCTTCCCTTTGCCTTTGCCTTTACCTTTCTTTTTCCCAGCCTGCACCAACACGGGTCTGCCACACTGTTCGAAAAATTCCGTGTGTATGGCAGCATTGTCAGTGAAAGCGACGTGCTTAAGGAGCTTGCGGGACAGATCCGGTTTCCCATAGAACACGTTGAAAGTGATTGCTGTCTCACGCTTGCGGTCTCGGGTTACTTGGGTGATTTCGGTGTCCAGGATTTTGTCTTCATCTATCTTGGCTGGGTTTGGGGTTGATTGCCGGCGGCGCTTGAAGAAAGAAGGTTTTGGCATCGTGTCTCCTCTTCCTTTTGGATTTCTTTTGTCTCTGTTCTCAAGGCACCAGCGCAAGGCTCTTCTTTTCCTTCGTTGGAGTCGATTGTAACTGGATGAGCTTCTCCTTTTCAACTTGTGTTTTGTACGCGATTTCCGTTGATTGACTGTGGGTAAAAATGATATACGACGTGCATTGGCCGAAGTAGAAGGTTGAGACACGTCGTAGGTCATAAACCAGGCATGCAGCTTGAAGCAGGTGTAAACAAAACAACACAACAACAGAGAGACTGTGTTGATGAGTGCCGAGTATGATTTTAGAAATGAAACTAGGAGTGTCATGATTGAAATGGTGCTTGGATGGAAGGATTTAATCACGCTCTCGGGCAGGAAATGCTCTTGTGTGCAAGTGAGAGTATTCAAGGGAAATGCACAGTGAACAACCCGCAAGAAATTGGGTGGTTTCTATACTCACTTGGGTTGCTTTGAAAACCAAGAACCTCTGGTTGCTTTGGGAACACAAAGGGGAACAAACCTCAACCAATGAGGATAACTTGGCAAACATTATAAGAGGAGTGAAAGAATACCATAGAGACAAAAATAATTTTGTCCTGCAACAACACCGCGCACTAGGCAATTGATGATGATGACTTTTGTCATAGATACCAGCCATTTGATATGGCATGAATATATATTACAAGACATAGGATATTTTCATAGCAGAAGAAATAGAGAAAGAAACGGGCTGCCATGGAGCATCTTTTTTCAAACAAGGGAGAAAATACTTGCAAGCAAAGACCAAAAAAGAAAAATAAATAGATATATTAAAATGGGTTAAATAATATACTCTTGCAAGAAGGCAAGGAAGAAAAATAGGCCACGCCAGCATGTGAGTTGATTACCGTCAAAATAGCAGAATCCCATCTAGATGTCAGATGATAACTTGCTTATTCTCCGTTGGAGGGATATGGAAGCAAGAAATCTATAAAGGGATTCTTTTTCACGAGCCCAAAGGAAGCAAGAAAGAAAGAAGAAAGTAAATATAGACAGCCAAGAAAGTCCAAGTTAGCGGTGCATCACCGCGGAAATAATACAAGGAAGAAAAAATTAAGGTCAAAACAAAATACCTGAAGTATTAGAAGCGTGCCACAAAAGGGGAAAGAAAAAATTGTATTAAGGGGAATGCGCAACTGTAATCCCAGGACGCCAAGATATAGCAGATGCAACCGCGTTCATTTTATGCCGTATGGTCGTTTCAAGTTTCGAGGTGTAAAGGGCGTTTTTAATAGAAACAATGAAGAATATAAATTGTATCTGCCGTGGGCTCGATAACATGAGGCATGCGCGACGGTCGATATAAAATTAGCGGAGAGCTTCGAAGAAATATATAATGCCGAAAATCAAAAACGCTACAGCGCCACCAAAAGTAACTGTTAAACAAAACGAGCACCATTATTAGTCTTTACAAGCGGCATGGTTGTGTTTTAACAGATGTGATATGATACTTACCAACCCGCATGCTAACTTTTCCAGCGATTGCCCGCCCCCCAATTACTGCTGCTGTTGTACAGATTCCATGACCCGTAACTGCACCACACATAACCCACCAGTAATCCTGGCCGGCAGCCATGGCAATAGTAGCAAACTGGCTTCGATCACCCCATTCTCCGAGAAAGGTCATGACAAACGTCTGGACCCATGCGGGGCTCAGTAGAAGCGAGCACAAATTGTTTACACCAACCACCATGTTTGATAGAGAGGTACCACGGGACGGAGAACTGCCTCGAGATGACAATGAGGAATTGCTTTCAGGTGATGGGAGGCGGTGGTTCGAGGAACGGCTTTTACGCGGGCCACGACCAGCTTCGAGTGCATAGGGGCTAATAGATCGCCGTCGGGCCAGTCGTCGTTGCTGATGTTCCTTCTCTTCCAGCTCCATCTCGACCTCTTTCATCTCCTCACCCACACCTTCATCAGGTGCCATCTTCTTCGCTTCGACGGCCATCTTCAAACCAAAAACGAGAAAAAGAGTCGCAGCCAAAATGTTGGTGAATGATTTCGAAATGAGGGTAGGGACAGCATGGCCAAGTATAGCGGATAGTACTGTCATTGCGATGAGAGCGGTGAAAGCTGCCGAAAAGACAATCATGCGTGGATGGCGCATAGCCATAAGAGCCGCTACAAGGAATGTTTTATCTCCCACTTCTGAAACAAGGATCATGGTGAGGGAAAGGAAGAACGAATGAACTGGCTGCATAGCATCCTTAGACCTTTCCGAACCTTTGCCATGAGTTTGGTCTAATGGAGAACCCCGATAGCCAAAGTCAAGAGGATCATCATTAGGACTGCCAGGATGAGCGGGCGGGGGGACACTATGTGGTGACTCCGGGAGATCTTGTGGTTTCTATTCACGACGAGGGGAACAAAATTAGCATATGTATTGATCGCTCAGACTTCTCACTCCTTACCCCTAGCATTGTATTGTCCGAAACATCGCCTTCTGCCTCCATTTCAGGCTCGTCATGTCCAATCTTCTGCTGCTCGCTGTGCGGTAATGGGGGGACGTCCTTGGGCGGATCTGGCATCTTTGCAGCCCCAGGGCTAGATGCCTTGTTTTTCTCCGAGACTCCGCCCCCTGTTCCCGTTGTTCCCTCCTTTGGCGTTTCCCGGTGCGGATCATCCATCACCCCATCGTTTGAAGTGGGGATTGGTTTTCCATCTGGTCCAAAATGTTCTGATGTGGGATCAGTCGAATCGGGTTTCAACACCTCCTCATCCAAGGATTCTTTCGCCTTTTTACGATCCCGGCCTGCACTCGTCTCAACCCAAGGTCCTGCATGTGGTTTCCCGTCCTTCCCATCAAATGGTACATCAGCAAGTGGTCTAGCTTTCGGCGATCTTTTATCCGGAGGATGGAGCGAAAGTGAGGAATCGCGGATGCCGACATCATTGATAGCCAGCGGTTTCGAATTAGGAAGCAGTTTGGAGTCCGGTAATGGATCGGCCAATGTGGACGTGATGCCTGTGAAGGCAAGGAGGAGGAAAGGAGAGGGGAATAATGTGATCCTCATGGTAATTTGTATATACAGAGGATGAAATGGGGCCCTAGGCACTAAATTATTAAACAGCAGCGAGAGAGGTGCCGAATCCACTCGGGCGACAATGGCAACCGACAATCGTTGAATCGAGAATTAGAAGGCGAGATATTATAGGCGTCGAGGTTCAGAACTCGTGTTGCAGAAGGATGTATTTTTTAAGGAGGAACGGCTCCGAAAAGGAACAAACGCAATCTCATCAACAATAATAAACAGAACAAAAACAGCGGTGGAAAAGAATGTCATATATGCTATCAGTAAGGCTTCAAAACAAAAACGCCCTGTTGATAAGAGCAGTCTGGGGCGCGGATCGAAGGAACGTTGACGTTGAAGCTTCAAACGTTGGTGGATATTACTAATGCACCCTAATTAAATTAACTAGAGCAGGAATAGTATACACGGGTTAGAGGTGGTAGTTATAGTTAGGATTAAGAATTACGATTGAAGCGAGTTAATATGCGAGCAAACCACAGATCATTCAAAGGTGTATTGTTCCTAATATCTGTGATATGGATAGAGTAGAAAATGTGTGTATTTTAGATGGGGTGTTCTATTTAGTGCCTCAATCAGGCTTCAGCTAGGTATACCGTATGCTAAGCTTATAAAAATATTCGCAATGCCTTCAATTGTGATACAATTTAGCCGTAGTCATTTGATAATATACTAACAAATTTAGGACAGCAACCCAGCCCGGACACTCGAGGCACATCCTCGTCTTGTTGTCACCGTACATCGATGGTCGCAGGGCTGTTCCCCAATTCTAGGGTTAGGGTTAGGGTTGCTTAGGGTTACCCGTTGGGGTTAGCTTAGGGTTATTCCGTGAGAACAGAACGCGTCTCGAAAACTCGCCATCAACACAAGAATATCATCTCATCCTCTTTGGCATTAGTACTCATTGCTTTGATAGCCTCAGTCATTGGAATTACGCCGTTGCTGGCTCGTGGAAGATGCCAGCCACTGCGCGAGCAAGATCAGATCGCGCCCAGCGAAAAAGCGAACCCAAACAACCACCACCAAACTTGCGTCGCTCCACTCGACAAACACGGAGTCGCAGTAGAGATGATGCGCCTGCTTCTCCCTCGAAATCTGTTGCCACTTCGGTGAGCGCGGGTAATTTTGAGAACGAACCGTCCTATACTCCAACTAGGAGCAATCGAGGTGGAAAGTTACGGTCGAAGTCTGGCAACAATGGTTGGTTTTGTCCCTTACATTCTCGTTAAACCTCTTAGCAGCTCGTTCAGACTATGGCGTTTTCCAAGATTGACCAGTGAATGAGATTGGTCTTGAACATGTTGCCGTCGTGGCCTTACCTGGAAGGCTTGGGAATAAGAGTATCTGTCTATTTTTGAACGGAATAAGATGTAACTTACAATTTTCCACCGCTAGAGTTGTCACCTGTTTTTGAAAGTCCTCCTGCGAATGCTACTGGCAGCTTTAATACAAACCTTACGAGGCAAACCTCGAGGCGCAGCGAACGATCTGTTCCTGAATCACCTGTTGACCATTTCAATGTTACTGGGACAACCCTTCTCGCTACTGATTCTGAGCATGAATCACGAGAATTGGATCCCAGTATCATGATCGAGGCATTGCCCGACCTATATACTTCTGCAAAGAACGCTCTGCGAATACTAACTCCACAGGCCTTTTCCCTTACCACTATTCTTAGGAGTCTTAAAAACGCTACCTTTAGAACAAGGATCAGACGTATACGGGAGACCTTTGAAACCCAGCAGAAGTACTTTGGCGGCCAGCATTTCATCATCGTCCAGGCTATAGTAAACATATTTCCATCCCTGAAACACATTCCATGGCATCCGGATGAATTCATTCAGAAAGCCAACCTTGCCCAGTTTGCATTCGATCTTATCCCTTTGCGTGAGAACATTGGTCCTTTCTCGGACTATCACCTTTCATACCTTGACGAATCATTTCCGAAATCCTTCCTGAGTTCCTTCTCCCCTCCAGGAGATGATCAAATTACAAAACCAGGGCGAAGCGGTCTCCTAGCAGAAACATTTCAATTGGGTCTAGAAATCCGCACCCAACGTGTCATTGCGGAACTCCGATCAGGGGGGAAAGCTCCCGGTGTTGAATTTGCTCCGGATGTAGTACTGGAAACTGTTTTCACCTCGTTCGTGAAAAATGGTGACAAGTTTGAAAGGTTACTAGGCTGGGAAATTAATGGCCTACAGGATGAGTGGGGCAGCATCCCCGAGGAGTTCCACGATGAAGTTCTTGAGCGGATGGAGTCGATTCGAAAGTGTTTTGACGAGGATGAGACCAGCACGTTCGCTCACTGTGACAAACTGGAATCTTTGTTTCCTTGGTCGGAGTTCGTTGCCCAAGCATGCAAGTGGATCCGCATGAGGGCAAATGAAATTGATGAGCAATTGGGAAGCCAAGCATCTCTTGACGAAGCTGTTGAGACATTACAAATCGAAGCTGATCGCAGGTCAAGCCTCGATCAACAAGGTATCTCGTCCATTCACGAATCGACAAATCCGGCCCCTTCGGCCGCCGACAAGGTAGGCGCCGAAAAGGCCGATGTTCAGAAACCGCAAGGTACGGGATCCGCGATTACCAGGAAGTCAATGTTCTCTGTTGGAAAAGAGTAAGTCTTGTGTATTTTATGCAGCAAAACCTCTATCTATCACATTATCATTACAACCTCCCCCTCTGATTATCATCGCAACTGGAAGCTCCAGAGCGCTCACTGGAATTTAATTTTAATAGGATTTTCAAGTCTAAGGCCGTTATATCTCACTTGGTGAATCTTCAGGCCCGGATTGGTTCTTCTGTGGCTGGCTCTGCTCAGGTTCCCAGTAGTGTAGGGGTTGATCAACCTTCGGAAAGTCCACAAACAGAAATCGTTGCAACGGCTCGTGATTCGACTCCACAGGTCAGCGATAGCGGAGCATTCCCCAGAAGGCCTAACGAATCTCAAAACGCTAGCGTTCAGAAATTGAATCAAGACGTTAGCCCGGGACAGCGAACACGACAACCACTGAAGAATGTATCGCCCCACCCATCACCATCCGAAATCGTCAAGATAGCTGAACGGCAACGACTTGCAATTTTTCCTCAACGGCAAAGACCAAGTTTCAAGACACCGCCGGTGGCTTTTATTGATCGACAAGCTGATGCTCACAGATTATCCCCGGTTGGTTCCAGCCAATCATCATCTGGCAGAAGCCGCTTGAATGGCCGTTCCCGGAAACGACAGGCCTCCGAAGTAGAGCAAAACGAAGGGCAGGAGAAGGAAACTATCCAGCCATCTGACGAGGAAAGCTTCGAAACAGACACCCGAAGTACCCTAGTTGAGAAAAACCGGAAATCCATTGCGGCACTGCAGGTTCATCGGAAGCGACGACGAATTGGAACATCATCTCCTAGGACACAACCCCGCCCATTGGCCACGCCCCCAAGACAACCACAAAGCCTTGGAGGCCGACAAGGTAGTCGCGTAGCGTCTAGATCACTAGAGCTTATGAACGCCGTGGAGAGTAAAACTCCAGCCAGCACTGCTCCTGAAATTAGCCGACGGGTGCGGAAGCCTGGTGGTGGTAGGATCCCATGGTCCGTAGATGAGTGTAATCAGCTTAAGCTCTTGATTGTCAGACACGGACCTAAGTGGGCGAAAATCAAACAAGTTGATGACAGCCTGGAGAACCCGCAGTTGAGCATTCGAGATCAGGTGAATCTGAAAGATAAAGCGAGACAGATGGCTGTCGATTTCTACAAGTATGCTCTACTATCTTGTTTTTTTAATAAGCCAGCGGCTCGAACTACATTCTCCAATGCTAATCTATGAACACTCTTTTTCATTTAGAACCGGCCAACCACTTCCTGAAAACTTCGAAAGAGTTCCTCTCAAAACTGATGATAAACGCAAATTACGAGAAATGGGGGTTACAATCTTTGAAGATTTGCCTGAAGGGGATTGATTGATTCCATTTCGTTGTAATGTGGAAAATCAGGTTGCCACTGCAAAAAACAAAAATTCCCAATTCCCGTCTGTTTCACAGTTGTCCTTCCCCCTTTCAGTATTCAAAACGTATTGTTTTTAATGTTGCAGCAAACAAACAATATCTCTAAGAAGCTTGAAGGTGTTGAAGTGAGCTTTCTTCGTTGGCGTTCTAGTGGGCTGGGATTTCAGTATTCTGGTTTTCAACTTAATGATACCCCCTGGTTTCTGCTTACTTTTGTGTGTGGCATTGAAAATTCGAATAAGGCTGATGTCCTTTTCTTTCTTCATTTTCTCCTCTTACTTGGGTTCCTCAAATTTTAGAGACTACTTGTATCCATTCCATTATCGTATGTTGATTCCCAATTTTGCCCTGCATTATTCTTACACATTCATATTCCTTAAAAACTCGCCGTAGCATATATGCATATATATCTTGAAGCATCCTCCTTGCATCTAGGAACATTCAACCTCAACTCTCTGCATGTGTTTGATGAGAAGGTTGGCCCATAACACATCCATACCAAGGCATTTACAAGCGCCCTCACACAAGTAGGAGGATTGTTTAGTGCCGAGCTGAACTTTTCAGCACCTATCTGCATAGTTTCATCGTGGACACCAATCCAAACTCTCAGAAATTTTCCCTACAGACACGCTACAGAGGAAGCATTTTAAGTGTCTTCCTCTTTCCAGGTATTGTATCAGAAAAAAACCATCATATATACAGCCCAAGTCTTCCCAGTTTTTTACAACTCTCCCCTCCCGCGTACGTTGGCTGCGTAGGTCACCGCATATATACTCCAGTAATTACAGCCTTCCAACTTCGGAACGACATTTGAATTTTTGTTCTATATCAGGGCCCCGGTCAGCCTCCTATTCTGGGTACTTCTCGAGCACGATATGTTCCGTGGCAATATGAAAGAAAACGGTGACATGGACAACGCCCAATTGAGCGTTGAGGTAAATGGACAAAGGAACAAAGTCAGGTTGTCCTAGCCCCTAAAACGTTCAACGCCCTGATTCGACCCAAGGAGATATCAAGAAAGTTCCGTTCCTGGCATCTCAAAACCTCAGAGTCAATCACTATAGGGTTAGTTCGCGCGATGAATTGAACCCAAGCGTACCGATCGTCTACTGAAAGTTATTCCTAAGGAAGGTCACTATTTCAGACCAACAGGGCATTCATAGTATACCCCAAACCTTTTTAAATCTGGGGATCCAATTTATGTGGAAGCTCGCGGCTGAAAAACAAACAACATTGAAGCTTAAATTTTGGCCCCATAACACTAGTCTGTTTGTGGTTAGACTGTCGAGAAAAGGCTGGGAGCGTGATTAGTCATGCGGCTCAACTTTAAAGTTTCCAGGTTCCCCGTTCCCCCAGGCGCATTCGCTCAATTCGGCAAAAGGCACACAATCTAACCCCAAGGCTTTGCGCCGTTGATTCATCTTCAGCCCATTGCTTGTTGTCGCGTCTTCATCTTTGTGTGATGAACCGTCAGTTGAGACGTACTTGAGCTTCTGTTGCCATTCTCCTCCCATTCAAAGCTGTCACTATCTTCTCCTAGTCCGCGTTAAGACGCTCTAGGCTTACTATACCTATATCCAGCCTTGCCGAAATGGCTTCTCTCCGTGTCCACGACTCGCGACCTCGCACCCGATCCAAGTCCCCCAGTGGACGGATTCGGGAACACTCGCGCAGTAGAGAGACTCGGGCACCGTCACCTCCGAGAGAAAAGACTGGACGATCCTCCAAAAAGTACTATCATCCTGACTCGGAGGAGGAGACCCTGTATGCTAGCTCACGGTCCAGCAGAAAGTATTATGGCTACCATGCTGAAGATGACAAATATCGACGCTCTGAGAAGCCTAATCGGCAGTATCAACCACATCCACAGCCACAGCCTCCTGGCTACTATATGTCAGACGAAGAAGAAGGGCCACGGAAACGCACCAGCACAGCAGAACCTCCAAAATCTTACAAATACCGTTACGACTCAGATCGTGACCGGCAACACTCAAGAACCCAGAGTTCAAACCCTTCAAAGTACGAGTCGTATTCGGACGATTCCGTCACCGATTCGGAGGACGATGCATTGGCCTACGGAGATGGACCTTATACCCCCTCTGCTCCTAGTTACGAACGTCTGCGGGAAAAATATACATCTTCTGCAAAACAACCTGATTCAGGTTCAACTGGGGGTTCGCTCAAATATGGCCGTGCCTTAGCTAAACTTCGTGGAGAAGAGTCCCCCAACCATCCCTCTCGCCGCGATTACGATTCAAGAGAGCATCCAAGCTATGCGAAACCTGAAACTTACCGCTATGCACAACCCTCTGAACTTCGCCAAAATCACCCAGATGACCCTGGAGCGAGACAGTATGGGAGCAAACATCAAAACCCGGTTGATTGGGCGGAAGTTCCAGAATGCGAACGCCCCGGGTTTGTGCCTCCACCTGAGTTCAACAATCCTGTCACATCTGCGCAACGCCCTATGCCAATTCCTGCCACTACTTATTCGACGGTCGATCCGTCCCATGTACCACACGCCCCAATCCCTCCGAATCAGTATCCGTCAACATCTCACGCTGGATATAACGCACAACAATATGCCAATATGCCAATACCGCGATCGAGTGGGGCCGGGCCACTCCCTACAGCAACTATACCAACCGATTCTGGTCATCAGCGCCAATACTCGACGGAGGAAGCTCCAGACCCGCACCAATATTATGCCCAGCCAGCCCAATTCCAATATGCGCAGCCTGACCACAATATCAAATACGTCTCAAAGTCCACCAAGCCATACACACAGAGCTCTAAAAACCAATTCGTCAAACCATACTCCCAAGTTCCTGATCCAACATATGTTGAAATTAAACCGAAGAAATCGGCCGAACGCCCGCACGGCTTGTCCATTTCCACTTCCAATGGTCATATGGCTCTACCCGGTAGCTTTCCGGATGCAAGTCGACCTCCTGCCAGCCCACTTCTCGAGGCTTATAAAGGCACATATCAGAGCATCTCGCCCATGCCATGGCCAACATCCGTTCCTTCGTATTTGGATGAAGGCTTATCAGATCTGGAGCCGTTAGATAGTGGCGCAATCTCAGGCTCGGAGTTAGGCAGATCCAGGAAAAGTAAATCCACGAAGGACGACGACAGCAGCAAGACAAAGAGCAAGTCGTCAATGCTGGGTGCGGACATAAAACTAATTGCGCCTGCGAACGTCAAGAAGAAAGTATCCTTCTACGATCCGAAACCCGACGCGAAGGAATTGAAAGCCTCCCTACGCCATTCCCACGTAGACCCCAAACCTTTGATAGATGTTCTCCCGTATCTTTCTTCGGACGATCTACTCGCCCTCCGTACTGAATATAAAAATATCGCTAAAGTAGGCGGCAAGGGAATCAATATAGCTAAACAAATCAAGGTGCAAGTCCCAGGAAATTTCGGCAAAGTTTGCTACGCGACAGCATTAGGTAGGTGGGAATCTGAGGCACACTGGGCCAATTTCTGGTACCGATCAAACTCGTTGCGCCGGGAGCTTCTCATCGAGTCTCTTATCGGCCGGACTAATGCTGAAATTCGCGAGATTAAAAAGTGTTTCCGCGACAAGCGGTACGGAGATGATCTTGAAAAGTGCATGAAAGCTGAGCTCAGGGCAGACAAGTTTCGCGCTGCGATCCTGTTAGCGCTCGAAGAGCGGCGGCAATCCAATTCAGCCCCTCTCGACAAAACCCTTGTTCGCGACGACATGCGCGATCTCCACCGCGCTCTAATTTCGCGAGAAGGGGGAGAGACGGCGATGATACAAATTATCATCGTCAGGGGGGATACGCATCTCCGTGAGGTTTTGCATGTTTATGAAGATACTTACCACAAAAACTTCGCGAAAGAAATGATAACCAAGTCACAAAATTTAGTCGTAAGTGCCAAACCCCCCGCTCATCTTTCATGGGCAACAAAACATCGCTAACAATACCTCTTCCATAGGGCGAAACCCTTGTACATGTTCTCAACGGAGCGCTTAATCGCCCGATGCGGGATGCCCTCCTTCTCCACCAAGCAATTTCAGAATCAGGCACAGGTCGCGAACGTGCCGAGTTGCTGATTTCGCGACTAGTCCGCATGCACTGGGAGCCTAACCACCTTGAACATGTCAAGTCAGAGTACAAAAGACGCTATAAGCAATCCGTTGAGGATGCCATCGACCGAGAGGTTATCAACGGTGTCCACAAAGACTGGGCGGAGTTTTGTATTGGGTTGGTCAAGAGCTCCAGAGTTCATATTGCTAACGGAACTGTGTAGTCTCGAAACAATATCGTTGGTTTATTGTCATTGTTATGGTTATGGTTATGATGATTGCTTATTGATGACTCCTTGGGCCCTGGATGACGGTTTTTATATTTTCGTAATTTCATCAATCAGTTTGAGTCCCTATCTATTCTGTGTTATTTCCGTTATATATATGTATCTGAATGTGTTGAAATTTCACTGGGCAGTCTGTAAAAACCGCTGGCCACCTACGACCTTCTCCCCGGGAATTTATCCTATATCTGCGATTTAGTCAGGTTATATAGCTTTGTCGTTCGGTTCATTTTGCTTTCATGCCACCATACTTCGAAATCAAAAAGGTAAAAATTACTCTCTCCTGTGCCCAAACTTAGAACCAGATTAAAGTTGGTTTAATCTTATCCGAACCACCACTATCGAGATCGTATCGAAGCATGTCCACGTCCAAATACACAAATGTCATGGCTGCTCACCGACTTTATGCTTCTCAAATCAAGCTATGTCCGATGTCTGGCTACATAATATTTTAGTCTATTCCCGTCCAACATGCCACAAGAATTCCTACTCTGTACGCAGCGTATGCTTGAAATAACCTCCACGTAGCGGCAGGATTACAGGGTACATGGATGCGATCGAGCACCAAACATGCTAGTCCTTGGAGAAGCCCCTGGCTGCTATCTTGTTTCTCATGATTACTAGTAGCGATGGTGCTAACGGCGCCTCGATTTGTCCAACTCCTCTTCCAACTCTCCTCTACGGTCTTCCTGTTGTTGGTGGCCTTCGTCGGGAATAAATAAACTTACTATTTTACTCCAGCTAATTTATTCAACTCCTCAAACCAAGAGAGCAAATATCAAAAGCAACCTAACCGTCCTGAATAATGACAAATTCACGCACTAACGAAGCAGACCTGGACGTCGAGGCTCACGCGGCTTTTACGGTGATGCCGTACATTTCTCCTTCACAAACCTCGCCCACCGCTGGCATCACCCTCAAACTATCGTCATCATGGACGTACTGCGGACCACTACTGAATCTACCGCTCCAAAATCCTCCGCCCTCATTCTACACGTGGTCCGAACAAACCGTAAATGGCTCCATCCTTCCCGCTCTCACCCAGTTTATCAGCTTCGCCAACGAATTCCTCCTCAAAAACAACCTCTCCCACTACTGGCTCACGATCAAGGCTTCTAGAGGAACAGAAGAATTTGATATGCCGCGATGGCATACCGATGACCTGTTTTATAGCAAGGGCGACGAGGACCCCATCACCAAGCTACGTGAAACGAAGTGGAAACTCGCTACAACTCTGCTAGGCCCCAGCACACTCTTCTTAACCTCCCCTGCCCGCACACGCTCCATCCACAACCGAATAAAACAGTCAGTCCGCGATGAAAGTAAGAAACACCTCTGTGCGCCTGTTCGATGTGTCGGGTGCGCCACAGCTGCGGAATCGGTGCGCCTGCGTTTAGCTGAAGAATTCCGAGACCACGGATACGTACAGGCGGGTCCGGGAGAGTGTACATTTTTCCGCGTTGGGGACGATGAGGGGGCGGTACACTCAGAACCTCCGTCCCATGGTGATCGGATATTTGTCAATGTGGTGCCGGGGCGGGAGGAGGAGCTAAAAGAGCTCATGAAGAAATGGGGCATGCAATTTCCGCGCGCCTGGTGTCTAGATTTACCGCTGCAGCTTAGTATGGGACCAGTTCGGGATACATGGGAATGCTGAGTTGAAAAGAAGCGTGTTGGTAAGTATGTGCAGGCAGTGCCAACACTGTTTCTCCCTTCAACTTTTTTTTTTGTGTTATCATTCCACCGTTACCAACTGTGTTAACTCGCATTTCATTCTTTGACTTCATTCGAATCAACTTTTTTTTGTGTTCTTCTTTTCCCTCCACGTCCTCATTTTTAAGCCCCGTGAAAGACTGCTATTTTTGTCTCCGTATCACAATCGCACACGCTCCCACGTCTACGACGGGCCCTATTTTTGAAAGATCTCTGAGGCCCTAAGAAACACAGTCAACAAAATGACCTTTAACGAACGGTGCAAACTTTCAGTGTTTGCTCGCGTTAATCAATCGGAAGTAATATGTGTTCAAAGTCCGAATTTACCATCAGCCAATATCCGTCGCTCAGCTCTAGACTGCGACAAACAGCCTAGCACGTTAACAAAGGTTCCAGTTAAATTCTATGGGGATTCCATTGTCACATTTAATGAAAGGATGTTGGCAAGTTCGTCCAAAAATATTCTCGGACTGATTTTTGTGCAAGCCCTTGGAGAGAAAGATATCATTTATACATCGCATCAAAGTCGATTTTTATGTGTACAGTACATTTTTAGAGCTATTATTAGTCGCGCTTAGCCCGCGCTCGAATTTTAAATTTCGCCCAAGCACTTTTGGTTGCCTTGATTCCATTTTCTCCCGATTGGTATGCAGGCGTTAAACAGGTCTGGCATGACCAACTATACATATGCATTTCAGGCGCATATCTCTGCATATCACTATATCAGCCACTCATTTCGGACAGCCAAATCCACTTCTCAAAGAGGATCGACACCCAAAACCGAGGCGCATCCCACAACAAGTGAGCCATGTATGTACATGTACATACAAGGCCTATTGGCCGCAATGGCTTGAATGACCCAACAAGGGATGGAAGAAGAGATTCAGCCACTCCTTAAGAAGTGCATCTCGCATGTGTCTTGTTGGGGCTGAAGGTCATACCTTCACATCCAACATGAAGCCCTCCGCACATTGGTCCTCGGGTCGAGTTTCATGAAACAATGATTTTTGAAATGCCACCAGGTAGAGCGATGACATACAGACGTTTAAGTTTCTCATTTGAGGTGGAATGCAGAGGGTTCTCCGGACAACACCTCTCTACTTCATTCAGCACTTACGTATATACAGTACGCACTGGCATACATGCATACAAAGAATCTTTGGCTTTGAAGCCCGACCGATCACAACCTGTTTATGCAAGGTACGTGTTCCAGCCAACCAACTTAACAGTCTAGAGCCCACCATCGAGAAAGTTCGACTTGGTACAAAGAAGCAAGTCGTCGAGTTGCGTCTTGTTATCAGTGAGTCCATTCCCTCCCCTCCGTTCTTCCACTTGGCGATTTTCAATCTCAGAAGCAAATTACCACCAGGCCAGCCTTCGCATATCTTAAACATCGAGGAGCCATCCGCCTCTCAAGCACATTCCCATTTTTCCCTTTCCCTCGTCCTTCTACCTCATCATTATCTGAATGATCAAAAGTCCTAACCGTTCAAACCAGTCCAAATCAAATCATGAAACCTGCCTGGGCCCTCTGCGTGATGTTCGTAAACCTCCTGGTCACAGTGGCTGCCACGCCAATGTCTCCCAATGTCTCGCGGGATGTCTTGAATCCCCGCACACATGTTGTAACTTTTTATACTTCTTTACCCATGTCTCACAACTCCATTCCCCCAGGCCTATTTCCATCGTCCCCAATCTACGTCCACATTTAATTCACCGGCGCATGAGCGGATCAGTTAAAAAGCCCTTGCAAAAGCTAACCGATAACAAACCTTAAATGGTGATTTTGACCCCATTACAGTGTACCGGAACATGCGCCCAAAGGGGCGGAAAATGTTGGGAGGAGGGATGCAGATGTAACCGTTTCGTAAGTTAGGATTCTTCTTCATCTCCTAAGCGGCTGAATGCCATAACAAGACATTTGTTCAAAGACCCAAGAAAGAAACAATCTCATCCCCCCACCCTATGAAGCATTCATCCACTTTAGATGCTCAGATAGCTGTACAGGAAACAGGCTGATCAAAGAAACTCTTCGCTTAATATAAACAGAGCGGTTTGTGCGTTCCTTATAAATAAATAATAATCAGGCCGGCTACTCGGGGAATGGAGAGCCGGAACAGGCTTGTACATAGTGGATAGAGACAACGTATGTATGCATGTATTGCAACGCTGAAGTGTATGGGTGTATGTATGTATCCATGTTAGCAAGCCGGCAGAGCAGATACGATGCCAAAGAACTATGTTTCCATACACCTCCCAGCCGCCTATTGAGCAAGCTATGCGGGATGCCACTCCCCCGCTTCATGGTCCTTGTGGCAAAGCTGTCTGTACCTTTTATCACCGTACATCTCGTTTAGCTCGGTGTTGTTCATCATAATCTTTAGAGGCCCCGTGAGCCTAGTCTAGGATTGCTCCATACCCAATGAAATCAGGTGTCCCACCTATCCTATCTCGTTCTGTTGACCGCTTCAAATCGCCAAGGAGCTCTTTGTGTGCGTATCATGAATTTGGCTGCTTTACAGCTGGGAGTAAGGTCGGGAATGCAGGAGAGTATCAGCTTGAACCAAGGGATGGAGAGGCTTTTATAGCAGGCAAGGCATTAGGAAGCAGACAACTTTTGACAGATTGGCCATTCGAAGTTAGCCTAACTTTCCCCTCCCATGCCACACATAATCCCAAGGTAGCATGTAGGCATAGTAGCTTTTTCAACAGAGTGGAGGATGGGCAAATAGCAGGTCGGAATAAGCTGCCGTTGAGTTGGGCACTGCATCTCGACCCTTGAGAGGCTGACCGAGAACAGTATTGTCAAAACAGCGGCGGAGTTTAGTTTCTTGGTCAGTTCAATTGTACGAGAGGAGCACCCCGATGGCCGCCGCGATCTAAGGAGTTACTTAAGTCTTAAGCGCCCGGGTTTGGAAAAGTACCCCAATATGACCGTGTAACAGATTCGACTGAAGTCATAGTAGCTGACAAGAAGAAACAGGTGGACAAAGAGATGAGCATAAGATAAATGAAAGGGCCGTACCACTCAGCGATAATCACAAACAACAAGGGGTTCTTAACTTCAAGTCGCAGGTCCTGTACTGTGGGTTGTAGTCCTTGGATGTGAAATCTTATGGAACTGGGAAAAAACCTGGTCTGTACTGGTATTAAGGGGCTTCAGTGCAACCTCCTCCGCTCTTTATCAGCATCCACTCTCTTGCCTCTTGCATTTCACGGGATCTCGGAGACTGTCTGTGTTCTGGTTGTGTCCTATTTTCTCCTGTTGTGCTTTACGTCAAAATACTCTTGCCTACCTGCCCTGTGGCGCCACGCAGTCGCCATGCTGTTTGACCATATCGCCGAGGATCAGCTGGACGGCGTTTTCGCAAAATGGGTGAAGCAGCTGCTTGCAACCTCCCCTGAAAATCTTGCTATGAATCTCGCCTCCGAGCATCTCGGCCGCAGAGCTAAGCTGGCATGTCAGTGGGAAACCGGTGCCTTCAATGTGTGCTACCGAGTTCAGTTCTACGATGATATCCCTGAAGTCATTGTTCGGTTCAGCTCTCTTGGTCGAACAATCTTCCGTGCAGAGAAAGTCGCCAATGAAGTTGCAGTTATCCAATATCTCCGGCGGCACACTACGATTCCTGTCCCCGAGGTACATGGTTCTGGGAAGACATGGACGGGACCGTACATCATCTTGACCTATATCGAGGGAGTCCCGCTCTCCAACGTTCTCAAAGTTCCCAGGGTGGAAGGTCGACCTGTCCTGAACCCAGAGATAAGCGAACGAGGCCTACGGAGAGCTTACCAAGAGATGGCCAAGCTTATCCTTGAGCTGTCCAAGGCCAAGTTCCCCAAGATCGGCTCGTTAACGGAAGGTCCAGATGGAGAATTTACAGTCTCTAGAAGGCCATTTACATTTAATATGAATGAGCTATCAACATCTGCCAACAGTCCTCCTCATGTCTTGCCACACCCAGACGCCATATTTGAAACGGCCGCTGATTACTTCAAGTCTCTCGCCACACAGCACATGTTGCACTTCCTTACCCAGCGAAACGACGCGATCACTGATGAAGCAGACTGTCGCAAAAAATTTGTCGCCCGCTGCCTATTCAGCAAAGTAGTTCAGCGCATTCAATTCCATGAAGGACCGTTCCAGCTCTACTGTGACGATTTCCGCCCCTCAAACGTGCTGGTGGACTTAAAAAATTTCCGTATTGCGGCAGCTATAGACTGGGAGTATACCTACGTGGCCCCCACTGAATTTAGCTCCGTGGCTCCATGGTGGCTTCTCCTGCAGGCTCCAGAAGATTGGGAATCCGATCTCATGGAGTTCTTAACTCGCTATAAGCCGCGTTTTCATCTTTTCCTTGATGCTTTACGGGGGGCCGAATCAGACATGATATCGGATGGCACGTTGCTCGAGTCTCAGAGGCTGTCGCCACGCATGGGCGAGTCTTTGGATAACGGCCTGTTCTGGGTGTGTCTGGCAGCACGGTTTAGCTCCATGTTTGATAAGATATACTGGACGTTCATTGACAAGACTTACTACGGGGAATTCACGTCCCTTGAGGACCGATTACAGTATCTGGACCAGGAAGAGCGGAACAAGATGGACGCAATTTACCCCATTAAGATGAAACAAGCAGAGGATGGCAAAATCGACCCCCATTATTCACTTGATGATATCATGGAGCTGTAGCCGCTGGCTCCTTGCTTTGGTAGATTGTTGAATTCAGGTTAGATGGGAGGTTATCAACAGCTTTTGGAGTTCGTGGACAGGGGTGTTTTTTCTGTAGTTCAACATAACATTCGCCGATGATGATTGTGGATTTATTCTGGCGGCGAGAGTCCTCAGACAAAAATCAGGTGTGACTCCTGGTCGCAACATTACCTATGTATATATCGATGAAACGTTTATAAACGAGGTAGTACCATGAGCAACTCATTATGTAGTACAAGGATTCCCGACTCGAAAAATCGAAATAGCTATGTATTGTTGTTTCTTTTCCTCTTTTAAAAAGAAGCTTGAACTTGACGAAACCAACACTATCATTCAGTTTACTATCAAATTGGCGAATGGAAAGTCCAGTAAATAAGAAAGTAAATTAAAAAAAAAAAAAAAAGCAGATGGAAAGGGACGAATAGAGTTTTTTTTTCAATAATTAGTCTGTGGAAGTAGAAGAAGACAAAATTTCATAGAATTAAGTGAATACAAAACAGGGAGATAAAGATGGTGCGAGCGAAGCTACGCCAATTGAGAGTTTTATTGCACTGGAGCAGTGGACTGGGAATGAAATGGAACATAACAATCAGATTGAAAAGTCCTTGTCAAAAACAAAATAATGATTTAATTTAAATTTAATAGCGAGATTGCCTGCTGGCATTCTAACACAAAAAGAAAATAGTGAAAAGGAAATAAATGGCAGGCTATCACAAAGGGACGTTTTGATCCATTAAAAAGGCGCTGGGCGTGGAGAAAGAAAGGGAATTGGAAAAGGTTTCAGTAAGAGGAGGAAATGAGGGATGGGGGAATAATTAAGGAGAAAGAGGGAACATGGAAGATTGAAGTAGAATTTCATGTTTAAAACATACAAGCCTTGATCGGCGGCGGTAAGTGAAAAGAACTAAATAAAATAGGGGCCACCTCGATGAGAAAAGCACTGGGGAAAATGGAGATAGGACAAGAGGTGGGATGAAGCAATATATGGAAAAAGAAGCCAATGAAACAAAATGAATAGGACAAGTGAAAGCAAGATTGTGGGATATAACGTTGTGTTAGAGCATTGAAAAAACAGTAGATGAAGGAAGAAGCAGAAGGGAAAGGAGAACAACAAGCGAGTAGAAAAAATATATCCATCATCTTACACAAGCTGTTCGAAGAAAGGAGAGAAGACAGAGTTAGCTAGCCCTTTGGATAATGGAAGGCAGCACAGCAGAATGCTGGCTGTACACAATTGCCTCTATCTCTCTGCTTTCTTTATCTTCTTTGGTTTTTATTTTTTTTTTTTAACTCCTTTTTTTATATTTTTATTTTGATCGAGACAGCCTTCCAGTCAAAGCAACCTTTTTTTCCCTTCCCTCTCAATCTCTCGATTCAAATTCGCGCGACAACGCAGCAACGGTGGAGTAATTTTCAAGACCTGCAAGAAGGAAAGAAGAAAGAAATTGTCTGCGGGTCAGCAGCCTGTCACATAAAATGAAATCGCACCCACCCACACACCCACACACACCCACACACACACACACACGTATTCAACTTGAAGTCAACGAAGAACAAAAGAGAAAGAAAATTATCGAGTGGCACGACCGCTCCTTCCAGAACCACCACGAACTCCATTTTTACTCGAGGATCCACTTGGTCCATTACCGTTATTGTTAAGACGACTAGTTCTCCATCTTTCGTACCACACTTCCCGACTAGCCTCGCGGAGTTCCCCGCGCCATTCTCCAAACACGGTGTCCTTCAGCTTGACAAAATCGCAGTGCTCAGGGTTGTAAGGGTCAGCAAAACCCCAGGGAAACTTGCGGCCAATGGGACCATTGTTATCTTCCAGAGAGTAGGGATCGGGAGAGAGAATTGATAACGGTAGGAACGGATATTCCCCGTTTGCATTGAGGTTCGCGTTGATGCTTGAGACAGAAGTTGAGGATTTTCGAATCCCGCCGTTGTTCTGGCGGGATGTGGGCGACTGAGGGTTGGGTGGGGATAGGGGGACCGTGTCTGAGTCCGGGGTGCGGCGGCCAGTTGTTGGTCTTTTAGCTTCAGCATCCGTTTCGGTTTGGGTTTGAATCTGAGCGTCGTCGTCTTCCTGTTGGTTCAAATCGTCCTCGTCCTGCTCATCGAATCTGTCAAACCCATCAGATGAGGACGTATCATCCTGGTCCTCAAGCGTCAAGACTTCCAGCGGATCCAAGCCAGCCTTCTTCAGGCTTTCCCATACCGTCTTCTTGAGGAAAGCCATGTGGCCAGTGGTGATGGTATCTGCTTTGCTGATTATTGGGACAACGGTAGTCATCCCTTGCATCGTACGGATAACTTGGATATCCAGGTTTTCATCGAGGCCCCCAATGAGACGAACACTCGAAGATTTCTCTGGATCATCCACGGATTCCTGCGCAGCGGCAATGTTGGCATCCAGTCGCGCAGGGTCGAGGATGAGGAATGCGCAGTGAATGTGAGTGTCACGCACGCCCGGTGCGCGAATTACTTTCATCTCTTCGTTAAAGGTTTCTTCGAATTTACTCTCTAAAAAGGATGTGATCCCACGAAGCTGCAGATCAACAACATTTGACTCCAGTCCCTGTGAATCCCACAGCGTAAGCCCCACGCGCTCTCCGTCAATTTCAGTCTCCAGGTAATGTGATGTGAAATTGTTATTAGCTGCTGACATTTGCACGGGCTCCTCGAATTCATCTGGAGCTCGTGTAGGGCGTTTCTTCGGGGGAAGCTGGAGGGAGGTACGCAAGAAATTGAGAAAGGAAGTCTTTCCAGATTTTCGAGCACCGATTACAAGAATGCTATTAAGAGGAGTGATTTAGTATGTCGATTTTCTTGGGTTATGTAACAGTGAGGGGGAGAGAGTTAAATGGAAACTTACTTGTATGGGGTTGGGTCTTTGCGTCTTCTCACCCTCCGTGGGCTATTGATAGTGCTGACTGCGCTGCTCGCATAGCTGTATCGGCCACGATGTGTCATGCTCTCTGTTCTCGCGTACGGGTCGATAACCTCGCTACCTCTTCCGCCAGCTACGCCGGAATATGGGGACGCGGGTGCGCTTGGATCAATGTAACTCCCACCGCGGTTTGGAATAGCAGTCGTGTTCATCTGTCGAGCATTTTCACCGCCAAAGGTTTTCAGCTGGGGAGGAGCGGGCAAATCTGGCAGACGAGGGGCATATTTCGCGACAGCACCAGCTTCGCGCTGTCGTCGCAACAGTTCTTCTTTAGCCATTTCCTTTTGCATCCTTTTGCTCATCCTTCCTCCCGAAGCTTTGCGATCCCCGCTGAGAGGTTCGGTCGACTTTGAACGACGAAGGAAACCTAGAGATGTTCGTCTTACGGTTTGAGAGTTGGCGTTAGCCGAACCATTCTCAGTGGCAGTTGGAAGAGCGTCCGGAGGTGAACTGCGCCCAGGGGTTGGAGGCGCCGGACTGGACATGTTGGATTTATTCTGGCCTTGCCAATGTAAAGCGTACCTGGAAAACATTGGGACGTCAGTTTACAGCAGGTAAAAAGAATTGCGGAAAAATTTTTCTCCCCCCAATTTTGACAGGAGCAGAAATGACAAAGAAGAGAAGAGAAAAGCCGGACGAGTGAGTTGTCAGAGTTGATTTTTTAAGCAAAAAAAGGGGCTTTGGTTTGTGGTTGGTTGGCCCTTAGGCCCAATGGTACGTGCAGGTGAGGTGAGCAACATGTCTCCAATGGCGATGATTGTGGTGCATTGTATGAGGCGTTGCAGGTTGAATTTTCTGGGAGAAAAGTTACTCACGGGCGATTCTAACCACTTTTCCCGATAAAAGCCCTTGTAATACCAGCTTCTCAGTCACCTTCGTGATGGTTTCCACTTGCTCCGATGTTGGGTTATGTGGGGAGCACAAGACTCGAGGAGGGGAATTGTAGAATAATGAAAATCACCGCAGGAGCGTATGAGACGACCAGCAAACGGAATCTAAATCCGATAGCCAACAACGCTTCAGAAGCGATAGGATCTTCGATGCGAAGTGATGGATGCGATGCGATGCGTGATATGGTAGAAAGCGTGCGAGTTGCTGAGCAAGGGATCAGTCGAAACGTAACGAGGCAGACAAAGGTCCGCGTCAAGATAAAGCAAAAAGGCTCGGCCAACGAGATCAGCCACTGGGCGAGGGAGTAAGATGACAATGGTACTATGGTATTTGGGGTATAAATCAAAAGGTGGGAGGCGACGACATCCACAAGCCCAGCAAGCGATTGTCAGTAAAAGTAGACCAGCCTTGAAAAGAAGAGCTCCAGAAATCCGTTACGTCGATTGTTGGTTTGTCGACCACCGGATAACAAGGCAGACGGCGGAGCAATAGGATACAACAAAAGAGCGGAGCGAAATGAATAATGAAAGGAACAAATGGTGGGAGAGGGATAGCGTCCCTGTCAGGTCGAGTTGGATTTGGGTGAAGAGTGGAGGAGGAAACAGGAGAGCCCCTTAAGCCACAGGAGACCAACAGGGACTAACAACTGCGAGAGCGCCAACCGAGCCTAACTCCCAGGGTTGGTGAGCCCAGCAAAGGCTAGAAGAAACGAATAAGAGAAGAGAATTAGAACGCGGAGAAAAGAAAGGTTGGGAATGATGAATGAGAGGATGAAGATGAAGTTGAAGTTGACGATGGAGCAGACGGCGAATGTCATGAAATTACCGCGGCTAACTTACTTTACCCCTTTGTTATTTTGATGAATATGTAATTTTGGTTATATTTTATATTGAAGCTTGGCCCGCGAGTGTTTTGTCCGCTGTTGCACCACCTTCTCAAACAAACTATAGTCATTGATTATTGTAACACGATCTTCTTTTCTTTTCTCTGTTCTCTTTTCCTCGCTCTCTTCTCCTATTCTCCTGTTTCCTCTGCCATCATGATCTTTCTTTACCATTTGCGGAGCCAAGTTCGAAAGCTGGACCCATCCGGCGCGGATTCAGGGGTAACTAGTAAATACGATACGCGTAATATACTTTACACATGTATCCGCGCTTGACGTTACAGCCACAAAATCTCCGTTTTATCTCCTATTTATTTCTCCGCACGTCTGACACGGTACGGTACGCAATGCGCGCGTGCACAGGAAGGCGATGATTACGGATTTCCACCATACAGGTCTGTTTTCGTTCGATACAGACGTGAAGCTGGGACATAATTTCGCCAAGACACGCAGCGTTTACTGTCTGCCCCGACGGTTCGAGATGCCTCAAATCAGCACAGTGATAAACTGTGCTGGATATATGGCCCTCCGGTTAAAGACTTCGACCGTGGAATTTGGAAGCACCCCGGATTTCATCGAAAAAGGATCTAAGCGCCCCATCCGAGGAATATGATAGCTTGTCAAGATGCGCTGTTGGAAGCAAATCAAATCAAATCTTTGTTTTGTATGCTTGTCAAGCAAACAAGCTTCCGTGTTTAGTTTGTTTTGAAACGAGTTTTTTTGGAGGGCGGGGAGCAGTTTTCGGCCAGATACCGATGCTGGCTGGCATCCGTCTGGACAACGACATGGTGCATATATTTTCAACCATCTGCCCGACGGTGATAACATTTGCATACTTGTCAAACCGCTTTCCCCCTTGACTAACCCTTCCATCACCAAATGTGCGTTGGTTAATCTGGTGGTTTTTAAGATAAGGGCAAAACACCAAAAAAAAATGGGACCAAAAATTGGAACCAGGTTCATCACCGCCTGAACCAGAAGCAACGAGAGTCGAGCAAATGGTTGAAAAACCCCAGCTCCAAGCCGAATGTCTGAATGCTCTTGAGGTATTGGTTTAATCGTACTTGTCAGGCCATATCCCCAATCTCTAGCCTCATGTTGAGCTGGGTGATCGCTGGGTCTAGATGGAGAATGAGGGTTCGTGGCTAAAAAGCTGGGACCAACTTCTTCAAACATGACGTATTTCGGTTCAATAGAGATATTGATGAGAGATAAAAACATTCCCATAACTGGTACGTGGGAAGAGCGTATCCATGGATAGGCGGTGGGTGCCTTCACAGCCTGACATCATATTTAGAGTATGAGCACTTACCCAGCTGCTGATCGCAGGGCTTATGAATATCTTCAAGCTCTCTTCAGAATAAATGCTCCTCTAAGGCATTCAATTTAGAATCTGTTACAATTGAAACTCAATGTACACTCTGTAGTTTTTTGATCGAAAGAGTATACATATACAAAAGAAAACCCGTTTCTTGAGGCATATGTCATCTTTATCCGCCGTCAAAATCATGTTCAACCTTTGTAAAGCCACATTCAAGTCATCCAGCACCAAAGACGGTTGTCTTTTTGCAAGCGGTCATTAGCAATGTCCGGTGGTGCCTCTTGTTTTTTACGTGCATTTTACTTGCATAAATCTAAACTTTAAGCATCACCCTTAAAAGAGTTCTACACACCTGAAATGTGCCTCCTTCGTTAATCTAGGTATGATGAATGTCTACTTTCCGATGAGGTGAGAGTGGCTCAAAACTCTCTAGAGTCCACTGCGGGAGTGGAGTAGATATCATGAAGGTGCTTGTCAGTAAACTCCACGGCATAATGATTATGGGCTTCCAGCTATATTATCAATAATATCATGAGAGTATCTTTCCTATTCGCGTGTATTTCTTCTATACGTAACATTATCATCAGTAGGTGGTAGGAGTGTTCAGCCATGTGCAAAACTCTTTGCACATTACCAGGAACTCACAACTAAAATCTCAAATACTGAAGCGCAATAAACTCTAAATTTTGTGCCAAAGGAACAGAGTATAGGAGTTAGATCAAGGCGCTAAACCCATCTCCATATCCTTTGGAGGGTCAAGTCAAGCGGTGGCAGATTTATCATCATATACATATCTGGTGTTCCCAAGCATTCGTTTGGAGAACGGTAAATCCCAACCAAATATTGAGATCTCTTTATAGTTGATTCAAGTGTTGGTTGTATTTGATCCCTTTTGAGCTGGTTCACCATTGCCGCCACGCTGAAGGGGTTTCCCGCCGAAAGTTGAAACACGTTTCAGATCTTCCATGTGGTGGAGAACATGCTGTGATTTCTGGGGTGAGCCGATCCACTCACCATTTCTCGTCATGAAAGATGGGAGAGGTAATTGTGGATCTGCATACAAAAAAGGTTGCAATGGAGGATGTTAAACTGCTCTTTGATGGTGAGAAAAGGGGGAAATGAAGACAAAATACAAAAAAAGTATCATGAAACCACGAAGCTTCATTATCATTTATCATTAAATGGTATATCCCAGAGAAAGTCTGGCAACAATCAACTGAAGAGGAAAATGCCCCAAAAAATATGAAAGAGAAAAAAAAGAAATGCGGAAAAGTGTAGTAAAAGGATAAAGGACAGAATACTATCCTTCATCCGTCGATGATTTCCCATTTTTGTTCCGCGAAAACAAGCTCACAAGCCAATTGAGTCCGCTCTGCCTTGAAAGTGCCGGGGAGTGATATCTGGGTGGGAACAAATAACGATGCTCGAATATTCCAGCATGCGTGGTTGCTGTACATTATATACACGACTCTGCAATATGAAGGGATCCTCCATCAAGAGCAGCTTCCCGCGCTCCCTCGTCGGCCATCGAGAAGATGATGGGCGAATGTACTATACGAGATAAGGGAAAGAAAGGCTTCAGTCACTGAACTTGAAGGGAAAAAGGAGAGAATGAGAGAGCTAAGACGCATCTATCTATATATACAGTAACATCCAGCATCTCTCGCCGCCGCCCTAGGGGCGAGCGGGGATAGTGAGTTTTCACGCGGGCTTTGATATACCTAGCGTACCACCTACAACCAGTGGCTGGATTCTAATATCAAGATATCTCATCATCGTCATTATCATTTATTGGATATGTATTCTATGTATTTCTATTTGCTAGACATGTTATTCATATATTCCCGAAAAATAAGTGAAGTGCCTCGCATCAATCTTCCACCAGTACTGTCAGATTTGATCATGACAGGAAGGGGAAACAACTTGAACAATCAAAACACTCTCCTCAGAATTAACCACTGATCACTTGTTATCCGATCTAGGGATATCAACGCCCTGACTCAGCCACCTCCAACCTCCATACCCCTCTTCACCCTCAACCCGTCCCAAATCATACATTCCCCATTCCCAGGACAAACCTTCTCCCTCACCAGTCCTTTGAACTTCACCCCATCAGGCGCAGACACATACTTACGCTGTCCAAACAGGACTATCTGCCCCTCCGCATCATCGGGAAGTTGTTCGTCACCCCACCTTCCGTCGAAGTACAGATAGTTCGTGGGCGTGCTTGCATCGTACGGTTTGAACTTCTCCGTGGCGTTGTTGTAGCTGTATGCATACATGCTCAGGATCGGGTCCCATAGGACGCCTTTGTCCGTTTCGTCTTCAAGGAGGCCGCCTGGTAGGTTGAAACCTGGGATCGTGTGGTCGTGGGTCCTAGGGTTTGTTAGATTTATTTTCTATTTTTTCTATTTTTTCTATTTTTTTTTAATTCATTTTATTCAGTTTATCTCAAAAGACAATCCCTCCGACTTTGCATACATACGCGCACACACAAAAAGAGATATGAAGAGAGATTTCCCGGGTCTCAGGGAACCTGGATGTCCTATCGCTTGGCGTATCTTGGCCTCAATCTGCAGGAGTAAGGGAATGAAACTTACCCAGGAGTTGCATAGACAGCATGCGATCCATTCGCGCTATATCCGACTGGACGAAGACCCTGCTTCTCCGTAGCTTGATAGGTGAATGCCTCACCGCCCGCATGCTGGCTATACCAGACAGCCTGTGGCTCGCCATTTTCGAAACGAATCATGTTGTGTTCCCTATGAAACACAATTTTGTATCAGGCACGTCATTCCCCCCGATTCTGTTCAAAAAAAAAAAAAAAAAAAAAAATACAAGAGGTTCGTCCAGCCATCTAGAAAAAGAAAATTGCTTACCAGTCCCCGACATGATTGCCGAATTGGATTCCGATGACCGTGTTTCCTTGGTTATACCTAATGCTATCGTCAATTGACAAATTCCCACAAGCCTTTCTGTCTAGACGACGAAAGAGGAAATGAAAACTTGAAAGTTTACCCGTAATAATAAAAATAAAAAGCATCAACCATCTTTCCATCGCCATGGTCTCTCACAACGATGATGGACGAGACAGCGTCTACAGTCTTTCCAGCCTTGTCAGGTCTGGTGCCACTGAACCACTCCGGAAGTGCTCTGATACCCTCGTTCGTGGTAAGGAAGACATCCTTGCCGCCCAGGCTATTCAGCGAATCAAGATTGTCGAGCGTCAGGGGCGAAGGTACATCAGCGACAGGTGTATAGTTGACTGTGGGCTTTGAGTTTTCAAGTAACGTCGCAAAAGCGGAGGGCATGTATTGGTCTTCGCTGTGCAGGTAGATAATGGGGCCTACATGGTGATAGGTTTAGCACGATACTTTGGTTAGAAGAAATGAATGGGATGTCCACTGTCATTTTCTTTCTGGCGGCATTTTCATTTATTGAATGCAAGACCCATACAAATCAACGGCGCAATAAGGTATAAAAAAAAACCGAAAAAGACCAACCATATTTAAGAACGAAGTCCGGGATACCGTCGTATTGCGCTAGGCAAGTCGCATCGACCAACAGGACGAATCTGAGACACTGAATCAGGAGCGATGCCACCAACATCGAGAGAGTTCGATGCGAGATCCACATCTTGCCAACCCTTTCCAGGTAGCTTATTGAGTCGGCGGGAAAGTTATTCTTTGAGGACCTTTTGCTCAATCGTTTTCCTTTCTTCTTCTCCAACCTATGGTAATCTCGCGATCTGTTCCAAGACGTCTCTCTCACTCTCTCCACTCTGGGGAAAAAAAATGTAGGACGTGTGCAACAGATAGCAGCGCCTTAATGCCAGGTTCTGTAGTTGTACATCAAGTATCTTAACTTGAACTCGTATTGTGCTGATATCAACTGTAGATGTAGAGGAACGCCAGCAACGATAATGGAGGGAGTTATCTCAGGTATCCAATATACCTAGTAACGAGGGCGAAGTGGAATGTACCACATTATATCGGGTTTGCCATTGCTCATTGCTCGGGCGATGGCACGGGATAGGGTCATCCTCACCCCATCCAAGCAAGTCCTATGCCACACCCTGTAGAGCATTCCCATGGTGACCATTTATGTACTGCTCCTGTACCTCGCTGCGCTGGGGATCAAATACCAACTGGTTGACTAAAACGCCGAACGGAAAACCGTTTTGCTGCTAACTATCAGAACTATCGGACTTTCAAGGGCCTCTATAGCAGCCGGGGGATATCAATAACGAGTCCGCCACCCTCAAGCTACCGATCTATATGGCATATCATAGAGACATAAGGTCTCCCAAGAAAAAAACATATAGATATTTTCATAGCAGGCATTGTATTTTTCATTTCTCTCCATATGACAATAACAACAATAACAGTCACTCACCACCACACAAACCACACCCATTTGACTTGGCCAATCCCATGGCCTCCCCTGAACAACTCAAAATTTGGAAGAACAAGCAACCCAGACCAAACTGGAAAGGGTCAAGTCGAGTCAGCAGCTTTGAGCTACCACCCAGTGAAGCTTGCAGCAGAAGTTTTGGAAGTTGGAAGAAGGATGATGGGTGGCTAAACCTTATCGCCAGCTCATGGCGCCATAGAATTAAATCCCGGATGTAAAGTATAATTTAATTGCTTCGATTTTCTCGGCAATTATATGCATCCACGTAATAGCAATAGTAATAATAATTAAGTAAAAATACATAACTCAACAAGACAACATATCTACGTTGGCTGAAATCCGCCATATGGCTGTGATGTAGTGCGTGTCGTGATCGAGGAGACCCAACTGTCAAATCATGTTCCTTGTTGAGTTGATACTAGACGCAGACCAGATATATACTATTAAGGACCCTCCTGTTTTTTTTATCCTCCACAATTCGGTAAATCTGCAGCAGAAACAAGAGATCGTCACCACCAGGCATAGTCCAGCTAACATACAGAGTACTCTAGCTGCATACACTTATGCAATGGTGGATATATTATATCATGCATGAACTACGCGCATGATGTGCGGACCGTATCTTGTGCATCCCCGTATCAGAAACCGTTCTACACTAGATAGATACATATATGCAAAAACTAATATGGGGAATAAAGCGAGGGAGAGCCCGGGGTTTGGGGAAGCGGGGTTGCGCGCCGCGCGGAAGCTGAGATATGAAGTTCAAAAGCCACCCGCGAAAGGCAGAAAACAAGCATCAGCGGCTAACACCTGTTGTCATATTGAGGCAAGTTAGCCATTATGTGCAATGTACAGTACATATACCTTGTCCATGTGGCACTCCAACAGAGCGGGGAGAGGGGAAAGCTGGATATCAAGAGAGGTTGGAGGGCCATGCATATCATATCATCGCTTAAGAAAGAAGCAAAATACGTCCAGGTACATGTACCACCTATGTTATTCATAGACATGTGTAGGTAGGTACGTACGTAACCAAGTCAAGATGTATAAAAGAAAACAACCCGGTGGAGCCGGCGGCTGATCCAAACGCACAGTTGAGCTGGAGATGAATTCGAAGTTTCAATAGATATGATAACGCCATGCCATGTCTTACCGTGCCATGCTATGCCATGTTATGCCATGTAACAAAAACCGCGAGCGAAAATAAAAAAAAAAACGATCTTGCCAAATCTCTCAGCTGAGAGTTTTCCAGCATCCGCTGCCGGATGTAGCTGGGAGTATGATCATATGAGAAAAAAAGAATGGGTACCATCACACAGCAGCAGAACGACGGACCTTGTCGTAGTTTATGTATGTATGTATGGATGTAGTGCCATATTCATCTAGGGCCCCTCCATGATCCGTATGTCAAGCAAAACCTGCTGCGTAGTGTGTTACCACCTGCACATTTGTGTCTTGTGTTCACAGCCGTGGAGGCGTTTTTCCATATTTTTTTTGCATGAAGATCATCTCGGGAACCCGCATGTCCCATACATGAGCTGACAATGATAATGAAACAAAGAGGTTTGCATAATTTATGGCCCCCCAAAGAAAACAAAATACGATCAACCACCTCACTGAGGAGCTTAATAACTGGTACAGTGATGGCGCCATTTTTTCCCGGAACTGGGTGGATAAACAAACAATAACCGTGAAAGCCAAGCTAACCTGACCATTACATCATTCGTCCTGAAAGGAAAAAATTGTCGAAAAGTTGCCCATGCCTCCTTCTTCTTCGTCTTCTTCAGGGCCCTTGCTTCTCTCGCATGAGCTTGAACACGCGCAGGTCCAGGGGTATACGCTCGCCCATCCATGTGGCTCGTTGTGTATGGTTTCGCTCCTCCTCCCGCTCATCCCCCGTATTGGGATGGATCAGGGCGCTCAGCGGGCCACGGTTTATGATAAGCCACGGGACAAAAGCCCCAAATTGCGCTGGAGTAAAAAGGTTGACTTCGAACATCGCGACTGTATGAGGTCCAATGGGCCGGTCGAAGAAGGAATAGATGCGAAGTTCGGGAACTATGCCGGCGGATGTGTTCGTGAGTATTGCGCAGTTAAGTTCAATAAAAGTAAGAAAGTGGGGATGATTGATTGAATTGATTCTCGAAATGGAGATATCATATGCTACCGTTGCAGTTCACATCCGGCATGCATTTATCCTCTCAGGTCTATTTCATCTTCGGGATGGAAATCGAGAACAAAGATAGGTAACGCAATGGCTGGAGGAAAGGCTTGTGGATTACATTCATGACGTATCCGTTGCCAAAGCGCTTTGGCAAAGTTGACCTGGTCTGGGTTGTTCTGTTTTATGTGTTATTTTGCACTGAATTCGATGCATGTCGTTGTGTCAAGGACGACGTCGTGTGGAAAAATACGTAACATCCAAACATCGAGCATGCAAAGGCAACAGCAGAGGCAGCAGCAGCAGACCAACCTGGTAGTGGTAGATGTGAATATCGAAGCCACCCCGATGGCCTTTCTCCAGTGGGTCTGGGAATTCCTCGTATGCCTTGCTCAGGATCCCATGCTGCGGGTTCCTGAACGACTTCCCATCTTCATTGCGTTCCCTAGCCCAATATCGAAGCATCAGAAAAACGAACTGTGATGCTGCGGTTGCCAGATGCTTTTGCTGTCCTACACATACTCTGGAAGAGGGGGAAGGTTTTCATAGCCCTCAAGCGGCGAAGGGTAGAAAAAGGCAAACTGGTCTGTCATTATAAATAATAGCCGATAAAGTGAACAGGATTAGAGATTGGCGACTAGAGAGATTGGCTATTATGCTTGGTTTTGGGCGGATGGAGCGCACGGAAGGTAGCTGGGAGAGGTGGTTGGACTGTGCGGTGTCTCAGCCTATTGCAGGCTCATGAACGGGAGAAGTTTGGGTTGTTAAGGTTGTTTTAGCTGCGCCTGGTCGGGAATCCGGAAGCGCTGATGGGGAGTTTAGGTAGTGTCACTGCCGAGCTGGGCGGATTCGGGGCTATATTAACCAATTCTTAATTTTTCAACGCTCGATACGTTTGGGTGGTGTTATGCGGGATTGCGGTTTGGCGGCACGGGGCATTGTCGCATCCGCTGAGGCTCAGGCTGACCAATCCGAAACCGAGGGACCCGATCACAGCCAGATCAAATCGAGGCTCAAGCACCGTTTTGAATCCGCAACCATTACTCCCTGTGCCTTTACTACTGTGAAATATTTGAGGATGTATGATTGCCTCTCATAATACGAGTAAGTGGAGGATTGTGGGTCTTGCGAGAAAGTGAGTCAGTGGATGTCTGCGCTATGAAAGTGGCTCTAGGAGTATGAATTGATTCTCGTCATTGTCCTCGTCTGCACCTGTCAAGGTCTTTTCTTTCTCCATAGGAAGATCTGAACAGTCTGTTATCATTTGTTTAGCCATTGCCTAGGAGGCCAAAAAGCCTCCTGGGCACCTGTGGGCCGTGGAAGGCGATAATAATATTATGCAAAGACGAAGATTAGCGCAATGTGGGTGGTCCGGATTCATCCAACACGAAGCTAAACTGCTTAGTGGCTTCCAAGCAAGCTCCCCAAGACAAGTACAAGGGAAAAAAAAAAAAGGAAAGAAGAACAGCAAAAGCACCACGCCATGATCTCAAGGGCCCCAATGCCCCCAAAGCCTGCCACGGCTCCCTTGGCAACCCGGCACCTCTGTGCGTGCCTTACAAGGGCTCGCTGCTCCCTTGGGGCCCTTGACTGGGCTGGTCGAGTTCCATGCAATAAGAATGATATGCAGGAGGTTTCGCTGGCCAGTCAAATCAGAAGAAATCAACTTGAACATTTCTGTTCTAGACCGTCTCCCCGCTTTTCCGACGTGGGAATCACTTGTTACGGCTTGACATCCTCAATGTCCAACAGAGTCCCAGTTTTTAGTTCTTCCACATCATACACACCCTTCTCCGTCCGCGTTCGTTATTCTCGATGCAACTCCTCTGTCTTGTCTTTTACAGGCCCGCTCTATTTCCTCTTGGGTCCGCATCTGGCAGATGAGACTCGGAACCCTTCCCTTAGGTCAGTTGTCAGTATATTAGTGCTGTTATATCCTCGCACAATTCGATTAATCACATCCACAGCCCTGCTCCGTGCTGCAGTTTTTCAGTGCTGGGTAGCCTTGTGTTACGAAGGGCAGAAAAAAGAAATTTGAAGGAAAAATAATGAAAAAGTAAGAAAAAAAGAAAAGAAAAAGAAAAAAGTAAATAAGGGAACAAAAAAGCAGAAAAATAAAGAAGGTGAACTCCGTCCTCTCCAAAGGTCGCGCGATCAATCCCGTCAACAGCAATTTGCCAGCACAAAATCTGCCCTTTGCCGCGCATTTCGGAGACCTGGCTGAGGGTTGGGTCTGTTTTTTCTCTGACTTGTCCATGCTACATCCCTACCCGACCCGACCTGACTTCAATCAATTCCTTTGAAGCGAGAGCGGTTTTCCCAATGGCCATCGGGCTGCAATTCAGCGACCAAACGTGATGGAAGGCTAGACCCTGCGAGATCCCGTCTTGTATTCCAGAAGCTCACTGTGTGAAAGAATACTCTCTGCCTGTACGTGCGCATCTTCATCGACAAGGTGGGCTTACTTGCGATGATCTCTCCCTCTCCCTTTTCTTTGGTATTATTATTATTATTATTATTTTTTTTTTCGTTCTATATTCCTAAACCCGTTTCCTCCCACTTGTTCCACTATATCTTCTTCCTTTTGATTTCCCCTCCCTTCTCCATTTCTGAACGAGGGGGAAATAAAGAAGGAAAAAGAAAAGAAGGAAGGAAGCGAAAAAGAAAGAAAAAAAAAACTATCCATCTTCATAGTCTTTTGTTCTCTGCGAACGGCATCGTGGGCAGTATCCAGGCTTGGTGTTTGGTTGATATCGCGACCGCAGTTTAGCTGAATGAAAAAACGTTGAATAACAGTGCGAAAAATCTAGGCTCCTTGGGTTTTGAATCAGCCCACTGTCCGAAATAAAACAATAATACAGCTAGTTGCCTGAAAACTCGCTGCCTCGCGATGCACAATTCATATACCTTTCTTCTCCCGACCTAAATCAGTTTCTTGCATATTCCGTTCTCGCACCCTCCGGAAGCATTGGTACGATAAACACGTCAATGCTTATAATCAACAACGTTCTATGGGTTTTCACTTAGAAGCAACTTGCCTTCAATAAAATATATTTCTGGCTCCTTTATAATGACTATTTGTCGAACCCTGACACTGTTCGCCGAATTTTCACCTTAATCCTTCAGAATATGGCACGAAAAGATCGGGACAATATGGCTCTATCGGTCATGGTGGAGGCCAATTTGTTTACTGCGATGAAGGCCACCTCTTTTAGCACGTATCCCGGGGACACTTTGGCACACGTTTTGGCAGCACGTCTTGATCGAGTTCAACCTCAGGGCCCCAAAGGACAATGGTCCCCTGTTAGGGTCATTTCTGATTCCGATGATGAACCCGACCAGAGCGGCGATCATCAATGCTGGACCTTAACTACAGATCATACAATATATCCCAATAACCCAGAATGGTTTGACGAATGTGAGCAGTGCCGTTTTTCCGCATTTGCTTTGTTTACTCCTTCCGTGGAGGGGAAGACGACGCGGTTGACATGTTTTCATGACGTTCATGGTCGAAATACGTTTTTTGCTGACACATACCCAGACGTAACTCAATCCATTAAAATCATCTCCCCGACATACTTCATTCACGGGCCAGGGTGGGAAGCTGATTTCCAACGGGTATTCTCACAAAGATCAGAGCACTATAACCCTATCGTGCGGTACGGAATCATGTACACTGAGTACAATCCTAGTACGAGTCTCAATGTACACATAGGAAACGGCACAAATCCCAACGCGGGTTTTCCTTTTCACACCATCCGCAACCTTGCCATGATTTTACTGGTATACGAGCCTGAAGTGGACAGAATGCTCCGCCTGCATACCTTCCCTGCTCATCAAAACAACCCCGTAAGTCATAATTTCCTCCCTCATCGATGACCATTTTTCATACTTTATAGATTAACACAAGATGATAGAAGCGATGGTTAACGCCCCTTAAAAGCCCACACTTTCTCCCTCCAAATCTCCCCCATTCATGTCCTTCTGACATGTTAGCTTCTCATCTCCTGAACACATGCCCCGATATGCGGTCGCTCGTTAATGCAATGAACCCAAGTCTTCCTGAATTTCGTCAACCGAACAGCCACTTTTACTTCAAATACGATTTCTCTTCGCTCCTAGATCCTACGGAAGAGCCAAGCTCAGCCACAAATCAGCCCAATGGGTATCCTGCTCCTCCACAGCCAGCACAGTCGAAACAAAAAACGATCCAATTCCGCCTTCCAAGCAACTTGGTGGTAGATCCTGAGATATTAATACATTGGGTTAGATTACTCGGGAGCCTGGTGGAATTTGCGAGCGAAGTACACCTTGATACACTGAACGAAACCCTAGGAGTTACTGTCCCGGATGCTGAGACTATTGGCAACCAAGGAGGCACGGTAATAGGTACAAGGCCACCAGAATTTGCCTCTCCTCAACCTCTAGGATCGTTATTGCGCCTCTTTACAGCTATGGAACAAGCACAAATTCCGTTGGATTCCGACACCGCACGCTTCTGGTACCGACGGAGGACGAGAGCGTGAAAACCCGGCGTTTATTGTTGTTATCTAATGACATCCTCTATGAATTATCGCAGCGGTCATCTGACAGGAGACGGATCACAGGAGGATATTAGCTAAAATTTTGAGAGATGACATACGGAAGGATTGTCAATCCTTCCTCATGAGTCATGACTTAAATAATCACGATGAATGGGCGAACAACTCGAATTTGGACATTGAATCTCTAAACTCTCACCTAAGATTTTTTTTTCCAACTATCGTAAACGTTGGAAGAACTCTACGCCCTCACCCCGTTGTTTGAACCTTACTTTCGAACACATGGTATCCAACTGGTGGATCGTAAATGATAAATTCCTTGAGTCCATACCTACCTAGACGTCCACTATTCGATTGAAGATTGCACTGGTTGGGTATTTGGAACAGTTTACGAAGTTACATCCGATGATTTCCCCGCCCTCCTTTCGAAATCTGTCTATTTTTATATCCCTCTCTTGCTCTAAGCAACAGACTGAAAAATGCAATGACCTTACAAGAGGGACCGATGGAACGCACGAAATTAAACTCCCGGAGACGGAGAGAATATATATCTCGGGTACGCGGGTATTTATCAGGATAAGGATGGTGATAAAAAAAATCGTTGGCCTCTGCCACCGAACGGATAGAATGCGCTTCAAGAACTAGATGATTTTCCTGTTCCCTAGGGTGTGTGTTGGTGTCTTTATGCTTTTTTTCTCTCTATAATCACCATGTCTTGACATTTTTGTTTCTGCTCCATTGCCTGGCCTTTCCTTTCTCTCCTGTTCCCTTTCGCCCCAAGTTATGTTTAATACTTTTTATACCCCAGCGCAATCCTGCGCAATCCTGCGTACCTCCCACTAAACCCCCTTTCCAGCAGCATTTCCTGTTTGTGTCCCAAAATTTAATTTCCATTATATTTTCCTTATCAAGTTTTACCCGGTTTCACCTTTCTACCCCGTATACAACAATGAAAAAAGAATATATTACATGTATTTTGTGTCTTTTCCCACTCCCAATCCCATCCCCTCAATTTCTAGAGAGATATCCACGAAAATGAACACCAAGAAGTTAAACGCACAAATAGTACCGCATATACAATTATCTGCATATACACACCCGCACACGCACCCATCCACATCCATATCCACATACATACATAGCCTAATACATTAACTTTTAATAATACAAACGTGATTGAGCCAACTTAATCCATCAATCTCTTACATCCAGAGGAGGAGCGCACCCATCATCAACGTTTCCCTCCCATTTGTCACACTCATCTCCAATCCCTTGTGCGCTCTCCCATTCTAGCTATACTGCCAGAATCAGCTCTTTGCATATACATCCCTCCAGCCGAGTCCAGCTACACTCTGTGCATTAATATGGGTAAAAAGCGGAAAGATGGTACTATGGGGCTTGGGGGTGAGCGATAGTGCTTGCGACTACGTACATGTACGAAATGCGGCACCTAAAGAGCGCATAGCAACGGCCAGAAATATAAAACATGATATACATGGCCTTGATCAGGGTGGCATTCGTTTGTTATTCTTGTTTGGTCCGTCTGAAGTTGTTTTACACAACGTTAGAATAACAGCTGCAGCCACATACGACAGATGGCCTAATCTACTTGCGAGGGACTGATGTCATGGACAGCTTTGGTGGTTTGTTGTCAAAATGGAGAAAGTGGAGAAGACGCCCCATTTGGGATGATTGATGATTATGTGAGAGGTGAGTTATGTGGTCTATTATAGTGAATTCATGCGATAAGATATGGAGGGAGCCCATGAGGGATGGTAGAGGTGACGGGACAAAAGTGCGCCAGCCCTGGGGAAGGGGACACACGGTGGGTGGAGTGGTTTATTGAGTCAAACGAACGAGATGCATGGAGACTAAAGGTCGGACATACATCTCGTACGACCGAAACAACCTGGGGATGATATATCCAGGTATCCAGGTAAGTCTGTGCCGTATATAACTCATGCGAATAGCATCTATCAGCAATTCATGTAACCACGGCTGCAAGTGCAATAATGAGGATGATATACGAAGACAGGGTGGACAAAGCTAGCAATATGATGACAACATCCAAAAAGAAATAAAAAACAACAATATGCCAAAGTTATGGCTATGGCCAAATCCGCTCTTCCACCAGTTAAAACGCCCGATAGTCGTTTCGCAGAATTGCAAAAACTACCACTCAGGCCTAACATCAACGCGCCCGTCATCCGTCAAAACTTTCCCACGATCCCACTCCCTCTTTTCTCCCTGTTTCACCCACCTCACATCCTCCACATCCCTATCCCTATCGCGGCCAATATCTCTGTGCCCCACGCCATTGGCACCACCATCCAACCCCACAAACGCCCTATTACTAGCCCATTTCTCAATAATCCCTTCATCAAACCCAGCTTCACGAAGCCGATCTGCACCCTTCCGCCTCCACAAAGCACGATCCCGCAACGCCTCAAGAGCCATGTCCCAGTCATCGTCCTCTGCCCTCGCCAGGCCAGCCACCGGCCTTCGTCGGATGTGATTTTTGGGGTTGGTCGTGTTACCATAGCCATCCCCATCGTCGTCATCTGGTTGGACATCGAGGAGCGGGTCGTAACCAGATGCGAAGTGGGCATCGATGTTGCTTTTGTTCTTATACGCACCTCTACCACGAGACCGGAGCGGTGGAGCTTCGTTTTCAGCAGGGGGTGGAAGTGGGCCAATGAGGCTTTCTAGAGGATCTGAATCTGAACCTGGATCTGAATCTGATGGGTCTATGGTATCAAGCTTTCGCGACGGAGATACGGAGTCGGGACCGCCGTGGTGCGTTGAAGTTTGACGATGTGTTGGAGACTTTCCCCCATTTGCAGCAGGTAGTTTGTCTCGCAATGGAGTAGCTGTACAGTCTGTGCCGGTTCGGGGATGTTCATCATGTGATTCATTTAGATCTTTGAGCCTCCCTTTTCGGGAATTGGAGTGTTCAAGTGAGTAACGTCGAGGTCGTGGTGGAGAGCCTGACTCACAGTGACGGCGCCTTCTACCGTGAGAGCGACGTTCACGAGAATTATCACTTGCCCTGTGCTTTTCTGGGGAATGAGCATGTTCTGCATGCCGCCGGCTACTGGTGGAATTCGGTGGGGCCGGTTATCCTCCCTCTTATGGTGTCTCGATTTCGACGACGTGCGTCTCCCGGGCTTATCATCATCATCGCTGTTCTCATCGTATCGCCTTCCCCTCATTCTCTGATCGCTTCTCTTTTCCCTCCCTCGTTCTCTCTCCCGGTCACGCGAAGTATGTCGATTCCCCTCATCTTTTCCATTTTGTCTTTTAGAGCAATCTTCACGTTCATATTTTTGGTCTAAGGTAGCTTCAACCCTTCGTCGCTTCGCCGCATTCACGTTATGCAGATCGCGCTCCTGCTTCGAGCCAGACGAACGCCCATTCTCATGTCGCAATGCCCTCATTCTCCCACGGGCCTCTTCCTCCTCCTTTTTTTTAAGACTCGCATTATGGATGTCCGTTTCTCGAAGTATATTCTTCAAAAATCGAGTATTTGGTTTTGGGACTCGCGCGGACGGCCTAGAGTCAACGGACATTCCACGCCAGTCAGACAATGACACAGATCTGTATAAAGTAGTTTAAAACAAAAAACACACATACCTTTTTAGTGGGGCAAAAGCACTCATTCCTATAGCAGAATATCGTAGGGAACTATCACGCGCATCCTTCGCAAGGAGTTGGGCCACATATTCGTCATCGTTGAGGTCCGGGGCTTTCACGGAGCCCGCCTCCTTCGATTTAGACATTATGTCAACGGGCACGCCATGTATGAGAGAAGAAGCTCGAGTGCGAAGATATATATCGCCTGTGCCGTCCCATGAGGGATGTAGGGAGAAATCGAGTCAGACAGAGCCTTGCCTTCAGTCATGTATGCGGAGTTGGTTCATGCCGACGGGCGGATGCAAACAGGACAAACATCTATGTTTAAATGCCTCCGAGTCGAGGGGCACTTGCTGATAACGGGAGCTGCCGCGGAATAATTTGATTGCGAGTTGTTACTTTCGCCCGCAGGAACCTCCCATTGCCTGATCCTTCACGGCATTGATGAGGTAAAAATCGCTTCGCTCTATATATTACTTATTTGTTTTCGGAAACGACTCGAGATAGCATGGCTTCCGCCTCTCCCTCGGAAGCGCTGGCCGCGCTCAAGCAAATAGCGCCCGACACTCACCTCTCAATTGTCAAAATCAGCGAACCCATCTCTACTACAACAGACACAGCCAGTTCAACACAGTCGCCATCCAATCGGCGTTCGGACGTATCAACAGATGCGTTTTACAATCCCACGCCCTCGTCATTAGAAGAGGATCTAACCCATTACAAGGTGCGTGGGTACCCCCACTCGGCATTTTGGCATGTGCAATTGAAGCCAAAGTAACCCCACAATCTGACTGAGTATATTATATACCGTGGAATTTAGGAACTTTTCTCGAAACTCCGCTTCTCATACATCGAGCAAGTCACGAAGGAAAAATTTCTGCGCTCTATTGTCGGTGACCCGCCTCTCGTTGTTGGCCATCATGAAAATATTGAGCTCGAGGCGGAGTTGGCGAAAGTGAAGGAAGAGCTACAACGGCGGAAGGAAGAAGTTAGACTAATGATTGAGGAGATGGAGAAAATGGGGAGGGCGCTGGCTACGCGTAAAGCAACACTTTCCTTCGTCAGCATTGATTGTTTCGTAAAGCTCTTTTATTGACGCCTCCTTTCTCCCGATTTTAGGATATAAGAAAGTCCAGCTCCAGATGACACAGTTATCAGATCTCCCCGCCTCAATAGAAGCCCTCGAAACCACGATATCTACGCTACGCGAAGCGGCATCCCATGGCCCACACGCGTACCAGTCTGGCTCTGCTCTGTCTTCTTCTCAGACACTATCGTTACCAGCCACTCTTGAACTCATTGCGGAGCGGGAAGTGGAATTAGCTGCCCTAGACCGTCAACTGGCCTCGGTCAACTCGTCACTGCCACGGAGTACAAGGGAAGCTGACGCGATGGAGAGAGAATTGGCGAGACTGGAAAAGAAGAAGATTGAGAGTGTGGCACAGGCTAAGGAAGCTCAGAGAAAGAAGCAGGAAGGTGAGAGTGATGGGCTGGAAGAAATGGGAAGGTGGTATAGAGGCGCGGAGAAGGGCTTGAAAGATTTAGTGGGAGTTGAGGGATAAGTGTGAAGCAGAATTTATTTTATTTTTGGGTGGTTATTCTCACAAAGTTTGAATGGCGTTATGGGCTGTTAATTTGAGCAGAGCAACTGCTAAATTTATTAAATCAGGAGTCATTGAATTCATATTTCACGTTAAATGGTTGAAAGGCTAGCTTTTTTGTATTGCCGTCAAATAATTTTGCAACTCGTCTAAGATCATACATCAGGGTATGCCAGATAGCAAAAAGCTCCTCCCTTTCATAATCAACTTCGCGCACACATCTACTCCTCGTCCTCTTCCTCCTCTTCTTCATCTCCCTTCTCACCAGCCTTGTTCTTCTTTCTGCGGACACGGCCATGGCGTCCGCCACCGAACGGCGAGGTAAGAGCAAAATCAATGTGCTTCTGAGAGTCGAGACGGACGACAAAAGAAGGGACATTGACAATTTGCTTTCCAACACTGTAAAACGTTAAAAAGCGTCGGTCAGAGCGCGAACCACAATACCATGGATGGGGTTGAATGGAGTAGACTCCATGATTCTACACATACCGGATGTGGCGCTGCTTGATGAGGACACGAGCGTGATGGATAGACTTTGCCAAACCGAGCTGGTACACCTGGGTCTGGAGACGGCGCTCCAAGAAATCCTCGACCTTGAGAGCCAAGACGTAATCGAGCTTCATGCGGGACTCGTCGAGCACACCAACACGGACAAGACGGCGAATCAAGGCGTTACCCTCGAACAGGCGCTTAGGATCTTTCTCGTCAAGAGTGAGGAGCTCACTATATACCAGGCAAACCCGTATTAGCAGTGGTTCCTAATGCGATATAATAATCTTTGCTGAAGTGTCTGAGTGAGGTTCTCCATACCGAGCAGCACGTCGAATCTTGGACAAGGTAAGCTGAACACGCCAGACTTCGCGCTTGTTGCGGAGGCCATATTTGCCAATAATTTCCAATTCGGAGTCACTAGCGAGGGAATCATGTTAGGATATCTGACACAACGACATAAGCAGAGACAAGCTACTGCTCAGTGGCCTGAGGATACTAACAGACGTGCCGACTCGTATGCTACACAGAAAGAAAACACAATAGTCAGTATACTGATATATCTTCAAGGATAGTTAGCCAGTACATACGACGACGAGGGACCTTGTAGGTCTTGGAGTAGGAGCGCCTAAAAACATTTTAACAATTAGAGAATCGCCCATTTTATCCCGCACGAGTTAAGTATTCCAAAACTCACGGAGCCATGATTGACGATACGGCTGCACGATCCGGTTTGTCGAGGTTAGTAGAGAGGGGATTGTCGTTGTCGTTGTCGAGTTGAAAACGAGAGGAGCAAAAGAATGATGCTTGAATATTTGATGCTGAATGGAGCTCGCTTAGACATTGCGTGGGCGATTACTTGTTTTGGTCAGAATTAGGGTTGAACCCGCACACGGTCCGGCTAAGCGAAAAAACCAACCACCCCCCCAACGACGACAAGCTTCACTTCAGTCGGTCAGTAGGAAGCAATCTCGACATCGACAATCGCCATCGCCATCTGACTACCTCATATCCGTCAAGATGGGTCACTCTCACGGTCTGAGATCTGGCACTCGGGTATGTTGTGTTCTTTTCCATTGCTCCATTCGCAATCGATGCGTTTCTGACATGAGAATTTGATATTTTGTAGTATGCCTTCTCCCGCGACTACAAGAAGCACGGCGTTATCCCTCTTTCCACTTATATGAGAGTTTACCGGTATGGAATGATATACTCTTGTCGGGTTTAGATTTGAGAGATTTGGATCTGACTCCAGGTATAGGGTTGGTGACATCGTGGATATCAAAGTCAACGGAGCAGTTCAACAGGGGTCAGTACCAATTACGTCCTAAACCTCGAATCGTGGCCGATTGCTGCGTAGTCGATCGCTGTTATGAAGAGGCCCTTTGTCTACTCATAAAACTCTCGGCGCTGATACATTTGGTGGTACATCTTATAGTATGCCATTCAAGGTCTACCACGGCAAGACCGGTGTTGTCTACAACGTGACAAAGTCCGCCGTTGGCGTCATCATCTACAAGCGCGTCGGAAACAGATATATGGAGAAGCGCGTCAACGTCCGCATCGAGCATGTTTCCCACTCCCGATCCAGAGAAGAGTTCCTCCGGCGAGTCAAGGAGAACGCTGTCAAAAGACGGAAGGCCAAGGAGGAGGGTATCCACATCCATCTAAAGAGACAACCAATCGGACCCCGGGAGGCAAGAACAGTAAGCACTGAGGGGAATATGCCAGAGACAATTACACCTGTTGCATACGAGACGACTATCTAAAAAAAAAACAAAAATCAATTATCCGTGTTGTATGGGTTTGGGATCCTGTTTTTTGCCCTTTTATGACTACTTTTCCTACTACATGTCACAGTGAAATAGCGCATTGCACTGGGCGGCGTGGAGGAGCGCGGGCTCTACATACGATATACGACGATATCAATCAGCGCAACAATAGATGCCGGGCATATTAGGAAATTAATTTTTCTTTTTTTTTTGTCAATCAATGGAGCTATTCGTACTTCCTCAGATTTCACTTCTTCGGCAGGGAGGGGCATTTCGTTATCTTACCATGATGTGCCGTGGCCAACTTTGGTATCTGGATTTTGCGATTCCGTTCATTCGCGACTGATACTAGTAGCATTCAGGGGTGACTTCACTCACGTTCATCCAATCCACAAACAAGTAAAGTGGATCTCCTATAGCCTCGAGTCATGAAACCCTACAGGCCAACATGTTTAGATGATAATTCCACAAGATACGTTGTATAGCAACCGGGTTTTCCACACTTCCCCGCTGTCTCCCATCGGAATCTGACACCAGATGACAAGGATCTTATTTCTCACTTGAGCTTCTCGGAATAATGAAATTCCGATATAGAGTGCAACATAACGGTATGTGCGGTACACTAGTCCGTGATAGGAAATTTACAACATAACTGGAATAGTCACGTGCAAGGAACCTGATCGGGGCGGCGTAACCAATAGAGCGGCCCAATAGAGAACGAGTGTAATAAAAAAACTCAGGTCGATAACGATGATCAATGGAAGCATTTCACTGATATTGAGAGAACATTCTCCCTACCATGATAACGCAGGAGTTTTCGTATTTCTAATTTCTTTTTTATTTCTTGTGTCCTTTTCTGTTTTCTTCACGGTGTCCTCGATGCAAATCATTTGATTTGTGAGCGATAATTCCGAACCTCCCCTCACCATGTACTCCTCACATTCCCAGGATCCTACGAGGCGCGCTCGCATTGAAAATGAGAAGCAAGGTTCGCGACAGTCTATAATGATACAGCAGGGGGAAACTGATGATGTGGGAGTTTCTCCTCGACCAACGGAAAAGCCGGATGCGAGATCTTGGGCTCACTTCGTGGCCGGAGGGTATGTGAATATCAGACTCCGTTTTAGTAAATACTCAGATTATTTTAATGTCAATATCGAAAATGGAAGTTGTTAACCCAACCCTAAATAGGATCGGCGGGATGACTGCGGCTACTGTTACCAGTCCACTCGATGTCCTAAGAACGCGTCTTCAATCAGACTTCTACCAAGCCCAACTCCGTGCGCTACGCCACGCACACCCCCTACCTCAATCAACATCCATCCTAACCCTCCCCCGGAGCGCTCTACTACATTTCACGGAAACTCTTCAAATGCTTAGGTCGATTCATGTCCATGAGGGATGGCGAGGCTTGTTCAAAGGCCTAGGACCCAACTTAGTAGGCGTAGTCCCAGCGAGGGCGATCAGCTTCTATGCCTACGGAAATGGCAAACGTCTATTAAACGAGTATTTCGAGTATGACCCGGCCACTTCGCCGGTGGGTATTCACTTGACAGCCGCGGCGATGGCTGGTATTGCGACAGGAACAGCCACAAATCCAATCTGGCTAGTTAAGACGCGGCTGCAACTCGACAAGGCCAATGCTTCCAACGTACCTGGCAGAGGGCGCCAGTACAAAAACAGCTGGGACTGCATCAAACAGACTGTGCGCCACGAAGGAATTCGAGGGCTCTATCGTGGACTTTCCGCATCGTATCTCGGAGTCACCGAGAGCACGGTCCAGTGGGTGATGTATGAGCAGATGAAAAGGATACTCGCTGCAAGGGAGGCGCGCTTGCTTGCTGATCCGACGCATGTACCGAGTTTGGTCGATGATGTTGAGGTCTGGGTAGGGAAACTGTTTGCCGCGGGTTTCGCTAAGTTCTTCGCTGCTGCCGCCACGTATCCTCACGAAGTTGTACGCACCAGGCTGCGGTTGGCTCCCACGGTATCAGTTTCGGGGGGCAAGGCGCAGATGAAGTATACCGGGTTGGTCCAGTGCTTCCGGCTGATCTTCAAAGAGGAGGGCATTGCAGGCCTGTATGGGGGTTTAACGCCTCACCTACTACGAGTTGTACCGAGCGCTGCTATCATGTTTGGAATGTGAGTTTTGGGCAACCACCCACTTTCGCTGCATTGCAGTTTGCTCTTTTTGTTCTTCCAAGTCCCAAGCCCATCTGTTTCATTTTCTGCTAACATTCTCACCCAAACCTTAGGTATGAAGTGCTCCTGCGGCTCTTTGGTGCCACAGCATGAATACTCTCCAATTCAATACCCACCCACTCGTCGTCAGATCTGCAGTCTTTCTCTCGCAAAACTGCTTCGATAATACCTCATCCAAACGGGCAGCATGTCAATACCTCCTCTTTAATCATTTTTCACCGCCATCCAAATCCCCACTTAGTGTGTTTGCATTTCTCCAAGGCGCTTAGGGTTTATAATAGACATATAAAGAATCCTCCAGTAAGTAATGGTTTACTGTGCTGAGAGGCTAGATTTTCAAGGGAACCATAGCCCGTGGATCCTGATCTTTTATGCTTTTTTTTACCTTTGGGGAATCTTCCCTTTTTTTCGTCCTACTTGGATAAAGTGTGTATTTTTGTTCTGTATTTTTGTGTTATCATTTTCGCTTGAAAGCAACGGGGCCGGATGGGGTTTAAATACTCATTCTAGATGCAATCTTTTGTATTATTTATGGGAAGGGTTGTTGGGGCGTTCTTTTGGGAATTGGGTGGTTTATCCTATAGTTATTGGTGTTTTCTTTCTTGTTGCTTCTCTTTCTTTTTTTCTCCTGTACAACTTGTCCCCTCTATTTCAAGCCGCGAGGGCCCAACCGCTCCAACCTGATGTACGATACATGACACTTGTAGCTATGTAGCCACGCATTTATTTCATTCACATCGCATTCAACGCACAGTACCTTAATTAAATCCCTCAGAAGGCCCGCCTCGATACCTATGCGAACATTCCCCTCCCTCGAAGGGCCGAGCATGATCTGCGCCTTTCCATCATCCCTTTTTTATTCGTCCAATGGTCAGGCTACTGTGCCAGCTGTCAAGGCAAGCGCCACATTATGGCGCCAACCACTCCTGGATCGGAGGAATGAAATTGCTAGCGCTGCGTTTGCTTTGCATGGGATAAGTGGAGGCTCTTGACACAAAAAATACACTATCACAGGACAGTACTAGTCTGGCCAACAGTGAGCTATCATCTTTTCGGGTTTATCCATCTATCACTGACGAGTTTGAAAACCGTTCTGTCAAGATCGAGTACACGGTTCAGCTCGACATTGTTTCCAGCTTGACGCAAGTGCCTTTAACGTCGTCTAGTTACTGGATCTACACCCGTCTGCAATTTCTAAAATGCGCAGATAGCTATATTGTCAGTGCAGGCACTAGCAAATTGCTCCCAGAGTCACAGCCAGATCTCGCGTTGATTATCTTGGAAGGGGATGTTTCATCCCTCTGTTCGGCTCAGAAAAGAAATGAAAATTTAGAGAGGGCGGTAAATCTTTTCTGTCGCCGTTTTCCTGCATCTGATCAAACACGTGATACACAAAGAATCTGTTGCCCTCTACTACCTGCATGGCGCTGGTGTGAGAGAGCTCCCAGTGGCCTAACGGAATCAATATATACAGCATGGGTCAATAATTTTCCCTTCCATCAACACCGCCAGCATATGTTTTCTCCTGCTTCCCATCTTGTAAATTTTGAACATTTATCAGTTACAGTCCACCTTACTTCAGATAGCCGAGCCACCTAACATTGCGATCAGAGCAAAAATCGATCTTGATGCCAGAATCTGTCACTGATGGTCAAAGAAATCCTTGAAACTTTTCACATTATCAGTCGACACTATGTACCTCGTTTCCGAGTCTGCCAGACTACATTCCGCACTATGTCTGCGGGTCGCTCGCTGGCCTGCTACTCCCCCTTATCGTGTGAGTTTGCTACTACTGAAAACATGCAGTTCAGCGGTGTTAATCTGATACAGCACTGAGTCCGGACCATGAGTTTTTTCGTTATACGCGTGACCGATTCATTCAAAATGAAGCTCATGAAATGGCGCAGCGATACATCCACTTTGACGTTAAAGAGTTAGCCCATGTTGGGGCGGCGGCTGTTGGTGCCAAATCTTGCCTCAACATCGAGAAGTACCTTGATGGCATGTACAATAAAGCTTTCCTACTTACTCTGGACAATGGCATGCAAGCCGTGGCAAAGATTCCTAATCCTAATGCTGGCCTTCCTCACCTTACTACTGCCAGTGAAGTAGCGACAATGGAATTTGTATGTACCTATGCTTCACACCAACTATTGAGTCCCTGTTGATTTATTGTTGATAGGTGCGCAGCGTATGCAAAACTCCTGTTCCCCAAGTATATTCATGGAACTCGAGGCCAAATTCTGTAGGCGCGGAATATATCATTATGGAGAAGGTTCCCGGCGTGCCGCTAGATTCAGTCTGGCCTCGCATGGAAATCGGAGACCGCCTTGAAGTAGTAAAAACTATTGCTCGGTACCAAGAAGAGTGGATGTCTATTTCATTTGATCACTTTGGTGGCCTGTACTTTACGCAAGACCTTGATGGAATTAGGCATCAAAATATGTCTTACGAAAAAGGAGGGGTCACACTATTGGATGAGAGATTTGCCATTGGGCCATCCACGGGCAGGGAGAGAGTTGATCATGGGAGGAGTACTGTTCAATTTGACCGTGGACCATGTAAGTCCCTCCATTATGAGTTGTGACACCCTCAGACTAAGAGAACATAGGGTCGACAGTGGTAGAGTACCTTACAGCAATAGGCCGTCAAGAGATCACCTGTGTGAAAGCGCTCCCGAATTTACCCAAATCACCAATTGCGTTGTATGGTCCAGGGACGTACCGGCCCACAAGGGCAAGGAAACTCAAAGCTCTAGAGCTCTATCTCACCATGATCAAATATCTCTGTCCAGTTGACCGATCTATAACATCATCATGTCTCTGGCACGATGATCTTCACGGCGAAAACATCTTTGTGGACCCTAAATCCCCTACAGAAATCGTCGGAATCATTGACTGGCAATCCACTGAGTTAGCTCCGTTATTTCATCATGCACGCCAGCCTCACCTTCTGGATTACGACGGCCCCCAACTTCATGGTCTCGAAAGGCCTAAGTTGCCCGAGGATTTACTCAAGCTGAACATTGAAGCTCAAAAGGAAGCCAAAGCTCTATATAACAAGCAAGCCTTATCTTCATTATACAGAACATTTGTCTATAAAAGAAACCCACGGCTACACCGCGTGCTAGAATACAGAGAAAGTCCTAACTTTGACCTCCTACTCCTTGCTCGAAATTTACTGATCGATGGCGAAGCGATCTACCTTGCTCGGATTGTTGAATTAGAGGGCACATGGGCTGACCCTCCTGGCGTTGTGACCTCAGAACGCAAAGATTGTCCGTACCCGTTCTACTTTTCTGATGAAGAAAAAGCAGAGATTAAAAGAGATATGAATGGATCATTACTTGGTATGCAAGCAATGCAGTGCATCAAGGACAGCCTTGGAGATTTGTTTCCGGAGCAAGGCATTGTGAGGCCAGAGCAGTATGAGGAGGCCAAGGATGCTCTATGTCAGGCCAAGGAATTCATCATACGAGAATTCGCCCGAAACAAAAATGAAGAGAAGGCATGGGAGGAAGAGTGGCCATTCAGCAGTTGATGCGAAGATTATATCTCTTTGGGATCAAGATAGTTGGTTGGATGAGCGGACAAATGTGATCTCTAAGCTGCTGATGTAGAGGCTCGTTAACTCTTGGTTCATTCCCGTTTTACTGGGATCGAGATCTCTCATGTTTGGTGCTGCCAGGATACTATCTGAATGGTGAATGCCTGTTTTTGGTGGCAAGGCGTAAGATGCGATTGGTTGGGCTGGCCAGGCCTTGAAGTGTCAATGGAGCAGTCGGGATGATAGGTGGGAAGTGAGGGCATGCAGTGAATGCACTTTGACCATCGTGAGGGGTTGCGCTGTGAGGTACATTGAAGGGGTGCTCTCCAGACGTCAGTCCTGGTTGTCCATTCATCATCCATCCACCTATGAAACCCCATTCTTGGTAAGTGAGACGGTGCTCCCGATATACTTCGCGTGCTAAGAACCGTCGTGATTGCCTCACAGTACACCAGCAGAGAATATCAAACCTATTAAATCATTGCCGTCCGACAGTATGAGCCCTCAAGTAGCTAACTCCCTTAAACGGATCCGGAACTGGGTGTTTGCCGCCCCTTCCCGGGTGACCAAGATTGCGACAGGAGAGGGCATTGCCGGCACCCGAGCGGCCCCTACGCAAAGCGGCAATAATGACACCAGCATCGGCGGCCGTCTTGACCATGGAGAGACCTACGAGAAGGATGGAAAGCGATAAAAGCGATATAAATTCCAGATAATAAAAACGCCGATAATCCAACTCTGAGATAATTTGCAAACCAAGACAGCCACCGGGTTTGGGCCCAGGCGGACCTGGAAATAGGCGCGACACCCGACAAAGAAGCCGTGGAAAAACTATTCGATGATATGCAGTCGGGCCTTGAGCGCCCTTAGTATGGCAGCTAGGGATGCAAGTGTGCGCCCTGCCAATGTGATTCTGGGTTGCTGTTCTTTCCTTGTGTTTTACCGTGTGATGGTTCATGGCGAAATCGCAACTCATCGGATTATACACATAAACAGTCTTGCTTGTAAGGTTTTCTGTAATTCCATTCTCTACAAAGGTCTTGTCAAAATTATCCATCTTACGCAGTGTCTTTCCAACGCCAATCCAGCTCCACCAGTTCAACTGACCACACTTGTCGAGGTGAAATGACCTGGTCCTTATGGGGCATATACTTGAACTGAGTGTTCAAAAAAGCCGAACAGGGTTCGAATTTTCGGTCAGAAAAATTGTAGGAGGATAACGTTGTTGTGTTGTTATTACCTGGCTAAACGAGAGCAGCACAATAACAGGTTGAGTGGCACGTGCCTAGGGTAGCCATAGTAATGCCTATCAAGGTTAGCGTCATGGGTTGATCCTATTGAAATATTGAATATTTAACTATGGGCCGGATGTATACCCTGTATTGTTCTCCATCTAACGCTGCGTAGATTCGTTTTCGAATCTTTTCTCTCCCAAGGCCTTCAGATAGCGTCCTTTCATCACTACATGATGGTGATTGAGATCCCATAGGTTCTTTCATTCCACTTTTCGTTCATGCGCCTTACAAGATTTATTTCCAGGCACGGAGATCTTCATGCATGCAATATCCGCCCATCTCGCCTTCTTCCAATAATAATACCCACAAGTCAACCATGGTGCGTCCATAAGCGAAAAGGAAGAAAAAATGAAAGTTTTTTTTTCTTTTTGCAGTGGTGACGTAGCAAGTAGCCAACCAATTGTGGCCGAAAAGAAGAGCAACTCGCGTGTCACAGCACTCAATGCAGACGATAGATGGTCGGTTAATCTCCTCATGAAGGGGGAAAAATTTTTCTTCTTTTTCTTTTTGTTCGAACAGCCAGTGAGTAAGCGCCAGCCGCTCGAAACATGCATTGCATGGTGCGGTAACATTGAAAGCAGGAAGACGATGATTTTCCATAACAAAAAAAAAAAAAATGAATTTTTTGTCTTCCGGTGAGTTCTGCTAACTATTCCGCAGGACTTTACGCGTGGTGATCAACCAAGGCGTATTTTTTATGTTTCCGTTCTCAAAGCTGGAGGCGCTTCAAGGAAATACAACAAGCGTGTGAGAAGTGGTCTACACTGGCCGGAAAAGAACAAAAAAAAAAAAAGAAAAAAAAATCTGCGAGGACGAGTTGTTGATACTGATGCTGCCTTGCATAACCTTTCGGAGTCGACGTTTTTTACCAAAACGTGTGGACTTCTCAAGCAGCTACGGGGCACTCATTTATCTCTCATTCAAACCAGAGCCCAGAAGAAACCATATTTTTACATGGTTTACTTTTGAAATATCCCGAGGCGACCAATGGGTTAACCTCCTCTCTTTTTTCCCCTTTTGTCAGAGAGAAACCAAATAATTTAACTACCAGTCTGGGAGTCTGCGGAAGCCATTGCCTGCAGGGAGCCGGAACGCTAATGCCATTCTGAGGAGGGTCACCACACGAAGATCCTGAAACGATTGATCCAAAATACCGGGGCGGGGTTGCTTCTTAACACTGTTTACAATGGTGCATATGACGTTCCATCGTGGCGCATCGAGCCTAAGATTCCGGCCGCTTTGCTTTCCGTTTTGCGCTCTCCCCGCGTCATGTTTGGACTTTTCAAGAGCATTGACGCAGTGCAATTGCCAAATGGAAATTCCAAGAACGCTTCCGCTTTTACCCGGAAGGGTAATTTTTAATGACGAGCAAACCGTATTAATGAAGCCAGTTGGCTTCCTAACCTAGCCTAAGGATTGGTGTGGATTGGAGGAGGGGGAGGGGGAGGACACTCTTTCCCTTAGTATAGTGTAGAGCTGCACATACTGGGAATTTCACCAGATCCACGTTATTTATGATGTATGGTCCTTGTAATTGCTTCGAGAACATGTTCACTAATTCCTCATCCTCCCCCCTCCCTTTGCAGGACTATTTTAAGGCTTCCTTCGAGTCTGCTCTAAAAGCTCCGTCATGTATATACCGCCGATTTGTGGATCATTTTCCTTTGGCTCGTTTCCATTTCCAGCTCCGACCTCCTCTTCAAGACTCAACAACCTGGAGGCACCGTCATTTCCATCAGCAGAGACATGCGTTTCGCCAGCCGAAGAGTTTTGGGTTTCCTGACGAATGAAGCGCAAGGAATTCTGCATATTACTGTGTCGTGGTAACGCTCGGGAGTCCATATGGGAAGCGGTCAGTTGTCGGGAGTATTGAAGGACTGAAGATAACTGGGCAACTACGGCAGGCCCTGCAAGGGGTCTGCTCTGCCTCCGGCCATCAGCTAACCACAGTCTGTACAATCCATACAAGACGGTTCATTTCCGTACGAATCCTCAGGCACCAAGTGTGGGAGGCTATGGTTATAAAAAGAGGGCATATTTTCTCCTGCAACTGAGATTTTTTTTTCTTTTCTTTCTTCTTGGGTATTATACCTAGTATATTGTTTTCTTCTTCCCATGCCGGTTATCAGATATATCAAATACTTAGAAATTTTGGGATTCGCTTCAATACTCTTATACTCTCAAACCAATCTATCATACCTAGTGAGTAGCAGCAGCGCACATTCCTGATTGAATTTTTGATGTCTACACACCGCCCCACCCTTCAAAGTATTAATTTTTTTATTTATACATATATTTATTTTTAGTTTCAGATCATTCAACTATGGTAGCGTTGAGCAACGGTCAAGAAAAGTCGGGGGATGCCCCTAAACTCGAGGAGTAAGTTCTGACACGCTCTTCTTATCGCCAACATATATCATCCCTCTTTTTGTCCTATCAGCCCGTGGTTCGTTTATTTTGCATGAAGACCTGCATAAAGATCCATGTCAGGAGCCAACTCCCGGAAATACTCTAATATCTGTGTCAATAATAACTTGAATGAGACCCTTTGCAACTAACATATTTATATGTATCAGACAACCTGCGAAAGTTGCGCTTACAGAGGCGGCTTTGAAGCTCCATTTGAAGGCAAACCCGGAGCCATATAGTCCACTGCAACAGTTCCTTGATCAAAAGCCGCTCGGGGATATGATCACGGAGCTCTCTATCCTCACCAAGGAGTCTCTATCCATCGGGAGTGCACCGGTTGGGAAACCCGGAGACCAACCTGCCGGGCGTTATCAGCATGTATTCTTTGATAGTTAGTTCTACTACTATTGATTCGTCACCAAGCTTCAACAACACCTCATTGATCTGACGAAGCGACAAGACCATTCTCACAACGATACCTGAATACATATTGGCTGCCCTGTCTGAGGGATAGGTGGGGGGTGGGTGAAAGGGGTTATTTGTTTCCATGTCGGTGAACTCACTCCAAATTTGGCTATCCCCATCTGGTATGTGGCGGAGGGGCAATTCTGATTTCTGGTTGGTGGGATCACGGCTTGAACTTGGCGTTGGCCAGCAACGGGAACGCATAGGGCTGAGGGCCATTATTTCGTTAGTGGTCTAGATGTGTTGTTGTGTCGTTAGTGTCGGGTTTTGGGGAGGACAATCATGAAGCCAAGGACACAACCTTTCAAAAGTTCTGCGTTGTGGTTCCCAAACCCCTTTTTGTTGAATCCCTTCTGCTTTTATTTCGGTTCGCTTCCCCTTTCTTTTTCCAACCCCAAGAAGCGATGACATATTTACTACTTGTGTCATCCTTGCCAACCCATGACTAGGTAGTGCTCCTTGTTCCCCTGACCGCTCCCATTCTATTGTCCCCGCATCGCACCCTTTCGTCTCCCTTCTTCCCAGCTTTCCCTTTTATTATCCTATCATCCCCCCCTCCCTTTTTTTTTCAACCAGATTCCAACCCTTCAAGAAGGCTGTGATGACCCCTGCCCCACATTCTTTTCTTTTTCTTTTTCTTTTTCTTTAAACACTCTATCACAAAACACATTCCTTCATTTCTGTACCATTGTATCGGGAGAACGGGACTTCAACATCAACGAGATATTTAACGAGTCTATTGTCAGAACCTCCGCTTTACTCAAATAGCAATACAATTATCCACAGCCTTCTACCACTATGAGTATTCCTCTACTTATTCGCCTGTCGATTATTATATATTGATATTGAGATAACCACGTCCAAAAATATATGTACAGTGAAATCCCTCTTCGCAATATGATTCCTAAAATGGGACAAGATCATGCACAAGTAAAGCCATAGAGGTATTTTAGGGACCCTTTGAGTCTCAGAGAAGCTGTGGCAGATCACTGACAATGTCTCTGGGTTTGACACTTGCAGTGGAATGTAACAGCAGAATACCATATTAACTTTCCACCCCTCGAGATTGTCCTGCTACATAACCATAAGTAACCCTAATACAATACGCATACCACTGAAGTCCCTCTCATCGTAAGTTTGAGGGGGCTTATTGGTTCTCAAAGAGCCCCTTAGAAAATGTATTTTTCCATTCCCTAGTTTGGCAATCCTGTCACAATCTCGATATCTTCGATACCATTTTATCCATGTGTTGTTGTTGTTGCATTCACCTCTTATACTCACCCGCTAGAATATTAGAATATAAAAGCCCCATTTCTCTTTTCACTTCTCATCGCTGCTGGGGGGGAACGCGGGGCGCCCACAAGCTCACTGCAGGGATCTACATTTTGTGCAGGGGCGGCCTTACTTAGGATGCAATGAGTAAGGTGAACAAGAAAATGTTGGAGGGATTGGATTGGATGATTTGTACCCTCTATACCACCATAGCACTGGTGGTGATTGAGCTCTTTTGCCCTAGTGGCCGGCCTAATAGAAAATGCTATTGTGCTTTGCAGGGGTCCCCCCGTATGCCACATCGCCGTCGCTCTTGTGGGTCAGCTTGATCACTAGCTCACTAAACATTGCCCACAGCTCCAAGCACGAGATCCTCACACTAGTAATAATATTTCAAATTAAATTATTAGCGTGAATCAAAATTTTTGAAACCGTATTGCTGCTTAGACTGACAGCTTAATTTTACTGACAAAAGTGGCGGGGCCATGCACCACCAAAAACATCACTCCTACATCGGCGATGTCAGGCAAATCTTTGGGATGTACCATCAGAAAAAAACTCCTACTCCGCACCTTGCACACATCAACTTCATTTGCTACTTGTCCCTTGGTATCTTGAACACACTTCTCTTACTTCTCTGTCTTAAAAATGAGGCCGGGCTACTATTCAATATGTTTATCAGGAAATAATGCGCTAAGGGTTCATCTCGAATGTACGGAGTAAATGACATTCGATCCATTAGCGACTAGCTACTACTTTCCTTGTCTCAACATACAGAGCACATAAGCCAGGGCATGGACCACATCAGAGGCGGTGAAGCAGATAGTAGTAAAGGGGCGAGGCGCTGCGCTGCAAACAGATTGATTGAGGAGGGTGGTCAAGTGTATACAACTACACTGACTTTCTTGGAATTCAGGCTGTTATGACAATCACTGACTGACCGACCCCCTCGCTATTTCGTGGCTAGCTGTAGAATAAACAGCAGTCTTCCCCTCGAGTGGGTGGGTGGTAAGAAGCAACAACAGATCAGGCTTGGAGAAAGGGTATCTGAACACTCTCACATCGGGCAGCGATTTATTTGCCTGCCGATGCAATGGGCGCCAAACGAATAAGCGCTCGCCAAAAGTCCAGGAAATCACCCTGAGGTGACACATCATGCGGGTGCTTGAGATAGGCACACTCGGCGGGGTCATAACACTCTGATTTCCTGTGGTATAGTAACAGCATAGGCAGGAGCAGTATTCAATACGATACAAATACGCCAGATATCCTCCGAGCTGCAGGTCACAGCAGCATCCTTGTCGACTACGTGGTCGTTCATCATCATTCCGGTTCCTCACAGCTGAACCCCTGTTTTGCAACAGGCCGGACAGAGACGCGGACCTTCCTGCCAGCATCGTATCCTCGAGCTTGGTTTCGCTGCTGGAGCGAAGTGGGACAGTTCGCTGCACTGACTTTTCAGGGAGTTTAATTTTTTCCCTTGCGCCCACGCGATGGGATAGCAGTAAGCTGGTGTGCGGGAACAGATCTGTTGTCTCAGGTGAGCTTGTTTTTGTTTTTGTTTTTTTTTTCTCTCTACTCCATACACAGCGTACATTACATCCAGGGCGGGTGCCTTTCTCCAGAAGACGGTATTTTTTCCCTCTTCGCTCCAGTCTGATAGCTCTTATAGATCGACTATTGTATTCAAGTTCTTTCCATGTAAGAAAATTTACAGCGAACAAGTGTAGAAACAGAGAGTATAAACCATAAGGGTCGCAGAGGGCATTACTTCCGACATCATCCTCGTAGCGATCCAGCGCAGCCAACATGGGATGACGATTGATTGGCAGCTCACATGAAAAAAAAAAAAAAAAAGAAAAGAAAATAAAAAAGAAAAAGAAATCACCCTACAAATGACAGTTGATCTTCCAAACGGGGCCCACCACTCTCCCGGGTTTGGGTCTGTCAGAGCCTTGCGCTTCTTGTCAGAATAAACTATTGCAGGGCGTCTGGCTCCGATATCTCAGCCGGCAGTGAGCAAGCCACAGGAACTTTCAGCCTCGAAAGAACCCTGAAAGGTACAGCACAAGTCCGGGTTACATGCCCACAGTCGCGCTCGAAATCGGCTTCCATAACAATCGAACCCTGGGTGCCAAAACCATTAGTGCGGGGCCAATCCAAAATTGGGTAAAGTGTGATCATTTAAGGTTGGATGGTACGGCACGTAACCCAAACGTTACCGAGTTATATTGTAAGCCACTCCACAGCACCCTTGAGCAGCAGCAAAATGAATCTTCAGCCATGGAAGCGCGAATTTATTTGCCATATGATTCTTAATAAATCATCAACTACATCACAGATGGCCAAGGCTGCTGGATGTAGCGAGCGTACTATCACGCATATCCGCAAAACCTACGGTTGTTTGGCAGTGTTAGTCCGCCTCCAATCCGTGCTAAGCCGGCCCAGAAGTATTACGCCTCCGATGCTTGACGCCCTTTGTGACCACCTCACCGAGAAACCCGGCCTATACGTTGATGAGATGGTCGTCTTTCTTCAGGACGAATTTGATATACTAACATCGACAGCCAGCGTCAAACGGGCCCTTTGTTGCGCGGGTTGGACCAAAATGAAAGCTCAACAGAGAGCAAAAAAGAGCAGAACCCGGAGCTTGGTACCAGACTACCTGCATAGACTGTCCGAATTTAGTTCATATCATCTGGTCTATGTCGATGAATCTGGGTGTGATAAACGGATATGATTTAGACGGAGTGGTTGGTCTCCACTGGACGTGACACCAAGGCCAATATTATCAGATACTTCCTGCCTATACCCAAGATGGCATCCTCCTTTCTCATGCCTTTACTGGTTCAACTGATGCTGCTTTCTTCGAAGATTTCATTGGGCCAGCTGCTCCAGCACTGTGGGCGGTGGCCAGAACGCAAATCTGTCCTAGTGATGCATAACACATCATTCCATCACTCAACCAGGATAAAACAGATATGCTTCGATGCTGGTGTGAAACTACTATATTTGCAACTGTATTCACCTGATCTGAGCCCAGCAGAGGAATTCTTTGCTGAATTGAAGGCTTACATCAGGAAGAACCGGTCATTATATGACGAGGATCCTAGACAGGGTTTTGGTGTTTTCCTTCAACAATGTGTTGATGTCGTCGGCGCGAGAATAGAGAGTGCGGAAGGCCACTTTCGAAGTGCTGGTGTATCAATCGAGACATGTTGTTTTGAATAGAATACGTTCATCCTCTTGTCCTATGAAAAGAGCTGGGATACAGCAATGTATCAGTGTTCGTATCACTGCTAATATAACTCCAGAGTGCTCTGCAAAGCTCACTCCATGCTTCAACAGTCTTCAATTTATTCCCCACCTAGGTACTAAGCTACTACGATATATGGTTACTGCTGTAATACATACGCTCCGTCGAAATACAAATCCGTAGCAGTAACACTCATATCCTGGATATCTAAAAAGAAAAAAAGCCAAATACGCGAACCATCTCTGGGTATACACCCCAGCCTTGTACCAGCAAAGCCCAGGAAAATATTACCTCACACATTTCACGCCTGCCTGTAACTAGATCGGCTCTTTCCTCTCATTGCGAGCTCCTTGGCCGGCTCCGAAGGACAGAAAATCCATTTCAGAACATTGAAGGCTACCTTCTTGTTGTAGTTGTCCTTGCCTAGGCTGCATATAGCCCTCAGCGTCAAGCTGAGTGTTGGGTATGTTTCTGATGGATTGCAGGTTGCTTGGACTATGCGTACTTTCCCATAGATGAATGTCACAACAGTGGCCTTGACGGGCATTGTCAGCATTGGCACTGATCCATGGATACAAATAATGGGGAGGAAGTGCAAAGATGAACATGCTGTCAAAAGTCCTTCCTTGTATATTGGCTTAGCCATGTACCGGTCCTCCTCAGGAAGCCAAACCATCTCATTCATCTGACGGAAGAAGATTGAAGTGACTGCCAGCAGTTCACTTCTCAGGAGATAATCTCTGGAATTTCCTTGCTGTGTTGCATCAAATGCCCTTGAGTGATCTCGAACTATGCAGCTCCAGTGATTATGCCGAAGCTGGAAGATCTGAACACCCTTAATGCGGATGTAGGAATCGATTATTATGCCGACGCCTAGCTCGTCGAAGAGTGGGCCAGAAAAACTGATAAAATATCAGATAAAAAAAGCAAAAATAAATAGAGGAGCATCAAGAGAATATCATCTTACTCCGTAGCCTTAAAGGGAATTTCGTCTACAACCTGGTGGGCAGCGGTCTTCATGAAGCCAGCAAAACCCCAATTACCAGGGAGGCCCTGTTGGCCTTTCCCCGGCGCAGTAACTCTCTCGCACTTGTTGATGGCCTTTAGGAGCTCTGGAGATATTGGAAAAGCCACCTTCTCGCTGGAAGTTTCCTTACAACACACCTCGAGGTCCTCTGTCTTCTGCAACCACTCAAAGGGGAAAGAATCTCGCGAGTAGTATGTGAGGTAAAGATTAAGAAGGCTCGCCATGAGCCAGCCAACCTTCTCCGCACGATCGAATGAATTCCTTTCCGCCATGACGGGCTATCAATAAAAGAATGTCCGCTACTCTGCTGGTCCGATAGTACATGTAGCTGTTGTTTGTTGATGTGCTGTAGTGATGTTGTTTAGAAAAGCGCAGTCAGTAGTCTCTATATCAAATACATTTACCTGTTCAAGCCGTAACATGGGTCTATCTGTATATGACTAGGCACTTTACTGAATTAGGGTTTGCAACCCAGATATGGAAGCCAATTTCGAGCTTGACTGTAAATCATTAAGAGTCAAATTTTTGAAACCATGCAGTGCATTGAGATGCCTTGTATGACAGGTGTCTAGCAGGTGTTAAGCGCAGATTACGCGATTAGACGCGTCAAACGCTGCTTCATCGCTTTCTTGATATAATCTACATATCTCATGTGCAATCCAAAAGCAGAAATAAAAATATAACTCTACGAAGCGATCTCCTGTTCGTCAATCTGAAGCTGTCTGCACGCTTTCTGTCTTATCTTTCTTATCTTTCTTATCTTTCTTATCTGACCTCCGAAAAACGAAGGACAACTAACTAGGATGCACAACAAAACATGGAGTGGCCTAAACATACTAGTACGATTAATTTTTAACAGTACTGTTTTCTTTGACACTACCCTCATTATTTGGTGTGCGGCGGTAAACGACCAGCGGCGTTCCAGCCAGCTCCGCTTTGATTTGCAAGGACACGAATCGAGAGAAGAAACGACTATGTCCGAAGGGACCACCCATATACCATAATCCTGGATCTAAGAGTTCTGTTAATCAAATTTAGCTCGAAAGGGATATGTAGTGAGTCGCAATATCACAACTTACGGCCAAGTGGTTTCCACGCCCCTCGAACTTCACCTTCTTCGTCAAGCCCCCAAAACTCCTCAAGCTGCGCCGCGACGTCAGCACCCAGGATTCTAGCAATGGTGGGACCAAAGGACATTTCAAAACCTGTCGCCAGGAGGATGATATCGGCTTTAAGTTCGGAGCCATCATTAAATATGAGGCCATCTTTACTGTATCCGGTTATCACGGCATCTGACTTCACTTTAATCTGAACTCGTCAGTAGAAGTTAGGTCGCAGGAGGGATTTGCGCTCCACATTTCGGTGGAGAAGTGAATAATGAATGGCTGGGTATATACGGGAAATGGAACGTACCAAACCCTGGGCAACCTTCGCAGATGTGCCTACATCAATATAATGCCTTTTTTCGTCGTCAGCCAACACGTAAAATAGCAAACCTCACGAAGGAGCACGTTCGGTTTGAACGGTATAAATATTGAAGGCTATGAATATATTACCGGCCGCCCTCCTCGTATAATGTAGATAACGGATTGCCGCATCTTTTCACTCTGAACCCCACACGCTCTAGAGCGTCGAGTCGTTCGGTATCTTGACTCATCATGTCATTAAAACGGGACGTGACCATTTTGTTGACTATTGAAAGCGGAGTCGTATATTCAATCCTGTCGGCTAGGTTCGTGGGAAAGGTATCGTTGTATCTCGCTTGTTGTTTGTTAGGACTGTTTGACATCAACATCTCATGTACTGCATCCGTTAACTTACTCATGGCTCCTATATGCAACACGTTGCACTCAATTAATACACACGGTATTTGAAATTGCATGACCGGTGGATGAGCCGAACACTCTTACCTTGCTGGTAGTATTCAAAAGGCAGGATGACTAATAATGCGAACGAAAATATATCAGCAGGGATTTCCTAGATACGAGGCTCTCCTCTCAGAGAACAAAGAAAATAATAACTAACATGTCTGCCCCCTCTGTACCATTGTGACGGAGGAGAGACCGGCTTCGACCATGTCGTCACATACATCATGAGCTATAGAGGCAGGGTTAGATAATTGCTTCGAATTTTTAACCTGGGTAGCATCCCACCTGTGTTTGCAGACCCCACAACCTAGAGTAGATCAGCATCGGCCCACTCAAAGCACGTGAAACTCGGGGAGACATACCACTGCTGATTTGCCCTTCCATTGAGATGCAGATTTGTAGTCAACGGAATGGAGGACCAAGCCTCTAAAATTTTCCTAGCTAAATTTTCAGAAGATGGATCATTACCCTGATTGGTGTGTCAAGAATTCAAGGAAAAGGAAGGTGTTGATATAATCATACCCTTCCAGGAAAAGTAGGGACAACTGGAGTTTGACCCCCGGCTCCCGTCGCTAGGACGAGATGGCGGACCAAAATGCGTGTTTCTCCGTCCCTACGACGTAGCACCAGATTCCATTTCTTTTGATCTTTGTCCCAGGAACCAGACACTAGCTGTGACGAGAGCCAGACATTCTATCATTTTCCCAACTTAGTTAGCCTAATTGATGAATTTGGCGAAGATTAAAGGAATGACCTTGGACTCACAATGCCGAGCTTGTCGGCCCATAATTTATAGCACTTGGCAAGATCGTACTTGGACAGGAGCTCTGGATAGGAGTCGCCAGGAAACGTCCGCTCAAATGGGAGGTGCGCTACAATATCGTAAGTTAACTGTCAACCTTTGCACTGTGTTCAAGCCTTATTGCTAACCATACGCTCTGACAGTGTGTAACTTCATTGAGTCGTATCTCAAAAGCCAGTTGTCCCCGATGTTATCGTTTTTATCAATCAGAAGGTAGTTAACCCCCAATGACTGCAACCGTCCCGCAGTGGATAATCCACACTGGCCAGCACCCACAACCAGACAGTCAAACTCGTTGGCTTCCCAGTTGATGATCGGTGTCTGTGGATTTGGTACATCGACATCAGGATGCCCTTCAAGCCGCTCGAGAATGGTCCTCAATATCCATATTTTCCATGTGTCTCCTCCGTCGGGTACGAGCGAGACCATTCCGGAACAGAAAGACGCTGGGCAACTTTTTGTGCTGAACGTAAATCTACCTTCCACCCAGGATAATTTGGGAGTTTTCCGCACAACCTCCGCTGTCCCTGGAGTGAACGTGAAGTCAAAAGGTTTACGGATGCTGGAAACGTCGTTCCAAGCTGTTTCTATTGCTTTCGCGGTCGAAAATGTTCTTGGAAGTCCTGTTAGAGCGTATAGGTCCTTCCACAGCGCATCACCTATGAAGTCAGCATCGGTGAGCGAATGCAGACCTGAGATGCACGAAACCGCGACGAACTCAGGGTTCACATCATCCGGCACAACAGACATGGGTAAGGATCCGGGGAGGGTTTCAATCACCCCACGAGTGCCGGCGTCAGGGGCCATTTTGCAATGAGTTGGCCGTGTAAATGAGAGTGGGGTTCTGAAGAGAAATGAAAATTGAAACTGGGCCCATGGCAGCAATAAATATTATCCTGGGATTTTAGCCATGCCATGTTTTAAAGCCCTCTTATGTTGGATGGCATGATAAAGTTTGCACGTTATTATACGGGGCTATATAAGTTTCTTTGTTGGGCATATGCGAGCATATTGTCATAGCTAAGGACAATAGCAAGCATCTTAGCTCCCAACTTAAACTCAATCCGCTCCGCGACTCAAACTTTTAGAGATCGTTATCCTTGTTCGAGGACACAAGAGGAAGCCTCTCTTTCTTTATCAAAGGAATAGGTCGTAAAATCGCCATTTAGCACCAATCAGATGATACGTGCCAATCGCAATAGTATCCATCCCGCTCGCTTCAAAAAAAGGGTGGTTGAAAAGAAAATTGGAACTTCTCAAGGACGTGATATACGAGAGTGAAACAGGAGCAATTTTACCCATTGGCACTCTGATAGATTCAAGTGTGGATGAGAAAACTGATCGCACTTCTGCAGAGAAGTGTTTGTCTAGGAAGACGAACTCTTCTCATGTGGAAAAATAAACTCTCAAGCTAACTCCAATAAGGTTTCGGTAAGTTATAAAATAAGGAGCGGGGTTTGAACAAGACCAGTCACGACTCATAGAATCATGAAATGCTCGCAATCATCTTCCCTGGAAAGAGCCGCAATGCACACATTCGTCTGCTCGCTCTTTTCCTGGCAGCACCGAGTTCGGATGTAGTTGGTCCAGAAATTGTAAGTTTCATTATCTTTCTGGGGCCCGTTGACTTTTGAGCTTTGCCTCCTGTCGGAACTAGATAAAGTCCGAATATTGACCCAAATACTGAATATCAAAAGAATAATTGAATTGCTCATTCTAACTCCAGTATTTACATGATAATCAGGCAGTATTTATAAGAAAGAAGATGCTTGAACATATGATAGGGGCAGTGCTGATATCCATCGGAACATCCATCCATTTTCCGATATTGTCACAATAGAAGATCCTTGCTAATGTAATCAGTAGAATCTGAGATATGATATATCACTTCTGACACCTCCAAATCCCCAAGCTATGGGCTACGGAGCGAGAAAGCGCAAACAGCGAGAGACCCGCCAGTCTCCATGAACAAAACAATCGATTGGAGAGGAAGCTCTGACAAACGTGGAGCATTTCTGTGATGTCAAGACCTTTCCCTTCTCCTGAACTCTTGATGCTGGGCGCCGGGTCCTGGCTCTGTTGGGATAAAAACCGTTCACGGAATTCTTGATTGACGTGCTTATGAGGCCTCCAAGCCCAATTCGCTAACTGGGGTGTTTTCACCTTTGCATGAACAATGCACTTACAGGGAATACAGTTAACCCCGATTGGGCGTTCTTCTTGGATCTCGGCAGGCAGCGATCATTGCTAGGTGGCACAGCTCACCAGGCCTCGCAGGAGTCGTTGGAGGCCTCAGTTCGCCTTGCTAGGCCAGTTTGCGAGGCTGAGTGGAAACAGTATAAAAGGCCTTTATTCACTCTACTTCCTCTTGAAGAAACCAGTTTTCCTTCTTCTTCTTCTTCTTCTTCTTCTTCTCTTCTTCTTCTTTTTCTTCAATAGTGCATTATACCATTCTGTTACTGCTCAAAGCAGTTCTGTGTTGCTTGCAACTGGCTTGGTCGTACATTCTCTTTTTACTATTATCTACCCCTTCCATTCCTTAGTTTCGCGAGCAAAAGCTCCAAAAACGATAGAATACCTCCAAGGAAATCCTACAATATTCCAATTCGATCCTGACCCAAAGGACGATTTCACAGAGGAAATCACGATCGACCCTCAGCTACTAATACTCACCCCGTCACCCGAGGCTGAAACAGGAGTTTATTACAACTCTCAGATATCAAACGGGCTGCAAGATATAACACAAGACGACTCCTACTCCCTTTCAGGATCGTCGTTAGATCATTCCTCTTCTCCTTTGGCAGGTTCCATAATTGAGGATTTCTTGCTTAGTACGGCAGATAAAGCGCAGACAGCTTCTCCCGTACAAGAGCACGACCTTTCAACATCCGGACAAAATCCGGCCCACTCATTAGGAAAAAATCACTCTGTGAAACTTTCCTGCTCGGGTTGTGGGAAAGTGTTTGAACTTCCATGTCACTTGAGGTACACATTCCTTCCTACCCTTTTCCCTCTCTGCCTTTTCCAAGAAGCATTTCGCTAATAGCTACGAGTTTTTGCTTTCCTCTCTCTGGTTGAAGGAAACATGAGAAGTATCATATAAAAAGTTGGCCATGTAAGGTCCGGAATTGCACCAAGCAATTCTCTCGCGAAAGGGACCTCAAGAGACACCTGGGAGCTATCCACCCGGAATCATTTCCGGAGCTAGCAAAAACCTATCAATGTCCCAAGGGAGATTACGAGACCGGTCGAGGAGAAAACCTGAAGAGGCATATGGAAACGAAACATCCAAATGAGCCGATTCCCAAGAATTGGAGACAGGTTTTTCTGAAACGACAATGAAAGCTGGAAAATTGCTTTGCATAAATTCAGCGGTTCTTAATTTCCTTTGATTTCGAAACTCGATTATACCTACATGCTAGAAGAGCAAAAACTTCACCACACTCTTTTTTTCTGCCAGGGCAGGGCCCCTTACCCGAGGTATTCAATATTGGAGCAGCATGCAGTGATTCCCGGTATTGAAACAGATCCATGGGATGAGCATGTGTGGATTGACTGCGAAGCTAGGGCCTGGGGAAATTTCAACGAGGCCGGAGGGCAGGTCTGGCGGGAAGGGGGATATGACACTATCCACGATCCTTACACCATATTGTAATTCGCTTGTATGGCGCCCAGGGTCAATACAGCCCTGGAGGCATTGCACGAGTCGCAACACCCATTTCTTCCGTTCCACTTCATATATATCAGATATCAGATTTGCAGCAAAGTGAATTGTAAAGTCTTACACATGGTACCGTTTTGCGAGAAGTGAGCAGATCTAGTTGTAGTGGATTTTGCCTTACGGATTGCAATCGATGAAAGAGGAAAGAATCAGAAATCGTAGACCTTCCCAGATAAAGTGTAAGTTGTTTTGTCGCTCCAGTAACAGGGGGTGAGGGTCATAGCTAAACGGTTAAATTGTATCCTGACTCAATTACAATATCCCTCCCAGGCGGAGGGTAGTGTTTAACCAAGGTCTCCTCAAGATGGCAATTTCTCTATGCGGAACAATGAGATATCACAATACTGCCATCAACTAACTGCAAAACGGCGAGGGCTGGTGGGGATGATCCATTCCCATTGGTATTTATACAGTGGTAATCAATATTCCAAGACAAAAAAGCAAGTAGAATAAAAGCAGAAAATGGTATCGCGGAGTCTAATCAAGAATATGCACAAAGGACTTCAAAAATAAAATAAAATAAAATAAAAACATCCCAAAATATAATTAAGGCTAAAGGTCCCCAATCCTACCTTGAAGAATATTTGCCAGCTACGAAACGCCAAAGACACAGAAAGAACCCAAGAAAAAGTAATCAAAAAAAAAAAAAAACATAGAAACAGACAAGCCTACCACAAGCTTGAATACATTTTCACATCGCAATCGAATAAATTTTGCTGAGATAAAATAGAGTGCAGCCATACCACGTATAGAGATGGACGACTTAGAGTTACAGCAAGCATAAAAAGGGCCGTCGTAGTTAGGGCAAGGTAAAAAAATATAAAAGATAGAAAACACGTGGAAGAATGGAGAAATGGGACATGGACACTTCAAATGAACCTGGTCAATATACAAAGACCATCTGTGGACCAAAGCAAAATAGAGCATTAATCGTGACGTGAAAAGAAAAAAAGGCAAAAGAACAAGGTCATCTGGATTTTCCTTAATACAACCTAGAATAGAAACAGTAGGAAGCCAACCGAGTGGAAATGGCGAATTGAAAGAGACAAAAGCAGATTTGAAGGGAGAACAATTTTGGCTGGTTCAGAGACGAGAAGTAGAAGACTCCAGTAGAATGAAATTTGCTATCCGAGGCAAAGACAAAAGAAACCACCTGCTGAGAAAAACCCGAGTGAAAGAGAAAGGAGAGGTCACTCTGAGTTTCACTCCTGGCGCGTCCGTTTTACGCCATGCGGGTTCCAAGCACCGTCATTGCCTCCATGAGGCTGCCCAAAGAATGCAGGATTGAAGTGAGCATTTTGGTTTTGGAAACCGCCTTGCACTATGTCAGTATCTAATCATTTACGCCCGATATGGAAACAAGTTGCCCTCAAAAATGTGATGCCATACCTTGCATTCCCATGTTTCCTGCCATACCACCCATCATTCCGCCCATCTGATTGGGCATTCCTCCCATCTGCATGCCGCCCATGCCAATCGCACCCATTCCACCCACGTTAGGAACACCGCCAACGGGCATCATGGGATTCGTAGCGGGGCCACCCATACCGCCGCGACCCCCTCGCATACCACCAGGCCCACCGCGCATATTACCCATAATTCCGCCGCGGTTATTAAATCCGCCGTAAGATTGCATACCTCCAACTGGCGCGCTTTGGAAGCCGCCGCCCATGGCAACGCCTTGAAAGTTACCAGCTCCCATTGGTTGCGAGAAGTTACGATTGGCGTTAAAACCTCCAGACATACCGCTGCGATTGTAACCGCCGCCACGACCACCCCGATAACCACTGCTACTATTCATGCCAAAATTGGAGCTTTGGGTTGGAGAACTGAAATTACCAGACGATCCTGAACGTGCTTGTCGATCATCTTTACCGCGCATAGGATTATCCTTTGGTAGTGTACGGAACGGATTAGTGTTAGGATGTGTATATGTGACAGTGTATTTTCTTGAACTTTGTTGAGTGTTGAAAGATTCGATTTTGTGTTTAGTCGCAGTTGCAGCTTGGGATGACCTGAATTCAACAAAAGCTTGTCTAGATGTGGGGATAAATAGTTAGCTATCAAAGCCATCTAAGACTCAAAATTTGATGGTGATTTTGGGCATACCCTTTACTTTTACCATTCACTTTGTGCTCGCTGAACGTGACGTCTTTAAGCTCATCCTCAACCCCTGCTTGGTTGACCCAGCCTCTAATATCATCGTCTGTTGTCCACCAGTAAAGATCTGAAACGAATAGTGCAGTGGTCGCAGAGGGATCCGCAGCTTGATTGTCGTGACTTTCTTTTCGCTTCACTCCTTGCTGCGGTGGCGCTTGAGGCTGAGCCTGAGGTTGAGGCGGATTTGACGGCTGGGGTGTTGCTGCAGTTGACTCCCCAGTTTTAAATATCTTGTGATTTCCATTCTCGGCATGGCCATTACCATTACTGTATCTCTCGCTCGCCCCTTCATTATTTACCTCACCATTTTGTGGTTGCTCAGAGGCATCCAGAATGATATCTGTTTCTTCGCCTTTGAAATCACCTTCCTGTTCATTTCCGTTGTAACCCCCGCCATCCCCGTAAATGTCAATGTCAAAATTATCATCCTCAGTATTAGCCATGTCGTGAATCTCCTGGATGGGGAACCTGAATAGTGACGTAAATGATTGATCTTGATTTTCGTTATGCACAAGCTTCTGGCTCGATGAGCTTTAAGGAGAGTACATGTCTGCCGGTCGGACAATTCGTATTAGTAACAGAGAAACATGAATAGGGAAAAAAAATTCATCAGATGTAGATTGCGTAGTGTGATGTGATATCTTAGCAATCGAGACGTATCGCTGAAAATCGCTTCTAGGTCTAGAAAGCGACATAAGGCGAAAGAGAAGAAAAAGAAAGCCGCAAAGCCAGGATATTCAAAAAGAGAGGACGGACAGACAGACAGACACACGCACAGAGGGAGAGAGAGAGTGGCAGGAAGAAGATACGTACAAATCCCGACCGTACAGAGCTGTCGAAAAGAGAACACAGTTTTTATTCGCCAAAGCGGGATTGGATTTGGTCCCTCACGAATGAGATAAGTTACCTGACTGCCTTCGATGGCAAGTGCAGGTGATATGGAAGTCTTTTGAGAGTGTGTTTTGAAGGCAAAAGATGTCTGGTACAGGACAATGTCTCGGGGATCCCTCGCCCTGAAAAGAAGCAGTTAACCTGGCTGGGCCTAAAGTAATCTAGCTAGACAACAGTTGACACCGCCAATCGATTTCTCTTTTTTTTGCAAAGTACAGGAAATAGGGAAAAGGGAGTAAAGGCAGCTAGGACGAGTCAATCAAGTGGTAAAAGGCCAAAGGTGGGAGAGATGGGATTCGAAGCCCAAAATGCGCAACCAAGTGAAACTCCAGCCGTGCCGCCAGGGACAGATAGCCCTGGGATGTAAATGTAAGTCTATCAATTTGGAAATGGGGGACAATAATAGTGAGATATAAAACAATATGACGATGTGACCAGATTTGGATAGGGACAAGGCGCGTGTGTTTGGAAGAGACGTTGAAGATGCTGAAGTCGCCGTTCCAAGTTGGGGAGCTCGAGTTAGGTGTGCTGAGTAAGCCATAGATCACACCAAGGATAAATCGGAATAACTAGTCGCCGATGCTAGGTCCGATTCGGACATTTGGAAGGCCACCTCAGCCAGATTGTGACCAGGAAGGTTGGGAGAACCGTTGAAGCGTTGCACCTCGCGAACAACCTTTTATCCCGATTCCTACCAGCAGTAAAAGTCGATATATCTACTTTCCTACCCGTAACCATCATTTTCCCGTTCCTCCCGCACCATTTCCTCCCACAATGTCAGACACCTTCCAGGAACTCGCCGATATCCCTAAGGATTTCGTCAAAGATGGCATGCTCTTCATGAACCGATGTACAAAGCGTGTGTACTGCCGCTCCAATCCCTCCCTTTTTCTTTCTACTTTGTTCTTGTTCACAAAATAAATGCATTCGCGTCATATCCAATTACTGACACGCACAATCAATCAGCCGACAAGCGTGAATTCCTCAAGATCAGCCAGGCAGTTGGCTTCGGTTTCTTGATCATGGGAGCTATAGGTTACTTCATCAAACTGAGTGAGTAGCCTCCTTCTTTTCTATTGCCCTCCGATTTATCTAGACATGATCCTGATCACACTGTAGTACACATTCCAGTCAACAATATTCTCGTCGGAGGTGCATGATGTGAGCAATTGGGCGAACGAAATCTAAGAGGGCCCCAGATAATCAAATATTCTGGGATTGATGCGAGTGGGTAAAAATGATACAAGGATATAAATCTATTGCGTGCAAATATCCGATCAACTCCATTTCTATCGCGGTTACCTCTATTTATTCTGGAGAGCCGTGTCGTCATCTCCTTTAAAGGTCGATTGATATGTGTCATTAATGGTGCGAGACCGGACAGAGCATTTTTTTGTGAGCGAAAAAGGACCATTTTTGTTTTTATATTTAAGCAAAACACAATGGGAGGCAATGGTGGAGGATGCTGGGTTTTAATAGATCCCTCCTTGCGTTCCCTAGTTTTCTTGTTGATATTTCTTCGCACTCTTTTTTTCTTTTGCTTTTGTCGAGTCCCCTTTACGTTTTGCATGTGTACAATATTCAGTTGTTATTTACGTTGGGCTTCGTTTCCTACGTTGTTGTTTTGTTTGTTAATTCGTTGCAAATAATTCCTTTTTCCTATTTTTTTACATGATTGAGGGGTTAATTAAGCCCATATATCGTTGAGTTCAGAAGATGGTATTAACGTATTGGGAATAGTTTGCTTCACTCTAATGGCATATATCGTGGAATAGGAGGTGGCAATGTGCTATTCGTTCAAGAAAATATCGCATGTCAAAACATAAAGCGATCAATACATAGCCACGGCCGAACAAAGAAGGAGATATCTTGGAAATATGCCACCCATATTCAATGAAAATGGAGGATAGAATAGTGAAATCGTCATAGGCATCATGTCGATAAAAGCATACCTACCATGCCAAACCGATCGTCTGGTGGGGGGTATGCAAAGTCTATATCGAGAAGGTTGGCAGAAGCACATGTTCGTCACGACATAAATATTTACGAAAGTATAAACCTAATACAGGAACATAGATTATAAAAAGATAAATGAGGCATTGACCGACGAAACTATCCGGCCCTACGTAAAAGGCCTTCGCAGCTCGTGTCATTCGATGGGCCATCGGACAAGCCAGCCACGCTGGAATCGGCGAGCATGCCTACCACGGGTTCATGTCGAAAGGATCGTCATCATCTAGTGCGATAAATGATGCGATTCCTCCATTCCTTATGATATGGCCTGTGAGTCGTCTGCCCTCTTCCGCAGAGCGGTTGCTGCTAGGCTGCAAAGGTTCCAGCTTGCTGTTGTAGCTTTGTCCGACTGGGCATTCGCCTTCGTCGACGTCAGCACCATCATTCCAGACATGCACACTGCAGGTGCCGGTGGACATGCCCCAGCCGTTCCACGAGGTTGCTGAATTAATTGATAACATACATGATTAGCTAGGCTCTTCTCCTGCAATGGAGCACTCGCAACCTCCAAAGGACTCCAGACCCGCTAATAATCTTCGAGTTTTGAATATGAACGGGAAAAAAAAGTAACCTACCTGCTATAATGGGGGCATTTGGGTGCCAACTTGCGTCTCTTACGCATGTTCCCCATTCGATCTCGCTCCTCCCCATCCGATACGCAGGATGGTACATGTCAGAATCGTGCTGCCGAGAATGGAACGAAGCCTCCCCAACATCGATAATACGGGCAACTGTGGCGTCGAGATTGTAAATAAAAACTCGGCCGTCTGAACTTCCTGAATACACATATCTGGAGTTGGCACTTATATCGGGAGAGAAATGACAGCGTATAAGTGTTTTCAATACACGATGTCCACGGAAGGTGACAACAGAACAATCGTATGGATGGGGAGTGTAATCTGCATCCGAGATAGACATATATCTGTAATCAAAGCCCGTAGAATAGCTGCTCAAGTCGATTGTATCTAGCTTCGCACTCGTCATCATCTTGCGTAGGTCCCAGAGCTTCATGCTTTGATCCTTTCCGTTGCTTAATACATAACGTCCGTCTCCCTTACTGTCGACATATGCTATATATTTATTTCACACACGTAAGTCTAGGTGGCCATGGTACTTTTTATAGTGTATGGGTGGGATGATCTTTTCCACTCACTGATCCCTTCACTGTGGCCTAGGAAACAACCCGCAGCACGGCCATCCCCCATTGATCTCCGGTCCCAAACCTTTATTGTCGTATCATCAGACCCTGAGTAAAGAATATGTGGTGAAGACTTATCTCCAAAACAAACGGCGTTGACATCATCATCGTGGTTTTCCAGTTTTAATATTGGCGTCCGGCTTTCGATGTCATAAACAACCACGCTTTGATTGGAAGTACCAGCAATCAACTCGCGACCGTCACCACTAAAGCGAATACTCCATATCTACAAAAAAAGAGCGTCAGTTTATTTACACAATTACATACATAAATTAGGGAATATATACCCCAAATCCTGGTCCACTAGTGGGCGAGCCGGACCGCTGGGCAAAATCTAGCAGAGTAGGTTCCGAATCCGAAGACGGGTCTGTTCCTGCCAGGCACACAATACTTCGAATCGAGCTATATGCCAAATATCTGTTGTCCGGGCTCAAGCTTGCGTCTGTGAGAGTCCATTGCCCAAATGGGTATTCAACTGTCTTATACCACTTCCATTCGAGGGGATTTGATGTATCGTACATTCGCACTTTAAAATCCTGGGCGCAGGAAAAAAAGAAATTTCCGTCGTCGGAGAAAGATCCAGAGTAACACCTAGAATTATAATGAATGATTTTATCGGCCTTCGAACTGGGAACAAGGTTCTGTTCATTAATTAGTCAGCGTTGGAAGCAAGGACAAGCCAAGATCTGAAAAGTGAGCTGCTGGGGATACATACCTGGGATATAGCAGGCGGAAGAAGCTGCGGGCCATAAGCTAACTCCCTCCACATCAACCTTGTAGACAGTCTTTCCTTCCTTCGTTTTACCTTATCCACATAGTGCAAATTACTTCCATAATCCCCGGAATACATTAGCTCCCGCCCGACATCGCTTGGTATTTTGGGTAGCAGGTGTTCACCAGTACGTGATCCGCTCATACGATATGTAGGCCTTCTGTATGCATCATTGCCGTTTTCATCTAAGTAAAATCGTAACCCTGATATTCTCTGCGTGGGTAGAATGCGACGTAGACCCTCTGATCCAAGAAAGCGAAACAATTCGGCCGCGGACACTGGAAATCACTATCAGAAAACCGGCAGCCTTTGCTTCGGACGAAAAGGGAGCTCGTTACATGGGGAATTGTTGTCCTCTGCGTCATGCGCCCCTTGCCCGCCTGCTCCGCCAGCTTGGGCATCTATTTCATGGTCAGGTCATCACCACAGAAGCTTGAGCATCTGGCTCGACGGCATCTCAGAAAGACTTACCCAGAGTAGCAGGTTCTTCATAATCCTCCCAGTCTTCTTCATCACCCCTTTCAATATCAAAGTAGTCTTCCGGAGGTGCAAAACCCATCATATCGTCATCACCGACGGCATCAATAAACCATTGGGGAGCATCTTGCAAAGTCTGTCGTGGGCCAGGTTGGCTGCCGGAGCCTGGTTGCGAGGGTGGACTTGACGAACTCATGGCGGGGGAAAAAGCTTAATTGAGCTTAAACTGATATATTTCGAGAGTCCTTCTTCGAGAATAAAAGGATAGAGGAACTTTTGACTCCGGGTGCCGCGGGGAGCTGGGGATAAGGTTTTAGTCAGCATGATGCACAACTAGTAGACTATCTAGTGAACTATAAAGGCAGCTAGACAGGAGTTGACCAAGTTATCTCACCGTGATAGCATTATATCCGAGCAGCATGAAATTGAATGACCCCAAGATCCAACTAGAGAAAACGTACGCTGTATATGCAAATTCTACACTGCACTGCTGTCCCAGGCCGTAGGCTTACTACGCTGTACATTATCGATCTAAAAAAAAACATCATAGGAGTGTCGGGTAGGTGCAGTTTGCCGAGGAAGGTATGCCAAGCAACTTAGCCACACGCTGAATCAGCGGAAGCTCTTGTGGTTGACTCGATCCTCGCGTTGCAATCCATGAAATCCACGAAAATATCGACAAGCTGCTCACTTGATCCACGTATGGTTACTCGCCTATAACCTGGACAAATCCCTTTAGTGAATACCAATCCAATATTCTACTAACGATCCAAGAACTCGCTCTATCCAAGATAGCCAACCAAGACCACCCTGGTATCGCTCCTGGGAGATCTTTTGGTTTTGAAACCGAAGCCATACGAAGATGCAAGCTATACCAGATGCGCGCCAGCAAACCTTTGAGGAGATATATGGGCCTCCAGAAAACTTCCTCGAAATTGAGGTACATATCTCCAAGACACCCCTCCTGTGGCTTTCACAACTGCGTTGCAACTGTTTTTGTTACCCCTCATTTCCACCGACACACTACCCGCACCTTGTGTCCTGCGTGGTTGCCGGTTTTATTCACCTACCCAAACACTTATCTCTATGAAGCTCCAGACTGACCTCCGCTGTTCTTATTTATAACAGGTAAGAAATCCTCAAACTCACGGCACATCGCGCAACATGTATACCTCCTATGAAATCGTGTGCCGCACCAACATCCCCGCTTTCAAACTTAAACACTCCGTCGTGCGCCGCCGCTATTCAGATTTCGAATATTTTCGAGATATACTGGAGCGCGAGAGCGCGCGCGTAACAATTCCACCTCTTCCCGGGAAAGTATTCACCAACCGATTCAGCGATGATGTAATTGAGCATCGACGCGAGGGTTTACAGCGGTTTTTGCAAATAGTCGTAGGGCACCCCTTACTGCAAACAGGGAGTAAGGTGCTTGCCAGCTTTGTGCAAGGTAGGGAAAGAAATTGTTCTACTCATTTCCTGGATCCCGCTAACCGAATTTCGCGCGTCCTAGATCCTAACTGGGACCGGAATGCCTGGTAGGAACCAAACCGGATCTATATCGTACAGCTATTGCATGATTTGAAGAGAGCTATAATACATCCCCCCCGATCAGTACAAAAATCACGAGTCATGACGAATTCAAAAATTGCAGAATATTTTCTTTTCTCTTACATTTTCATTCCGTTATCGCCGCACTGATATCTCTGGGCAGAATGTCTCGAAGAGTACCAAGCGGAGAACAATTGGCCGAGCATGCCAATAGCGAGCGTAACTACTTGATTGATTCGAGTGTCGTTCATCCCTTTCAACACGGAAGAGCCATCCGAGGGCAAAATACTGGCTACATTTTGTTTCTTTGGTCCTTTCGCTTTTTCTATCCGTATTCTTCTGTCCTCATCCCTTGTTACCATTTCGTGCACATCCTTTGTCTTAATTTACTGCCCTTGTACATTTTCTCTCTCACCTCCCGTTTTTTCCTCCCCGGTGCATATTTATCCTTGCAAGCTAATTTATCAAGTTTTCATTTTTAACAAGCTGTGATCCTTTCTTTCTCTAATTGGATCGGAATCGAATTTCACATTACTTGCAATTATATCTCCTATACCTCGGGTGGCGTACCATACGTATTGCATGTAGTATTTATAGTATGCGTAAAAAAGCTGTTCCTCAATGCTGGAGGTCCTACATTTGCGCTATGACACGCGACCTACACAGCGGGATGGTTAATCTTTCTTCTATTATTAAAAAAAAGTGTTGGGTGTTGCTACAGCTTCTCTCGTCACATGTCTCCTCTCTTTATATTGCTCATAGCGTTCGTCTAGCTATGTGTAAAACCAGAACCAAATATGTAGCGGTAGGGTTAAGCCACTAGGATAAAAACCTTGAGCACGGACTGAAAATGAGTCGTTGATGCCATGCGGGTCGACTCGTGTCATACTACGGAGTAACTACGGAGTAGTAGGTTGAAGATTGAAGCTAACATGTTTCTTGAACAACCATATGCCTGAGAGCCTGGAGGATGACGCTCCAAAACCTCTGCTTCACCAAGACGGGCGAATAAATGTGATGAATTTCGCCCACAACGTAGAGGGATCATTAGTTTGATAACCTTCGGCTGTGATGGACTTGCCACTCAGAATAGTCGGGCCCGCAACACTCTTCCCCCCTAAAGGAAACCCATAGTTGATCGTCAACGCGAAAACGGTGGAAGTCACAATTCGGAATAAACTAGGACACGAAAGACACAGCTCCGGAACACTGTCCAAAACTGCTTGCTGGATTGTTTTAAGATCCTTGATTTTTTCCACTCAAGAACTCGGCTTCCATTAACCTTCTTTCGTCCCCTTTCTCCTGATTATTCCGCTACCATCCGGGCAATTTATTTTTACAATGGACCCCTTCACTCCCAAAGGCATGCTGCTTGCTCCTCATGTTTGTGGTGTTCGGTGATTCACCCTCTTCATGTGATAACTAATCGAAATCAATTAGCCGGCTATGGCCAGGGGCTCTGGGAATGATATGTTTGACAGGTACCAGGTTATCCATTTGATCGAGCACCGGGTCCGGAAGCAAGCGCATGAGGGTTGCCGAGAAAGCGACAGCATGCTATATATCGCTGCCAACACGAATATACCTGTGCCGAAAGTCAATGACACAAAATTGGATGCGGAGGACAGCTTCTCTTACATTGTGATGGAATATGTACTAGGCCGATCACTACAAGATGCTTAGATGAAGCTTTCTCCGGACCAGAGGGCCTCCACCTGCCACCAGCTTGCCCAATATCTCTCTTAGTTTCAACATCTGACAAAATAACAAATCAAGGGAGTGAATGATACTCCTGCATGAATCTGTGGTTATCATTCACGCTGGGGTGGACCCTTGGAGACAGAAAATGAGCTCAACAATTTTCTGGCTCACAACGCTGAGGGTACCCAAGGCCCTCATCTACTCCGAAATGACAATCACATAATCCATTTTGCTCACGGCGACCTAAGCCCCCGGAATATTCTGGTCGATGAGGGCGGCCGTATCACCGCAATCATCGACTGGGACATTCTCCGGATGCGCATGGACTTCCCAAGGAAGAGGAAGATGCCGGATCATCCAAGGTACTTCCAGTCCATCTTCCCACCCAAATATAAACAAAACTTTTCGGCGCTGGCGTACCTGGCACATTTTGAGCCCTTAGTTCCTGGTAGCCTACCTCTAAATCCATTCCCTACGGTTGGAAGGATGGAAATTGGCTAGTACATGGATATGGCTAAATTTAAACAGTCATGTCCAGATGAAGCTCTCAAGAGGTTGGTTTGGGTTTTGGAGAGTCTCCCTGCGGAACCAACCCGGGAACAGGTATTCATGCGGAAAATCCCCTCTATGATATCCCCATTTCATTTGAGTGAAACACGTATCTCGTCAATGGCTCTTGACTTGCCCGAGAGGTAAACTTCATGGCCTAACTGCAGGATCTCGTAATTAATGAGTGCATCCCCCTCCCCCATCCATCCCCTTGAACACAGCTCCGCCCCAGAGACTCACCCAGAGAATTCTACACTTTGAAGGGCCTCATTACCTGGGGCAAAAGTTACTGCGCCTGCTGGTAGTAGAGGGGACGACCCACCCAATCCAATCTCTCCAACACACCCCACTTAGCAAGTTAACTTACATAGTTAGATAATAATAACAAAAACATTCCCTTCTACATTCTGTTTCTCAGACTAGTATAATTGACAGCGACACCAGTTTAGCGCTATCCTGGTCCTTTATTGACTTCGCTACCTCTCCCTGGCTTTGTCCTCGATTTTGAATGCCGTTGCCGCTGATTCGGATTGTTTATTTACCTGTCAATTTGTATATATTGATACATATATTTGCACTCCCTAGAAACACAAGCTTACGGGAAATCCATAACAAAAAGTCTATTATTAATTTAATTCACTATTAAAATAGTCATGATGAACTCTAAGCAGATAAGGCCGGAAGATAAGGCCAGAAAGTAATGCACCGAAACAGCAACAGATACAGGGGTATATGCAAATTACCTCAAGTGAGCTCATCCCAAACGAGTGGAGGGAGGGTATTATCACCCCAGCTACTGTCGTCCACGCTACCCGATCCTACATCATCCATTTGCAGCGAGAATAGTGAACTATTGGTAACACTTGGTAAGTCTGGCAGAGCAGGCGGGGGCGGCGGAAGCATGATTGGATCTGTGGCATTCATGGGACCAGTATCGTTGGACGGGGTTTGATAGGAACATCGCTTGCCTGGTCCAGCGTCTGCTACGTCGGATTGGGCTCTGTTCGATGTTGTTTTCAAGATATTTCCTGACAATAACATCGATATTGTTGATGTATCTCGATCGTGGGCGGTAGGAGGTTCGGTAACAGAGCTGTCATTGCTACCAATAAAGCTTTGTTCAACAACGTTGGCGTTTTTGGTATTTATGGAGCCACCTTCGCGGTATACGTTGGGAAATTTAGTTCGGAAACGGTCTCTAAGATCTGTTGCTTTCCTATGCATTAGGTTCAGACGCTTATCCTGCCGAATTAAAGTCCATTGGAATCCGTGAACTGCATGGCCTTTGAGGAGAGCATCATCCTCTGCGGGTGTGAATGGGCGGCGAGATCGTCTGTTAGATTTAATACTCAAGCAAGGTTCTTCCAGGCCTAGAGAGATGAGAGTCGACTTAGATTTACTGGATAATGATGGGTTAGTTTTAGATGCTGAAACCCTGGACTTCTTCCTTCTCAACTTAGGGTCTGAAGTTAAATTCGACGGCCCATCCACTGATGGAATGGCCGGTGGGGATTTCGGAGGTGATTGACCGACACTGGAATTCTGATCAGTGGGCTTCAGGATATTTGCCGTAGAGGCTGCTAGTTCCTGCTTATTCCTGCTAATCCCCGGACCAGGAAGTAGGATTTTAGCTGATGAGCTGGCATCCGGGCCATTTGAGGCATCTGCAAGGCCAGTTTTAACTTCTTTGATAGTGTTCTGTTCTGAACCATAGGCCCATGGACAGCAGACGCGGAACCTATCCTTCAGATTTGCCGCTGTTCTTTGGTTAAAATGGAGTTCAGGTTGGGCAAGTATAGCTGTCCAATTCCCAACCCCACATTTCACCACCCCTCGCAATAAATCCCTTGTCTCTTCTTCTGTCCATTTTCGTAACTTTTTCCTTGGTCGGGTTTGGGGTTGGGGAGACAGATACTCTTTGTCGACCTCCTCTATACTTTCCTTCGAAACATGGTCTGGGAGAGTAAGATGGCTTCCATCCTCACCGAAGGATTCCTCGATATCTTCAACACTTTCCTCAATACCAAGTTCAATAATATCATTAATTCGTCTGCCTCTTCCTTCCTTAGTCGCGCCTCCAGGTGGGATACCTGGCGGGTCTGAGGTATCTCGTGTTGGTCGTGTAAGGATCGTGGGAGTAGCATTAGGCTCTATGGGAGGGAATAAGGCAGCATTTGGTGGAGGCTCATTTAAGCCATTCAATATTGTCAAAGGCCCAAAAGGAGGACGCTTTGGTATTTCCTTCTGGTTTTTGGGAATAGGAAGCTGAAGATGTTCTCCAAAAACATCGCCGTTCAGATCAATTCGGCGATGTTTTCGTGGAATATCTTCATCGAAAGACGCATAGGGTAACTTCTCGATAGCACGGAGATTAATGAACGTCGGAAGAATCGTCTTTGGAGGAGGGTCAGAGCTTGATGCTTTCCCGAAAGTTGTATCAAAGGCTGAATTAGTCCTGGCTGCATGCAAAAAATCCTCAAGTGTCGGAAGCTTAGCAGGCGGATTTCCTCCAATAAGAGAAGTTTTCGAAATGCTGGCAGTTTCTCGCGTCCCTCCTGCATTCGGCTCGAGTGGAGAGGGGACTTTGAGAGAGCGGGAAGGGAGAGGATCCCGGAGCGGCGGGATTCGTAGAGCGTTGGGCTGTGGAAAGTCACGAAGCTGACTGAAGGGATCATCGGCTATAGGGGTCGTATACATTCCCGTCAGCGGGTCCATCGTCTCGTCCAACAAGACCCTCCGCCATTGACTGTGAAGCCATTTGTTCACAACAGCGGTCGTCAGTCGTATATCAAGGAAACTGTCTGGTTTCGCGCAAGCGGTTGGAACCTTGTCAAAAGAAATCAAATATGATTACGTGGTTATCACCTGCTTAGTCATGGTTGCAACCGACAACCTCAGACAACGATGTTGATTCAGGTTACACGTCGGCTGACCCCTCGGGTGACTGAACTGACCTACGCTAGCGTAGGTCACCTGACCCAAATAATTTCTTGGCACAAAAAGGGTCAGTTGAGGATGAAACAAAAATGAACTTTTACCTTCTTATCCCCTCGTCTGGGGGCGAGGCAACAATTAGCGTATTTTTCTGCCACCCCAATTCATGACTGCTTACTGGCTGGAAGCCGATAATTCAGCTTGCCTATTGGCCATATAGAGGCGGTCAGGCACGACGCTAATTGTTGCCTCGCCCCCAGACGAGGGGATACATCTTATAATACATATGTGACGGGTTAGCACCCGTTGGTAGTTAACTTACGCAACCAAACCACCTACCGCCCGTTCGCCCCCTCACATGCTCCCGCGCACCTACGAAACGCCCTCTCCTCGCGATTCCGCTCCGCGCTCGCGTAGTCCCTAACAATTCCTCCGCGTAACCCTTAATGTTCTTCCGCTCCGCGCCCCACTGCAGCACACACCTCTGATATTCTTCCATTCCAATTCCTCCTCTATAAGAACCCCCCTTCATACAACCCTTTCCTTCTGATCTCTTTTCTCTTTCTTTCCTTAATCAATTCATAATCTGTTATCAGGATAGTGTCAAGTCCATTGATAGTGCCATTGGAACGGATTGTTCGAACTGCACGAACTGCGCGAACAGTACTAACGGTTCAATCTGCAACAACGGTAACATCTGGTTAATCGGTGGCACGCCCGTTACAACATACAGTGAAAATGAATATTATAATTTTTTTTTTTTTTTAGTAATAGAGATTGATTAAATTTTGAATATCATTAATTTGAGAAGTATATATAAACTATAAATGAAAATCTAGTACGGAGGGCGCTATCAAAAGAATTGCGCCGCTCAGATTCAATTTATACAGCTAAGAAGCGCCACAATGTTTTAATGAGTAATTACATTTAGCTTCAAATGACCCCACATTCTATTTATATGAGAATGCCATGTATTCTGAATTGATTCCTCCTTCCTCTCAAATATGATGGGATTCAACAGCTGCTTTGGTGTGGGAATTCATCTGATCTCAATGCAATTGAGGCAGCTTGGCCTTGGATGAAGTGCAGAACAACAAGAAAAGGAGCTCCTAAGAATCATACAGAAGCAGTTAGAGTATGGGAGCAGGCATGGAAGAATCTGCCACAAGAGAAGATACAGACATGGATTGAGTGGATTCCTGTGTATATTGAAAAGATTATAGAGTTAGAAGATGGCAATGAGTATAGAGAAGGAAGACAGCATGGGCAGGTGAAGGAATCAAATATTTATCTGATTCTGCAGGGTGGCAGATTGGCACACAGATTGGCAGACAGATTCCATGTTGAATGGCAGTGGAGACAAGGAATAATCAAGAGCTGAGTATTCAGTATAAAATACAGTGTGAATTTCTGCCAAGATTTGTGGTGCTGTCTAGTTGTCTTTTTGCCGGCGCAATTCTTTTGATAGCGCCCTCCGTATATAAAACTATGAAATTGAGGGACTAGTGATGAACTAGTATTGATGAGCTGGGAGATTGCAGGATAACAGTTGGTAAGAGCTTGTATGAGATCAAGTTGTCAAGCTAGTCACCATTTCTATAGGGTCAGGTGACCTACACTAGCGTCCACGGGTAGTTCAGCTCAGTCACCCGAGGGGTCAGCCGACGTGTAACCTGATGTCTCGATTTCATCAACGACAGAGATTCGATATATTGCTATCTTTGATCAATTGTTCCAGGGCATCGGATCGTTTATAACATCAGACATTTGAAGAACCCTCCAAATCTCAATTACGGCGACTCTGTATCCGGCGCTGCAACATCCAATATGGCATTCGGAATGACCACAATACTCCCACTATGGCCTCATATTTTGTTCGCGATTTTGGAGCCAATCTCACTGTATATACTTTTTACCTTTATCTGCCGCTGATTGCGGGGAAAGTAACTAACTTGGGATAGCGTTGCTGGCTGTTACTCTGCAATCTTTAACACCACCAATTTCGTCGCTGGTCAAACCCCGAAAGCATCATCGCCCACAGAACTGTCGCTCAGTACTCAAGCAATCGCCTACCAACTTGGGAATATATTTTTGCTATTGGCGACGGTAGGTGTTGCTGTTTTGTACTCGACGTCGGAGCCAAGGGTGGTCAGAAATTACTTGATCGTGGTGGCAATCGCAGACCTGGGGCACATCTTCTCCGTGTATTGGTGTATCGGATTCCATGACTTGATCAATGTGTGGGAGTGGAATGATCTACTGTGGGGAAATGTTGGAGTCTCTGTGATTCTCTTTGTGAATCGCATTGCATATTTACTTGGCGCTTTTGGGCATGCCAAATCACCCAATGGCATCAAAAAGACACAGTAGGCGGGGGATTCCAGACTCATTGCGGGCCAAACTCTCTGCCCCCTCAGACAGCCCCCATTGCGGGGTTCTTTGTTCTTGAATTTCTCATTCCAATCTTGGTGCAGCGCTCAAACGCCACCTAATCACGCTTTCTGCCCCATTTTATCTATCGCTTGTGAAGACTTTTCTCGATTTTTCTATCGCCTTGCTCATGTCGGCGTGATCGATTGACTATATTCTCCCTGACCCTTATTCCGGCTTGGGTAGACGAGATTAAGGTAGCGAGAAGGCAACTGAATGGCTGTAACGTAAACTGTACATATACTCTGCGTCTATGGCTCTGGAAGCTGCAGCAGCAGCCAAATCCATTTCTCAAAATAAGTGGGTCTTCAAACAGTCATTTCTATTCTTGGGGAATAACTGGCCACTGTTCATCTCTTCCTCGACAGCAAAATGGGTTGGGCCGTCGAGGGTTACATGCAATCGTTAGTCCCTTATCTAGAGGATCCGTTGTTGTACGGGACTTGTTTGGTCTGGATACTAGCAAAGACTATTCCACTGTTATTCCGTCCAGAGCGCTGACGGGATTCAAGGGCTTCTTCTATGTTTCCGCTGATCAACTACAGGAGCAGCTATTTCCACTCCGCGTTGATAATACAAATGCGTCCATGAGCAAATATCAGTCACTCGCTTGAGGGAAAAAGGAAGGGGATAAAAATATTCGGGGAGTGTAATGCCAGATGCTCCAGTGTTCTGTCGAACTGTGGGAAGTTACCGTAGCAGATTTTTTTTTTTTTTTTTTTTCAAAGTTGAACCAAGCGGTCTGAGCAAGACAGCGCTTTCTCATGCACGTCGAGCTGGAGGCGGTAAGCAATCATCAAGTAAAGCCGTGTCTGCGTTCGTGTACCTTGTCTCTGAAGTAGACCATAAGAGCATTGTTTTTCTCTCTCGCCAAAAGAGCCAATCGAGAAATCCAGAAGCAATAAATACCGGTCTGGGTCTCAGAGAAGGGCTTGAGCTTCCACCACTTATTCTTGGTCTCGCAAGGCAGAAGGCTCCAACCAAAGTCGATCTCGACACAGTGAGCTCTCCGGGCTCACCAGCAACAGCAACTAGACAGAAATGCCTGGCTATTAGAAAACCGATGTCTGCACGATCCTTGCCAATCACCAGAACCTAGATACGTGGTGGAGTCTATAAGCTTCACCAAGAAAATCTTCTTGCCTCTACGAGAAGAGAGCTATTTCCAATATCGCCTTGGGCAAACGAAGGTCTGCATTCAGCAATCGAGAATTCCTCGTGTTTTTTTGGCTTTACAAAGCTTCTTAAAGGCCAAAATATTTAATTAGGTACTAGTCTCCCCGCAGCTGTTAGCTCAATTATATTGTTGCATGTTTTCATTACATTCCTATTGCTGAACTCGTTTCTTCGCAATTTCTGCGCCACTTTGAGCAAAGCTGCAAGGCCATAACACCACCAGGGGCACCTCTTTCAAGAAGAAAAGAGCATGCGCTGCGGGTTTGTGACCGAAGCTGCGGACTCTGTGAACGGTTAAGATCGGGCTGTGAAGTGAGGCCTTGTCCGTTAATTGCTTGATAATTCAAACAATTCCGGAGCCATTGTAGGAATATGATGAACACTGCTAATATATTGTTCAGCAAATTTAGTGACGGCGTTTTTGTGTCTTTTGTTCCTGGCCAGGCACGAAGGTGGAATGCGCCTTGTTTCAGTTTGACCTTGCACACGGATGAGGATCCTCGGAATGACATCATTGCCTACGATTTATTTATGTTTATGGTCAATGAAAGATGAAACATTGAATATTCTTATTATCGTGTCATGAGCAAATCCGCAAGGTGTCCTGAGAAATTCTGGTGATATTTTTGCTCTTGACCGCTATATCATGGAGAGCAGCTACAGTTGACGTGGAAGGCGAGCGGGGCTTCTGGTAGGCTAGGGGTGAGGGAGCGCCGGAGAGCAGCAACGAAATAACGGCCACGCCTGCGGCTGCGTCGAATTTTAGACTAGGGTCATATCCCGAATTGCGGGTTTGCTAGCTAGTGGAAGGGATCAGAACTTTCGACCAGCAGCCAGCAAGATCCCGAAGGGATTTGCAAATCACTTGGCTATTGTTTTTGATCATGAAAATCAGTCTGAACAACTCGAATTTATGTGCGAGTGGGGTTTTGTATGTATAGGACTGGGGCTGGAAATACCCGTCTTGGTTTCTCACAGATGAGGTTGAGATTGGCAGAAGCCATTCACCATCAGCGGAGCCGCCCTCGATTAGTGGTATGAACGTATTTTTGTACGCGCCCCACAATTCGTCTTCAAGACTCCAAACGACAGAACTTCATGCCGCGTAGCCTTGTTTAGCCGTGAGAGGGAGAATGGCAGTTGCTAAGTCATACACTATTTTCATTGCACTATTCCCACTACTTGGATGTCGACGGTTTTTGACTGGTGCACGGACGAGCATGCTAAAATGGCGGAGATTCATGATTGACTTGTAGAATTGTCGTTTGCAGATAGACCCAAGCATAGTTTTGGGTCCTCTGAAGTTGCTTGTGTCAGAGTTGTTGCATAACTATTAACGTTGCAATTAACAACAATTGCCGATAATATTTTCCATAGGTTTACGAGCGATGGATTGTGCCTCATATGGCTCGACAGATCAAGTGGTTTCGAACAAACAGAGTGAACTCGAGACGACTCCACTCGGACACTTTTCGCGCTGCGGGCCAGCTCCAGCCACGCGGAAATTTGGCGGGGTTCCTCGCTACTGCGTACCCTGACGTAGTGTTCCGTGTGTGCGGTACGCGCCCCTTACCATCTCGAATGGACTGTCCGAATAAGGCGGGGAGTCGACGCAGAGAAGTGTAGATCCGTAGACGCGACTAAAAAGGCTCATCTGCATCCGGCAGCTGGTGACTTGTGCTCCTGCTGTTCAATACCAGCCACCCGAAGCAAGGAGGTCGATCTTTCAGGTCATTGCTCGTCCCGTCGTTGCACAGATTCGTCGGTTGTGGGCCCTGCCTGAGCTGTGATGGCTGACTGAAACACCCTGCGTAATGCACACTACATGTAGCGATTACGGCGTATGCAGAGATCGCTCATAAATTCGCTTGTCCCGGCCCTTGGGTTGCGAGAATGACCGAAGCGGGCACAAGCCTGCAGATTGACAGCTTGGCCCCAACTTCCCAGGTCGATTGAAGCGAAGTATGCCAAGGCTGTTGTCGCGTGAGGTTTGATGCGGACTATTTCATGTGGTCCATCTTCTCCTGGAGTTAGCTGCCCTTGGCGTAGCATATGAGAACGCGCTCTGAAAAACGGTTCCCGTTTAAGTTTGATATATATTAGCGCCTCCATAGGCGGGCCGAGTTAATCAGGCCATGACCCTGAAACATGAGCCATTGTACAGTACCAGCTGCCAGCTGGGCCAGAGGCGGGCATTCAACGATTGTGCTTGCACTGTTGCATTCGGGTTGGAGTCCACAGAGGCCAAGTTACGGCTCCCAAAAGACTTTCGATGTCGAAATCGCTCGACCCTGCCAGTATAAGCAACCCAAAGGTAGCTCAGCTGCACTGTAATTGCACTCTTTAAGGTTAATGACGATCCTGATGAAGTTATCGAAGCAATTGGCAGTCTCAGGTTACTCACTGACTACCGCATGGGCTGGCTTGCTGAGTGAGCTGCTGCACGGCCAAAATCCCCATTTTTGCCCTTCAGCATGGGGCAAGCAAAGACGACCTCGTGCACCACCAATTTGGTTCGGTGGCTCGTCCGCCCCCTCAATAGCCGGGTCTGGGGCCCAGTGCTCAACGCTAGGGACGTAATAGTGTGGGGCGAGTTAACCACAGCTCGGTAGCAGGCACATCCTCACCCATGCCCATTGACCAGTCGACTTTCCACCTCCAACAACCACTTCATACAACGATGTCGTTGTGGATCCCTACACGCAAATCGCACGACTAATGGCCGTGTAAAGGTGTGTTTCCTGCTGAAGCATGGAAATTCTCGTCAGAATTATTTTTAAGGGAGGAGGGGAAAAAAGACACCATCTGAAGAGTCCTTCCACAAGGGTCCGCCGTTCAGTTTGACACCGGAGGGATTCCCTCGCTCCCGGGCCAGCCTAAAAGCACGCTTGTTTCTGGTATCTGGACTAATTGGGTGGCTCCGTCCCTAGCATATCCCTTTCGACACGAGAAAGGGGCCATCTGTATCAGAGGCCCCAGCGTGGGCGAAAGGTTGCGTTCCCGTGGCTCCATGTAATCCATGTCTGCCATTTCTTTGAGAGCGTTTTGAGAGGCATTTTTATCATTCCCGGTCGCTACGGTTGCCACTTAAGCACATATCGACCAATCTAGATTATGATTGGCAAGCTGTGATGCTCCCTGTCTCCTGGAGGTCAATTCGTCAAGATCGTTCCACCTCACTACAACCTGGGAGCGATATGCGGCATAGGGGGCTCAGGTCAAAGGATGTCGAATTTGAGTATTATTACATGATTGGCATTGATTGCCTACTGTTTCACGTTTCTTTTATCAAGGACACCCATAAACCTGGACGTCGGAATCCGCCTGAGTGGGACAGCGTATCGAAGTGGTATTTGGGGCACGCCACCCACGCCCCCCATATTTGGCCAAGGGCCCATCTCGAAAATGGCAAGAGTACAAATACCCCATACTAGCTAAGCCGGCCTTCATAGGTTAATACCAGGGCATGACAGTGAAGAAGATTGCAGAGTGAGGGCTCTCAAAGTCTCCCTGAAACGCAAACCTTGATCCCATTAGAGTCAACCAACGCAAATCATTTTCACACTCTATTCTGGCCTCCCTCCTGCTTCTCCGATTCACTACACCCTATCTGGCTAATATTCCCTTGAAGTCACCCTTTTTTTTTATAACTCTTCAGTTTCTACAATTCTCAACCTTCGATGCCAGACGTGAACCATTATGATTTCCCATTCTGAATGACTCTACTGCTTCTGCTTCGTGTAATATATCCTGTTAAACGCCTCCCTAATCTTGCCGTTGGACCGACCTCCAGAGATGTCTCAGTTCCCAAATGGCAATGGCATGCCATTCCTTTGGCAAACACCTCAACTCTTTCACGCGACGGTCGAAGACGACCCCGTTCAGCTTTACCCCGCCCATGCCATGGAAGCTGTGGGATATATGGAAACTCCCCTTACAACACATGAAAGACCTGGTAGCATTATTTCTAGGCCTTTACCGATTTCTCAACCTTCTTTCAACGTTGATCTGAAGCCGCCACGTTTTGATGTACAATGGCGATGGTGGGAGGATGAAGCTAGCTTCATCCTGCGAGCATTCACGGTTGAAGCCATTAAACGACTTGTGCAGTTCCGTTTGTATCATGACGATAACCTCCCTAGGTCTATACTTCGGAGTCGAGATTCGAACACTGTGACTAAATTTCTCAGCTCACTGTTGCCCCCCGATGATGGCACAATAGTTACCGAACTTACGCATTACGATAGAGTGGAGAAGCTCCTCAGTCTATGTCGTTCTAAAGATAACGAGGCCAGACCTTGGACCTGGTTTCCTACTCGGCATCCCAACGACCTTGATTATGAAGCAGTTGCTAGAGACGTCAACGAAGAGAGCTACTTGCAGTTTAAGGCTGTTCGGTTCGAAGACTGGGTCCACTACTCCCTTGGATACCCTACTCCATCGGTAGAATGGTTCCTGGTTCAACATTCTAAACTTTCTAGCTACCTTGTGGATCATTTCAATGAGTTTCCTGATCGATCGCATAAGTACGTCGAGGTGGAGAAGGTCTGTATGCGGTTTCCAGCCACTTGGTATTTCTGACACTAAAATGTTCTTTAGCATCTCCGCTCGCGCAGTCCTTTTGCTCACCAGGCGGTTTTGTGCAGTCTTAAAGTTAAAGGAATTGTGGATTCTGACGATACTCCATTGTCGACACACAGGCTCATGCGATTCCTCACAATCCCGATACAAAACTTGTTTACGACGCAGCAAAATGGCCTAATACGGATGTTAAAGAAGCTGGTGGTATTGGAAATCCGTTTCAATCACATGTACCATCAAGGGTCAGATTTGAACTGGGATAGTAACTTTGAGGCTGAATCTCCTCTCCTTGACGAGTTCTTCGAGGCCTCTTCTCCTCGAGCCCTGGCGAGATGTCTCACACACTCGGATGATCGGGAATTTACCGGTCTATCGTTACAAAGCTTCGTTACTGAAGACTCCAAATTCCGTCAGTTGATAGCGGGCTGGGATAATCTATGTACGGTGACCGAGGAGTGTTGCCTCGCTTATCCGAACTTAGTTGACTTTTTAAGAAATTGTGTTCAGGTAAGTTTTTACCCTCTGAATTTTGCCATACAATAACAGAAGTTGACACATTGGTTCGAAAAGGATCTATACCACCGAAGGAATTATTATTCCGCAACAGCAATGCTCCATGGTCTTCAAAAAGCCAACCCACTAATTTTTTCATTCAACCATCCTTTTCCAACTCCTAGCGCTACGTTACACAGCTCTACAGGATTTCCGTTAAATTTCTTTGACCTCGTCGACTCTGCTAACAACTACGGATCATACCGAAAGCTAGTACAAAGCAGGCCTGGGTTACCATTTCTCCGCCCCTATGTTATAGAATATCAGTCACACGGAGAGCGTGGGCTTGCGGGCTTATTTCCTCTTCCTGATCTATCGTGATGAAGGACAACAGCAGCTATGATTATAAGATACTGTATTGTTCTGGTATGGCCCTGGATTTGAGCACTCATCAATCGCTATCAAGCTCTTCATGTGGCAGCCATCGGTTTCTTGTTGCCTAGTCGAAGGATTAGGAGTGACGGATGCTATATAGCAGACAAGGAAAAGCAGAAGAAAAGAGGGATTTCACGTAATAATTTGTTTTTTGTATCCTTTTTTTTTTTTTTTTTTTTTTTTTTTTTTTTTCTTTCGTGGAGTTCCCTTTCTTCAGTTCTATGCGCTAGAAATGGCTATGAACAATGCGCGATAAATGATCCCTGCATTCACCTATTATCCATCCTCCTTTGAAGGTATGGGCCAAATATGTTATTGCATGTGCGTTTCACCTTCCACCACTACCCAATCTCGACCCAAGACTTTCCAGAGTTATATCGACGATCCACTCTGTAAGCGAAATGCATACACGGGTTATATGAGTCTCCGGACGAGACACACAGATTATCTACTTTCTATCAGCCGCACATCAACCGGGGGACGAGCCAAGTCTAGACCATTGATAGGGGAACGGGTTCAATTGGTTTGACCCATAGGCGGGAAATGTCTAATGATATCCAGAGGGGGTATGGCTCGGCAATGGGAGAAGATGAGTGGTAGCCTACCCTGCAGCCACTATGATATAATGGCCATTAATATCTCTCTCTCCGTCTTATTTGCCACATGTCCCATCAAGCTACAATGCTTCGTGCCACCTGAGGCATAAAGCCTGCGCATGAACCGGTGAGGGTGTGTGCCAATGACATCCATATAACACTCATCCTCCCGCTCCCCATGCGGGGATATGTCGACCGTGCTCCCCACCTGAACTGACGATTGGCCCCAAGCGCTGAGAGCTATAGTCGAGTTTTCGTCTCGCATCTGGAAAGGAATTTTGATTATTTCTCCAGTTTTCTAGCTTCATAGCTATGGACCAATACCTGCTCTTGCCCAAATACGCGCACCCATCCATTTATTATGCGAGGTTTCATTGACCAAAATCAGGATGGAGGTTAAGAGGGGAATCCTATGCTGGTGAGCAAAACTCCGCGCAGCATCGAGGGCCATGCAACAACAAGAGGGATATACAATCAACCGCGGTCAGTTTAGGGTGATCGGATAACATTCCAAATCCGTCAAGCTTTTTAAGCCGGTTTCGTTCTTTGTCCTTGCGAAACCCATCATAATTTCTTTCCCGACGTTTAATTCTTGCCTAGTATATTCCGGTTTCGCGGGGTCGTGATTTATCTCCCCGCAATCCACCGCTGTGTGCTGCTAATAATGACCCCTTGATGGAATTATTTATTTCCATATATGCTCCTTACATAGTGCGCGCAAAATAAACTATATTAACCACTGAATACATAGGCGTAAAACTACTAGGTATAAAAATTTTTTCGTAGGAAGTGACAATGTCGAACTCCCAAGGAAATATCAGTCGCGACATTAGTTCAGAAATTCGGCGATGTAGCCATCCCTAGGCCAAAGAAAAAGGGGCAAAAATAGGTTAGCTGAGCAGTTTAGAAGCACTGGAGAATGTCTGCCCCTTGGCCACTCACTAACCTTGGCGGGACAATTTACAATCAACCTGATATGTCGCCCCGTCGATCTGTTCGACCCGGGTGCGATCGTTTTCGCCTGCCAAAATCCCTTACTGCTGCATTTGTTGGAATTTCCCCAACACTCAACACTCGTTGGTTTATCCCGAAGCTGGCAGTCTCCTGATAGGCTGTTTTCGAAAGGTAACGCGCGCCACACAACGCTCCTCGATTGAAGGAATTGACCCCAAAAAGAACGCCGAAGTCACTCGCCAGCTCCCCTTCCCTGCAGAGGCGAAACTCATGCATAGCTTGCGAATATAAAGCTGCTTTGACTTGGGTACGTGCGCATATCCTGCAATGAAACATCCATAATATGCTATGTGTCCTGCAGTGCATACATACTGTGTACGTTTCGTCCGCTCGGTCGGGATGCAATGAATGGGAATGGGCAATGTTGAAGTACGGCCGAAATTGGGCATTCTCATTAATAGAACATGTCATTTATTCTGCTTCTTTATTATTGTTGTTGTTGTTTTTCTTTATTTATTTTTCTGGGGTTTGCTGGTTTTTGCACAACCTTCCATGCTGGAAATGACGGTGAGTTATGTGTGGGGGTTGCAAAATCAAACGATATGCTGTACGTATATACTGGACTTGGAAAGTAGATATATAATTCAATTCCGTTTTCGAAAATTCCCCCATACATGGCACAAGGACGGCCGACGCATGGACAATACGAATTGTTGACATTCTCAGGGATTGTTTAGTTCTGCGCGATGGATACCGAGTTAGTGCAGCAATACGATAATCTTGCGTCGGATATACTGTGGTGGACTAGAAATGAAATGTCTCGTAGCTTGTAACTATTTTTCTTGTATTTCAATAAAATTTAATTTTTAAGATTATAATATCTGATTAGTTATCTGATCAGGCATGTGTCAATAGTTAGTGAGATATTGAACCTGCACTCAAGGGTTAAGGATATGTGGTGCTCTCAGTCATTTGATCATTCAGTGATTTGATTATCAACTGTATCACAAAAGAAAATATCACAAAAGAAAATATTGACAGCAATCCTCAGATTCTTATGAGGATCTCAGTCTCTTCTTTCATGACCACTGTTCTAAGGATCTCACGTTTGACCCTGCTTAGACCATCGACCCTCTTCTGATAATCAACAACGCTATCTCCTCGTGATAAAATAGCTAGGTGCCTACCTGCTTGATATCCGATTGATATCTTCCAGCCCTCAATTCAAGTAGTGATTGCTAGCTAGCTAGTTGACTGCTTGTCCATCCACTGTATATTCTCTCATTCAAACTTCAGATTCGCTCCATTTACCGCCCATATGCACTGCACCCTCTACTATGGGGCTCTGAGGGCGTGGGCATTCGGTTTAGAAATGTGGAATTAACAGTTCATTTGCCCCTGGGATTTAGAGACGCGTTTGCCCCCCTTCATATGGAGGGTTCTAGGGGGAGGTTGCTTCCAGCATAAAATTGTAATATAATTGGTGTAGCTACGAACATGCATGAAAAATTAAAACGTGTGTGAAAATACAAGCCATGAGACATTTGTCACTATAGTCCGCCATCGATATGGTCTATGTACAATGGATTGGAACCAAAGATTTACGAAAACATAAATGAGATAAAAAGTAACAGAAAATGATAAATGATAGGAATCGCCAGCGGGCCTTTATGTGGGTTTCTGGTTTCTCTTTGCTGTTCCGAGTTGGCTGAATATATGACTGGAACGTTAAGGTCTCGGTCTGCGCACATGCAAGCTGGGGCTAGCGAGGCAACATGGTTTCATGAAAAGTATGATATTAGGAATTTTCTCGAAATGACCCCTGTAATTAATTGTCTCAACAGAAAGAAAATCCCGGACTTCTGGGAAATTTGGCAAATCTTGCGTCGTGACGTATTCCTTTTGTTTTCTAGAATTGAGCTACGTTTGCAGAGGGCTTTAGGGAAAGTACAAGAATCATGTCAGATGAAAAAGGTGGATTGTGCTCACGCATTAACTTCCACGGAATCTTTCACCCTGGATAGTATACTATGGAAAAGCCGGAACAACCGCAGGATTCAAAACAAGAGGTATCAGAAATTCAAACCATTACAAGACGCCATTCTCCTCACGGAAATTGTTTATTCATGAGCATATATTATACTTTTTTCATATATCACTACATATTTAGTGACCAGCAAGGGCCATGGCACGGCGGCGGTCACGCTCTTCAGCAATAGAGAGCTGCATAATACAGTCAGCATACATATTTTGAGATTTCGAAGGGATAGGTGGGAATTGGAGGCGTACCTTGACACCTTTGCCCTTGGGCAGGCTGATCCATGGCTTGTCCTGTCCAATGATGAAGACGTTGCTCTCACGGGTGGCAAAGGAGTTGTCAATGGCATCCTTGATGTGGACGATATTGAAACCACCATCGTGGCGCTCACGATGGGTAATGACACCCACACGTCCCATGTTACGACCACCGGTAGCCATGGCGATGGCACCAGTGTCGAACTTGATGAAATCAGTGATCTTGCCAGTGGCCAGATCGATCTTCACAGTATCGTTGACCTTGATAGCAGGGTCAGGGTATCGGATCCTATAATAACCAACAAGGGGACATGTCAGCAATTCGGGATAATTTCCCATGTTCTTCACAAAAAATAGAGTAAAATTAAAGCCAGGATATCATGATATCGTGTTTCCACTGATATCAACCAAAGCTTGGTCCAACGACTGAATGATGCGGAAGAACTCACGTTCTAGCATCGTGCGTAACCAAGAATGGGATTCCGCCCTTGCCGAGCTGAACACGCTTGACTTTGCCCAGTTTGTATTCGGCCTCCTCGGCTTGGATGCGGTGGACGGTGAAACGGCCCTTGGTGTCATAGACGAGGCGGAAGTTCTCGCCAGTCTTGTCGATGGTAATTACGTCCATGAAGCCGGTGGGGTAGGTGGAGTCAGTGCGGACTTTGCCATCGACTTTGACGAGACGCTGCATGAGGATGGCGTTGGTCTCCCGCGCGTTGAGGGCATACTTCAGACTGTCATCCACCATCAATTGTCAGCATTTTCTAGATCCCGCTACCACACCTTACAATTTGGGATTGCTGACTCACCGGTTGCGAATAAAAACGATGAGAGGCAAGCAATCTCTCAGCTTGTGAGGACCAGGAGATGGGCGAGGAGCATAAGAACCGGACAGTTTGTCCAAGAGCCAGTGCGAAGGCGCACTCAAGCGCTTCTGATGCTTCTTTCTTTAAATCGCAAAACTCATTAGCCTCGACCAGTGTATCAGCAAATTGGTGAATTAGGGAGTAACATACGGTCCACGGCCCATGATGATTGATTATCGACTTGCTATCTCGAATTGTCGTTGTTGCCGTATAGTGGACGTTGGCAGCCAAAGTGTGGACTGGAGAACTTTTTTTGACGACTGCGAAATTCGCTTAGAATTGTGTTTTGGTTTAGTGTAATCGCAGCCCTAAGGGCTAACCGAATCGGGATTAACTAACGGCAAGACTTCACCATCATCACATGATATCAAACTCTATTTACTCGTGCACGCACCACCTTTTGCTAGTCTGGATACGGTATGACGGTCGATCCTTGTTGTGCCTCTCTTCTCTCCTGCCCAGTCACTAAGCACATCTCAAATGGCCGAAGAAACTGAATGCAGCAAGGTTACAATCATAAATATTCGCAGACACTTGCGGCAGTTCGGAAGTGCCCACGCACCCCGAACTCGAATAGACCGAAGTCGGACCGTAACCACTGATGATCGGGGCGCTCTGCGACCACCTGCCTGATAAACCCGGTCTCTATCTAGATGAGATGGCTACGTTCTTCTGGGAAGGGTTCCACATCCTGGCCACAACCTCCAGCATCAGAAGAGCCGTTGTCGCCAAAAGTTGGTCTAAAGAGACTGCTCGGCAGTAAGCTAGGGAGCGAAACGCCTGGACAGAGGTTCGTGTCACACGTGGATCCAACCTTCTCAATCATCATTCTAGCAGTGCTACGAAACCCTCTTTTCAAGGGGTGCGTCATTGTGAGTAGGATGCTGCGTTCAAGGTACCCTGTGGAAATCCAAATTTGAAGAGAATATTGGCCGATGTGTATCTTGAAGATGATGGTATGTAATGATGTGAATCAAGAGGGTTTTTGCAGTGGGCGATTGGGAGTGAAATATGACTTTCTGTAAGCGCTTGGTTTCTCTCCTCAAGTTTCTGCACATCTTCCCCGCCCCAGGATGACAAGGAGATTGACAACGTCGCCAAATTTGAATTTTATCGGCCAGTCACCATCCTGACGTATTGATGAGGATCCAACGAATAGGGCTGCCTGAACCAGGTAAACGCCGAGAGTTTGCATGAGCTGGCTAGGAATTAAAGGCAGAGGAGCCGCGGGAGGGTTCGATTCCCCGTCATCCAGTCCTGGTGGGCATGTTTCGTCTTCTCCTCCGTAACAAAAATAGGATCTAACGAATGGACAAAATTATCGGAAACCATAATTCGCCCCTAGCTAGCCAGAAAAGCCTGCAACTCGGTGGCTATTTCCACGGGGTCAAAGAGTTATTGTTGGCACTCCATCAACAAGCGGAGCTTGCGAATGGGGTTGGGAAGCCGCGCAGGATTTTTTTACTAACTGGGCGCCGTTAGATGGGGTTGCTTCCTGCTCAGCTTTAGATAGCGACATCAGTTTCTCAGGGTTAAATTTTCAACAGGTGATATTAGTGATTAAGTTGATTTGCCAGCCCCAACTTGTAGGCTGGCGCGCGGAGATTGAAACATGCCCCTGTTCTGAAATACTCAGTCACCCAATTGACAGCTGGCGAGCGTGTCTGGAGTCTGTTCATGGTTGAGAGTAATGAGGGCTTAGCCGAAAAATTAAAGCTTATACATATATCTGTTTTCGTATCTTGGCAACTGAAGGACAATCATAGGAGTGAATTGTACTCTATACGGTGTCTCGAATTTTCATTGGAATGGAAATGCTTGTAGGGGAGTAAGTGAGCCAAGCCTCAATGGGCGCTAGCTTACGGAGTAGATTTAAATATCTTCCTGGGCCCAGTGCACATGAACGCGAGCGCCAACCTAATAATACGTCAAGCACAAGACTCCAAATGCACGATGGTGCGAGCTTCAATTTTGCTCTCATCTCGAGTCTGCTTACGACGGATTCCCCTAGGGAGCGCAAGCTTTCTTCACGCCCGACGCGCCCAATTTGTGCATATCCTGGATCAGCCCTCACAGTTTCTGCTACAAACACCTCGTGCCAACCACTTCTACTCAACGATGGTCTCTGACTTGTCTTCTTCCCTCAAATTTCCAGACACAGGATTTGATATAGTTGACGCTTCCGAGCCAATTGAAGAGGAGACGCTTCCAAACTACAGCTCAGCAAACTATTATCCAGCTCACATCGGCCAGGTGCTCCTGGACAGGTATCAGATTGTAGGGAAACTGGGCTATGGAGTCACTTCAACTGTTTGGCTAGGCCGTGATCTGCTGTGCGTTTCTCCTTCTGCAACATTAAATCTGCTTATTCAATTGACTGGCCTGGGTTTTCTGTAACGCTTCCATCAGAGAGGCTCGCTATGTATGTTTGAAGATATCTACCGCTTCGTCAAAGCGAAATGATGAAATTGCAATTTACAAGCAACTTGAGTCTGTTGCCTCGAAAATCGATCACGTTGGTCAAACTTTGTATCGGAAACTATATGATTCTTTCGAAATCACTGCTCCCCGCGGTACCACTCATACATGCCTCGTCCAAGAGCCTCTGGGATTAAGTTTATCACAGATTCTCGATCTCCGGCGTTCCGGGCTCTTAACGACGGACCTTCTAAAACCTTTACTGCGACAACTTTTAATCGGCCTGGATTTCCTGCATGTAGCAGGTGTTGTTCATACAGGTATGGAAACGGAAACTCTGTCCCTCCCCTTCTCCTCCGGCTTTGACGAACGACGCTGATTAATAAGAGGATGGGAAGACCTTCAAAGCAAAAACTTGCTTCTTCAGATTGATAATATCGGTGTGTTCAAAATTTTTGAAGAAACTGAACTAGAAGAGCCAGCACCAAGAAAGGTTCTGGAAGACCATACCATCTATATGAGTCGGCGCGTTCCCGGAACCGAAACACTCCCTATCATAACGGATTTTGGGGAAGCTAGGCTCGTAAGTAAGACTCGAAAGGAGGAGAGTATTATGCCTGATGTTTATAGGGCACCGGAGGCAATTCTCTGGATGGAGTGGAACGACAAGGTTGATATTTGGAATGTCGCAGTTCTAGTGAGTATATCTCCTGATGACTGCATGTTAACTTCCTGTCGGCTGGCTGATGGTTGGTTTTAAATCCATTAATCTGATCTAATTCGTGCACGCTTCCTAGCTGTGGGATCTCGTTTCTAAACGCCATTTGTTTGATGGGCGGGACTCGGAAGGTGCAGTTGATGAGTCGCTTCGTCTTGCAGAAATGATTGCCATCATGGGTCCTCCTCCGAAGGAGTTCTTGAACAGGAGTGACGCATGCCGCATATTCTGGGACGAAAATGGTACGTTTTATCAATTGGTGCCAAAACACGCTATCTCTACATTTAACAGCCAGTTGAAGTTGACCCTTCGAAAACTACGCAATTGTCATCAATTGACTGACTTCTTATGCACCATTACCTGCATGAACAGGGGAGTGGAGAAACTTCGCTCCAATCCCGGACGTCACACTCGAGAGCCTCGCCGTAGGCATTGAGGGTGACGATAAGGAGGGCTTTTTGAACTTTCTCCGCAAAATCCTTCGTTGGCTACCGGAGGAAAGGCCCACGGCTGGAGAACTAGTGTACGATGAGTGGGTGCTGAAGGGCTTGGGCAAAGGCAAGGGCAAGAGCAAAGGAGCTTAGGCTTTGATAAAGAAATTCGCTACTCTCTGTTGTGTTGGGGGAATTCGAGACAGATTTTTACGAGATATACAGCCAGTCCCATTAGGACGGCACAAAGCTTAGGCTGGCAATGGAGCAAATAGTGTGGATAATATTTGATGCGAATGACCCTACTGCATGATAGCTTCGGATTTTACCAGGAATCTCATCAGGTTACATGTTTCCATATTGCTACTTTGTGATGTGACAACTACTTCCGTGATTCCATGATTCAGTTGTCACAACTTCCAGCAAGACATATATTAGGATGGCTGTTCAACGCAATGTCGTGTAGCGAGCAGTGTGGCAATTATCTCACGTCCATACCTATCTAAATGATAATATATATATAATGATTTGCCCTTTACCAGGTTCACTCCTCATTATGAAACATCTGTAGGGATGAGTTCGCTCAAAATAGTCATCTGGTTTATATTAATTTGCGCACTTTCTATGCAGCCATGGGAGCTTCCTCCAGACTACGTGTCGCTTCGAATATCTTCCCAGGATTTAACAACCAGTGGGGATCAAGGGAGCGCTTGATACTGCGCATAACCTCGATAGTGTCCGATCCGACTTCTTTGAGGAGTGATTGCTTTTTACCGAGCCCAACGCCGTGTTCGCCCTAGTGAAGATGCATGTGGTTAGCATGGGTAATTGCCGATAAAAAAAGGATAGCAAAAATATCCACAGTGATACAAAGGGGTGAAAGGGCAAAATGAGAGGAGGATGAAATGGATCAAAAAACTTACCGTGCAAGAACCGTCCATTTCCAATGCAAGGTTAACCATATCGTACACGCTCTTTTCTACTTTGGCCCGCTGGACAGGGTCTTCTTTGTTATACAATATGCTCTCGTGGAAGTTACCGTCTCCAATGTGGCCGACGATGCTAGCAAATAACCCTAAATTATCCATGTCCTTCTTTGACGATTCTAGTTATATATTCTTAAATCAGCCTCTGCTTGCAATTTCCCATTTATTTCTTTATTTCTGTCTCTTTTCAAACTTGCGAGTTCACTTACCGATGATATCGGGGAGCCGAGAGAGAGGCACTGCAACATCAGTAGACCAAATGTCATCTCCCTCCTTTCGAAGTGCCATCATGCTCCAGAGAGACTGTTTGCGAGCAGACCACAGCTCATGAGCCTCCTGGTCGTCTTTTGCAAATACGAAAGAACTGCTGTTATTGTTCTTGGCAATCTCCTTGGTCGCTTTGACGTTATCAGCGACGCCAGCTGGGGATCCCGAAAATTTGAAGAAGAGAGTGGGAACCTCCTTCCATACCCGATTGGTACCGCCAGCACCATTGATAACTTTCATCTGCACCTCGTCAAGGATCTCCATACATTGGACAGGGACACCAGAACGGATGACCTTCATGGCGGTAGAAGCCGTGTCACGTATGGTCGGGAAAGTGGCGATCCCTACCCTCGTCTCTTCTGGTAAGACAGCGAGTTTTAGGGTTATTTCCGTGACAATGCCTAGTGTCCCTTCGGATCCTACGAACATTCCTGTTAAATTGTAGCCTGCGGCGCTTTTACGGGGGCGCCTTCGAGTCTTGATAACTCGCCCATCGGCCAGCACCACGGTCAGGTTGAGAACCCAGTCCTTCATGGTTCCGTAACGGACGGCATTGGTGCCACTACAATTCGTGCCAACCATGCCACCAACCTTAGCAGATGGGCCTGGATCGATAGGAAAGAAGAGGCCGGTGTGTTTAATTTCCTCGTTCAATTGCATCCATTGAACAGAGGGCTGGACGACAACATCCATATCATCTTCATGGAGCTCAATCATCTTGTCCATATGGACAAAGTCGATGCTCATACCTCCGTGGGGCGCTGAGAAGTTCCCCTCAAGACTGCTCCCACCTGAAAATGGAATCATGGGCATTCGGTACTTGGTGCATATTTTCGCGATCTGGGAGACCTCCTGGGTGTTCCTAGGATAGGCCACGGCGACGGGTAGTTGTTCACAATTGATTGATGACCATTCCGAATAACCATGGAGATGCAGATCCTCATCATCCGTGCTGATTGCATCTTCTCCTAGCAAAGTTCGTAGTTCGGCAATTGCCTACCACCACCAACAGTTCCAGGTTAGTTCGCGGACATTTGTATATAGGTATACATATTAGCTTAGAATGTAGGTGCACTTCTTAATGCCTGAGTATTGCGATATGGTTGTTATTTTGAAAAGAATCATGCTTGCTTTTTCCAAGTCCTTCACCGTCCCATACTTGGGTTTTTCATCCCTTTGACCAAAAAGCAGCGAAATAGAAGGAACCGAATCGCTGCCGGCACCGAACGCATATCCGAGCCCGCTAGCAATGGTGGCAACAACAGCGTGACCAATTTTGACGAAGGGTGAATTTGGAACTGTTTTTTGCGATTGAGAGCCAGACGCATTGTTGCTATTCCATCGATAGGAGATGGGCCGTGGGCGTTGCTCAAGCCATCGTGCGCAGCGTTGATATCCCAGCCCCCGCCGTCCAATGCCTGTAGCAATCCGGCCGAAGGGTCTCATGGCCGCTCGTTTCCAAGGGTGTGTTTGGTAGATTTGTACAGGAACGGAGACAGAAACAAGTTGAGTTAAGCCATTGTTGGGGATGGGGATGAGGAATATTAGTTATTAGGTGGTCGGATATTGACGGACGTCCTACTAGTATTTATGAACCCGAATAAGGTGTGATCGTAATTACGCGATAGAATGGCGATAAAACGATGAGTAGAGCTCTGATTATCTATCTATCTAGAAGGGGATTCAACTACCAATTTATATCTGATGGATAGATATCTTCGCCCGAAAGAAAATGATAAACTTATGTGTGAAACTCTCGCTTGTAATAGGTGCTGATTTGGTGGTGAATTCGGTGGAGATTTTAACCTGCCAAACATTGATGATTATTATTAAAAACTCTTTAACTCCATGCTCAGTTTTAGCTATAACAATGAAATCTATCGCCTCATCTGACAGCAAAGAGTTCATCATTCAGATTTGATCAATTGACGAAGCTACTAGGCTAGAGGAAACATGTCCTTCGAGTTAGCGCCAGCAGGATGAGTTCCACTGGGACAATAGAGCTCGATCACCAACAGCGCCATGAACCATCCAATCCAATCCAATCCCTCCAACAGTTTGCTCTGCCAGCACCACCACCACTATCAGTAAGGATGGCACTGTTGCGAGAGCAAGAAGCATCAAAATGCATGATAGGCGACAACCATTACCTACACCAGTGGCGACTGGATGGCAAGAAGCAGCTCTCACCTTTGTCAACATCTTGCTGGGCACAGATCGAACGCTGTAGCTCAATTTTTACCAATTCCGGCTCAAAAATCAATGTCCATTTTTCTACGATACGTATTTTTATGTTTCTTTACTAGATATATAGCGGAAGCAGCTTGAAAAGCTGTTTGTGTTCGTCTCTTTCATCAGAAAAATTTGCCCAGCCTGTCGAATTTCCCAGATTCTTTGAGTTTCTGATGACTTTATTCCGATACTTGTTCCTTTGACCGAATTTGAGATCGTTGTGATGCTCTCCCAGTCTATTTCCTTTCTCACTGGATTTCCTTTGTAGCCCCCAAAAAGCAAACATTTCCCCTTGTCTTGTGAACCTTTTGCGAGACCGTTACCAACACCATCGAATCGCTCTGGTATTGCTTTGAGTCGACGTTATCACAACAGCACAGCGGTCCTTGGAGAAATGTTTCACACCCTTTTTCACAGCCGTTTTTCATACTTTATTTGGATGGTTTACCTGGTTTGTTTGCAGTTAGGAGGATTGACTACGCGTAGTTGCAGCATCCGAATCAAAATGCCATGCATGTATTGATTTGCGTAGCAACTCAAAGATGTTTGGTCCTCCATTCTAAACAGCGGCGAGCTGTTTTACTCCGCAAGAGCTAAGCTGTTTGCAAATTCTCCTAGGTATTGCCAGTCAGGTCAATTGCAGCTTCAATTTGGCAGATTTCGCTGGTCCCGCAGGTAAAATCCGCATTCGTGTAGTTCTATATTTAAGCCAGGAACAATAAAGCATTGCAGTGTTCCAGGCGTATAGGGAGGGGGAATGTATACGCATAAGTATATCCCATATATATACATCTATCGATGGTTCCATGTTTATATGTCCACGACCAGCTTCTCTTTCGTGTTTAGTCTGTCACTTGGGGCCCTTTTCCCCGGCCTATCTCACTGTTTTCTTTCTTTCTTTTTTTTCCTTAAGAAATCTCGGCCACCAGGAATTTCACTTTCTAGTCGACTTCGAAGTCTAATTTTATGGTGGGATGCATGACACGGAGATGGACACGCTCAATGTAATTTGCCCTTTCCATTTCCCACACACATTCACTCACTACAAGCTATCCGCCTCTGCATGTCTCTGCTTCTTGCAGAGCAACGCTCGCGGGTTCCTGCATGTGCGAACCAGTCTAGCGTCCATGGATATATCCAACATGGTCAAGACTCTGACGGCCATGTCCCACTCACTCATGCGCCTGAGAATCCCCTCTCAGAGCTACCTTGCTGCTAACGACCTTCATCCTCCGTAACAGCATGCATCAGCAACCGGGGCTACCATCCATCGACATAAACGGCCAAGGAGAAGTCGGGGAACGGGAGATCCTCGTAATGCAAGAATGAGGGAGGACGTAGCCCGCGAGAAGTTGATGAAACGAAAGCAACGGGATGCGGAGGAGTTACTTGAACGGCAATAGGAGCAGTAGCAAATCGAGCAGCTGCTTCAGCGTCGCCATGGTGGCCGCTGTGTTAATCATCTCATTCCAGTCAAATCTCATATGCAAACAACCCTTGATGCTCTCTGGCCATCAACACCGCCAAAGCAGCTTCCTCAAACAACACAGCTGTTGACACCTCAGCCTCAACCTCAACCTCAACCCCAACCCCAACCCCAACCTCAGGCTCGAGGTTCTACCTCTCATCTCAATGCTTCCGCTTCTCATCTGCCTTCCATCTCTCCTCACTTAGTAGCAGCAACAGTGGTAGCACCAACACCAAGATCTCCAGATTGCCCTGGGGTAGATCTCTATGGTTGCTATCAACCAGGGTATGTTATTAATTTCTATGGCTCATACCATTTCGGATTTGTACCTCTCATCTTAACGCAATGGGTTAGATATTTCTGTTCGTGGGATCCCTTCGTGGGATCCACCGGG